CAAAAAAAGTACAGTTTCTCGTCTTAAATTTAAGGCGGCAGACACTCGCTTCTTTAGCTTATACATCACGAACAACACATGCTTTCAAAATATAGACTATTTAATGAAACTATGGGCTTTGAACTATGTATTACTTATATACTTTGAATTTACGATTTCAAAAGTTTTTTTTAAGTTGTCATTTTGGCATTTTTTCATCATACAAAAATTTTCCAAAGAAATTAATTGCATTTCATTCTTGATTTAGTACCATAACTTACAAACAAACAATAAATCATAAATATCAGACCTTAAGAAAAAGTGACTAACTCAATTTGAGAAGATCAGGACTAAAATTGAAAAACTTCAATATTTTCTGTTAAGTATGGGGAAATCGATTAAATTGACTTTATGAAAATTCTAATTCCACGATCGATATTTTAATGAGAGTATAATGGAAGTAACCAAGTTTGTAGTTCCTGTAAGCTAGTAGACCCTGACTTTTTTTGTGTTAAGGTGTACAAAATTTGAAAAGTAATTTTTCGAAAGTGATTCGAAAATTTTGAAAAAATTTCAAACCTATTTTGGTATCCTCAAAGTATATAGGGTCAAATAGCCTAATCAGATATATTAGAAGTTGTTAATTGAGGTATAAGTGTTGTCTCTCAATTTAACGATATTTTTCCATTTTTTGAATGAGTAATATTAAGATCAATATTGAAGTTTATCAAAATAGACTAGCATCAGTCTAGTTCAAATCAACTGAAAGTTCAACCAAAAAAGTTTGACAGATATAGCTTGAAAATTTATGGAGTTATTTACAAACTAAATTTTTAGATCAACTACTGCAAGATTGTATATTGCTGATGTGTTTTAAGATTAAATTTGAAACATTTGACTTCTATGCAGTCTTGCAGTACTAAACCTCTTAACTTAGTCTGCAAATAACTCCATTAACATTTAAGCTGTAACTGTCACACTTTTTTCGTTAAGACTTCATCAGATGCAAAGTGGGCCGGTACCATTTTCTTTGGATAGTGTTTGATCTTGATCTTGTTGCTTCTCATTAAAAAATAAAAACGCTAAATCTCAAATTAGTTGGACATAAACCTCATTTAGCAACATTTAATATAACTGTTTCGGTTAAACTAACCCTCAAAGTGCTTTTCAAGACGCCATAATTACTTTGAAATTTTTCAAAAATTTCGGTTCACTCTAAAAATTACTTTTCCAATTTTCATTACCTTAACAGAGAAATATTTCATTTTCATTAAATTCCAAAGCTACAGGACTGGATTGTTTTATTATGTTTAAATTTGAAGTTCAAATGTGAAATCAAATTTTTCTTAAGGTCAATTTATTCAGATTTCCCCATACTTGAGAGAAATTTTTGAAATATTTGAATTTTAGTTTAGATCAGACCAAATTGAGCTCAGTACAGTTGTTCAAGATCTAATAAATATAATATGTTCTTTAATTATAAGTTTTGGGCCTGAAAAAAAAAGGTATAAAGAATTATATTTTTCGGAAAATTTTTGTATGGTAAAAAAACGCCAAAAATTCAACTTAAAAAAAAATGATCGAAATCACAGAGCTCTAATATGCAGTGATTGGACAATTCTGATCTCATATAAATGGTTTTCATTTCGGAAAAGGCTGTTGTTCATGCAGTATCAATTAATACGTTTAGTACTGGTCGCTCTGAAGCTAACACGAAAAAAATGTATTTCGTCGCGCCAAATTATTGCATTGAAAAATGACGAAGTAATTATGAACTGAACCCTACTAGCATCGATCAAAACTTAATTCCAATGTACAATGTTTTGATTCTATATACAATTCAGAATCATACAAACCTATTTACATGACTTGTTACTCTCTAAAGCATGTACAGTATTTCAATACCAATTCTCGTCCTAATATTAAATCATCGGTAGCGCGATTCGTACCTTAATACAGTACAATTAATACGAACATGACAAAACATCAACTTTATAAGAAATATACGCATATTTAAAAATAGATAAAACATGCTTATATGAATTAAATATCTAGGATTAATAAAATCAATTAACTACATCAAGGGGGGTCTAAATAAATGGTTAAAATCTTTTATATAATTTTTAAAATAAAAATTTTCAACAAAAACAACTTTGGCATAGTATAGTTGTGCAGCCATTATCGTATAGTTGGTCAGTACATAGCGTTGTGGAGACACGAATTAGGGCGTTCAATCGCTTCAAATCCGCTATAACCCAGGTTCGAATCCTGGTGATGGCATTATTTTTTAAAATCTATTCATATGCTATTTTTTTTTTCATTTTTGATAATTTTTAACTTTATGATTGTCTAAATTGAATATTTAAAGCTTTCATGATCATGTTTTGAATAAGGTCTCGTGATGTGCTTGTATTATTGAGTATATTTATTGTGTTTTTCATGAACTATGCTAAACTTTCAAATTTTTTGGTCAAAAATGGGATAAAGTACGGTAGTGCTATTGATCCAAAGATTAATTTAAGCGCGCTTTGATCATAAGTAATAGGAAGAGATTGTTTTATCTAACTATATATGTATATTTCTTAATATCTAATGTTTTGATCTTTCAAAAAATTTAAAAGGTAATTTTGAAACTTCATCTAATGCTTTATCAGGATCAAAGTCATTATCTTTATTATCAAATCCATAATTACGTTGTAATAAATTTGATTTATCAGATGGAGAAGAAATCTTTGTAGTTTTCAACTCTTCAATACTCTTATTTAACTTTTTATCAACTTCAGGTTCTTCATTATGATAATCATGAAATACTCTTGTTGCTTCTGATTTTCCTTCCCAGGGGAAAATATGAGGTACTTCAACATCTTCATCACCTTTCTCTTCTCCAACTTCATTCTTTTTATCCCATACATTATCTACTTTTTCAAATTTCAAATTTATTGCCTCACCTTTAACATTTAAAAGTTTATATTTCAATTTTTCATCATGATTGAAAAACTTGTTAAAGTCATTCCACCAATAATTATGAAAATTAGCCAAATCGGAACTTAAAATACTGTTGTAATGCCAAGGTTTAACATTTCCAATAAAGTGTAAAATCTTAATATCGTTGAAAAATCTATGGAAAGCAGGTAAAAATTGATAATCATTACGATAATTAGGAGTAACATTAAACAAATATTTTAATCTTATCCAATCGGGGAAAAAGTCATTTAATAAACCTTGATCACCACCATCAAAAGATTCATGAGATTTAGAAAATTCAATTAATTTGGAAAATGTCTCTTTATTAGGTTTTAATTTAATTACTCCAGAATTGAATATATCAGGCCAGCCTGAGTCTGGAGAAGCAGCAATTTCATCAACACCTACTTCAATTTTAAATAATTCATCAATATTGGCCAATGGCAAAACGTCAGCATCTAAATATACTAAATTTTCATAGTCTAAATCCCAAAGTAATAATTTTGAATATGTAATTGATAATTCTTCTCTACCTAATTTATCTTTAAGTTGTTCTAAAGGTGCATTTATTTTTGCAATTGGTATAATTTCATCGTAAATATCTTCAATCAATTGTTTCGACTCTGGGGAAATTGAGTTTGTGTCTAATAAAATTAATAATTTATGTTTAGTCTCCAATTGTTTTAATTTTAAACCTAATGTTAATATTCCAGGTAAATATGACTCCCCAATTAAAAGGGTAACGAAACCATTAGACATTGTTGATAACACAAGATTTATTGTTGATAAGAAATCAAATCACAAGAAAAAAAAAAAATAATATTAATCAGTTTTTATACATTAAGAGGTAATTCATGATATTTCTAATCCATCTGTTTAACCTCAAATGTCCAATTACCTGTAGTTGGTTCATAGCTTATGAACTTCATCTCTGGCATATTCTTCAAATTTTCAATATGTTTTATAACTACATCACTTTTTGGATCTAAAATTGGTAATTTATCCTTTTTATTAATTGGATAACAACCCTCCAATGTAATTCTAGCAGGTATATTTAGACCTTCACCTGGTTTTGGTTTATTATCATCATCAGGATAAACAATGCATGATTTATTACTAAATTCTACTAAACGTCCAACAATATCATCTAAATTAACTAATGAAGTTAAATCAACAGGTTCTAAAAATTCTAAAACACCATAATTTTTTCTACCAATTTGAAAATTTTTAATATGTTTTAATTCAAGTAATGATTTATTTTTCAAATCTGGTATTGAAGGTAATGTCCAATATCCATTTGCATCTTCAATTATTTCTGGTTCTGGTGTAGATACAATCATTGAAACTTGTTTATTAGGACTATGAGATTTTAATTCATTTGATTTATCAAGTACCAATTTTTTAAAATTATCTTTTGGTTTAAAAATATCTGAAGATATAATTGCATCATCTGTAGTTGAAGAAAATAATGAATCTGATTTCTTTTTAAACAATTCATCTTGTTTTGCTTCTATTGGTTTTTTAGTAGGTAATGAACTTGATTTGAATAATGGCGTTATTCTTTGTGAAGTTGAGCCAAGTGTAACTTGTTTTTTAATTGGTGTTGCTGATTTTATAACTGTTGCATGTGGTTGATATGTTTGTTGTTGCTGAGGAGAAGGACCAGTAATTGATTGAAATAATGGATTATTACCATATGGATTTTGAGAATTTATATTAGCTAGAGCAGATTGTGGTTGTTGTTGAATAGTTGGTTGTGTAGCTGGTTTACTAAACAATCCCGAGCTTTGAGTAGGTTGTTGTTGTTGTTGTTGATTTTGACCACCGAATAATCCTCCTGATGTAGTTGAAGTAGCTGGTTTATTACCAAATAAACCACCAGATGTTGAACCAAATGTACTTGGTTGAGTTTGTTGTTGATTTTGTTGTTGCTGTTGTTGACCACCAAATAGACCACCACTTGTTTGATTTGTATTACCTCCAAATAATCCACCCGAACTAGTAGCTGGTTTATTACCAAATAATCCACCACCAGAAGTGCCAGTTGTATTTTGTTGACCACCAAATAATCCACCAGATTGTTGTTGATTTTGATTATTACCAAATAATCCTCCTGAAGAGCTTGTAGTTGCTGGTTTATTACCAAATAACCCCCCACTTGTTTGATTTGTATTTTGTTGACCTCCAAATAAACCACCACCCTGTGTATTTTGTTGATTGCTTCCAAACATTGAAGTTCCAGCGGGTTTATTTCCAAATAAACCGCCAGATTGTTGTTGATTTGAATTTTGTTGATTTTGACCACCAAATAAACCACCAGATTGTTGTTGATTTGTATTACTTCCAAATAAACCACCACCAGTAGTACCCAGTCCAAATCCTGTACCTGGTTTAGCTCCAAATGCATTAGTATTATTTTGACCAAACATGTTTGATCCAGTGCTTGATTGACCAAATCCAGAAGTACCTGAACCAAATGTATTACTTCCTGTTCCTGAGCCAAATAACCCACCTGATTGTTGTTGTTGTGGTTGATTTTGGCCAAACGGAGATGCATTAGATTGACCAAATGCACTAGTTTGTTGATTTTGTTGACCAAATGGTGATGCAGTATTTTGACCAAATGCACTTGTACCTGAACCTGAACCAAAAGCATTAGTATTTGTATTACTAGATCCAAATAAGCCACCACCTTGTGTATTTCCACTTCCAAATGCACTTATTAATGTTCCTGAACCAAAACCTGAAGCAGGTTTATTAGCACCAAAAATACCTCCTCCTGATGATGACCCAAACCCACCTGATGTTGAACCAAACCCTGAACTTTGTTGATTAGAGCCGAAAGGCGATGATGAGCTTCCAAATGCAGAAGTTTGTGGTTGTTGTTGTTGTTGTTGTTGAGATCCAAATGGTGATGCAGCTGGTTTATTAAATGATGAACCAAATCCAGTATTTTGATTCTGTTGACCAAACGGAGATGTATTACTTTGACCAAATGCACTAGTTTGTTGATTACCAAATCCAAATCCACCTGTACTAGCACCACCGAATCCTTGACTACCTTGAGGTGGAAATCTTCTTCCTTGTTCATAATCTTTTAATCTTAATTCTTCAAATGAAAAATTTTTATATTCTGGCATACAACATATATTTTGAAATACATTTGTCATATTTGCTGAATCTTTTTCAGTATATGGTGAAAATTGTTTGACTGCTGTACCATTATTTACAGTTGAATCGGTTGAAGTTGAGCCAAAGGCATTTGATGAACCAAAAGGTGATGATTGAGTAGCAGGTGTTGATCCAAATCCACCAAAACCTGAAGTTGTAGTATTTGCAGGTTTACTTCCAAATAACCCCCCTCCCGAAGTATTACTCCCAAATGCAGATGTTGTATTAGATTGACCAAATGGTGATGATGTAGTATTAGATGAGCCAAATAAGCCACCACCTGATGAACCAAATGCTGAAGATGGTTGATTTGTATTATTTGAGCCAAAACCTGAGCCAAAACCTGAAGTATTTGTATTTGAAGACCCAAATAACCCTCCCGATTGATTAGTATTTGCATTATTTGTAGATCCAAACGGAGATGCATTTTGTTGTTGAGTAGTTGATGATCCAAATGGAGAATTGGCATTGTTATTATTGGACGAGCCAAATCCTCCAAAACCTGAAGTTGAACTGGTTCCAAACATAAAAGTAGTCTTTATTAATTTGATGTTTAGGAAATATTTTTTTTTTCTGTTGATATTTTTTTTTTTTGCTGACATTACAATAAGTAGAGAGCTACCAAATGGTACTTAAAATTTTAGGCGGTAGAGATTAAGGGGTATTTGATAACTAAACAGCAGTAATTGACAATAAGTTCGTTTAAAACGCCGTAATTTATAGCTATTAATACAAATAGAACCTTTCTCAAAAAACTTAAACTACCGGTGTGAAACCACAACTTATCAACATATCACAGTATTACATATATTATTCTTCCTTTTCTATAACCACTTCTTCTTTAACTATTTAGTCTTCTTTATTATTTTAGTTATATCTTGACCCTTTTCAGCTTTTCTTTTCTTCTTTACTTTATCTTCAAATTTTTCCAATTGTTCCTTACGATCTTTTTCACCTAATTTCCATAATTCTTCTTTCTTTGCAATGAACTCCTCATCATCAATTGATTTTCCTTCTAACCATTCTAATAATTTAATTTCTTCTCCATATACAGAATCATCTTTACCAACAGGTGTCTCTAGTATTATTGGTACATTTTTTAATTTTTCACAATTTGCAATTACTCTAAATATTTCTAGACCTAAAAATCCTTGACCTAATTTTTGATGCAAATCTCTATTAGCACCCAATGGAGCTTTTGAATCATTTAAATGTATACCTGATAAATACTTCATACCAATTAATTGATCAAATTCATCTAGAAAAGCATCAAATTTTTCCTTTGTTGTTATATCATAACCTGCAGCAAATGAATGACAAGTATCTAAACAAACACCAACTCTATCTTTATTTTCAATCATATCTATTACATCTTTAATGTCTTGTAAATTTGAACCAATTAAATTTCCGTGCCCTGCCATATTTTCAATAACAATTTTAACAAAAGAAGTATCCTTAATGGCATTGTTTATATTCTTAGCTAGTGTCACTAATGACTCTTTATGATCACCATCTAAACTTGAACCAGGATGAAAATTATACAACCCTATACCTAATATTTCACATCTTTTTAAATCATCAATAAATGATTCATAAGCTTTTGCTTCTTTTTCAGGATCTGGATTTCCTAAATTTATAAAATATGAACCATGAGGTAATATATCAGTTTTTGGATTATAATTAAATTTTTCACATAATTGATGAAATTTTTCAACTTCTTCATCTTTATACATTGGAGAAACCCATTTTCTTGGAGATTTTAAAAATAAAGCAAAACTATTAGCACCAATATCCATTGCATTGTATATAGCATTACTTATACCTCCAGCAGTTGAAATATGAGCACCAAAGTTATAGTTACTTGTTTTAATTCTATCAAATTTAAAACTTGTTGGTATTTTAGTCTTTACCATTGTTGATAAAAAAAAATATACAACTACCAAATGAGTTTGAGTAATATAAAATTAACAATATTAAGATATATTAAAGCATTCTTTATACCTGATCATCAACTACATTCAAGACAGAAATGGATACTAGGGTTAATTAATTTATCTGCTGTTGTTTTATTTTGGGTTTCTTCAAGTTTTTTAGTAAATGCTATAGTTGAGAATGATTTATATAGAAAACCATTTTTGATAACTTATATAAATACATCCTGTTTTTGCTTTTATTTAATACCATATTTAAAAATTGAAAAACTACTGTTAAAAGAATTTATTATTAGATTTAGAGAGGAGACAAAGATTATACCAAAAGATGAAGAAAATGGTTTAATGAGAGATTATGGTTCAAATGAAGATTTATCAGTTGAAGAAGAATTAGATATAAATATAAACATATATGATACTTTTAGATTATCATTACAATTTATAATATTATGGTTTCTTGCTAATTTAGTAACTAATGCATCATTATCATATACTTCAGTTGCTTCACAAACTATACTCTCTTCAACATCATCATTTTTCACATTAATTATTGGTTATTTAGTGCTGGTGGAAAGAATAAATCAAAATAAAATAGTGGGGATATTATTAAGTTTCTGTGGTGTTTTAATTGTAACTAAAGCAGATACTTCAGATGATAATCCAAATAAGAATAATTCAACAATAATTATATTATTAGGTAATTTATTAGCATTATTAGGTGCTTTAATTTATGGAATTTATACAATATTACTTAAATTCAAAATATCAATAAAGAATTCAAATGTTGAAAGAAATTTAAATACTCATTTATTCTTTGGATTTGTGGGTTTAATTTGTTTAATATTATTTTGGCCAGTATTAATATTCCTTCATTATTTAGATATAGAAAAATTTGAATTACCACCATTTAAATCAACTATAACATTAATATTATTAATAAATGCTGCTATTACATTTATAAGTGATTTTTGTTGGTGTAATGCAGTATTATTAACTAGTCCGTTAACAGTTACTGTTGGATTATCAATGACTATACCATTAGCAATGATTGGAGATTGGTTTATAAAAGGATTTGATATTAATTTGTTTTATATATTTGGAGCAATAATAGTGACTACTGGGTTTTTGATAATAAATAAAGATGAAGAAGAAGATTTCGTTGAAGATTGAAATATACACTTGGTAGCATTATATATTTATTTTAATAGACACTTATAAATTTTTCACTTTAAATGAATTTTATAATTATACTATATTTGATAAGATGGATATATAGTTTATCACTTATAGAATTATCTAATGAGAATCATATAATTGATATTGAAAGCTCAAATTTATCATTAATTGATGGTCCAAGAGATTATTATACTATTTTAATTTTTACATCTAGTTTACCAAAACATCAATGTCAACAATGTATAAATATACAACCAATGTTAAATAATGTTGCTGATTTATATTTCAATAATTATGGAGACTCAAATATACTACATTTTTTAAATATAGATCTTCAGGATAGCTCAAATTTGAAATTATTTCAATTGATAGGTTTGACTACCGTGCCACATATATGGATAATACCACCAAATTTATCAATGCCTACCGGAGATCCATATAAGATTTTTGAAGAACCACATATTGAGTTTGGAGTCGCACAAATGAGTCAAGCGGAATTGACTGTTGAATTTGCAAATTTCATAAGTGAACATATTCAAATTCCATTAATAATACCTAGAACTGAGAGTCAACTTAGTAATTTCTTCAAGGCATTTATTGTGACATTTAGTACTATTATATTTTTGAAGAAGAAGCTCAAGTTCAATAAAAAATTATTAATTACAATTATTTCAATTGCTATGATACTTATATTTACTAGTGGTTATCAGTTCACAATACAGAATAAAGTACCTTTCATAGCTAGGAATGAAAATGGACTTATGCTAATTAGCGGTGGTCAGTATTATCAATTTGGATCTGAAATATTACTAGTTTCATTAAATTACGTGTTTTTAACCAGTGGCATAATTAGTTTAATTTATTTGGGTAAACATAAATTTCAGAGTGAAATACTACAATCTAGTCTAATATTAATCAATGTAATAGTCATATATATACTATACAGTTGTTTAACTAGTATAGTATTAAGAAAGGATGAATTTTATCCATTTTATTTATACAAATTATTTTAATATTATTGAAAAATTATGATTTTTTTAACGCGTTTTTCTTGTTTCAGAATTTTTAACCATCATCAAATAATGTCAAAAAGAGTATTAATTACTGATTTCTTTAGTAATAAACAGATTAAAAAACATAAAAAAGAAGAAGTTGAACTTGAAATTACAACAATTGAATCAAAAGAGAATACAGTGATAGATGATTGGTCAGATTTTTGTAAAAAACATAATTTTAATAAACAGGAATGGTTAGATTCATTATCAACAGAAGAAAAAGAGTTGTTAGACATCGAAATCAAATATTTACACATCACATGGTTAGCTTTCCTTCATAAAGAACTAACAAAACTGTATTTTTTAAATTTGAAAAGATTTTTAAATACCCAATTTTCATCGAAGACTATATTTCCACCAATTAATCAAATTTATACATGGTCAAACTTAACTCCATTACCAAATATAAAATGTTTAATACTTGGTCAAGATCCATATCATAATCTTAATCAAGCTCATGGTCTTGCATTCTCAGTGTTGGAACCTACAAAACCCCCACCATCACTAGTTAACATATACAAAACCATAAAAAACGATTTTCCAGATTTTGAAGTACCTGATTATAAACAATTAGTCAAAAATGGGACTCCTGGTGGTGGTAATTTAACTAAATGGGCTAAGAATGGAGTATTAATGCTAAATGCTGTGTTAACTGTTGAAGCGCACAAGGCAAATAGTCATGCTCAAAAAGGATGGGAACAATTTACTGAACAAGTTATACAAAAAGCAATTGAGTATCATAGTAATGATGGATTTGTAATTATGGCATGGGGATCTCCTGCCCAAAAAAGGATACTGAAGTTTAATAAGATACTAACTGAAAATGATCATAAATTTTTAATACTAAAAACTGTTCATCCTTCTCCATTATCTGCTCATAAAGGATTTATGACTTCAAAAATATTTAAAACTTGTAATGAATGGTTAAGTGAACATGAAAAGAATAAAATAGATTGGGGTATTATAGATGGAAATGAAATTAAATAGAAGTAGACAAGCACCACACATTTTATATGTCAATTGAACACTATTACAATTGTGATATTATATGTTTCAACATGTTTCAACATGTTTCTTGATTATGAACATTTTGTTCTTTATGTATTTCTCTGGTTCTTATTCATTTCTTTGATTTAGTTATCTGAGCTTTGATAAATTTATGTTGTTTTATTATATATAAAGTATTTGATATTTTTCAATTAATTCTTTGTGAGTGTATATCACTGTATGAATTGAATATAGAAGTCCCTGTCGTAATTTCAATGTCTCATAACTCTTATGTCATAAATAACCGTTTTTTAGTGTCGTGTCGCGTAAATTTAATGTCACAAAATAAATCAATAAAAATCAAAATCAAAATTTAAAAAAAAACATTTCCCAACGTATCAATTTATTAATTAAATTTACATCAAATTTACTCAATAGTTTATTTAGTTTCATTATCGTCTTTATTTGATTTATTATTATCAACTTATTACATTTTACAACATATTTCAAATTATAAATTACGCTTTTTCATCAATTTTTTAATTTGCAGCCACTCCCAAAATGAGTAATTCAACGGCTTCAAACGATCCCCCACTATTTGTATCCACAGAAACACCAGAAGAACGTAAGAAGCGATTTCTATTATCTCATGATGTTCAATATGAAAGGGAGAGGGATAAAGATGATGCTACAAAACGTTTTCAATATTTGTTAGGTTTATCTCAATTATTTCGTAAATTTATTGATTTAAATGCAAGTAAAGATGCAGAATTTAAGAAAAGAGTTCGTCAAGTTGATTCATTACAAAAGTTTAAAGAAAAAGAAAAGAAAACTAAATCTAAAAGAAGAAGAAAAACCGAAAAAGAAGAAGATGCTGAATTGTTACAAGACGAAGAACATCAAGATGAAGAAGATCAGCAGCATACTGTTTTTACTGAATCTCCATCTTATGTTAAAGAAGGTAAATTAAGAGAATATCAAATCCAAGGTTTAAATTGGTTAATATCCTTATATGAGAATAGATTAAGTGGTATATTAGCTGATGAAATGGGTTTGGGAAAAACCCTTCAAACTATTTCTTTTCTTGGTTATCTTAGATATGTTAGACATATTGATGGTCCATTTATTGTTATTGTTCCTAAAAGTACCCTTGATAATTGGAGACGAGAATTTGCAAAATGGACTCCTAGTGTTAATGTTTTGGTATTACAAGGTGATATGAAACAAAGAAATAAACTTGTTAAAGAACAAGTTTTACAAGCTAAATTCGATGTATTAATCACATCATATGAAATTGTTTTACGTGAAAAAACTCAATTAAAAAAGATTAAATGGGAATATATAGTTGTTGATGAAGCTCATAGGATTAAAAATGACCAATCTTTATTATCACAAATTATTAGATTATTTTATTCAAGAAATAGATTATTAATTACCGGTACCCCTCTTCAAAATAATCTTCATGAATTATGGGCATTATTAAACTTTTTATTACCCGATGTATTTGGTGATTCAGAACAATTTGATGAAACATTTGATAATAGTGGTTCTTCAGAAGAGGATAAACAACTTAAACAAGATAAATCAATTCAAGAACTACACCAATTATTAGATCCATTTTTATTAAGAAGAGTTAAAAGTGATGTAGAAAAATCATTATTACCTAAAATTGAAGTTAATGTTTATACTGGTATGTCAGAAATGCAAATTCAATGGTATAAAAAATTATTGGAAAAAGATATTGATGCAGTTAATGGAGTTGTTGGAAAAAGGGAAGGTAAAACAAGATTACTTAATATTGTCATGCAGTTGAGGAAATGTTGTAATCACCCTTATCTTTTCGACGGAGCTGAACCAGGACCTCCATTTACTACAGATGAACATCTAATCTTCAATTGTGGTAAGTTGATCATATTAGATAAAATGTTGAAGAAATTTAAAGCTGAAGGTTCAAGAGTTTTAATATTTAGTCAAATGAGTAGATTATTAGATATACTTGAAGATTATTGTTATTTCAGAGAATATGAATATTGCCGTATTGATGGTTCTACTGCTCATGAAGATAGAATTGATGCAATTGATGAATATAATGCTCCTAATTCAAGTAAGTTCGTTTTCCTTCTTACAACAAGAGCAGGTGGTTTAGGTATAAATTTAACATCAGCTGATATTGTTATATTATATGATACAGATTGGAATCCACAAGTTGATTTACAAGCCATGGATAGAGCTCATCGTATAGGACAAAAAAAACAAGTTAAAGTATATAGATTTATTACAGAAGATGCTATTGAAGAAAAAGTTTTAGAAAGAGCTGCTCAGAAATTAAGATTGGATCAATTGGTTATTCAACAAGGTAGGCAAATTACAAATAATATTGGAAGTACTAAAGATGATTTAATTGGTATGATTCAACATGGTGCTAAATCTGTTTTTGAAAAATCTGAAGGTAAACAAAATTCATTAACGGATGATGATATTGAAGGAATTTTAAAAAGAGGTGCAGAGAAAACAGCAGAATTAAATAATAAATATAATAAACTAGGGTTAGAAGATTTACAAAACTTTGCGTCTGACGGTTCAGCTTATGAATGGAATGGTCAAGATTTTAGAAAAACTCATGGCTCAGGTTTAGGTGCTAACTGGATTAATCCATCAAAAAGAGTTAGATCTCAACATACATATTCAGTTGATAATTATTATAAAGACGTTTTAAAAGCACCAGTGGCAACTAAAGATAAGCAAAAAGTATTAACTAGACCAAAAGCTCCAAAAACTTTTAATATTCAAGATCATCAATTTTTCCCAAATGGTTTACAAGAACTTTTAGAAAGAGAACAATTGGCATATAAAAAAGAAATTGGATTTGAATATTCAATTGATGATTTTGGAGATTCAGATGAAGAATTCATTGTTGATGAAGATAAAGATGAATTATCAAGAGTTGAAAAGAGAAATATTGAACAAAAGAAGGTTGATGAAGCAGAACCATTAACTGAAGAAGAAGTTGAATTGAAAAATAAATTATTGGAAGAATCATTTGTTGATTGGTCAAAAAGAGATTTTACTACATTTATTCATTCTACTGCAAAATATGGAAGAGAAGCATATGCAAAAATTGCTAAAACACTTGGTAAAACTCCTGAAGATGTTGAAAGATATTCTAATAAATTTTGGACAGATTATAAACTAATTGATGGTTATGAAAAATATTTATCACAAATTGATACTATGGAAAAGAAGAAGGAAAAATTGTTTAATCAACAACAATTATTATCTAAAAAATTAGCCGAATTAAGAGATCCACTTGATGAATTAAAAGTTCAATATCCACCAAATAATTCAAAACGTGTTTATTCACAAATTGAAGATAAATTTTTATTAAATTGTGTTAATAAATATGGTTTACAAACTGAACATTTATATGAAAAAATTAAAAATGATATAATTAGAAGCGATTTATTTAAATTTGATTGGTATTTCCAATCAAGAACTCCTCAAGAAATTGGTAGAAGAATAACAACTTTATTATTGGCAATTTCAAAAGAAGCTGAAGGTCCAAATGTAAAAAAGAGAAAAAACCAAGAAAGTAATAATAGTTCAAGAATTGGAAGTATTGAACCAGGAAATGAAGAAGAAAATAAAAGAGCTAAAATATATATTAATCAATATTAATCAATAGGTGGTGTCAAATATATATTAATCAATAGGAGGTGTCATTAAATCCTCATTCTTAATAAAAACTTGATCTGGTAATGTTGATTCTAAACTTGGAGTTTCTGATTTTGATTTTGATTTTGATCTTGTTAAATCTTCTCTATAATATTCTGGTCGAATTGTTTCTTCAACGTACGAAATATAATAAGGAACTTTGTTTGCTGTCCAACTAACAGATAAAATATCTGACATTTCATGTCTTTCAACTCTTAAATAATCAAACACAGTATCAAAAGTAGCTCTATATCTTGGACTTATAAAATTTTTTAAACTAACAATTTTTGTACCTGGTTTTAATCCTACTAATAACCTACCAACTGAAGCATTTAAATTAGCATCAAATAAGTAATTATTAATTAATAAAATTTTACAATCCAAACAATCATTTCTAACTTTTTCATTATTTTCGAAACTTTTATATAATTCAAATTTTAATTCTAATGGTTTGATTCCAAATACTTGTAAATGTTTTTGAATTAAAGTTTCTTGTAACTCTGTTAGTCTAGATGGATGAGGCATCATTTCGCAACCACCACTAATTGATCCACATTCTAAAGCAGCTTGAAATGTAGTATTACCAACACCAGAGCCCAAATCGTAGAAATTATCAGCTGCTTTCACATTTAATTTATCTAAAATTTCACTTGTAAATGATGGCAATAATTCTCCATAAGTTTGAGCAGTAAATGCCTTATAACCTTTTAATCCTTTGGTATCTGTAGAAACAATCCTTGCATAAACTCTTAATAAAATTTGTTGAATTGTGTATCTGGAAATTTCATTTTTGGTTTGTAATCTTTTGAGTAAATCTAATTCAAAATTATCAGGTCTTGTTGGATTTAAATTTCTTGGTTTTTCAATCTCAACTCCTTCATTTTGTTCAGTTTCATTTTCCAAAGTTTCATAAACTGGGCTGTCAAATTCAAAAATAATTTCTTCATAAAATACATCTAAACTTAAGTCTTCAACTTTAGGCATTCTAATTTCTTCTTCTGATAAAAATTTTCTAATTGTTGCATTAATATCTCCAGTAACTTTACGTGCACCTTCTCTATTTGGTGATAAAATAAGCATCAACATATTCCATTTATCAATTGTAAATAAAAATTCACTAAAATCATTATCTTCGATAGTTGTTTCCAATTTTTGACAATATTCTTCAAGTATCAATCTTTTAATTGCACTGGAATGAGAAAAATAAAGACTATAAGTAATTTGAAATAATTTGTTAATTTCTCTAATTGGATCCAATTCATTCAGTTTTGGAGCAGCTAAAAGATAAGATTCAGCATGCTCTGGGTATAATAGAGTTCTAACTTTTAAGTTATTGAGTGGATTGATATTATCTGATAAATCAAAAATAGGTGGGAATGTAATCGGCATATCTTTGTAAGATTTGATGTGACTTGAGATAATTTCAATTGCCATCAGATCATCTTTGACAAGATGCTCGTCACTTAACATCATATTTTTACTTTGTATTGGATCTTCAGCTTCAACAAATTCAATTTTTGGTAAAGATGGAGTTTCTTCATGAATCGATGGAATAAAAAATTGTCTACCTTCTAAACTTATATAAGAATCTTCAATAATATCAGTTGGATCATAAGGATTTATAAACTCTTCTTCTTCTTCTTCTTCCTCTTCACTATGATAATAAAGTGCTAATAATTCCTCATCCTCATCCAATGCAGTTTGTTTTTTTGTATATTTTCTCTTTTTAGCAGCTTTCCTTAATTCTTTTTTAATTTTTTGTTTTTGCAATTGTCTATTTGACTTCTTCAATTTAATGCTCTTCCTTTTTGGTTCTTCTTCGGGTTGAAAAATTTGAAATTGGGTTCTTTGACGTTTTTGACCAAATTCAACTTTTTGTTTGTTTCCCACTATTGTATAAAAATATTCAGAAGTTTCTTTAATTGTATCAACTTCTGTTTTAAGATTTTTCCTATGTAGTTCACCGTTTGCTCTTCTGATTTCACGGTCAATTTGTTGTCTTTTCTGTTCTTCAGCACGTAATCTTTGTTCTTCCAATCTTTTCAATTTTGCTTCTAAAAAATATTTTGACCTTGCTTCTTTTAGTTCAATTTCTTCAGCAGTTAAATTAATTGCACCTTCTGGTTTAATTAATTTTGCATCATTTTCAATTTCTTCTAAATCATTAATTAATTCAAAAGCTCTTTTTCTCGATTTTTGTCGACTTGAACTAGATCCACCAACAAATGCCATTCTTGCTTCATATGCCAATTGTTCATTTACTGATTGAAATTTAAGTCTTCTACCTGAAATATATTCAAATTCTTGATATTTGGAGCTAATATATCTTTTTGTTCTTAATGGGAAAATTGCAAAGCAATCTTCTAATGAGACTTCATCCTTGACCAATTGCAATAATAAGTCTTTTTCACCAGCTGTTAATCTCTCAGCATCAAAATATGGATGACTTTTAATAATTTTCAATAAATCTTTAACTGAAGGTAACTTTTCATCTAAAGTATCTTTAGTTAAATCCACTCTAACACAAAATTCTAAATTTTTTTTGACTTCAGGTTCCAACTTTTCCAAAAATTCATTCATTTCATCAGGAGAAATTGATTCAATCTCATCTTCATCTTCCAAAAAGTTATTATTTACAACTGTTCTTACTTCTTCTGATCTAGTTCTTTCCAATGTAATTTTCAGTAAAATCTCTTGGGCTGGATCATTTATTAAGAATTTGCTCTTACCTTCTTTTAGCATCAATTCACCATAAGTTCCTTTGATGTTGAGTTTATGAAATACTTTTAAAAGATGTGATTTAATTTGGTTTCCGGTTCTAGTAGGTAAATTTTCAGAAATTTCTCTAATTCCATCTTTGTAGTGTTCTTCAAGATAATCTGTTTCAACTGGAGTAATTGGTTGTTTATGATAAAACAATCTCATTGCACCTTCTCTAAGCTCTTCAAAATCTTTGGATGGAAACTTTTTTAATAAATTATCTTTTGTTAAATCTGTAAATGTTAAAACTGATAATTTTTCAATTTCATCAGTAGACCACTGTTTATTTTTCAACCAATCAATGGCCTTTTCAAGAATTTCAGCATCAAACAGTATTGACACTTCAAATAATGATCCTTCGTAATCAGGTTGATGATTATATTGATATATGAAAATCTTTCTCAACCACATTGCTTTAGTATATCTCTCAGTTGAATCTAAAACTTTTTGAGCAATAAATTCCCAAACGATATTAACAGGCACATTTAATTGTTCCATCAATTGTTTAAATGATACAGGTTCATCCACTAGTTCTAATAATTTATCATTCATGTCTTGAGTCCAATCAATTGGAGAATCCTCTTTTACTTCATTTTCTTCAGCTTGAGCTTTCAATTCTGCAAGATTCTTTTCATAAATTGCAGCACTCTTTCTCAATTTCTTTAATTGTATAACAATTGTAGATTCATTTCTAAAAATAAACTCTTCTTGAAATAATTTTGCATCATAAGTAGGTAATAAACTCAATTCTCTTTTACTCCAAGCAGGACTTCGATTAACTTTTGAAACTGCATTTTTAATTTCTTCAAGTGGTTTATTAATGACTGATAATCCACTTTTTGTTAAATCTTGATAAATACAAAAATATAGACGTTCAATCTCAGTTTTCGACCAATTGTCGGATAAAAATTGTTCCACTTTTTCTTTCATCATTTGAATAACGCGTTCATTAAGGAGTTTTAATTTCGAGTCTGGATAATATAAGATTTGATATACTTGTACTTTATTTGTCCAATTATTTGTCCCCTTTTTCATATAAAAGAACAATTTCTCAACTAAAAATTTCCAACTAAAATCAGGAAAGTTCTGTATCAATTCAGAGTACATTAATGGTTCGTTTCTCAATTTCATCATTTTCTTTTGAAGATCATCATTCCAAATTTCATTTCCATTTTGTACATCTGCATCAGCTTCAACATATTCTAAAATTGGAAAATTTCGAGTTAAATCTGGTTTCTCATCTCTTATATGAGCAATTTTATTTTCAATTTTAGATTTTGTTCTTAAAAATAATTCTTGTTTAATTTTGGTAGTTAGTCTCATTGATTTAAGAAGCATTTCAAGTTCTTTATCACTATAACTTTTCATTGCTATTCCCGAAAATGCATCTTTGAAATCATTCATAGTTTTATTTGGAAATTTTGAAGTTAAATTCGAATATGTTAAGTCTTTAAATATCATACAGTAAAATTCTTGTATATCATCATCTGAATCTTTCCAAGCATCAAATTTTTTGATATTACTTATATACTTCAATGGTGGTTCATGATAATTTCTAAATGGTAAGGTCTTGATTGATCTATCTGGATATCTAAGAAAGAAGTCAACCGATATCTTCTTTACCCATTCATAATATAAATTTGATTCTCTTAGTATATCCAAAACTTGTAATACGATGAAATCCCAAGAATATTTTGGGTAAAAACTTTGATAAACCGATTTAAATGAAATATGTTGCCTAAGTAAATGTGCTAATTTATAATAATCTTCTTCATTCCACTTGCATTGCATCTCAGTTAAAATGTGAGGTATATCATCAATTTGATCATTCTTGATTTTATTTAATTCATCACCGGAGTGATCCGATGTTTCGGGTGTTCGTAATAATTGGGATAGTTGATCCATCATGCAAGGTAATAATACAATTTTTATATGTAGAGTTGGCTTTTTGTCAAAATTAAGCCCAAGGTTATTTGAAATAAAATTAATTAAAGTTTGAAAATTATCTTGTTTATATTTTGAAACACACATTTATTATATGCAGGACGGTAAGTGACGAGAAACGCGTTTACTGCTACAAAGAGATTGTGTCAAAAGTAAGGTAACAAATGTAAGGTGTCAAATGTAAGTATGCCCGACATTGTTCAGATTTAATGAACGTACATTGATTATATCTATAATTTACTAGCTCTTAATCCATTTAATCTAAATTTCAAATCCTTTAATACTTTAGAATCTGGTTTCCAATGTTCAAATATCTCATATAATTCATGAATCTCTTCATAACCATTTTTAAATACCTTCTTATTATTATTATCATCCTCCAATTCATCTTGTTTATAATATCTATTTGGCCAATTCTTTTCAACATTAAAAATTAACCCTCTTAAACACCATGGTAATATAAATGGATTTGTACCAATTTTACCAACGTTAAATTCTTTTATATAAACTTGATTTGAAATTGGTATGTCTATACTATTATCAAAATCTTCTTCATCTATTTCTCCATTATATGGTATGACAATATCATCAGTATCTAAAACAAATTTAATACCTAAATCATATACTTTCCCATCATTATATATTTTTGAATGACCACCAGCAGTTAATGGACCAGCTAATGATGTACTCAATTCTTTAATTACATTATTATCATAAAATCCCAAATTCATCAAATTTGAACATAATGAAATCAATTTTTCAATAAATTTTGGTGTTTGTGATGAATAATCAATATAACATGCACGATAAATATTTGGATGAAATACATGTGAAGCTAATGCTGAATATAATGGAACTAATTGATCATTTATAGAACCAACAAAACATAATTTGACATTGGAATTTATAATTGTCTTTATACTTTCTTTATAAACTACCGATTGTGGAGAATCAAATTTCGTTAATTCAAATAATTCATTTAATGAATCATGTTCAATTGCAGAATATGCCTTCATGAAAAATGATTTATCAACTCCATAAAACGGACCATTATTAATACCAGCCATACCTAATAATCCTATTCTTTTATGTATTGGATCTTTAAGTATTCCCATTCTTATTAATCTTGATAATAAAATAATCGATACAACACAGCCTTGAGAATGTGAAGCAATAAATATAAAATCAGCTTGATTTAACTCATTTTCCCATTTTTGTAAAATTTCGGTAAAGAAATGAACTCTATCAAATATTTTACCTTCTTTTTCAAGGGCAATTTTTTGTATACTTACAGTTGATTCAGATTCATTGATTAAATTATTTTCAATACAATATCGTATTATTGATTTTTCAGCTTCATTTGCGAATTTTAATGAAGTTCCTTTTGGTGCACCAATTATAGGTCTAATCATTTTTGTTGGGAAGAAACCGTGAACTCCTATAATTAAAATATTTTTAATCTTCTTTAGTGGACCTGATTTATGATTCACAATTTCAGTATTTAAATTCTTATTGTCTATTCTTTTAGGTTTATTATTACCATTACTATTTATTAATAAATTTCCCATTGCATCATTTGTAATTGATATTGAATTCGGATCTGACTCATCTTCTTCATATTGAGTAGGTGTATGATTAATTGAATATTGTGAATCTATATTATGATAATATTTATTATAATTGGGTAAACATGCTCTTTTATCCTTTGGTAACAATGCTAAAGATTTCCCATATAATTTATAAGAACGTTCATATAACAAACCAAATTCTTTTTCTACATCTGGCGATTCTTGTTGTTGAGGTTGTTGTTGAGGTTGTGAATGATCAGTTTCATGCGGTAATGAACCAGAAAACCCGAATTTAGATGATATTTGATTTAAAAATTGTCTCCAATTCTTCAAATCTGTTCGTATTGTTTGATTTGCATTAGCTTGATTTGAAGTAGAATAATTTTGGAATATGTGGGATGTTGATGCTTCTGGTAAACATGTACTCCAATCAGGTACAATTAAATTTCCTTTTAAATTTTCATTTTTATGAGTATTTATTTGATTAAATTGATCAGCTTGATAATGAGGTTTATATAAAACAGCATCATCTTGTTGCTCATTAGATAAATCTTGCTTTGAAGGTACTGACGGTGTTTTTGAATTTAGTATGGTGTTTGCAATACTAGCAGGTGGTGATTTTTCTTTCTTAACTGGAGGAGATTCTTGTTTTCCATTGTTTTTGTTATCATCACTTGATTCATTACCATTAGTACCATTATTATTATTACTACTCCAAAAGGACCAATTTATACCCTTCTTTTTTGATGAATTTACATGATCATCTACTTCATCACCATTATCATCAGGTTGAGTATCGTCTTCATTTTCTATATCTTCGTTATCATTTATATTTTCATCATCTTCATTTATTACATTTTCTTCATTATTATTATTATCATTAAACTTTTGAGATTCTTTTCTATTATTCCAATTTAACCAATTTCCAGAAGTCATTGAAGGTAGTGAATTAGTTGATGATAATTTTCTCTTATTATTATTATCCTCATTTACTTTTGATTTTATTTCACTTGATTCTGATGAAGATTGCTTTATCTCATTTGAATTATTGTTTGTGGGGGTGGCATTATTATCACCTTCTTTTAGATTAGTATTATTATCATTATTTGTTACTTCAGTAGGCCTTGAGTTCCAAAAGTATGACATCATATGTAATTATACAAGACTAAACCTCTTTGATCGTAAAACCAATAGTTTTATGTAAATCTCTAACAAAATTTGGCTGTAAGTATAAATTTCCTTTTTTGGGTTTTTTCTAAATCAAGAGTGTGAAAAAATATGTTATCTATTTATGATGCTACCAATTGTCTATAAAAATCTATAATTTCATCATTTATACCTGACCCACCACAAACTAGGATAATTATAATATCATCAGGTTTTAAATCCTGAAAGTTCTTTTCTATAATATCCAATCTATGTAATACTGTAGCTACTGAAACACCACAGGCTGGTTCAACTTTATAACCAAATAAATCGTGTAAATCTAATGTACCTTGAACACCATCTAGATCATCTAAAACTTCAATTTTTGTGTTTCCTAGATTATAATTTTCAAATGATTTCTTACTCATATATGGAGATCCTAATGAATTTGATAAAGTTTCAATTTTCTCTAAATGTATAATCTTACCAACTTTTATAGTTTCATGGAAAGTTGGAGTTTGCAAAGTTTCAATTGCCAAAACCTTAGCCTTTGAATTTAAATCATTTAAACCTTGAATCATACCATTATATAATCCACCACCACCAACCGAACAAACTACACCTTTAACATCATCAAAACTGTCCAATTGTTTTTCATTTATAATTTCAGTCAAGATTTGAGAATGACCTTGCCATATTAATTCATCATCAAATGGATGTGCATAAACTGGGTAAATTGAGTTGTCTAAATTTTTAATCAATTCTTTTAAGTGATTATCAGCCTCTCCCCAATGTTTACCATATATTATAACTTTAGCACCCATAAATTCTAATTTTTCAATTACATTTTTCTTTGAAACAATTGGTAAAACAACAGTACATTTTAGATTATAATATGCGGAAGCATAAGCAGCAGCTAAACCAGCATTACCACCAGATGAGCAAAATACTTCAATGTTTGATTTACCTTGAGCTCTAGCCTTTTCAACTGATTTATAAATTAAATAACCCATACCTCTTAATTTGAAACTTCCAGATGGTTGTTCAAATTCATTTTTAAAGTATATTTTACATGGTGGTTTTCTGGGTAATTTGTTAGTTACTTCAACAAATGAAGTCTTTATACTTGGTAAATCCATATATAAGTTTAAACGAGTTAAACGAGTCGGTTTGAAAAATCATTTTGTTCGATACGGAGTTAAACAAATTTGGTTATCGAAGCGCAATCTGAAAAATATTGATTAGTATGACACCAAAGAAGAAAGATAGAAAGTTAATTACACCATCAGAATTATTCGATTCAGTCCCATTAGAAATAGAAGACGAAATATTAGAATGTTACTCAGAAATAATAGATGAAGAAGAGCAAGAAGACTTGCTTTTAAATCAATTGCCCACGGTATTTGAAAGATTAAAAATTCCATCAATATATACAAAAGATATAATAACTTGTATTGATTATTATTATGAGTTTATGAAAGATAGAGATGTTGAAGTCGATTATCAAAATATAAAACAAAATAACACCTTGAAATTAATTCAACAATTTACAATCACTTCAAACATAAAAGATATGAAGAATATACTAGATATAATAGATATAGATAAATTAATCAAGAATGTTAACAAATTAATCAAATTTAAAAATCATCATGAACATATTTATTACAGCTGGAAATTGTTTGTTGACTGTTCAAGTAATGAAGAAATGACACCAGATCAAATTGAATTTTACAAATTAACGTTACCAACTTTAAAAATTATAAAATCAAATTTGAATTTAGATAAGGATCCAAACTCAAAAAAACAATTGAATGATTCATTTTTAATAGATATGTTGGGATGTTGTAAAACTGATAAAAATGATGATTTAATCAATTTTTCAGTTGAAAGAGATGGAGCTTGCGTTACATTTAAGGATTTTGCTGTAATATTAGGTAATTTAGGAGAACTAGATCAATGAATATATAATGATGAATGAAATTTGAACATGTATATTTATTGATTTGCAAATACACAAAATTTTCAATTGCAATTGAAATAGACTAAAAGAGTTTGGTCTGAACTCAAAACAAAACGTTAACAACTGTCAATACGTAGATAAGCTTTGACATCCAAGCATTTTAGATTATTATTTCACTTGCCAATTCTTTTGATTTCACAAATGTTTCTTTTTGAGCTGCTCAATTTAGGGGTGGGACAAGATTAACAACTGTAAGGGCTTTTTTCTACTTGTTATACTCTACGGTTCGTTAGAATAAGCTTTTTTAGCAGTAAGTATTAATAAGATTTGAACGTAGACCAGTAGCGCAATTCTGAAACAAATGACTTATATGCAGTATCACCGTAGTTGATCTTAAAATTTAAGTCATGAATAACTCTTCCAATATGGAGGCTCTCATTGTCAAATTTTTTTAGTTAATACTTCAATTTGATCAGAAAAAACTGGTATCAGTATCTTTTGTTGGAATGGTTTTTTGATAAAATTATTCATTATTTAAAAAAGACAAAAAAAAACACTAAACTGCAAAATAATCAACACTCGAACTTCATTTGACAACTTCTAATAGAGTTGATCTGAATCAATAAGACCCTGAAATTATACCTATGATACTTTCAAGACGTCAAAATCAATTTGAAATTTTTTCAAAAATTTCGTTTCATGTTCGAAAAATTACTTTTTCAATTTTGAATACCTTACAGAAAAATATCCAAGGCTTATAAACAAACAGAACTTCTAAATTGAATAGTTTCATCTTGTCTTAATTTTAATATTTGATGTGGAATTATATTTTTCATAACGTCAATTTATTCAATTTTCTCCATATTTAAGAGAAAATTTAGAATTCTTTCAATTTTGAATTCGTTCACCTAAAACTTGGTTAAGTACCTTCCATTGAGACGTAATAAAGATTTTCAGTTATTTAATTGAGAGTTATGGCACTAAGAAAAATGTATAATAAATTTTCAGTTATGACAAAACTTTTCTATAGTGAAAACAGCCTAAAATGACAACTCAAAAAACGAATATTTTAATTCGAAGAGTTCATGTATATAGGATCTGTAATTTAAAGCTCCTTATTTGACTGAGCTGGTTTTTATTTTGAAAGAAGTGTATCTCGTAAGAAATAACCCATTAGATTTAGTACGCAGTGCCCTAGAGCTAGCGCAAGAAATTGTTCTGTCGCACCCCGTTGCCTATGCGTCAAACTTCAATTAAACTTATAGAAAATGAAAATAGATATATACAAGCTAAAAACATATTCTGCAACTGTAGCTATCAAGTATTGAGGCGTACATTCCAGGTTGTGTCGGAAATCTAATTCAAGTTGAGAACTTTATGATTCTTAAATCGAAACACTTGGTAGCAGTGATTCATTGAATCGTAGCTTCTTCTTTCCAATATAACCAGCTCAGAAGCAAATATCAAGTGCACAGATACTCGTGATAGGCTAGAAATACAGAACTAAAGATGGCAAATAAGATTGCAAGGAAAAAGTATTGAAATTAGGCAATAATTGATATTGAAACGAACATCCGGAATCAAAAAACACAATTCAGAAAGAATTCAGAAAGCTTTATGAATTGAAGGACCATCAAATCTAATAAAACACCAACTTCGACGAGATAATTTAAGAATTGGTGGCTTTTTATTTGAAATTCCTATTGAAGGTATAATTTTTTTTTTTTTTTTTTTTTTTTTTTTTTCAGATCAATTTGTTTCAGAACTTTTGTTTCAGAATTATTATCAAATGAATCAATTACAAGATGACCCTTCCTTTCATCCACAATCATATTTAGAGTTACAAAGTCTGTTAATTGATAATGCTATATTCAAAGATAATGATGCGACCAACTCAATAAACTTGGATAACTTTAAAGATTTTGATAATTTACTCAGCAGTTTAGAGAATGCAATTAGGTCAAGTACTCAATTTAATCAACAATTTAATATGTTAGCAGTCCCTAGTGTCAAAATACTTGATATTTTATTTACTTTAGCATCTAGAAATTCCAGTAACTTGACTGTTTTATCATCAAACATGGCAACTAAATTAGGTATTCATCAAACTGAAGATCAAATAAAAGCTAGAAATGAAGATTATGATAATAATTTAATGAAATCTGCTACAAATGATAGAGCATATTTATTAATCAAATTGTATAATGATTTAATTATAGAACATCAACATTTGAAATTATATGAAAATTTCGTAAATTTTATGAATTCATTTATTATTGATCAAACAGTATCGAGTAAAACACCAATGGCCAACCAGCCTACCTTATCATCGGCTAAAATACCCAAACAAGATATATTGGAAATTATTAGACCGTCTCCAATAAAGAGAAGAAAAACGCAAAACCTAAAATATCAATCTAATATTCAAATTAGTGATGAAAATGGTGAGGAATATACTATGATTAGTGATCCATATGAGGAGAAGGTTGTTAAATCAAACCTAAGTATGGAGGAAGAAGTGGAAAAATTTCAAAATACAAATAAACTATATAATCCATTTATTGATAAAAATAATAATGTTTTCAATACTAGTCCTAAAAAACAAAAGGGAATGTTGAAATGTAAAATATTTGATGAACCAATGTTAAGTACTCGATTAAACCCAAAAGGGAATGATTTTCATTTATGGAAATTGATTAATTGGACATTTTATTGTGGTGGGACAAAGAATAATGTCTATAATTCAACTTATAAATCCTCCCATTTAATTTATCAAACTCAATCAAAAGTAATCAATGAAATGTTTAGGTTTTTAGAATTTAATTTTGTTGTTGAATTATCTAAATTATATAACAATTCAGATCCATATCATCACATTTTTAATTTATCGGAAAAGGGAAAAAGATTAGCAATAACTCGAATAGAATCATCATCATCATTATTACTTTCTAAATTAATGAAACATTTAGGTATATATAAAAAGAATTGGTATGATAGATTAATTGAATACGTATTTAATGGATTAACTTATAAGAAAGTTTTATTTCCTCAAACTTGTTATGATCATGAACACCACTTGCTTAAAAAGGATGAAAATTTGAAAAAAGAAGATAGAATAATGAAACATATTTACTACAATGATAACATGTCATCCATGAAATTGAGATTTAAAATTGTGAACCTTGTGTTTTACTGGAGTATGGTTTTTGATACAACCACAAAAGATGGAATTATAAATTTTAACCAAGAGGACTATAATTATTTATCTCCAAAGAATTTAATTAATGAATTAGCTAGTAAGCTTATGTTTATTGAGTATGATTATTTAGTTGAGTTTTATTTATCCATGAATTTGGATTCACAAGTAACTCAAAAGTATAAAACCGTGTTTTTAACTAATTTGTCAATTAAATTACTCAAAAATATTACCGATTCAACTGAATTTAATAGAAGTTTATATCCAAGAATTGATAATCCAAATGAAACACCGGCTGATAAATGGAAGTTGAAAAATTTCAACATTCTAATAAGCTGGCTAACAAATGAAGATATCATAAGTACGATCTTTGAAGATGAAACTTACAAAAGTTTTGCACATTTTGATCAAGTTTGGAATAAATTCAATTTAATCTTCAACTGGTTATTAAAAACTTTCAGTGAAGAAGTAGTAGACTTGAAAGAATATGTTAATCTTGAAGAATTATTAACTGTTGCTGAACAAGTTGATAATAGTAGAAAATCAATGTATCAACGATTTACAGATGACTGCTTTCGAAATAAAACATATTTAGAAATTACACAAGAGGAATATACTAAATATTCCAATCCTAAAAGATTAAAATTTGACTCTATTGACATTATAATGGAACATATATTTTTCTAAATTATATGTTTAACTTTGAAATAATGTCTTAAATATTGAATTTGCCATACACCCAAACCAACTAATGATAATATAATTATTATAGAAAACCATTTAACTCTTGAATTTGTTGATTCATTTGTATTTCTCATTCTTTCTTCTCTACCTTTTAAATATTGTAATTCTGATGAAATTTCATTAATTAAAGAATCAATTTTTTTTAATTCAACTTCATTTGGTTTTAATTTATTAGAAGTTTGTAAAGCATTCCAATCTCTTGCAGCAGCACCACTTTCAATTTCTAATTCAACAATTCTTGAATAATGTTTATTTGTATTTCTTGACCATTTATTAGCTTGACGATTCGTAAAACAAACATCAAAAGCAGCATTATTATGAGAAGTAAACGCAATTTTCTTTTTACCAACTATATCTTTTCTTGTTTGATATTCATTACCAAGTGAATCAGTGACCCTGACATCTAATTGTTGTCCATCATTTTTAGAACCATCCGTATTAATATTTATAACAACCATTTGACCTTCTTGAACAAAATCTCTAATACAAGTTGGTTGTGGATTAGGTAATGCTGGGATTTCTAAATGTAATGCATTGATGAATGAACTCAAAAATAATAAAAAGATTGGAAGAATCATTTTTGAAGTAAGGTATAGTTGTTCTTTATTTTTTCAACTTGATCTTAAAATTTTTCAACGCGTTACACGTATAGAGACTTGATTGCTATATATTACCCGATTTGGAAGTCAAAATCTTTTAGATTATTTGAAACACAATATTACCCAATTGGGAAGTCAATGTTTTATTCTTGTTTTTACTTTTCAATTTGTTTCAGAAAAAATCTTCAATTTATCATCAATACTATGGCCAAGGCTAAAGATTCAAGAACCATGATTAAAATGGTTTCAAGTGCATTAACAGGATATGAAAAATGGTTTAGAATACCCAGAAGAACACCAAAATTGAACTTAATATTATATGACCCAAAAGCTCAAAGACATTGTCTATTTACAGAAGCAAGAAAAAGAAAAATACCAGAACCAACACCAAAAGATTATATAAGAAGTCACAGGTAATTTTATACCGAATTGTTACGTTTTAATGAAGTTTGTACATAGAGTTTTTTAGCAATATATTTACAAGATATTTATAATTTTCTATTCAATTTTTAAATTTTTTACATTCCATGATTTTTCAACTTTCAATATCTCATCATTTCCAATAACAGTGATTGAGTTTATACTTTCTGGATTCACTAAGTATTTTTCAGTCACTTGTTTCAAATCTTCAATTGTTGTGTTTAAGAAATTTTCTCTTCTTTCTTGTTTTAACTCTGTTGTTACATTATCGAAAAATTCAATTGATCCTTGACTAGATATATTTATAGGAGCATCTAAACTTTGGAAAATTCTTAATTTTGCTTCTTGTAAGTCTTTATCTGTCCAATTAGCATTGACTCCATAATTTAATTCATTTATAAATGTTGAAATTGATTTAACTGGGTTTGGATCTCTATATGAATAGAAGTTGAGTAAACCATTTAAGCCATCATAGTTTAATCCACCACCATAAGCACCATTTGCCTCTCTAATTTTTGAATGTAAGTTCTTGAATGTGTATAATTGAGATAAAATTTGTAAATGAGCTCCTTCTTTAGATGAATATGATGAACCAAGCTTAGCTAATGAGGAATAACCGACTTGGAAAGGTAAATTAATAAATTCTCTATCTTGATGAGCGTTGAATGAGAAGGATGTTAAATTATCAGTAGAGTTTGGAAGTTCTCCTCTAGCTATTTTTGTATCAAATTGTTCAATGAATAACTTGTTTTCTTTCACTGATTGTGAATCACCAACTAATCTATATTTGAAATTGTTTCCAGATAAAATGAGTGTTCTAATTTCCCTAAGAATAGGTAATAATTCATCTTTTATAAATTGTTTACCTTCTGTATCTATTTTATTATTCAATTCCATTATGAATTTAACTTGAGTTAAACCACCAGTTATCTCAGAAATATATTTTGAAGTAGTTAATTTTGAATTACTTACTGAAGAAGCAAAAGAATGACCTCTTTCAGCAATATTATTAGCTTGATTTTGACCAAGATTTTTAATAAGTATGAACAATTTATCCACAACGTCTTCATCAGGTTCTAATCTTGTCTTGTCTAATATTTCATACCATAATTTATAAATCTCTTCACTGTTTGAATTTAATGCCATACCATTTAATACATATTGCAATTTTGAATTTTGTATATTATATGGATCAGTCGAGATTTTAAAATTAAATGAAACACCACCTGTTTTCCTTTGAATCTTAGTTTCAAGATCAATAATTGATGATTCTGCAGTTCCCGCTAAATTTGTTAAACAACTGCTGAATAAGGGTAAATATTTGTAATATTTCATTGGTAAATATGAAATATCTTTTAATGCATTAGCATAAATTAACCCATTAGTGTCTATTATTCGCTCATGTAATAATTTCTCATTAACTGAATTATAATTTATAGCATAAAATTCTCCTTTCTTGTTTATATCTTCAATTGCTAAAGTTGGTAAAACATCAACATTTTCCTCTTGTGCTTGTATCTCAGCTAATTTCAAATTACAGTTATAAATTTCTTCCTTATCACTTTCTGACAATCCTTCTACCTTCTTGTTTAAGTTTTCAGTTTCAATTTTATGCAAAGTATCTGAAAAATCAGCCTTTGGTTCCATTGTAAATTTAAATTTCTGTATTTGATCATTCAATAAGTTATACTCGATTAAATCTTGGAATATCTTTATACCATTCTTTTCATAATCTTGCTTAAACTTATTTAATACAGTTTCTACTTGCAATGATTCAATAGGATTTGTACCATTGACCCAAGATGGAGTAATTGAACTAATCAACCCAAATCCAAAATCTGGTTTATGTTTCTTGAAACCTAACTCAATTTGATGTAAAATTGCTTTTATTCTAACATCATATGATTTATTAGTCTCCATATCTTTCAATACATTCTTCAAAACACCTGTTATCTTCTCATCTACTATATCAACTTTCTCTTTAGTTAAAAAATTTAGTCCAACAGTGAATGATAGTAATGCAGTATGTGAATCAACTCCAGTATTTGGTGAAAAATCTTCACTAAATCTACTTTCTATTAATTCTTGATATAATGGAGAACTATGACCATCAAATAATAAAGAATTTAATATTTTCCATTTAAAAATTTCATAATTCATTTGTTCAGATAATGGATTGCCTAAATTCCAAGTAATTGAAGAACTAAATTGTTCGGATACGTCCTTACCACGCATTGTATCAATTGGACCACGTTGTACAACATTATAAAAAGTCTCTCCGTCTATGAATATTGGTTTATTTATCTTTGAATTGGAATCTATTTTATTAAATCTTTTATAGTAGTTATCTAATGCTTGTAAATGTTTATCTAAGGATAAGTTCCCATATGTGAATGATTTGGCTTTGGATGGATGGTAATTAGTATTATGAAACTCAACCAAGTCTTTATGTTTTAGATTTGTAATTTTTGTTGGATCACCACCCGAATTATTCAACGATGGATATATTGATTCCAAATATTTAATATAGAAATAATATGCATTATTTGAATACTGTCCCTTCATTTCATTATAAACCACACCTTTAAAAATCAAAGGAGTTTTCTTGTCCGTTAAATCTTCATTTTCCAATCTCCAACCTTCTTGTAAAAAATCCGTCATGTTCAAATTTGGTTCAAATACTGAACTTAAATAAACATCTAATAAATTTTCAAAATCGTTAGCATTTGTAGTTGCAAAGGGATACATTGTATAATCATGACCTGTCATTGCATTCATAAAATTACTTAATGATCTATTAGTCATTTTGAAAAATGGATCTCTGACTGGATACTTTTTAGATCCACATAATGTTGTATGTTCAAGTATATGAGGTACTCCTGTAGCATCTGGTGGATTAGTTTTAAAAGCTATTGAGAATACATTATTATTATCTATTGAATCTAAATGTAAATGTTGTGCATTTGTAGTTAGATGATTTAATTGAACGGCAAGTAATGAAAATTCAGGTATTGAAGTTGTTGATTTAATTTCAAATCCATTAATATGTTTACCTATTGGATATTTCTTTACATCTGATATCGTAGAAACAAATCTAGATAGTATATATGATGTTTTATTGATTTTCGAAGCTCTTTTCAACATAACCTTGATGAAAAATAGATTTTAATTTAGGTTGCAAATTTTTTGAACCATACTACAAGAGAACGAACAACACTATGAAATTCTAACTACATTTCATATACTGATCCAGAACCATAACTAATTAGAATTCTACAGCTAAATAAGCCTATTTATAGTTCTAAGTATTATTAAGATGGTTCACGTGAATTTTCAAACCAGCCCGAAATTTTTTTTCAGTTGAAAAGTTTATCAAAGATAGAGTACCATGAGTGAATTTGATTCAAGACTATCTATAAAACAACAAACTTTAAAAGATATAGTTCCAGAGAAGAACAATACTCAGAAAGTGTCTACAGTTGGTGGATTTCTTGCTGGTGGTTTTGCTGCTTGCGGTGCTGTTACTTTTACCAATCCTATAGAATTGATTAAAACTAGAATGCAATTACAAGGTGAATTAACAAAGAAATCTAACGATGCAGTTAAGGCTTATAAAAATCCATTTCAAGCATTTGTTACAATATATAAACATGAAGGTATAAGAGGGTTACAACAAGGTTTAATGTGTGGATATTACTATCAATTAGGTTTAAATGGTTGTAGAATAGGTTTATATGAACCTAGTAGGTTTTATTTAACTAAATTTATATTACCTAAATCATTCAATGAGGATATTTCAAAGATACCACAAAATTTATTAGTCAATGTCTTAGCTGGTTTTATTTCGGGTTCGGCTGGGGCAGTTTTAGCATCACCGTTTTTCTTAATTAAAACTAGAATGCAATCGTTTTCAAAAGGTGGAGCTGCAGTTGGTCAGCAAACATATTATAAATCAGCATGGGATGGTATTTCTCAAATTTATAAATCCGAAGGGTTTAAAGGTTTATATAGAGGTGTTGATGCGGCAATTTTAAGAACTGGTGCTGGTTCAGCAGCTCAATTACCAGTATATAATTTGACAAAGAATTTCATATTAAAACATAAATTGTTTAAAGAAGATTCCTTAGCTTTGTCATTTATTTCATCATCATGTGCTGGTTTAGGAGTTGCAATAGTCATGAATCCATGGGATGTGGTACTAACAAGAATGTATAATCAAAAGGGAAATCTATATACTAGTCCGTTAGATTGTTTTAAAAAAACAATAAGTACAGAAGGACCAATGGCATTATATAAAGGTTTTTGGGCACAATTATTTAGAATTGGACCTCATTCAATATTAACATTAATGTTTATGGAACAATGTATGAAAGTAGCAGTTAGAATAGAAGGCAATTTACATTAGATTACTACTTATTTATTATTTATTATAGATTATTTATTCAATTATAGATCTTCAATATAAAACTTAGACGGTATAATTGTTTTGCAGCCAAATATCCTGCATATAAAAACACTCCTATAGTGGCGATAAACATTTATTTTTTTTTTTTTCTAAAGAAGCTTAAATTTGGAGCCATTCAATTTAGTTGTATAAATTTATATGTTAAACAATCTATTCTATCACAAGTTATAAATTATAAAGTTACATAGTATTTTGTTAAGGGGTTATTTGTTAAGTGTTTTATTTTTTTTTTATTTTGGGCTTTTTTGAATTTTGTATCAGCATAATCTTTAAATGAGGGATTCAAATTATAGATCCATATCAAATAATAAGGCAGCAGTCACTATAACTACAAGTTTATACGATAGAAGAGCATTGGATGTTACATCAGATAAACCATTAGTCAATTCATTAAATTATTTAACTTATTTAGTTAGTTCTTCAGCAAAAGTTCGTGAAACTTTATCAATAGATGGCGGAATTGAAAGATTGATTGAAATTTTACATGAATGTCATAATTGTAATTTACTTCAACAACAATTTATTGATGATAATAGCGAGAAAAAATTATTAATAGCTTGGAAATGGACTTTAGCTTTTCAATGTTTAGTTTTAGTTGGTACTAGAGGTACAGAACAAATTCGACAAAAAGTGGTAAAAGCTGGTATTTTACCAATTATAGCTACAGTTATTAATAATTATTTATTATTAAATGAAAGAACTTTTCTTCATGCAAATTCATCAAGACTTTCATTACAATCACAATCTGAAACAAATGAGAATTTATCTAGAGCTTTTCAAGATGAAGTTACCGAGGCGATGCCGCGTCCTAATTTACAACAAGATGGTCCAATTCAAATGGCTACTGCAGCAATAGAAGCAACTTCAATTTCAAATACATTTTTTGATTGTGATTTACCTTGTGATGATTATAGTAATTTTTCATTGGATGAATTATTTAAATTAATCCAAACTCCTTCAATACGGAATCATCAGCATAACATAAATAATGATGTTAAAAAGAAATATATCATTATGAATTTAATTACCAAATTAATTGAAGAAAAACAAATGGAATTAAATGGAGTTGAAGAATTTGATATGGATAGTAATCTACAATTTTTATCAGACCTTTATGCTAGAGATTACGAAATTATCAAAACTAATAATCTAAAAATTGCAGTACGATCGTTTACTGATACAGGAGTTGTAATTCCAAAAGATGATGATATTGTATGGTCATTACAATTATTAGCTTATATTTCAAAATATCCTTATTTAAAAGAAGTTTTACAAAACACTCATTTAGTTTTAGATATGAGTATACGAGATAAACAATTGAAATTATATTTGGAAAGACAAATGAAATTGAAAATGAAAAAAACATTAGCTATAAAATTAAGAGCTACAATTATACCAAAATCAAGAATAAAACCACCAAAAACTTATATTGAAAAATTTTCACCAAGTGCTTCAAATTCTCCACAAATGGTGACTTCATTAAATGATGATACTTTTTTAAATAATGATAAATTTGAATTAGTTACAGCTGAACCAGAAAAAATAGATGAAGAACCAGAGGAGATTGAAAGCGGTGATGAAGAAATAGATGAAGATACTTTATCTGATCGAAGTTTGGATACAATAGATTTGAATCAACCAGATTATTTATCAAAATTACATGAATCAATAGAGGTGTGTGAAAATATTACTGATGATTTAGAAAGACAGATCAATCTATATCAAACTGATGATAAATTAAACAAATTAATTGAAGTTGAAAGTCGAAAATTGAAAACTACAATTATAAATACTCGAAAACAAACAAAACAAAATTTGCTAAATAAATGGAATTATGAAGAATACAATTTTTTCGATGTTGATGATTATAATGAAGATAAAGACGATTCATTAATCGAATATAAGAAAGTTAATTTATTTCCCTTGGTTGAAAAATTTACATTTTTATCAGGAACAGATATGTATTATTGGTCAGGTGTAATAATGAGAAATTCATGTAGGAGAAATGAATTAAGAGGAGGTGTAAGACAATGTGGAAACTTGGAATGTGGTAAATGGGAGAAATATCCTCGTGAATTTTCAAAATGTCGAAGATGTAAACGAACTAAATATTGTTCAAGAGATTGTCAAATGAGAGCTTGGCATTGTCATAGAAATTGGTGTATACCTAGTTCATCAAGTACGAGTACAACCACTGCTCAAAGTAATAATGATGAAGAAAGTCAACAAGAATCCTCATGATAATATACGATAATAGATTTCTGAAACATACTCTGAAAAACCACTGTATAAAAAATAAAAAAATAAAAAATACGCGTAACCAAATATCAAATGTCAGAGTCAGAATATTTACCATCTAAATTATCATTACCAACATACGTCCCTTTACAAAGAACTTTAGTAAAAGAATACGAGCTGCTATTCCAATTACGTACCACTCAAAACTTGTTGCAACAACAAAAAAAACAAATTACTGAACATTGTGATAATTATATAAACTTTGTCCTTGACAATGATAAACTTGATTTTGATGAGAATATTCTAACCAACTGCCTCAATACATTTGAAAACTTGGTTGAATCAAATAATGAAATTGAAAAATTAAAGAGTATACAAGATCATCCAGATATTAAAAAATTTGCCAGTCGAGAAGAAAATGATTGTAAATTAGAAACATTAGATAGTTTTCACAACATTACAAATGATCAATTTCCAGATATCATAAAACAAAAACATACAGATGCATTAGTACAAGCTGATTTTGATTTTCATAAATTTTTGAAAAATGTTTTATTTGTTATTAAAAAACCCGAGGATCAACTTATTGAAGAAGAAGAGGATGATGGTTTAGCTATAAGTGGTGGTAAAGTTTCATTAAAAGATCCATTGACTTTAGACTATTACAGAGAACCATATAAATCACTTAAATGCAATCATATTTTTGAGAAATCATCAATTTTAGCAAATTTACGACCAAATCAAATCAAGCAATGTCCTATTGAAGCTTGTGACTCTTCATTGCTGATAAATGATTTAGTACTTGATAAATTGATGGTTATTAGAATAAGGTCTTTTAAAAGAATGGAAAGAAAAGATGATGCCGATATTGAAGCTGTTGTATAATTTTGATAAATAAACATTTGAGAACATCATAGATATAATATTTGGGAAATTAAGTCATCAAAATTATGTTTATACTGTAAACACCATCATCAATTTATTCTGAACAATCAGACAATAATAATGAAGTTGGTTTGAGAAATTGAACTTATTTATTGACGGAGTTAATTATAATTCAAATTTCAAAAATTAACTATTATAGGACTGCATATAAGCAAATTGTTGCAGAATCATTTTTTTTCAGTCCGCAATTCACCCCAAATTGGGTGCCAACACGATAATTTCTTCGCGTTGGCCGTATGGCGACTCGTACGAAACATATAGGCTGTTAAAGAATTTTCACAAGGTAGACGTTCAATGTGTGTTTTATTTACGCCAATAACTTATGAACGACAAATCATAGATACTATACTTCAATCAGAGATGATTACGTCCTTGAATGTAGTTTTTCTATTGCACTATATAAAAATATTCTATTTTAAAATGGCTGCAAAAAATTCTGTGCAACCGATTATGTAAGCCAATATTATATACATCATTTGACATATTCTTGAAACGATCAATAAGTCATACCAATTAACATATTCTTAATAAAGTCAAGATAAAGTAAGGGTTGGAATGTTAGCTGAATAAAATTGCAATCAATTGAAACGTTATTTAGTGTACAAGGCTATGAAAGATCAATTATGTGGATTTTTCATGACAATCTATTGTTCCACGTTTCAAGCCATAATTTAAATACGTTTGACAATTTCACTCCTTTGATTTAAAATCCCGAATTCCAAACTATAAATAGATTTATAATTCCTTTTTACAAAACTGCATATCAATTATATTCAACAATGTCAGCTAAAGATTTTTATTCATCAGGAGATCAATCTTCATTTACTCCAAATCATTCAAATCAACAAGGTGAACAAGGTCAGTCAAATCAACAAGGTCAAGAACAAGATAGAGGTTTATTATCTGGAATTGCTGGAGCTGCTGCTGGTGGTTATGGTGGTCATAAATTAGGTGGTTCAAATCATGGAACTTTAGGTACTATAATTGGCGCAATTGGTGGTGCTATTGCTGGTGATAAAATTGGAGATAAATATGAAGAACGTCATGATCAAGGAAATCGTCAAGAACATCATCTTTTTGGTGGAGATAGAAAAGATGATGATAGAAGAGATAATTTTGGTGGAAGAAATGATTATGAAAGACGTGATGATTATGGTAGAAATGATGATTATAAAAGAAATGAATTTAGAGGTAATGATTTTGGTGGAAGTGATAACTTTGGAAGAAATGACAACTTTGGCGGTAGAAATGACAACTTTGGCGGTAGAAATGATAATTTTGGAGATCAAAGATATAATGATAATGATAGAAGAGATAATTTCGGTGGTTCTGATCGTCGTCAAGGAGGTTGGTAAATATAATATATATACAATTATCCATTTCTATTTATTAACCTTTGATGCAGCCTGAGTATTTAATAATGGTAATTTTGAGTCTGATAAATTTAATGAAATTTTTCTATTCAGTAGTTGAGGTGATTTCTTTTTAATTTTTGATGGATTTTTAATCAGTGGTGGTGAATCCAACATTGGATCAAAATTTAAATCTAATGGTTGTATCATACTATCAGTAATTATAGGAGACTCATCAAATGAAATATCATCAATACTTGAATCAATCATTGAATCATATTTTAAATATTTCTTTTTATCCCCACGAAGTGGTGAATTTTTAGATTTACGTGTAAATTTAGGTGTTGTTACTCTTGGCTTCTTTTTAGGTTGTTGTTCATCAATCATCATAAAATCTTCATCACTATATTGTTGTTTTAAATAATTAATTGCATAATTGTCTATTGTTGTATCAAATTCTCCATTTACTAAATTTTCAAGATCATTTACTAATTGATTTAATATTGTATAATCTTGATTTAAAAGTAAATTTGATATTGTTTTTGGTAAACAAAGAAAATCTTTTAAATCATGAATTAAACTATCAAATAAAATTGAAGAGTATAATAATAAATCTGTATGATATTTATCTCTCATTGATTTGATTTGTTCTTCAAAAAATAAAGTATGATAATCTGTCCATCCATCTTCCTCTTGTAATCGTTTTAATGTAGCTTTTGCAGAATCATTTAAAATATGTTCTATATCAGAAGGTTTTTGATATTGATCTTCCAATTGTGGTAACTGATATTCAATTTTAGATACTAATTGTTCACAAAGATTATAAATTGTTGATATTAATTCATCACTATTATTATACTTTGTTGATAATATTACTTCAGCATCAATTTTTTGTAATAATAATAATTTCCTCTTGGCTAATAGAAAATATCTTCTTGATTTATCTTGATTGTATTTGGTTAAACTTTTCTTTGTCGATGATAAACTATCAAATAATGATCGGAAAACTTTATTTTGTAATTCATCTCGTTTCTTATTTGTCATTTCAACTACATTATTCTCTCTCATTCTTAATTCTTCAATTTCTGCCTTTTGTTCAGTAATCATTTTTAAATAAGATCCAACATGACGATCTAAAGTTGATGCATTTCGTATAAGTTTTGTTTTAATTTCTTTTGCTCTATCAGCATATTTTAATGTATTTAATGTTTCATCATAATGATTAGATGAAGGTGATATACATACAATCATAACAGTTTTACAATTTCCTCCTAATGAAAATTTTAATAATCTTGTTAATTTTGAATCTCTATAAGGTACATGATTTCTTCTTCTTGGATCACATAATGCATTAATACAATTTCCTAAAGCTAATAAAGATTTATTAATATTTGCACCTTCATTTAATCTTGCACCTCTATTTTTAGTACTTGCTGCTCTTTCAGAACCAGCCAAGTCTATTATACTTAAAGTGGCTAATAAATTTTCTTCCTGTACATCACAAGTCCTATTCTTTTGTACTACATTAATTTGTAAAACTGCATGAGATCTACTCGACGTTAAATTAGCTTCTGTAGGACTACAAGTTCTATTTTGATTTCCTTTAATTATTAAATCCATTACTTCATCAACAGAATTTGGTCTATGACTTGTTAAATTTGAAACCAGTATTTTATTATTTGAATCTTCTCTAATATTTAATTTTTTGTAATCAATTTCTGGATTTAATAAATCTCGTATTGTTTCATTATAAATTTCAAGATATGACAAACTTACATCAATAATTTTTGTATCTTTTAATTCGTCAATCTTACAATATAATTCTTGCATTGTTAAAAATATAACACCAGGATCTTGAGGTACACCTGAGATAGTATGAGTTTTACCGCAACCAGTTGCACCATAAGCAAAAACAGTTGCATTATAACCATCTAAAATTGAATTTAATAAAGGTCTTGTAGTATTTTTATAAACATCATCTTGAGACAGATTCTGATCAAATACTTTATCAAATATAAATCTATGTTCTCTAATTCTTGAACTTTTATTGGGGAATGCGTTTCTTTGCATCTTCATTAATGGATTTGTATCAGGTGGGTCAAAAATTAACATTTTTTCATCAACTACATTAATTATATTTCTAATACCTATTGGATTTATTAATTTTCTTTCTTTTAAAGCAGCTAATGAACCATCAAAATAAAAATCATCTTGATCTGATTTAATTAAATTATTATTTTCAATTTGAGTAAAAGGTCTAACTCTAACAGCAACTGAAATTGAAGATTGTTTAATTGGATGTGAAGTAATTGTATAAGCAGGAGTATTCAAGGTAGCTGCTGCTGAACTTGACATAACATGTGTAATATATTAATATTAATATTCTCAATACTATTGAGTTTTTGTTTACTTTTTTTATTTTTTCAAAATGAAACGCGATTGTTAAAATTATTAGTTTGATATGATGAAACATCGAAAAGAAAGTATAAGAAAGTAAGAAGGCATAAGTTACAGTTGTATAAATAAATTAGTATAAATTAAATTGTTTCACTACGCTATATCTGAAATAAAAGCACCCCTTATTAATTAAAACCCATGTTTTTTAAAACTCTTGAACCACGCACTTGACGCACTTGACGCACTTGACCCACCTGACCCACCTGACCCACTTTTAATCTAATGTTGTACTTTATTATCAACTTCAGTATAAGCCGGCGGTGCTCCACTTATTTGACTAGATGAACCTTCGATTACTGAACCATAATTAAATTGCGCATTACTTATTGGTTCTTGTCTAATTGGTTCATTTTCAGAATGATTATGATGATGGTGGTGGTCACACTCATCTTGTCTATCTCTTCTTCTTCTATCTCTTTTTGATCTTCTATTTGATGGTGTTTGACTTTCTAAATCTCCATTTCTATAAATATAATAAACTTTTTGATCATGTTGCGAATAATAAGGTGGATACTTAGCTATTATATACCATGAATGAACTAAACCAGGAAAATATCCTAAAATAAATAATATTACATTAATTAAAGAATCTGTCGTACAAATACCTCTTCTAATCCAAACTGGTAAAGGTGGGAAAAATACTGATAAAACAATTAAACAAAGATCTGAAAGACACAAACACATGAGTATATAATATGAAATAGTAAACTTAATCTAGTTATGAGACTGACCCAATAATATTAACTTGTTATAAATCTTTCTTTTAATACCTAATAATGAATGATATATTGATATTCCCTGATCTTTTTTTTTTTTGCCTCGCTTATAAAAAAATGACAACGGAATTTATTTTGTTTGATCTTTCATTATCAACAAATTTAACCAACTATTGACCAACTATTGACCAACTATTAACCAACTATTAACCAACTATTAACCAAATATTGACCCATATGGGTATACTCATTTCTCGGGATATTATGGATGAAGTTTTATAGAGATTCTACTTTTGTATAATGTTGTATATGAGACAGACAATTGTTGTATCTCTCTTGAATGTATCGGTTTACCAATAACTTGAAACCTAAGGCAATTTATCCAACTGAACAAAAGCACTCGTGAAATACTAATCTATCTAACAGAATTTATTTTCTTTGATCTTTCATTATCAACAAATCTAAACTATTGACCAACTATTAACCAAATATTAACCAAATATTAACCAAATATTGACCCATGTGGGTATACTCATTTCTAGGGCTATTATGGATGAAGTTTTATAGAGATTCTACTTTTGTATAATGTTGTAAATGAGAGACAATTGTTGTATCTCTCTTGAATGTTTCGGTTTACCAATAACTTGAAACCTAAAGGCAATTATCCAACTGATCAAAAGCACTCGTGAAATACTAATCTATCTAACAAACTCTTTTACTAAGCTATTCAATCTTAATAAGCTGTAGTTCATCTATAGTTGTAACAATTTATATATTTCGCTACCATTTTTCAAGATCAAAATTTATTTTTATGAAATCGAAATCAATATTATTAATTATTCAAATCATAACGAATAATTCAATTTTGATTCATTTATAAGAGGTATTAGTATAAGTATAATTATCAATTACATTTTATTCATTTATAGTTTAAATCTTATATACAAGTTAGTTTTTTTTTCATCTTACATTACTTTACATTACATATTTGCCATCATATAAAATTCATTATGTCAACAATTCCATTAAATATAAATTATCAATCAGTAACTAAGAAAATTTCAATTAATAAAACAGATCCGATTTCAAAAGTAATTGTTAAATCGTTAGAAATTTTTAAAATTAATTCATCATTATATTCTGGTTCTTTATTACATAACAACAAGATTTTAGATGATTCATTACCAATTAGATTTACTGATTTAGTCAATAATTCAAAATTAATATTTAAAATTAAAAAATTAGATATGAATAAAGAAGTTAATGTTAAATTTATAATTGAAAATAATTCGCCAAAAATTGAAAAAATAAATATAAGTAAAAATTTATTAGAATTGATTGAAAAATTTAATGTTGATAAGAGTAGATCATCACAATTAAGAATATTTAATTTAACTATTAATTCATCAGATTATGAACATACTCAATTAAGTTCTATTATTGGTGATGTTGGTAATGTAGTTATAAGATTAAATTATTTGAAACTGGACAATGAAATTATGAAATTAAAGAAAGAGCAAGAGGATATTAATAAGTTACAAATTGAACAAAATAGAATTAGAATGGAGGAAGAGAAAAAAAGAAATGAAGAAAGAAGAGAAAAAGAATTATTAGAAGGAAGAGAGAAAGAATTAGTAGAAAGAAAAAGGGAAATTGAACAAAAAGAAAAGGAACAAGATATTGAAATGAAAGATGAAGATGATGCAACTATCAAATCTGATAAAACAGTAGACATGAAAGATGAAGGAAATCAACCAACTGAAAATGAAGAAGGTATGAAATTGTTCATACCATCAAATAAAGATCCTCATACTCATACTTATGAAAATCCAGATAATGATTATGAAATGAATGTAGATACTTTGAAAATCTACCAAAATTCAATTAGATCATCTGGAAAAAGATTAAAGAAAAATAAAGATACAACCAGGAATATTTCAAAATATAATATTAGAATTAAATTTCCTGATGGTTCAATTTTACAACTTAATTTTACGGAGAACGTAAAAGACATTAAATTTGGTCAATTAATTAAAAAAATTGATGAATTATTATATCCACAATTTTTAAATCATTATAGCTTAAAATTTGGTCATCCACCATTTAAAAAAATTGATTTATCATTTAAAAATAATACTGAATATTTATATAAAATTCCAGATTTTCAAAATGAAAGAATTGTATTAATTTGGGAATTAAATAAAAAAGATCTTAATGGACCATTTATTAAACAAGATTTTGAAAATTTAATAATTAAAGATAGTTCTCAACTTCCTGAAATTGTTTTGGAACAAAATAGAGGTAATGAGGAATCTAAAGCAATTGAACATAAGAAAACTGAAGTAGATGAAAATAAAACGAAATCGAAATCAAAAGTACCAAAATGGTTTAAAATGAAATAATGAAAATATAGAACTGAATATACTTGTATATTAATTCGCGCTTTTTTTCGAAAAGAAATCGCGCTTTTTAAAATCGCTCGCGCAAAATTCTGAAACACTAACATTTATTTTTTATTTTCAACATATTCAACTTTACCCTTTTCTGGATCATCATTAACTAAATCAATCACTCCTTCATCATCATGATGAGTAACTTGATGAATTGCACTTCTATCTGCTACTTTACCACCTTTTCTTCCAATCATATACCATGGTAATTCAAATATAGCATCCATACTTTCTAAAGATTTACCTTTAATTTCAGGTACACAAATATAAGCCCAAATTAAACAAATAACATTAATAACAAATAAGAAATAAAAAGCACCATGATTTTGCATTGTAACCATCATTAATGGAACTGTTCTAACGTTTGCCCATTGATTTACAAAATGGAAAAATTGGATTAATGCAGCACCAACTCCACGATATGTTGTATCTAAAATTTCAGGACCAATTAAATATTGAACAGCATTAAAACCAACAACCCAACCAACACCACCTAAAAATAATGCTGCTAATGCTCCTAATGCTACTCTTTCTTCACTTGGACTTAATGTATAATTTGGATCATCAGCAGGAATAAGATTCAAAAATAATGCAAAATATAAAACACAACAACCTTGAATAATAATACCAGTATGTAAACAAATTCTTCTACCTAAAGTATCAATTAAAAAGAATCCCACAAAATAACTTGCACATAATTTAATAACACCTAAAATCAAAGTATTTGTTAAGTTTTCGATACCACCTTCACTACCTGTTGCTAATTGAAATAAAAATGGAGAATACATTGTAATAACGTTTGAACCACCCCATTGACCAATTAATTGTGATACTATACCAATAACAAAAACTCTCTTGAATAAATTTGGTCTTGTGAATAAATGTTTTAATCTAAGATACCAGGGGTAACCATCAATTTTAGCATGCTCCATTTCAACTTGAGTTTCTATATCTTTTAATTCACCCTGTATATAAGGATGCTCTTGTGGTAAATTTCTAAGCTTACATAAATTTTTCACAGCTCTTTCCTTCTTATGAGCTTTGATCAACCATCTTGGAGATTCAACAGTTACGAAGCTTCCTAAACCCACCAACCCAGCTACAATAACTTTAATCGCGACTGGTATCATCCATTGTAAATTATCTCCAGGAGTCATATGTTTCGCAGTCAAATAATTTGACAAATACCCCCTAAAAATTGTTAGTAATCAACTCAAAAGTATCATCAATGAAGGAAATCCATACAAACAGATAGCTAGGTACACAGCTCCATTGAATATGCCCACAATGAACCCTCTTGCCTCAGGCATTGCAACTTCACTTAAATAACAAGGTCCTAAAGCAGTAGTTTGACCAACACCCAAACCTTCAATTAAACGACCAACATATAACACAGGTAAATTCCTAGCAAATACTTGAATTAGTGCTCCAACAACTTGAATAGCACAAACAATTCTAAGACAATTTACTCTACCAAAATAATCAATCGACCAAATTGAAATTAAACTACCACCAACAGATCCAATCATAACCATACCAGCAATATTAGCTCTTAAATCAGCTAAAAATGATTCAGATCTACCAGGTTCATTAAATCCAAAAATATCTCTAAATGATTCTTGATATAAATTACCAGCAACAGTTCCTTCATCCATACCTCTAGCCATACCAGTCATTCCAAATACAAAAATTGACAAATATAAAGTCCAATTATAAATTTCATTTGGTGAGTTTGGATCACGAAAATTCCATTTCCATCTCTTTTTCTTTTTAGTTGGATCTTGCTTTTCAGTTGATGAATTATATGATTTATTTGAGATTGATAATGATTCAGAAGACATATTTGATTTTGTAAAGTTAATTACATTGAAATAACTTGTTATTTATATAGTCAAGTTTTGATTATTCATTTTGCAACCAATCAATATTTGACTACTATGGTATTTTTCTTGGAACCGGGACCAAATCTGCAAAGAATAAATTTGAAAATATGGGGAGGATAAATTCGTACATGTTTAAGATCGCATTTTATTGTTAATAAAGTTTAATTGTTAAGCTAAGAATTATTATATAAATTTGTTTCAAAATAATTGCAAAACTTTTTGCTTAATAAAGTCCTCCCCACCAAATAATGAAGTACAAAACCCGGAATACTGAGAAACAACAGTACCATCTTGATAAAATGTATATGTGTTTGTGGAGCTTCAATTATACATGATGATCATCGACGTTATTTATTTTAAACAAGTTATATAATACATTATTTTGTATTAATGTATTATATTAAAATAATATTTTGTATTAAAGTGTTATATTAAAATAATGTATTATATAACTTGAGAAATATCATATAATGTATTATATAACTGGAGAAATATCATATAATGTATTATATAACTGGAGAAATATCATATAATGTATTATATAACTGGAGAAATATTATAACTTCATAATTTCTGACACAATAGCTACATTACACATTACCTATATCAATCTGATAACTTTGATCCTTATTCTTCCTCCCCACAATTACATTGTTTTCCATCAAAAAAGAAGCTTTTAGGTTGCAAAAAGCTTAATATTGGTTCAACATATTTTTTAGTCAAATGCCATTCGAATTTGGATGCAAAATCGTTTTTTCTTCCCGTTTCGCTTTTTTGGGCACGCGGCTGAAGTATTTAAGCAGTGCGCCGCAGCATACTTTGAGAAATTCGAATAATACAAGTATGACAATTAGCTTTTCAGTTATTACAACCCCGGACTAAAGTTATTTATTTAAAGCAACATTGATTTCGAATTGTTATTATTGTATATTTATAATAATTAGTAAAATTATAATAATTTCAGAAGCTAATTTCGAACCATCATAAATATGACTGTTGAGTTGGTGTATGTCGTGTGGTATGCTCAAAAGTATATATGGATGCAACCCTATAGATGATACAATTATTTAAAATTGATTGTCTCTAGAGCTTTAAAAATAAAGAGATCAACATAAATTTAGTATAGTCATAATATTATTATGATTTATATTGTATGCATGCCATCATATTGAGACTTTTTTCATATATTTTTAAGGTTTAATTTATGGAATTAATTGATTTTAATAGTATTCCATGTTGCATCAAATATTAATCCTTTATCAAGTATATATCATGAAATTTTTTACTTAATAATCCATTTTTCCCAATCATCAAATATAACAGCATTATCATCATTAATTAATTTCAAAAATGGAATTGTTTTAATTACTTCAATTAAAATTTTGAAATTTTGACCATTATTAGTCAATCTTTTAATTTTATTAAAATTTATTAACATTTTTAAATCAATTGATCCATCTATTTTATTCATTAATTTAAATCTAAGATATAAATCTTTACATAAATTTTCAATTGAAAAATAATATTCAAGTTGTTTTTTAATTAAATTTTTCTTTGAAGGAGATATAACTGGTTCAAATTCATTTTCTGGTTCAGATTGTGGACTTAATAATAATGATGGCATTGGATTATAAATAGGTATTGGAATTGGATGTGGTAATTCAGGTAATTGAGGAGAATTTAAAATTATTGGTATATTATTTTGATGTTGATAATTTGAATAATGATCATTTGATCTATTTTTTGGAAATTTTGGTTTTTTAATTTTGATATTTTTACCAACTGACACTAATTCTTCAGGGGAGTCAGGTTGGGTTTCAATTTGAGATGAATTTGATGATTTGATAGTGTTTTTATAGTATGTTTTATTTAATGATTTTAATTTCAATTTTGATTGATCAAGAGATGGTTGTTCTTGTTCTTGTACTAGTTCTACTTCTACGTCTACGTTATCTTCTTCTTGTTTGATATCTATTAATTGATTTGATATCCAAGCATTTTCAATTGGTGGTGGAGCAGGTAATAAGCGCTTGAATTGTGACATTTAAAATAAATAAAAAAATAAATAAATCAATGGAATAATGAAACAAATTGAAATTAAATGAAATGAATTGTTGAGAATCAGTTAATACAAATATTGAAAATGTCGTTTGACAATTGTAAAGTTGGAAATTGGTTGATATCTAATGATACATTTATTTGATATTTGTAAATGGGTTTGTTTATATTTTTTTTTTTTTTCTTTTTTCTGTTGTCTGTTTTTTTTTTTTGCAACAATCACAAAATAAGATCTAAAATTTGCAGCCAAACTATTTAATGTAAACATACTTTTCATTTCGAGTGGAGAATTAAAAACATACGTACCTACCTACCAGTTGTATACGGCTTATGTTGAATTTGTTCAATTAACAATAGTAGTCCAATCAGTAGCTTTTTTTATAGTAGCTTTTTTTACGACTGCTAAAATTAAAATTAATTTTCGAACATTGCAATAATATTTTAATGAGTACTCATCATGACCTTGACTCTCCAGTTTCTGAACCTAAAGTCACATCAGTTACATAATGTAGATGTAACTTTATATCACTTGTAATATACTACTTCTCGGGCTCATCATTCAAAGGAAGGCAGCTGAAATCGTTAAATTTGTCATTGCATTGTGCTTTGTATTCAAATAAAATAAAATAAAATAAAATAATATAATATCATATAATATAATATTTTCGCATTCTTTTCTTAAGCGAGTTTGCAATGGTGATTAATTAAGAAATTGTATATATAATAAATTTTTAAGAAATTCTCGTATTGAAGACGTCGGAAAAATAATTTTCAAATAAGATACTAGTACTTTTCAATAATTTTCGATCATATGTATATCGGCACAAAACCCACCCCGCTATTATTTAAACCGCTATTATTTAAACCACTAGTATTTAAACCGCTAGTATTTAGACCTCTTGTATTTAAACCGCTAGTATTTAAACCACTAGTATTTAAACTTGAAATCAATTCAACGGCCTCCAATCATTCCTGATTTTCAAATTTGACAGATAAAAATTATTTTGGTATCAGAGTACAAACTAAAAGAACTTTTTTATTTTTTAATTTCCTTTTTCCTTTTTCCTTTTTCCTTTTTCCTTTTTCTATTTTCTATTTTCTATTTTCATTTCTATTTTCATTTTTATTTTTTATTTTTATTTTTCATTTTTTACCTAAAGTATTTGTTTCATAATTAGCCCCAAAGAAGTAATTTATTATAAAATTTCAATTCGTGCTACCAAATGAATATTAAATCCCACGTGGGTGCAAAAAGATTTTATTTGAAATGAAATCCACAAGATGATAAGAAATTGTGCAACCAAAATAAAATAAATAAAAAATAAATAAATAAAAAATAAATAAAATAAATAAAATAAAATAAAATAAAATAAAATAAAATAAAACCTCGTGTGACTAAAAAATATTTAAAATAAGCTGCACACGTTTTTTGAATCTTCCATCTATGGATCTGATTATTTTTCATGATAATTTTCATGATAATTTTTAATCGATTTAGAATACCTTACAACTTAAAAAAAAAAATAGAAAACTATTATAATCAATTGTAACATGAACTGCTGCACCTGCATAGCCTAAATATATATATAGATATATATATATATATTATATAGTAAAATATAAGAAAATAAAAAAAAAGAACAAGTGAATGTTTTTTCAACTCCCACGCCTATAATCAATAATATTTATTGATTATACAAAACCCATGTGGCAATATAAAATTTATAACCATCTTTTGTTTCTTTATATAACTCCATATTTTAAACTTTTTAGTGTAAAATTTACTAAAACAGAAAATCAATCAAATGAATAAATTTTAACTATTGACTATTAAATCTTAACTATGAAATCTTAACTATTACAATGAAAAGATGAATCAACGTTTTATTATATTATAATTGGTTATTTGTTGTGTTATTTGTTGTGTTATTTGTTGTGGTCTTTTTTTTTTTTTTTTTTCTAAATGTCTTAATACCTCGTGGGTCGTTTCTTCTTCTTCTTCTTCTTCTTCTTCTTCTCTTACTACTATTTAACATTTCTTTATTGTGATGCATGCATGCCCCTTTTATAATTAATTGTTTACTTATATAAATAATTGATTTATATATTGATTTATTTATCTTATCTTTCAATCTTACATATATTTATTTATTTATTAAAATATATATATATATATATATATATTTCTTTACATTTCTTGATTTTGTTTGTTTGTTTGTTTGTTTGTTTGTTTGTTTGTTTGTTTGTTTGCTTGTTTCTTATTTACAGACAGTTATTAAAATTTAAAATTAAGTAAGTAATTAAGTAAGGAAGTAATTAAGTAAGGAAGTAATTAAGTAAGTCATTAAGTAAGTAATTAAGTAAGTTATTAAGTAAGTAATCAAGTAAGTAATCAAGTAAGTAATCAAGTAAGTTATTATGTTACCTTCACCTCCAGTTTTAAAAACAACTATAATACAATTAAATAAAGAATTAGATCCAGATGATAATAATAATAATTATGAAATATTAACTAATGAATATCATCAATCAACAGTTAATAATAATAGTAACAATAATAATAATAATACACGATCAAATACTGTTCCAACTTCTCCAAAATTTAATTTAGAGAGTTCAACTAGTAGTGGTAATAATAATAATAATAGTACAACAAATAAAAAAAAAAGAAGAAGATCTACTGCAAATATAGATTCAGAAGAATTACAAAAGCGGAAAAATGAAACAAAACAATTACACTCAATAATAGAAAAAAGAAGAAGAATCAAAATAAATAGAGAATTTGAAGCTTTGAAATATTTAATACCAGCTTGTAGAAATTGTAATAATTCAAATAATTCAAATAATATTACAAATTCTCCACTGAATAAGAAAAATACAAATAATAATGTAAATAATAATGGTAATAATAATGGTAATAATAATGGTAATAATAATGGTAATAATAATGGTAATAATAATGGTAATAATAATGGTAATAAAATTGATGGAATGTATAAGTTAACAATTTTGAAATCTTCTGTTGAATATATTTTATATTTACATCATATTATTCAAAATCAACATAAATTATTATTGAGTCAAGATCAAGAAAAAATTGAAAAATATAAAGATTTTAATATCAATTTTTCTAAAATTCCATTAAATGTGAATCAATATAGAAATATAGATAAGGAATTTAATTTTAAATTTTTATTAAATGAATTAGAAGGGAATACAAATAATAATATAAATAATATTATAAATAAAATTGATGAAGAAAATGAAAATGAAAATGAAGGTGATAATGAACAAGAACTAGAACAAGGACAAGAACAAGAACAAGAACAAGAACAAGAAGAAGATGAAGAAAAAGATATAGACGATGATTTAAATACTTTTAGTAGTAGAAGTTCATCGCAACCACCTCAATTAATTCAACAACAACAACAACAACAACAACAACAACAACAACAACAACCTATTCAACAACAACCTTTTCAACCACAACCTATTCACCAACAACCTTTTCAACAACAACAGCAACCTTTTCAACAACAACAACCTATTCAACAACCTATTCAACAACCTATTCAACAACAACCTATTCAACAACCTATTCAACAACAACCAATTCAACAACCTATTCAACAACAACCAATTCACAGAAATTCATCTTCATTACCTACTCCTGATTTCACTCCAGATATGGCTCCAATATTATCCTTATTAAATAAATACTCAACTACTAATCCTAATAAGTCTCCAAGAAAAGGTTCATTTCCAATATCCCCTCAAACTCATGTTTTAAAATCATCAAATCCATCTCCTTATACAATTCCATTAAAATCATCAACTAATAGTCCATCGGTTAAATATTCTATAAATAATACTGGTAATAAATTTCAATTACCTGATCCGGCTATAAATCCAACTATACTGTTGAATCAAATACCAAGAAATAAAAAATTTAAATCTTCAAGTATAATATTTAATGTTGAAGAAGAAGAAAAAGAAGAAACGAAATCAAATGGTGATAAATTATCTGATCAAGATGCAAGTAAAACTTTATTAGCGTTGCGTAAATCAAGTATAGATTCATTATTAAACTAGTAATATATAATTATGTATTTATTTATTTGTTTATTTATTTATTTGTTTATTTATTTATTTGTTTATTTTAATTTTTTTGCAGCCATTTTTGAGTCGTGTGTGCCACAAAATTTCTTTAGTTAATTTTGCAGCCACTTATCAAGCGGATCCACATCAAACGACAATTGATAAAGAGGTTGTTGACTGTGCTGGTGCTGGTTATTTTCAAACATAGAAAATGGGTTTTGTTATCGACCATACTAAACTCAAAGAAAGTTTTCTATTAACCTGCATTAATATATATTCATTCATTAATTGAGTAATTTATCATCATGCAAATACTCTATATACTCATCAATTATTAGTATATATTCATTCATTAATTGAGTAATTTATCATCATGCAAATACTCTAAATACTCATCAATTATTAGTATATGTTCATTCATTAATTGAGTAATTTATTATCATGCAAATACTCTATATACTCATCAATTATACTTGGCCATGCGGCCATCTCATCATAATCATTAAAACCTTCTGGATCTTTAAATATAATTTCAATTAAAAATGAATAAAACATTGACCAAGAATCAAAAGTTAAACTCTTCTTCTCATATTCTTTAAGAAATGTATACCATTGTTCAACTCGTTCATTAATCTTTCCTTCATCTAAATCAGTATTTACTTCTTCAATTTTTAAAATTTTAGGTATTAATAAATTCCAATAATCTATACAAGTTTCAATTTCCAATAATTTTTGATTTTCCAATTCCACTGAAAATTTAAATGCAAATTGATAAATTTTTTTAAAAGTGTCAAAATTAGTCATTAAAATTGATGATTCATATTTATTAATATAAGATTTCATACCTTCTAAATTATTAATATTTAAATTTGACCATATTCCAATAAAATTTGATTTATTAAAAACTCCCATTTTAGGAGATTTTAATAGAAATGCAATTATTAAAGCTTTAAAATCTTCAGGTTGAATATTTAAATCTTCAAGATACGAAATTGTACCATCTATATCTATAATATCATTTTTTTCATCACTTTTATATTTATCAAATAATTTAATTAATTTTGAATCATGAGGTATTTTGATTATAGTTTCTGATTTATGATGATTATTTGGATGTTTTGAAAAATATTTATCTATGGCCGTACCTAAGTCATATTTTGCATTTTCTAAATATTTGGTAGCAGTAGTATTTGAAACTTGAGTTAATTCAATAAATTGTGTTTTTAATTGTGCTTTATTAACCTATGAAACTCGTTAGTTGGTGATAACTATTATCAACTTGTTATAACTTACCATTCCTAAATTGATAAATTGGCTTTGGTTCTCTTTTTTTTTTTTTTTTTTTCTGGTTAAATTTTAATGAATCAAATTGAAACAATAATCAATTTTAATGATTTGAATAATCTAGAGAATTTAGAAATAGATAATGATATTGCTATTTTATTAAGCTGGTTGGGATCATTAGATGTTAATAATAAGAATAATCATATTACAGAACCAAGTCAAAGAATTAAATTTGCCATTCGCACTTGTTTAAAAGATGAAATCAATCAAATTGATTTTATGAAATTATATATAAATACAATACAAAATGAGGTTGATATTTACTTTAAAAGGCATAGAAGTCAATCAATTGTCGAATATATACTGTGTTTTAAATTTATAATCAATCATTATTCAAAAATTTTCAACTATTTAAATTTAAATGATGAAATACGAAAATTGAATGAAGATAAAATATCATTATTAATTAAATTTAATTTAAGTGATAATTTTACAATCTTAATGAATGAATTCTTTCAATCACATTTATTTCAAAATAGTTTAGTTGCTCCAACAAATTTAAATACATTAAATTTAATAGATATTATATCAACTTTAATTACAATTAATTTAGGAATTGAATTAAATGAAATTATAATAAAATTAGCAACTAATAAGATTAAAAATTATACAAGGAATTTATCAACATTTATCTGGGATAAACCATTACTTGACAAACTTTTAATTTTTATTCAAAATGAAGTTTATCCTGATTTTATAATTACAAATAATTTCGTTAATAATCAAAATTTTACAAATGACAAGTACTTAAACGAATTAATAAAGATATCAAATGATGAGTTAATTGAAATTAGAATTGATGAGATTTATAAAATAATTGAAAATTTTCCAAATTCAAAAACTGCATTAGTTGAGTTACATAATTGTTTAGGTGCAAATAATTCAAGTACTCAAAGATCAAAATTGACTAATCAGTTTATATCTTATTGTAAATCAAATTTATTACATGCTGGAGTAGAAACTGTTGAAGTTATAACAATGTACACTAAAACAATTAATGCCTTTTTAATAATTGATCCAAAAGGTGTACTTTTAGATAAAGTAATTAGACCAATACGAACATATCTAAAAGCAAGATCAGATATAATTATAAAATTAGTACATGGTTTATTAGATACTTCACCTTTAACAAATCCATTATTTGAATTAGCTCAAGATTTAAGAAACCCCAAGAATAGCAAGAAGATGATAAATATAAATGACAACCAAGACTTAAATTGGCAACCTGATCCAATCGATGCATTACGTGATTTTAAAAAGGAAAAGATCGAAGATACGATTGAATCATTAATTTCAATTTTTGAATCAAAGGAAATTTTCATTGATGAATTTACAAAATTATTTAGTGAAAAATTAATTAAATTTGAACAACCATTGGATGAACTTGAAATGAATTTGAATTATTTAAAATTGAAATTTGGTAGTACAGATTTTATAAATTTAGATATTATGATTAAGGATATAAAAGATAGTGGTAAATTAAATTCATCAAAAAATAATTTTCAATCAATTGTATTATCACATTTATACTGGTCAAATATTTTAGAAAATGACATTAATAATTTCAAAGTACCAAAAATAATTGAAGATGAATTTGAGAAATTTAATTCTAATTTTAAATTACAAAAACAAGGTAGATTTTTAAAATTGATTCCTAATTTAGGTTTGGTAAACTTAGAAATTGAAATAAATGGAGAAATCAAATCATTTGAAGTGAGTCCTGATAAAGTAAGTATTGTTTATTTATTTAATGAATCTGAAAATGAATTATCGGTTGATTATATTTGTCAGACTTTAAATATGAATGAATATGTGGTACAGAAAGGATTAGAGTTTTGGAAAAACCAGGGAGTATTATTAGAATTGACTAAGAATCTATATATAGCTAATGATTAATGATTAATGTATATTTATTAAACTTTACTAATAGAACTTTTTTAATGATTTTATTACGAGATTTGGGGCCAATTACGAGATAATTATTTTGTACCTGACGCGAAATAATAAAAATTGAGAGGCAAAATTTATTAAATAATTAATAAATTAATCAACACCAATTCAATCAATTAATTTTACGCATTGTTTTGGACATGGAACAAATTATTAATGGTTTATATATTTTACCAAGAATTGTTTGATGTAGTTGTTCAAAATTTAGAGTATAATCAAAAAGTTTGCTTTTTATACGATAAACAATTAAAAAACATGAATTTTACTACTTTATTTAGATTAGTTGAAATTAGTAAACCAGATGCAAAAATCAAAATTGATGAATTTCTAGAAAATAAAAGTGAGTTCCAACTTATTCTTGATAAGCATGTCACAGTGAAATCCCTCTAAGAGTTTGATTCTTTAGTTAGAAACTACAAGGTTATTCCTAAAATTGTTTGCACTGGTGCCTTTGATAAAGCTGATAAAATTTACATCTAGTCATTAATTAAGGTTGAGAATGTTAGAATTACTTGAGACTCTCTAAGTTTGGAAACTTGTCTTTATTATTATTGTTAAAAACCAAGGTTTCATTGAGAATTACAACCTTAAAAGTTAGTGACTTTTAAAATTTATCAAACGTCACTAAACTTTCAATCGATAATCTAACGTTTAATTCAAAGGATTTATTCCGAATTCAATTGAAATTCAGAGATCAATCAAATTCTTTAAATTTTATTTTACCAAATTTCAAAAACCTCACTTCTTCGAATTTACTTGATGGGCGATACTATTATGAGATTATGGATACGTCAAATTTGAAATTATCATCTTTCTTTAACTGAGTTATACATGAATGTTGATGTTGAAAATTCATACCAATCCTTATCAAACTTAACAAATTTAAAAAGATTCAAGTTGAAAAATTATTCCTTTCCTGCTGAGTTGTTCAAGAAAGACGTTTGTTATTTTCCAACCTTGTTATGTGTTTGTTATTATGTTTCGGATGGAATTTAGATGGTGATGAGTATTCAAATTCAATCAGAAAATATTCTTGCAAGCTTAATACTTCTGTTAAATTTCCAGATAGCTTACAGGCACTTAGAGCCTGTTAATGGCTATATGGAAATTTATAAAAGTTTCAAATTTCCTCCTAATTTAACTCATTTTGAACATGATTTGGGTGGGCCAGCCGATGAATTAATTGAAAACTCTTTAAAACTGGGATCCGATAACTTATGTTGGAAATGTGCTCTGTGGTAATCCATTTCAATAACTGGTTTTGTTTTAGTTCAATATGCAATGAGAGTGATCTATTAGTATTAGATAAACATTGAGCTCGGACTTGATAATCACGTCCTAACTCAAACGAATCAACTACTCTTGCTGAGCTCCAAACATTAACAGCATATTAAACAAATGCCAATATACTGCTTACAATTGCAAAATCAATTGATTCCAATTTGTCTCAGAGTATCGTTGTCAAATTTCGGATGTATACTGATTCAAAGCTGATTGTAGTTCAACATACAAGTTTTGAGTAGCTTGCAACATTTTGAAATTACAGATTAACAGAAAAAGCTAAGTAGCCTCACAAACCTTTGATTAATAAATGGCTGCAAAATTGAAATATTATATTTTCTTTTATGGTAATTTTTATGGTTATGAGAAATTTATTCTGAAAACCGTGGGTTCAAATTAAAGTTAAACTAACACAAATTAGGTTTGGTGATGTGCAAATAAAGCAGCTCCATTTCAATCTGTTTGATCTATCTTCAAGTTATGGAAAAAGTTTTGAAAGGTCTTTACGAAATTCCAAGGGAAGTATTTGATTTAATTGTTGATGATTTAAACATTGAACAGAAGATTTGCTTTTTATATGATCAACATCTCAAATCATGGATCATACCACATTTATTAAAAAAAGTTGAGGTTAATAAGTCCAATGCAAATGTAATGATTAATGATTTTCATCAATATTCAAAATTAGAACCATTTTTACGTCCAATTGATAGAATAATACGATTTAAATCAATAAAAAGTTTGGTTTATATAATGAATAAGTATAAAGTTTATCCTGAGATACTATGTACTTCAGAATTTGGTAAATTGGATGAACGTTATATCCCGTCATTAAATAAAATTAAAGAAGTTAGAATAAAATGGGGTCAATCAACTCAATATTTAAAATTGGTTACATTATTACATACTAGAGTTGTTTTGATGATTTCAAGTATGAAATTTAGTGATTTGTTATACTTGACCAATATTAAGAAATTAAGTTTTGGAAATATCATTGATGATATTAATTTAAAGGGCACAAATTCAAATTTATCACATTTAAGTTTTCATAAAGAGCCATATATGTTAAATAAACTACTATCATATTATAATTCAGTGACTTATTTGGATTTAAGTGCAACTTGGTTAAATGATGTAATTTATAGCACTGCAGAGTTTAATTTACCAATATCATTAAATGATTTATATCTTGAATATTTTGATTTAACTTCGTATTCATCATTAAGTAAACTATCAAATTTGCAAAGGCTTAAAATTAAACAATCACAGTTTCCAATAGAGTTATTTAACAGTGATGTGGATTATTTTAATAACATGCTCTGTTTTAGCTATCTGGTATCTAGTGCTCATATACTAAGTTTACAACAACTAGAAGATGAAGAAAGATATTTATTTACTTTTGATTCAACAGTTTCATTTCCAAATAGGTTAAGACATTTAGAGATAAATTGTACATTTATCACAATTGATGAATCATTTAAATTACCATCAAATTTACAACACCTCGATCTTGATGTAAATTACAATGGTTTTAAAGCTAGAGAGATGATAAAACCAAAAAATACAATATGTAGAGATTGTCAAAAATGGTAGATCATTGTCTTACTATACATTATTTGTGTTTTGATATTTCTTTTAGTTTTTCAGTATATTCAGGTTTTGAAGACCATTTTCGTGCAGCTTTAATTTCATCATTTGTATAACCTGGTATTCTCATATTCCAATTTCTTTCCAAATTTAATTGTACATCTTTTACATCAACTTTATCCAATTTTCTATGCTTTGCCAATTTACAACTAAATTCTAAAACTTCTCTTACAAATTCATCAGCTAAATCTAAAAATAATTCTTCAACATCATTTTCAACCGTTGTTTTTGTATCACCTTGATCAACACTTAGATTATTTATCAATTCATTTAATTTTCTCTTTGTCAATACTCTACCATCATTATCTGGTATATTTGCAGGTGTTACATTTGGATCCTGAGTGGTTGATAAAAAATTTGTAGTAGAGCTTTGAACCATTATTGGTCTAGAAATTATTGTTGGTGCTGATATTCTTGAAGTACTAGCAACTCTTGGTAATGATTGAGTTTGTGATCTTGTTGCCATTGGTGTCTGTTGTGGAATAGGTTTTCTTATTGTTTGTGTTGGTGTTTGTATTGGAGTCGGTGTTGATATTGGTTGTGGTGTTGTATTTATATTTACAGGTTTTGGATCAATTCTCTTTGATTCTTCTCTTGATTCCATTCCATTTACTGGTGTTGCATTTGCTGTTAATCTTCCTTGATCAATTAAAGCATTTCTCATATATACTGCACCTTTATAACATTGTTGTAATTGATTTTTTGCTTCCAAAATTTGTTTATCGATTGATTCTTTATCTGATGAATCATTTTTAGAAGACTGTAGACTTTTAACTTTTTCTGATAATTCATTCAATCTCTTTTTAATTTGTTGATAATTTTCCAAGGTAACTTTTGAATCAACATTATTGACTGTTTTTTCAGGCATTGGAGATGTGATTATTGGAATTTCTGATTCTTTTTTCTCTGATTTATTCTCATTATTTTGTTGTTTCCCCTGTTGTTGTTCTTGATATGCTAATAATACTTTTTTAATCTTTTCAACAATTTGAAAATGTTGTTTTGCTTTTACTGGATCTTTTTCTGCTCTTGCTAATGCTAATTCATCCTTTAGTTTATTTATTAATAATTTAGCCTTTTGTGGATTGATTTCTGGATCTGGTGTTGGTGTTTTTGATTCTTGATTAGATGACCCTTCCATTATTGAAGTTATATTTAGAGTTGATAATTTGTCGTGCACAAAATATATTTTGCGAAACTTAGTTCTGGAACGAGACATTGAAAGTAGACATCTATATATTTATAACTTTCTCTATAATACTGATTATATTCTCATCAACTTGTTTAGTTGGGTTCGATAATTTCTCATCAATAAAATCATCGAGTAATTGTTTTAATTTCTTTATTAAAACTCCATTTTTGCACCAAGTTCTGATAGGTAACCAATTATCTAAAATTATACCTGGTGATGTTTGATCCTTATCCATTGATAAATCATATGAAATATCTCCAACAAATAGTAAAACTGAAATTGTATTGACTGGTGTAATGTCTCTAACATATAATTTTGTTGTATGATGAGATGATCTAAATGCAATAAATGAATCTTTGATCAATTGTTGTGATATTTGTAATTGTGGTGTGAGATCCATTAGCTTTCTATTTTCATAATCTATTGAACCATCTTCATTTGACACTTTTGATGAAAAGCTTTCATCTAATGTGTTATTATCATTATCAAACATGACTGATGAAGGATGTATGAAAACTCTAGTTGGTAATTCTTCTTCTTTCTCATTTCTTATCCAATATTTAATCAGTTTAGCTTCAGGATCAATTTCAATAGAACCTTGTGCAGATTTGAAAAATTTTGGATTTGGTAATTGAACTCTTGCAATTTGTGGATAAAATGAACCCGAAATTATAGCCCTAATTAATGAATAATTTTTATTATTGATATTTGAATTATTATCCACAAACCCTAAATCCTGAAGTAATGATAGATATTGTGCTTTTGTTGATTTTATATCATTAATCGTAGTATATGATAAATAGTTATCATTCAAAAATTTCCTAGTACCATTTTTAACGTACTCATTATAAGCATTTGCAAAACCAATGAAATCACCATAACCATTGGCAAATTTTCTTTGTACATGTTTAACCTTGTCTCTTTCTTCAAAGTTAATTAAAAATGGACTTCCTGTTGAACTAATGGCAGCCAAAGTCAAGCAAAAATCTAAGCAACCAAATATACAACCTAAAATCAATAATTTACCACTTGATGGATCGGTTGGTAAATAAGATATGTATTTACCTAAATTTGAAAGTTTATCATTTTCCAATGCACCAATATCTTGTAAAAATTTTTTAGCACTTGCTAATGATGTTTGATCAGGTGCATCTAATCCACTACTTAAAAATTGTTCAACTTTTGAAATTCCCATCGATTTAACAACCAAATACAAATTTTCTAATTTGGTTCTTTTAATTTCAGGTATTGGTTGTGGTAACATTTTTTCAACTGTTTCTTTTGTATATAAATGATAACAGTTACCATTGGTAACACGACCTGATCTACCTCTTCGTTGACCAATTTCTGCTTTAGAGCACCAATTTTCAATTAATTTAGTTGTATTCAAATTAGTATCGAAAAACATGGTTTTGGATCTACCTGAATCTATAACAGTAACACAATCAGGAATAGTAATTGAAGTTTCTGCAACGTTCGTTGATACTACTATTTTTCTTCCATTAAATGATTTGAAAACCTTTTTTTGTTCAGCTGATGATAATGCAGAATGTAATGGTAATGTGACTGAATTTGGGACTTGTTTCCTAACAGCTTTTATTGCTTGATTTATTTCCATTATACCTGGTAGGAAAATTAGTATTGATCCTAAATTTGATTCATTGGTTAATTTTTTATCTATATGTGCAGTTAATTGAGCTATTAAATCATAATTTAAATTACCATTTTGGAAAAAATGTGAGTCAGCTTGAGGTTTTACTATTCCATCATTTGTTTCAAATGAATAATCAAGCTCTTTAAGTATTGCATCCAAGTAATAATCTTTAATTGGAAATGTTCTACCTTCAATATGTAATCGTTGTAATGGAGTATTGAAAAAGTCTTTAAATTTCTTATCATCTATAGTAGCTGACATTAAAACAATTTTGACTGGGAACTTTTTCATAATCATTTTTAATATAATTAATAAGAAATCACAATCGATTGATCTTTCATGTACTTCATCAATAAATATGTATCCCAAATTTTCAAATAACTGATTATCTCCATTTGATATAAATGACTGAATCATTCTTAATAACACTCCAGTTGTTACAAATGAGATTCTGGTTACATTAGTTGTTCTATTCTCACCTCTGATGATATAACCAGTCTCATTTCCTATTTTGTCACTTCTTTCTTCTGATATTCTTTCTGCTAATCCGATTGTTGAAATACGTCTTGGTTGAGTACATAAAATTGTAGTTTTAAAATCATTTTGAGAATTTAAATAATCCAATATAAATTGTACAACTTGAGTTGATTTACCTGAACCAGTTTCACCCGTTATTAAAGTAACTTTGTTGGAGTTTATTATATTTACAAGTTGATCTTTTTTACTCCATGCAGATAATTTGGATCTTGTTTCAATAGTTTTTTCAATCATTGGTAATCTTTTCTTGTATGAAGTTTCGATTTGTTCAGTGTTTATTACCTTTTGTTTTATTTTCTTTTGTTTCTCTTGTTGAACTATTGGTGTATTTACTTTCTTTTCACTAGGTAATAATAATGAACCTGGATTATTTATAATCTCAAGTAAATGTTCTTCTAACCATTCGATTATTGCATAAATCATACACTCACCGATATGTAAATTCTCAACTAAATTCCTAATTATTGATAATTTAACATAATTTGCTAATTGATAATCATTATTCAACACGATAATTTGTATACCTGGTATTTCATTTGGATAATTTTCGCTTTTAAAAACTTTAACACCAATCACTTCTTTATCAATTCCTTTTGGATTCAACGGTATAGTTATAACATTATTTTCTTGTTTAATTTTTATATCCATCATTTGTAAACCTTCAATTTCTTGATTCCACAAATCTTGACTATCCTCTTCTGGTATTATTTCAGGTAAAGATTTTAACAATTCTTTGGTTAACTCTATACATGTTTTAAATTCATCATTATCAAGTCTATTATAAGTAGAAATTATTATATCTGTATCAAATCCAGATTCTTTCATTCTCTTTAATGCATATTCAAATTGTAAATTTTGTGAAATTTTAAGTGATACTTTAGAATCTTTCTCCGATTTCATGAATAACTGTGGCAAGTCATCTTCTGGTATGTGAAATAATAACCATTCTAAAGATTCTGTGAAATTGGAAGTATATTCAAATGATTCTTTAACATGAGTTTCTCTAAAACCTAATGATACTAGTCTTTCTAATGAATCAGAATCTGAAGTTTTCACCCATGTAATATGATGCTTAATTTCTTCTTCAACTGAACTTCTTAAATCTGATGGAATATCCAAAAATGGGGCTTTTTCCCAAACCTTTCTTGGAAATTTATTGACTACTTGTTTAACTGGTTTATTCAATGTTTTTGATCCTAAGCTTATAGTCGGTTTCTTCACTTTCACTTCATTTTGTTTCTTTATCAACCTTTGTTTTTCTCTTTTTTCATTTTCTTCTTGTTCTTGTAAGTATACTTGAAAAGGATTTACATTAAATAACTTATCATGCAATTGTTTATTTTCTTTATTCAATTTAACTCTATTTTCCTCTAGTTCATTCCAATAATCTCTAAAAATAATTGGCAACAACATTTTCATATTTTTAATATAATTGATTCTGTGTAATACAAATGTTGCCACCATATGTCTTGCTTCATTTGTAGTTGATTTTGGTTCATAATTTGGATAGTACTTTAGACTTATAATTTCTTTAGTCTTTGGATTTTCCCAATTTAATGTTACAATTCCAATAAAACCATTTTGTTTTTTGGTCATATCATATTGACATTTTCCCCATTTTTGCTTTTGACAATGTTCATTTAATAGAGTAACAGGTAATTTACCAGTCCAACCGAAATTTTCACCAATTGCTAAACCTCTTTGTGGTTTATTTTTATCTTTATCATTTGATGGTTCGGGTTCTTTTTTTGATTTTTTAACCATCTGATAAGATTATTTTTTAATTTCGCACGGTCAATGAAATACGATGAGCTAGAGGTGATGGATTTGAAGTAATGAAAAAATAAAAGCAACGCAATTTCTAAATATTAATTTCTTAATATTCGATCCATAGCTGGAAAACTTTAAGCTCAAAAGGAATTAAAACCACTCCATTAACTGATATATGTGGTATGTTATTAGGGGGTAATTTTTAGGGGGTAAAGTGGACAAATACATTTACCAACCCTATAAAACTATATTGAAAATCTATACAAAACGATTAAATGTAATAGAAATTGGCCTGTAGAACGTATTTGCTACATCCTTGGCTTTCGCTAATGTAGTTTTTCAAATTCTTATCAATAACTTTTGAAAGCTATCGCATTTAAGGCGAAAGAAGTGTGACATGAAGCGAATGACAATTTTTCCAATTATATGTCAAATTTGTAAAAATGCGACACAGGTTTTGGAATTGGTAGTTCCAGAAATGACTTCGTGGCGCAATTGGTAGTCGCGTCAGATTCCAATCCTTACCAAGTGGTAAGAAATTTCGCTTTAAAGAAAATTTTCAGGATTATCTGACGGTTGCGAGTTCAAGTCTCGTCGAGGTCATTTTTTTGCAATTCGATTTTATTTTTCGAATTATCGAGACATATTTTGAAATCAATGCCTGTCTGTTCTGCTTTTCTTTGTTAAGTTTGTTTATTTATAGCTCACATTGTTCATTCTAGACTCGTATGATACGTTTTTCAGAGCTACAACAAGTAAATCAAATGCTCAATTAAAGTACATTTTGTTATGTTACATTGTTTGAGGCGGCGGTATTAAATAACAAGTAAAAGAAATCATAAATAAAGAAATAAACAAACAATAACATTAACACAATCTTAATTAGTACAATCTTGAATCGTATTATTATCAATCAAATTTCCGTCAAGACGGCTAAGGTATTTGACAAACCTCTGTTCTATTGGGATAGAAGTAGTGTAAATGCAAGTAATGTTCAAAGTCAAATACATAAAAAATTAGATAAAAAGAGTAATCTTGCATTGGCATAATAATGACATATAAATAATAATTGTAGTTAAAAGTCTTTTTTTTGATTAGAACATTAGAATGCTGTTGTACGTGTTTCCATTCATATTTGTACGATTTTGCAGCCATTTTCGCAGTTGCAACTGGTAGTGACAAAATGCCCCCTAACTTGCTAAAATTTGGTAATTTGAAGTTGAGCTCATTTAATTTAATCTTTAGAAGTGTTTTTTATATACCTCCGAGTTTTTATATAAGATTTAAAGCTTTCTGGAATGTTTTTATTTCTTATTAATTATGCAATTTATCCTATTTTGAATACCCCCAGACCGTAGATTCAAATATTAAACATTAAAAATGCTCGAATTTAGTTAATTGCTTTCATATAGTGTATTCCATTCCGGGGGTTTATTTGGCCCTAAAAGCAATTAATGGATTATCCAAATTGGTAGAAGAATTTGAGGATATAGGCTGTGTTGCTTTCGGTCAAATTTAATCAAATTATAAAGTCTTATCGTATAATAAGCCATTCTAGAATTGACTTGAGTCTTTAAAACTTAATAGAAATCATCTGTTTTGTAGTGCTCCTAAGCTCTTTAGTTAAAAGTATGGTTGATTGTTTCTCCTTAAGGGGTAATCAACAAATTAATGCATTTTAAACGATTTTTAAACAATACAATATTTGTTGGTCGTGTAACCTGGGATAACCAGCAAAAATAACACAAAACTAAGGTTATTAGTCTGAATAAGTGGTATTATTTGTGGTTGATACGCTTGAGTTATTTGTTCAACATTTTTCAGCAAAGTTTTATTGCCGGAATTAACAAAGCAGTCTCTCCAATTTAATTATGGATAAATCTAGAAACGAACCTATAATCAGTTATTTGGAATGGGATATGTGAAATCTTATCAAAATAATAAGTCCTCGGTATATGTTTTGTATTAAGTTGCAAAAAATTAATATTGGCTCGGTTTAATGCGAGTTTAAATAATAAACAAAAATCTAATTAGAAGTAAAAGGCAGATATGTGAACACTGTAATAATTCAGCCAGTTGGATAGTAATATACTTTATGCAAAGTTCAATTAATAAGTCAATCGTGAAAAGAATGAATGAATCTATGAATATACAAAATAGTCAATATGGAGCTTCTTTAAATCTTCGGTCAGCAGATCTTAGTTGGGTGCAAAAGGATTGAAAAAAAAGTAATTCAAAGCCAATTACAATTTGATAAACGTTTCACCGAAAATTTAATAATCAGTTACACTTATACTAGGAAATAAACGATATATCCTGAAATAAGTGTTGTCATTAGTAAATTAAAGCCAATATTATTTTTATACTTAATCATCAAATTAACATCGCTTACTTCAAGATAATCTTATTTTATATTTCCAATTAGTAACAATATCAGTTAACAGAACACACATTAGTTATATATATAAGATAATATACAAGACAGGGTGGAATCAGTAGAGAATGTCGAGATTAATAATTTGTGGAATCAATAGAGAGTGTCGAGATTAATATTTTGTGAAATCAATAGAGAATGTCGAGATTAATATTTTGTAATGTCTTCAACTAGTTATCAAAAAAAATTAAAAGTTTCCAAAATAATAATTATTATTTAAAGATAAGAATCCCTTGTATGCGCTATCAAGGTTTATCCTAAAATATTTCACTCACCAAGATCTATTCAAATACAATTGGGAATAGGATCGATATACATTTTCGTGCTTAGCTAAATAAAATTATACACGCCTTGTTACGGTATTGCTTCATCCCCTCCGTGCGCGAATGTAAGATTGCAATTTGCGCGAATGTAATTTTATTTAAATCTATAATATGCGCACACACTTAATCTATTCAACAATCATAATATCCATATTCTGATCAAAGTAGTCTATAATTAGAGTAGTAGGCTCAACTATGTGTAGAGTTGATGCGCATATTTATAACCAACTTACACTTTTTTGAGCGGCCTCCACAGTTTTTAGCAATTTGTAAACAATACCATACCGTTAAACAATACTTTAAACAATACTTTAAACATGCTTAGATTTGATTAATTGGATAATTAACGTTTACTGCAGTTCTTTATTCGTATTGTATAAATAATAATTTTCTCTGAATAAATTTGCTCGTTGTTTGATAAGCATAACTACTACACTATTTTAATATTAACTTAAATAAGTTAGTTGTACACCTATTAAGGAATGATAAAACAAGGAGGTCAATAGAAATCAAAATGCCCACACGTGCAAACAAGGAGAGCTAAGCTATCTCGGATTATATACCCAAAATTAGGTTGGTTCGTTGATGGCTAACAAAGCTAAGAAAATAATTCTTAAAAAATAATAGAAAGAGTAAAAGAATAAATAAAAGAAGAAAAAATATTCAAAAGAAAGCAAAGTGTAGATAAAGTTGCAAAATAGAACATAAAAACAAGGTTATAAGATCTTAGTCACTTTAGATTTAATTTAATAATTTGCGCATATAATGTTGATAATCTAATAACTTCTTCTTCTCTGATAATAATAATTATTTTTTATCATACATTTCATGCAAAGAATATTTTCTAAGAATGTTTTCTAAGAAACTATTATAATAGATTATAAATAAATTCTTAATCATCTTCAAAGACGTAATATCAAACTCAAAAGAAAATTTCGTAGAATTCATGAAATCATGCCATCCCCATGCGAGATTTTTTTTTTTCTCTCTCAAATTATACGAAAATGGATTCAATGACTCGTATAAAAACTAAGGAGTAATTAAGTTTGATTGTATATCAAAATTGATTATCTGTTAAAAAATAAATAATAATGCCATAGGGATCAAAGTTGCAAGAAATAATTTTAATCTTGGTTATGTCAAAACCGATATATGTGCATTAGGTATAATTATAAAATATCCTGATTATTAAAGGTTAAGGTTAAGATTCTACAATAAGCGTTATATGAGTAAAAAATGCATAATATGTAGAACGTATTAACTTAATTTGACTTAGAAATCATATTTCTTGTTATAATCTGTTTCTGGGTTTCTACATATGTTGGTTGTGTGTTTACTTTAAAATATAACCATAATAAACCATATGTAACCAAATCTAGATGTGAAAGATTCATATCGAATATTTCGAAATCTATTATTTTTAAAAAATTAATATAAATAAACAATTTTCGCTTTGAATTTACTAATTATTTTCCAACGTGTTTTATTCTATTATTTGATCACTAAGTTATTCATTCATTCATTAATTTCTGATTATCATTTATCAGAGGATATCTAGTTGTCAGCTCATATCGGAACAATTTCAAACATATTGCTGATTAAATTTAATAACGCTAACTAAAAAATCTAAATTGTATTACTAGAGTTTTTTTTTTTATTAGTGAACAGTACAATTGCTTATATAATTTTTATTACCGATTATTTTGGAACCTACCTCCATATAATTAATACATCATTATATATATATTTAATATATATATATATATATAAACAATCAATTGTCAGATTTGAAATCAGGTTTATTATCAACCTTCAATTCCCAATTAATTTATTTGTTGCATCAAGTTTTGTTAAAATTTATAAGTCAAGTTTTTTATTTAACTAAAGGCAGTTTTCATCATGCAAACAGAAGACCAATCACAACAACCTTCAAATAATAACCATTCACATAGTCATACTCATACTCATACTCATCATAGTACAAAAAAAAAAAGAGTTGGTAAAGCTTGTGATTCATGTCGTATCAAAAAAACAAAATGTGACGGTAAAAAACCATGTAATAAGTGTATTTTAGATAATAAAATTTGTGTATTTACAGAAAAGAGAAAACCAAAGGAAAAGAATCATCCTCCTGGTTATGTTGAATTATTAGAAACAAGATTAGATATTTTAACAAAACTGTTTGAAAAATTAATTGAGTTAAGTCAACCTCATTTACCATTTATAAGTGAAATTATTAATAGTAATAAATCTACTCAATATGAACTGAGTTCACCATCTTCATCGATTTCCGATAATGAATATGAAGAAGATTCAATAATACCAATTAATAAAATTGTTTCATATTTAATTGAACAAAGAGGTTTATTAAAAAATTTACCTATGGAATGGGAACAAGGTGCGATAATCGCTGCAAATTATAATTATAAAAAGAATTTCGATTCTTCCGTTAAATTGTTTGCTCAACATAAATATGATACAACTACAAATACAAGTACTACAAACACAGATTTGAATTCTCCATTAGTTTCACCTGAATTTAAACCAAAGAAGACAAGACATACTAAGACTAAAATTAAACAAGAGTTTAGTCCTTCTTCTCACACTTCATCATTTGATAATCAATTTACATTAGATAATATTCATATTGAACCAATTTCTTCAGATATTGATTCAGATTCACCACCAGTAAATAAAGTATCACCAGAACCATCACAAACTGAGTATCTTCATAAAAGAGCTGGCTCATTATTTAATCAAGATTTACCCAAATTATCTAAAATGAATTCAATTTCATCTTTAACTAATAAATATGAAGATCATACATTATCATCACCTACAAATACTACATTTTTCAATAATGCACCTGTGATAAATACATTACGAAGAACATCAAGTGCAAGTAGTAACAAAATACAGAAACCACCACATCATTATAAAAATTTATCACTAGATTCAAAGAGAACAACAATAGACAATACATCAATGAATAATATACTCATAAATCCTACAAATTCATATTTTAATTATCAAGATGAATCTAATTTATACGATCAATTTGATGATGCTACAAAATCATTAATGAACAATTATACCCCAATTTTACAATCTCAACAACCAGTAGATCATCAACCATTTTTGAATTCACAAAATTTGGATATCTTGGTAGGTGATCCAAATTTGGATCATTTTGTAAGTAATAATAATCCTTTCATGGGTAACTTTAGATAAAGAATATACAACCAAAGCTTTTCATTGCTTTTGATTAAAATAAACGGCAATAAATCTCTAAAGCGCTACAAATCATTCGAGAAATTAAAAATTTCAAAACACAAAATGTTTGAAAATGTGTCAAAAAAATAATTATTATTGTAGTTAGTTCGAATTGCAGATAATCTTTTGCTACCGATTAGAAAATGGGCTAGACAATTTATTCCCGCTAAAGATATAATCATGATTTCATTTTTATATGGCTCAAATTAAACTTTAATCAGTGTTCTGGTTCGTAATTTGATCATTCATTTCGTTCAAACTTCGCTTGCATAGGTTAGAGATATTCTTCAAACCTTTGTAATCAGATAAGAGAATGTTATTGCTAGATATTATTTTGAATCCCATTTGGAGTTACGGTATTGATTTAGGAATTAGATACGAACTATAATCCCTCAAACTATTTTTCTTGTGTATATTCGGCTAACTATTCTAATCTCTTAAATATTCGAGTTTAAAAAAAGCTTGTCCTTATAGACACGGTTCAATTTTGACATCGGTATATCGACGAAAAAAAAATTATTAAACGCTAAAATTTTTTGTTTCATTTCTACAAACGTTTGCATATTGAAAACATATCATGTTGGTCTTAGATAAATACCTGATTAAGTTAAGTTATATTACTCCAGGTTTGAGTTTAATAATTGGGCTTGAAGAAGGCACACAGCTTTTTGTTTGTGTAAAATTGATCGGTTCTATAATATTCTAATATTTACTTTCTTTCAATTGATGTTACATTAATATTTTAGATCATAGACGTGAGCTTCTTTTGAGCTTAAGACCGGTCAAGAGAATTTCAAGATATTATCTAGACGCGATTTAGTAAACAAAAAGCTTGTTTCAGATTCCCTTCCACGCAAGGATATAGCTTTTTGAGAAACGCCACTTAAACGATTATTTGAAATATCAGTATAAAATTCTACTAAAATCTGAACTCAAAATGTTTAAGAGTATAAAGATTCATGTGCCTGACAACGATGTAGCAAGACAGCTACTTATCCTTCTCAATCACTGAAAACTATCTAATTTGCCACGGCTAATAAAATCATCTCTCAATTTATGAATTTTGACCTTATGAAATTTTGAAAAGCTCATTGGCAGCTTCTGACTATTTGTTTACAGAATATATCATAGCTGATCTTGAAGCTAACTTGGTTTTGTAAGAAACAGCAGTTTTCTTAAGGGGTTTTTAAATTGAGTGAACGGTACAGTTTTCTTAAGGGGTTTTCAAATTGAGTGAACGGTACAGTTTTCTTAAGGGGTTTTTAAATTGAGTGAACGCTACCATTGAACATTTTCAATATTTAAACACACGAAGATAATGTATAATGCCACCAGTATGGTTTCAAATAACTCAAATGAAATCATTTTTATTTTGTTGTCAATGGCTAAAACGTGATTCTAATGACTTTGAAAATCATCTTATGACTCGGTTGAACAATGTAAAACTATATATCATTAGAACGCAATAGCAATTTCAACTTCACAGGGGATATACTCAACACTGTTTAACAAGTAGTTTCTTTCAGTTGTCTCAAACAAATTAACTATACTTAATCCAATTCGTCATATTCTAAGAGTCGCCGACTCGCAGACTTTTAATTCGCTCAACGGAAATATAATCTATGATTTGGTCATATGTAGATATGCACATGAGCTTCTTGATATTCACATATCCACTCTGTACACGCAGGCAGTTTATCACTGCTCACAATATTGTAGAACTGAATTTAATTTACATCTGTTTACAAAAAATCTGTGTAATTAATAGAATTTGATTCCATTAGTAAAAGCTCTTCCAATGAAAATATGTTCAACTATCGAATATTTATTGATCTTGGTTTTGTTAGACTTCAGCTTGCAACGTAGTTTATTTCGCTTCGAATTTTCACTATGTGTCTTAACGTTATCTTATCTTTTGGTCTGTTTCGATGATGTAATTTGATTTCGTAAGTTCTTATCAGAAATCAGACCACTTTTCAAAAATATATATATACTTGAATCTTGGAAATTCTTAGTGATTTAGAGCGTAAATGTATAAATTCTAATTTTTATTTGGATTAATCTCGGTAAACGTTTAGAAAACGAGCGATTTAAAAAAAAAAAAAAAAAAAAAAACTACAGCCGTGAATAAAAATGCAAAGCGCAAAATTTTAAATACCACAACTAACATTAACTAACAAGAATCGATCAAATAGGGATAGTTAAATACCCTAGATTACTAAATTTATAAACGTTGTCTTTGACTAAGCCAATTAGATGTTAAAACTATTCTTTTTTTACTTTGCTACGTTGCCATTACCCACAAAAGCCAAAAATGCCAACAATATTAGATATTAAGTTTATACAGTCAGATGGTAGCCATCAACTAATCTACTCAGTTTTTGTTTTTCCCTGTCTTATCAAAAATGCAATGAATCTAATCTGTTTTTCTTTTTTTTTTGTTCGTTACTAATAGTTTACAAAGTTAAATATTATGTTATGAACTAAACTTATGTTTATCAGCTGACTAATGGCTATTGACTTAATCAAAAATTAGTAATAAACGCAATTCCGTTTGGAAAGAATCTCAACGGCCGACCCCTAATTATCGGGTTCGGAGACAGGTTTTCGGGTATACTACAAAATTATCAAGTTCATAATTGTATATTTATGGTGCATCTAAACATTCCCAATCAGTTGGATCATGAACATCTGGTTGATCTATTACTTCAATTTCATCTTTAGTTAATTCAAAATCATCTATGTCAATATTTTCTTGTAATCTTGATAAAGTTTTTGTTTTTGGTAAAGGTATATAACCTTTTTGTCTTGACCACTTAATCAATATCTGAGCTGGAGATTTATTATATTTCTCCATAATCTTTTTAAACTCTGGTTCTTGTTTTTCCAATTTATATCCATGAGTTAATGGAGCATAAGCTTCAACTTGTATATCGTTTTTCAAGCACCATTGTGCAATTTCTTGTCTCATACACCAAGGACTAATTTCAATTTGATTCACACTTGGTTTTATCTTTAATTTATTCCAATTTAATAATTCTTCAATATGATGTTGACCATAATTTGAAACACCAATGTTTTTAATTTTTCCTTTTTCAACGTATTCTTGCATTACCCCATAACTTTCCAATCTTTTAGTTTTACCAGGTAATGGCGAATGAAGTAATAATAAATCAATGTATTGTAAATTACCTTGATCTATTTGTGACAACATTTTTTCAATTGCATTTTGCGTTTGTTTTGCACCTTGTTGGGAATTCCAAATTTTTGTTGTATAAAAAAATTCACTTCTTGGAACTGATGGGTTCTCTGATAAGAATTGACTTATACCATTTATAACTTCTTGTTCATTTCCATATAATACAGCAGTATCAAAATGTCTATAACCAACTTTACAAGCTTCATAAACGACTTTTACAGTTTGATTTAATGGAATATCGTAACAACCTAAACCAATTGATGGAATTGTATTTCCCGAATTCAATTTAAGTAACTTGTAAGACATGGGTACTCTCTAGCAATGGAAATAAAAAAGTGTTCTAGCTCATTCATCATTAATTAAATAACCCATGAATCTAAGACAGCAAAAATAACAAAATGATAAACTTTACACGACGTTCTATGATTTAATATTGTCTCAAAACTTCCTTACGTAACTATACTTTGTTACATTAATACATGGAACATACAGAAATACACCCTTGTATAATTGAAGATCCTAATAATTGCTTGGATGTTTATTCCCGAATGAATTTGACTCAATGATGAAAACGATAAAAGAATATAGTAGTTACCTCATAATTGTAAACCAACTCCCTTAAATTGCTTCAAATCTTTTTCGAACTCTGCGAGTCGTGGAATCTAAAAGTAAAGTTTATCATTTTAGAATCCATACTTTGATTTAGCCTCGACCATCAATCAGATCACTGAATTCTCATTCTTTTGATTCACGTGCAATGCAAAATCAAGAATTATTACGAAAACAACTTACTAACAATCAACAAACAAACCCGGAGAATATCGAGTTAAGTGTTACGTACGTCCGGTCAATAAACTCTATCCTGTGTATAAAAATATTCAACTTATTACAATTACAATCAGATGATGACTTAAGAATTGCAACAGTTGAAGTATATGTCAATCATACCACGACTTAGATTTTAAATAATTAAGGGAATTAAATTGATTTTTAACCCGTAATCAAAGCGAGATATTTTTTTCCCGGCGAGAATATCTCGTGATTTACCACGAAAAAGGTTCGAAAGGGCGTCTAAAACGCATCTTTTAACTGCTATCAATTTAGCTTAATCATCAAGATTAGTAGCTCGGAAATGTACGACATGTCGTAATTCACCATTTATCACTCACTGAGTGGAAATCTCTTTACCGATAGGGCATCATTCGATAAAAGAGTAGATGAAATTGATCGATTTGAAAGCATACTTCTTAGCAAACATATATTAAAAACTACACCAAGTAAACTGTAAGCTCTAAAGAAAATAATGATACCGCTCAAATCACTCAATGGCTAATTTTTCTCGAGTAATTTAAGATTTCGCTTAATTTTGTCAATTCAAACTGTACTAACAAGTTATGCACTTTAATTGAAACCAGGTGGTTTAACTAATCAACTGAGGTCACAGAAACCAATCTTCTTTAGAATTTTACTTCAATTGAATATCTTTAACGCCAATTGGTCTCATACCACGAGTTGACAAATGGCAATTTCATAACTGTCCAAGTTCGTGTAATTAACACAAAATTGCTAACTCTCAAAAAAGGGTATTTAAATAATCCAGTTCCCTCTTTCAAAATTTTTTTCATTTTTCTTTCTTCACTTTAATTGGTTTTCAACGAATTATATAAAAAAGTAAAAATTTCAAAATGGCTATTAAAATTGGTATTAACGGTTTCGGTAGAATTGGTAGATTAGTCTTAAGAGTTGCATTACAAAGAAAAGACATTGAAGTTGTTGCAATTAATGATCCTTTCATTGCACCAGATTATGCTGCTTATATGTTCAAATTTGATTCTACTCACGGTAGATACGACGGTGAAGTTAAAGCCGAAGGTGATAAATTAATCATTAACGGTAAACCAATTCAAGTTTTCCAAGCTAAAGATCCATCAGAAATTCCATGGGGTAAAGTTGGTGTTGAATACGTTATTGAATCAACTGGTGTTTTTACCAAAATTGAAGGTGCCAAAAAACATATTGAAGCAGGTGCCAAAAAAGTTATTATTACCGCTCCATCAGCTGATGCTCCAATGTTTGTTGTTGGTGTCAATGATGACAAATATACTAAAGATTTAGATATCATTTCAAATGCATCATGTACTACTAACTGTTTAGCTCCATTAGCAAAAGTTGTCAATGATAAATTTGGAATTGAAGAAGGTTTAATGACTACTGTTCACTCAATGACAGCAACTCAAAAAACAGTTGATGGCCCATCCCATAAAGATTGGAGAGGTGGCCGTACCGCTTCAGGTAACATCATTCCATCATCAACTGGTGCTGCTAAAGCTGTTGGTAAAGTTATTCCAGAATTAAATGGTAAATTAACTGGTATGTCATTAAGAGTTCCAACTGTTGATGTTTCAGTCGTTGATTTAACTGTTAGATTAAAGAAACAAACTACTTATGAAGAAATTGCTAAAGCTATAAAAGATGCTTCAGAAGGTGAATTAAAAGGTGTTTTAGGTTACACTCAAGATGCTGTTGTTTCAACTGATTTCTTAGGTTCATCATATTCATCAATCTTCGATGAAAAAGCTGGTATCTTATTATCACCAACTTTTGTTAAATTAATTTCATGGTATGATAATGAATTTGGTTACTCAACCAGAGTTGTTGATTTATTAGAACATGTTGCTAAAGTTGATGCTAATTAACTAGCTAAAAATAAGTTGTAAATTTAATTATGGCTTATTTTGATTATCTTGATTATATATTTTGATATAGTTGATTGTTAATAAAAAATGAATTATGTAGATTATATTTATGTAAATCAAAAAATTGCAAACTCTATTAGCTACTTTATTATAACTGTTATCTAAACATGAACCGATTAGTAGCTAAACTTTGGATCCCACGCAGTATAAAGAAATGTTAAGAAGTAGTTCGAACTATCACGTATGACATTAAAATTTATTTGAAAATTCTTGGTCAATCTCCCTCAATCGGTCGACCCCCTATGACTCTAACTAATAAGGAGCCTAATCACTCAATGTACAAAACTGAGATCCATTTGCTACATAGCTTACTAACCTTATTATCATTAGATCAAACTTAAATTGATCATACAACATTCTGAGTATTCAAAACTCCATAATCAGATTTCAATGTGATCATTGCAGCTGCTCAACACGATTTAACAAATGAGAATATTGTTTTGGCGGTTAGATATGATTTCTACATTCTTTGATCTCTGGTCCAATTATATTTTTGTAAAAAATTGCGCTACCGCCCAGGTCAATCTCAAAATCGCGCTTCTTCATTTATAAGCAGAGAAATTATACTTGCATTGATAATCAAGAGACATCACATTACGACATAACAAGTTAGCTGTGATATAATAAATACTAAAGAACTATAGATAACTAAAACCAACCAGTGGTTCAACCGAAATAAAATTAACAACCCAAATACAAAAAAACCCCTAGAATTGAAAATAAATACCGAATAATTCACACCCTTAATTCTTTAGCTTTATCATGACTTAATAATCACAATCTTTATCACATTTTTAGCATTAACGATAACTAATTTAATTTCGGAACATTGTGGAGCTATTTTTCTATCTTATAATAAATTCCGCCTTTATTAGCCTACGGGATCTACAAAGTTTGATAAATTTATTATTGGGAGAAGGATTTATGATATTGAGTTCGCAACTCAAACATTGAGTGACGACCATAGTGAATTAGTTGAATACTGTCACTCTATTCATTTAAATTTTCTATCAATATATATTCATATTTTATTTAATCAGCTATGAACTTATTATTTTCTTCAAAAAGATCATCTTCTCTTATATGAGGAACGATTAAAAACGTTACAACCACACCAGCAAGACGACAAATGATTGGAATAAAATATGTCTACCTCGCTCATCTTTTGCTTAGATTGTGTTGTATAGGTGTAAAAACCTAAGACGGCAGCTAAAATAGAAATTTAGTAAGTATACGCTTTTTTTTAAGTGTAAATTGCACGTTTTTACGAAAACGCAAAACTTGCTTGAAGTTTGTAAAACTATCATTAATTACCCTTTTTCAAATGCTAATTTAATTGCAAAAGCGATTTTGGTTTATTTTGATAAATACTTCCAACATTACCAATATCAGCAGCAATACCATAACCAGTACCTCTAAACGGTGTAGCAAGTGATACCTCAAGATGAAGTTTTGTTGCAAAATTTGTAAAAATTTCAACATTTTAGACAAATTTGAACATTCATTTGAACTTGATATTTTTGATTAGTGGATGAGGTAAAAGGTGTTTAATCAAATATTTAACGTCAATTAATACTCGTTGTGCTGCTTTTAGCTGAGCATACCTATTATACTAATTTGGATTCCAATTTATTCCAATTATATTTTTAATGTGACTCCCAATCGGTAATTCAAAACTTTCCTAATTGGGTGTGATTTTAATACTGCAGCCGCTAAAAATTATCAATTTTGGATTTGATTCTGCCATATGTGTATTGCTTTAAAATTTCTAAATTTTAGAAATCAAACGATTGGTTTAGTCGTGTGATATATTATCTCTCGGTAGCTTAGCCCGGTAAAGCGGAAGACTGTAATTGTTAAAGTTATCTTTAGATCGGGTGTTCAAATCACCCCCGGGAGATTTTTTTGCAACCAAAAACAAATTTTTTGAATACTTATTTTTGACAGATCGAATACATGAAAGTGCACTCATACCGGATCCTGTTAGTGTCTACTTGCTTGTAATTATAATTCATTTTCTTGTTATAATTATAGTTGGGGCCAAAATTTTCTTGCAAAAAAATCCAGGTTTGATAATTAAATTTAAAAGAAAAAGCGATCAAGAATCCTACAATAGTAATCTAATTATATGCTCTATATTAAAGTTGAATTAAAATTATACTTGATGAATTAAAATTTGCTAATAAATAAAAATAAACCCCATAAACAATCACTAACAGTGATTATAAATCCACTATAAATTATAAATTTATGAAATTGAGGTGGTTTATGATTTCTATAATGCAATAAATTTGAACTAATTAAACAAAATAATATACTTATAATCATTGAAATTGATAAAATTAGAACAATACCAAAATTATCAATAATTAAAAATTGTGAATCTTCATTTAAATTATTAAAAATTGAATAAATTATACCCAATTGTAAACCAGAAAGAAACAATGAAACTAAATTTAAAGTAAAATAAATATATGACAATGTTTGATCATATTCTATTTCATATTTAATTTGTTGATTATTTCTAGACAAATAAGATTCTGGTTCTTCATTTATTGAATCATAAGTTGAATAATTTGAATAAAGTAATGGATTTTCAGGAGTTTTAGAAGTTGTAAACCATTTTTCTTTGAATGTCATTAATTTGTTTATAAATTTATTCTCATTTTCTAAATCAAAATTAAATAAATCATTTGGCGATATACTTAATTCTTCATTTGGTGGAAATTCAAAGATTGATGATTTGATAGATTCATTTTCCTCTTTAATTGGTTGTTGTTGTTCTTGTATTGATTGCATTGATAATTTATGTTGAATTAAATTATTTGATTTTGCTAAAATTATATTTTGTTCTTGATTTAATTGATGGTTGTTTAAGTCAATAAACTCAAACTTTTTTAATAAATTTAAATTTAGTAAATTTGTATAATGATTATTTATATATTCTTCATTTGGGATAATATTGTAATAACAAGACAATTGATATTGATAAAAATTTAAACGTTTGAATAATGTAACTGATGAATTTGACAAGATAGATTGGACTTTAGATGGAAATTTTTTAAAGTTTGAGTGGGAGTTTTCAATTATACCATCTTTATTTATTTCAGTAATTAATGAATCTTCAAAGTTTGATAAATTCAAATCATTTGAATATATACATAAATGATCTTGTGGGAAATAATCTAATTGATCAAAATTTGATACAGAGTTAATTGAATTGACGATAGATTGATCATTTGTGGTATAAATTTCAGAATCCAATGTTCCTAAATAATCTTCTTGATCTTCTTGTTCAATAATGAATCTTTTTCTTTTGCAAAACAATTTCAAGTTTGGTTTCAAATTGTTTTTAACTATAAAATCTATAGTTTTCTTTGTTAATTGATTTGAATTATGGAAAAATTCAAATAATTTTGACTTGTATTCCTCATTATTTCTATCATTTAAGTGATTTATAAATATTTTTATAATTTCATTTGGTAAAATACAGTAAGAATATTTTCTTAATTCTCCAATCGGTGCTATAATTGTTGAGTAGTTAAAGTTATCTATTGATATTATAATTGCAGGCTCATTTATTAAATTATTTGTTAAATATGTGTAGCTTATTAATGAGTCAGGTAATGTTTTTAAATTTAAATAAATATTGAAATTAAGTAGTATGTCATTATATGAATCATTTGGAATTAATGCATGTAATTGAAAATTCTTTTTAAGGTAAATGGTCAAGTCAAATTGTGATTCAATAGATTGTGGATTTTGTTCAAAATCATTTTGGCTAGTTGTAAATTGAGGTAGTATTGAATTTTGATATTCTGATGAGTTATTTGTAGATGCTATACTAAATAATGAATTCTTTCTATTTAATTCTGGTAAATTTTCAAGTTTATTCTTTTCATATTGTAAAACATTAATGAAATTTGTTAATTTCAAGGTTAATTTGGACAAGTCAAAGTTGATAAATGATTGGGAATTGTCAATAAGATCTTGTTTTAAGTTGTAGATGAATTTATACCCTTGTCTTTTATATTTATAATATTTTATAAATTTTTTGAAAATCTTCTTTATAGCAATTTTTTGTATGATGATAAATTTTGATAAATTCTTGAGTATAATTGATAAATTTAGTATTTGATAGTATATTTCATCAATTTCAATAAGGAAAGATGTACATGAAATTTCAGAATTTATAATTGAATTAAAATATTGTTGAAAATAATGTAATTTTCTATTTAATTCACCATATTTAGTTTGAATAAATAAATTTATATAATCAAAATTATCAGTAAATAGTTTATGTAAATCTTCTAAATCCGAATTTGATGGTTGATGATCATCTTCACTACTATTTTGATGTAATTGTTGTTGTTGTTGTTGTTGAGTTAATAGTCTAATTTGATATTTTAATTCATTATAATCTAAATTATAACATTTCCATTCAGGTATTGATAAATGTTGTAAATTATTACCAAATTTCATAGACTGATATGTAATTTATGGATCATATGAAGATTTAAAATAGCAAAATATAGTTAAATAAATTATAAATGAAAAAGGAGCGAATAAGTTTTAATGTAATATTGATAAGTTAATGCTGTTAATTAAAACCTTATTAGTAGAATATACTTTTATAATAAATCTAGTAGTTGGTTGCAAAAATTGATGAACTGATGATTATTTTATATTGAACTATCAGCCTTTTTATTTTTTTATTTTTTAATTTTTTTTTTTCCTTTATCAATTTTTTTTTTTTTTTTTTTAAATCTCTTCGTGTTAAATATTAACTCTAATTTTGTTTAAACTACCGCCCTACTTTTCTACTAAACTTTAAAGCTGAAACTAAAACCAATTGCCTATATTCTTTATTATTGATACGTAATAAAAGGACTTAAATATTTATTAGTAGTTGAACTTATAAATCCGTTTAAGTATAAGTCGTTAAATTTAAAGTCACACTACCTTTAATTTTATAATGAAATATTTATAGTGTTGATTCTTCTAGTGAACCTTCTTTTATTGAGCTAATTTTTGTGACTAACAGGAGTTAAATTTTGAAAAAATATTATTACCTCAGAAGTATATAATGTTGTTTTTTAACTTCGTTTAAGTTGAAAATTGGTCTGTTAAAGTAGGAACGACTCTGTATTTATACTTTTTAACGATACGAAATAAACAATAATTCCAAGTTAACGTAAATAAGTATGATTGACTAGGTATAACAAGTTTAGTTAGTTAAACTTTACTGAAAACTAAATACAAAAGAGGAGATTCAGAACTAATTTATAGTCTACCAATTGTTTTCTGGACCAGCTAGAAAATGAAAACAGTAATAAACGATCTACATTTTTGACCAATAACACAACAATACGTCTTCGCAATAAGTGATGCTTTTAAGCCAAACTTTAAATGTTTAGACGGTTAGAGCCACAGACATATTGACAGTTATATCTTGAGTTAAAGAAAGACCTTACGTAGTATTGAATATTGACGTTTATATCACACGTAGGCTTGCCGTTTTTGGATTTGCATCTAAAATTATTATAATTAGATGCATAGAATGCTGAAATATTATTGTAAATACGCAAATAATACTACATATAAAGCTTTATCTTCGCTTAAAACCAGGTTGTATGCATGAACAATCAATAAAAAGTGAATCGCACCCCCTTAAAATTTTTCAAATTTATATTTCGAATTTCCACCCTTACGACCTAATTCTTTTTGACATAGAACAGTTGTTGGAAGTATGCAATATTCTTCAAATTCTTCAAATTCTTCAAATTAAACATCTCTGGTGTGTCAGTTTTGAACAAGTTGTTTCAGTTTCTATTGTGTATTACATGATGCTGAATTTTTAGATTTGGCTCTAAACTTGATTTGATTATAGTTTTTTAGTACAATTATATTTTGTGATAATCGTAACCTTAAGTGATCCTGAAATCAAATATCAATGTAACATAAATAATACACAAAATTAAAAAAAATAAAACCCTGAACTTTATCAACAGAGTCAGGTCAAACAGTGAGTTATTGTGTAACATAATTAAATTTTAACTACGAAATAAACCACAAACTAGAGGTTGATAAACTTCATAAAAGAAGTTGTTGAGTATTACTCATGATTATTAAACTTCATTAGGGAGTATATTATTTTGGCTTAAAAATATTCTGGTTAAGAAATTTTTGAATCTAGTATATTATTGTTCTTAAACTTGAAATTTGGAACTTTCTTTGAATATTTAAAAAACCTTAAACTTTTAGTCTTATGCTTTTACAATACTATGTTATGTTATTGAATTAAGTTTCTTCAAGAAGATTCTACTCATTTTAGAAGCTTCAAATAGTATATTTTAATGGTGCAATTAAACAGAATTCCAACAAACATTGAATCAATGCTCTTCGGTTTATTGTAACTTGAGCACGTTGGGCATTTTTCAATGTCCTGTGAAAATACAAACTATTGTAATCGGGTAATCTTATATCCACCTTTTTTTTTTTTTTTTAATTTCTTCTTTTTTTTTTTATTTCTTTTTCTATTTGGTCTAAAAGATTAAACTTTTTAATATTATATCAATAAACTTTAATCTATAATGTTATTTACCGACCAATAATTGAATATGTTTCATTGGAATTTAAAAGAATAACCATTATATTCTAAAACTTTGTCTTTTACTATCACAAATCTTGTTTATTAATTAATACTCACACGAGTGTAAATTTGACTCTTTATAATTACACAAAACTTTACAATTTTTTGTTTGTCTAAAACAAGAGATGCGTTTTTATAGTTTTGTGTTCTGACACATATATTTGTATGGCGTTAATTTGGCATTTGTGATTACGGCATTTATGACATAAAATAACATATATTGTCTCTAATTGTATAATCTATTAAATATCTGTTTATTTTTATTTCTTCTTTGTAGCTTTAACAAACACCGGAATTAAACCACCAGTTCCAACTGCAAAGCTTCTATGTCCTAGAACCATTAATTCACTTCTTAAACTACCACTATGACTAGTTATACTTATTATATCATCTGTTTTACTGACTTCATTAAATAGATTTTGGAAACCTTTATTTATTCTAATTGCATGTTCAACTATTGATTCGCGATAATCGTTTTGCCAATAAATATCATCATTAACAAATCCTTTTTCAAATTGTATACCTTTTTCTTCAAATCTTTTTAAAAGTTGTTCTTTAGTTGATCGTTTATCACAAGTATGAACTCCCATAGTTTCTCTCCAATTTTCTTCAACTAAAAAACCAAGTTGTTTTAAATCCACTATATCTTCAAATGTATATAATAAAGTATCAATACATCTAGATAATGGAGATGTGAAAAAACGTTTAGGTTTAATTAAACCTTGATCAATTTGATTTTTCCATTCTTTATTATTTTCCCTAGCTTGTGAAATACCAAATTCAGTTAAATTAGCATCAGGTCCCCAAGTAACTTCACCATTTCCATTTAATCTCGACCAATGTTCATTCCATGAATTATCTCCATAATGCGCATGGGCCCAATTATGATATCCAAAACCATGACGTGCCAAAATAAAAATCTTATATTGTGTATCATCATCTGATTCTTTATTTGATTTGTTTAAATCAGCAATTATTTCATCCCATGAGTGTAATCTACCGAAATTTTCACTTAAATAATCAAATTTATCTTCATCTGTTTCAAAAAGTGATTGTTTAAAATAATTTGGAACGATTGAGAATTCCCAAGAATTTTTTGAGTTTAAAGTTGACAAGTATTCTTTATATGCTTGTCTTTGTGACAGTGGAATTTGTGAATCTAGTATATCTAGACTACTTGGGTTTGTTTTAGTCATAAACAAAAAGTTGGTAAATGTATTGAAAAATTTCATTAAACGAGTTTGGAAAAAAATTATGTAAGCGAGATCAAGTATAAAACGTGGAGAGTCATAAATGTAACAGAAATTTGGTAGGTCAATATTTGCAACAGATATGATGAGATGAGATGAGAACGATCATTGTTGGATGTAAAATTAAAGTTCTGTAACTTTATTTAAGTCATCTCTTCTGATATAAAGTAAAAGTGTAGCCAAAAGCATCAATTAATTCCAAAAAACTTTCTTAAATCACGTCTTCAGTTTCTACATGAAACAACCCTAGCTTCAGTTAATACAGTTAATACAATCGACACAAATAGTAGCTTTAAACGTATTTGACCCGTTATTCCACTTTAAAATTTCCAAATCCCTAAATTACTGAAATAACATCAACTATTCATCAGAATCTCCCATAATAGTCTTCTTAGTGGTCGTGTAATGCTTAACATCCTCCGATCAACTTCTATTCTATGCAACATAACTTTTGTACACGTTAAACTCTAGCTTTCCAACATCACGAAACAGATATAATCACAACTGAAATGGCCACAACCACTTTAAACAACATCAACTTCACTTGTAAACCAGCCAGATTGCAAAACACCTTTTATAGAAATGTGTCACTCAATAAAACCAACTATATCTGTAGTTTACGCGAACCAAGATATAAATTAGCTTCATTAACCTCAATTGAAATTTATAGCAACATCTCTAGCGACATCCTTTCCCATCTACCATTCCAAACCAGTCAGCATCTACCAACATAACAGCAGTTTGTTCATTATCAATTAAATCAAGATCTACGTCATCGATTGATGCGGTGGGGTTTTCTCACATGAATAACAAGATCTCATTGGTTAATTAACCAAACGACTTGAAATTTTCAAAATACGTTTAACCATCATATATAACCATCTCTGTATTCAATCTAGACCATATAACGAATATATTGTGGTGTAATCAACCTGAATCCAAATTGTATCATGGTCAAATAATACAATAAATTTTCCCTTGATTATCAACAACAATTTTTTTTTTTTTATCAATCAATAATCAAGAAAAACTTTATAAAAATATATACATACATATAAAATAGACGGATAATGAACAATTTTAATGATGATTTATATCCATTGGCTTTATTAATGGATGAATTAAAACATGATGATGTTTCAAATAGAGTAGAAGCTATGCAAAAATTAGATACTATAGCAATTGCATTAGGACCAGATCGAACACGTAAAGAATTGTTACCATTTTTAAATGATGTTGCACAAGATGATGAAGAAGAAGTATTTGCTGTATTAGGAGAAAAATTAGGAGATTTTATTTCATTAATTGGTGGTCATGAATATTGTGAACCTTTAATTTCAATTTTAACAATTTTAGCATCAATGGAAGAACCATTGGTTAGAGATAAAGCAATTGAATCATTAAATAAAATTAGTTTTGAATTAAATGAACAAGAGATTAATGATATTTTTTTACAATTAATTCAAAATTTAAGTCAAGGTAATTGGTTTCTGAAAAAAATCGCCAGTTGTGGATTATACAAGTCAGTAATTACAAGAGTTGATTTAAATACAAGACAAAATTTATTAAAATTATATTTAAAATTAATTGTTGATGATTATCCAATGGTTAGAAGAGCTGCTGCAACTAATTTACCAAAAATTATTAATTTATTAACTGAATTTACTGAATCAAAACCAAATGATGTAAATAAAATTACTAATGAAGATTGGGAAATTATTAGTAAAATGTTTCAACATTTAATTAATGATGATCAGGATTCTGTTAAATTTTTATCAGTTGATGTATTAATTTCAATTTTAGACTTTTTTCAAAAAATTAATGAACAAAGTTTTAATAGTGATTTTTTAACAAGTGCATTAAAATTAATTAAAGATGAAAGTTGGAGAGTTAAATATACAGCTGCTGATAGATTTGATAAAATTTCAATAAATTTTATAAATAATGAATCTGATTTATATCAATTAATTGATCCTTTTATTTCATTAATGAAGGATCATGAAGGTGAAGTTAGAAAAGCAATTGCAAAACAATTACCAGGATTTTGTAAACAATTGACAAAATTTCCATCAACAAAAGCTACAATATTAACTAAAATTATCCCAATTGTAAATGATTTAAATCAAGATTCTCAAGAATCAGTAAGAGCAAGTTTAGCACTGGTTATCACTGAATTATCACCAATTTTAGAAAAACAATCAACAATTGATAAATTATTACCAATATTTTTAATTATGTTGAAAGATGAAAATTCTGAAGTTAGGTTAAATATTATTTCAAATTTATCAATTGTTAATGAAACTATTGGAATCAATTTACTAAGTACAAATTTATTACCAGCAATAACTGAATTAGCTCAAGATAATAAATGGAGAGTTAGATTAGCTATAATTGAATATATTCCAAAATTGGCAAATCAATTGGGAGAATCATTTTTTAATGAAGAATTATTGAATCTTTGTATGTCATGGTTATGGGATCCAGTATTTGCAATTAGACAAGCAGCAGTAGTTAATTTAAAAGAATTAACAATTATATTTGGATCAAATTGGGCTCAAAAGGAAATAATAAACAGATTATTAAATAATGAAAATGATTCAGAAGAAAAGGTTGATTATTCAAATTTCATAATTAGAATTACATGTTTATTTACAATTAAAGAATTAATTCCAGTTATTGATTATAATATATTGATTGAAAAAATTTTACCATTTATTAATAGTTTAATTCAAGATCCAGTACCAAATATAAGATTTAATTTAGCAAAAACTTATTATATATTAGTAAGTTCATTAATTGAAATTTCCAAAAATTCAAATATAAATCAACAAGAATTGAAAAATTTGATAGATTCAGAGATTATGAATAATTTAAAATTATTACAAAATGATCTGGATATTGATGTACAATATTATTCAAACCAAAGTATTGAAGATATAAATAATCTATTATAAAATATAAAACTGTATAATTAAGCTGTAGCATTTTTCTTTTCTAGTTTTTCAAAATCAAAATCAAAACTGGCACCACAACCACATGCAGTTGATGTATAAGGACTATCTATTATTTTAAATTGACTTCCAATCAATTCTTTCGTATAATCTAATTTTGAATCTTGTAAAATTGTTAAACTTGATTCATCAAGAATAATTCTACCATTATCTCGTTCAAATATTAATAACTCTTTATTTTTAGATAATTCTTTTATTGTATTTGTTATTCCTAAATTATATTGAAAACCGTGACATCCTCCACTTTCTACTTGAATTTTTAATGCTGATTCCATGGGGTTTGGTTCATCTTTTGTTATTAAATTTAATTTATCACTTGCTCGTTTAGTTATACCCATATGTAGATTAGTATTACCATGTATTAGCTTTGTCAGAGTGAAATCATTTATTAGGCTACTTGGTTTTAACCTTGTTGATTGAAATCTAATAGGTATTAATAATTTTGAAATCATTACTAATGTATGGTGTATATATATTTTTTTTTTTCTATACATAATTATCATCACTTACTCTCCATGATTTTATTAATTTTAAATGCTTCCAATCTTCTTTTGGTCCGTCCATACCCCATGAAAAATATCTAAAATACCAGAATGTTCCTGCTACTAATGCATATAATGCAAAATAAATAGCAGCATATGTTAATTTTTTTGCAACACTTGTATTAAGGTCTTTTGTAAATAATTCAACTTCGTAACAAAACACAATCATGGCAAAATAAAGTGCAGGTACATAATGATGAACATATGTAACTCTACCCATTATAACAAATGGCATAAAATGTAAACCCCATCCAAACATTGGATAAATACCACCCATTAAAAATTTATTCAATTTTTTTGAATCAAAATCTACATATTGTCTTTGCCATCTAATTAAATAATATAATGTAATAAATGCAAATAAAATAACACCAAATGTTGATGTCCAAGTAGTAGCAGGACTACCAATCATAAAATATTTTGGTTTATCAGGACCCCAACCACACATTCTAATACCAGTATTTAAAGTTGGCCATTGCCAAAATGATGAAGCTAAATCATCTTGTTTATCAGGATCTGGTAATAATGCATTATTTGTTGCCATCATTGCTAAATTTAATTGAATAAAATCTTTTAAGAATTTAGTTTTTGGTAATTTAAAATCTTTTGGTGCTGGTGGCAAGATTTCATTTCTATTATCTTCAAGATTCCACCATGTTCTTTTATCTTTACGGAATGGATTTTTATAACAAACAACTTCACCCTGTCTAAAACCCCATTGTGGAAGTGTATTACCTGAAACTCCTAAATAACAACCTAAAACTTCATTTTTCAATCTAAATGATGTTGTTAATGGATGTAATCTTAATTTATCTTCATTACTTGCTTGATCAACAATTTCAACAATCCAATTATCTTTTGCATCACCAATTGTTAAATTACCATAAGATGCTACTTCGTATTCTGATTTTGAAACAGGACCAGGAATTTCATGAGTATGTAAATTTCTACCAGTTTGTGGATGCATAATTCTAACATGCATACCATCAATGATATATTCTATATCTGTTTTATTACCAGTTGGATCGTAAATTGGTTGTCCTCTTGCTCTTTGGAAAATCCAATTATTATTTGAATCTTTATGACCATAAGTTGTAACTTGTTGTTGTTTTGAACCTTCTGGGAAAGTTTGAACGTGTGAATGTAATAATCCACCAGTTAATCCTTGATTTTTCAATGTTACAACTGAATGAACAATCGAAACTTCTCTTGGACCACCACCGACTTGTGAACCTAATAAATTTGCTTGAAATAACGATGACATATTCGCATCACCAGTACCAGATTTATATAATAAATCAAAATGAACTTTAAATGATAACATAAAAATTGCAATTGGTACAATAATTAAACCTAAAATTCTTGCTAACCAATGATTTAAATATCTTTTCCAATTAACTTTACCTAATTTATTCCATAAATCAACAATTGTATAAATACCAACTAATGTAGTGACAAATAATCCAACCATTTTAACAGAACAAGTACAACCAATTGAAACTCCAGTTAATAATAACCATTTCCACCATTTTCTACTAAATTCTTGAGTATCATTATTAAAATTATTAAATTTAGAAAAACAAAAAACTGTTGCCACGGTGAAAAATAATAACATTGAATCTAATAAGATAAATTTACCTAAAGTAACATATGAAGATTCAAGTGTAACCATTAAAGTAAATAACCAAGTTGTTGCAATTGAAAATCCAATTTCTTTCATTGTAAAATAAGCTAACGGAACACATAAAGCAGAAAATGTAGCATTGAATAATCTCATTTTAGTATAATCAATATAATCAGGATATTTTTCACCACTTGGAAAATCCCATGAACCATTATAACCAGCTAAATAACCTGATAAACCAACCAACATTTTACCTAACGGAGGATGAACATCATGATAAAATTCATGTCTAAGATAATAAGATCCAAATTTACCGAAATGAGCTTCATCCCAAACAACATTATCATTTATTGAAATTCTATAAAATCTAACAAAAAATGATAATAAAGTGAAAAGTATTGGTGCAAGAATTGACTCTAAAGTTTTTAAAGATTCTACTTTTTCCTTTGTTTCATCATACTGAGTTCTTTTCTCTTCATCTTCTTCATTATATTTCTTTTCAATTAATGGTTTCCTTCTAATTGCTTCAGATTCATATTGTTTATATGAAGACATAATTTGTTGTCAATTAGAATGGCCGAAAAATAAATTTTCTATGAAAAACGCAACACGTAGAAAAACTAAGTATACAAAATAATTATAAATATTACACTACTATAGATTGTCTTATTGAATCAATTAATAACCATATGACTCTATTAATCAGATTTAGGTCGTCTATCATATAATTAATCTTAAATTTACCATCATTGTTTAAACTTATTAATGCGCTTGTAAATTTAACAAGTGTTATTTTATTAAATTTAATCTTTGTTTGTTTATATAAATATTCACATATATTATTATATAATTCTCCTTTGTTAATTTCTTGTAGATCTAATTTATTTATATCTATTATCATATTCTTTAATGAATCCGTTTTAATTGGTGGTGTATAAATTAATTGTATATCATATAATTTTAATTGATCCAGTAAACCATTTATAATTTTAGGTATTACATTTAGTCTCATTGGTTTTATAATCATTGGTATTTCATTAATATCTTCTAATGTTTCCATAATATATTCATTAACATATTGATACGTAGATTGTACTTTATTCAATATTAAAACTAATTTTTGTCGATATCTTAAATCATTTTTGATGAATAAGTATATTTGTTTTGAAAATAGTTTAATTTCACTACGATGACAGACTATTAGATATTGTAATTTTCTACCTTCATATTCTAGTGTATTATTTTTAATCATAATCTCATTTAGTATATCTCTCCATGATTCATATCTTGGTTCTTCTTCTTGAGATTTTAAATATTGTTGATATCTATCATATATAAAATTTGCTAATAATGATCGAAGCTTACTTAATTGAGTAGTAGTTAATTTATCAGCATCTGGAGTTAATAATGAGTTTGTTTTATAAGTTTTAAATTGTTGATTCAATACTATATCAGTTAAATCATTAGACATTAATCGTGATGTTATGTTTATTATTTTATTATTTTATTTTTTAGACCTGGCGCTTCCATATGACAAAATTGAAAGCCGATTTAAAGCGCGTCTTAAAATTTTTTTTTCGCGTTATGTCCGACCCATTCTTGAAATCATTAGTCGAGGATAAATTATTCGGATTTGATAGTTGATTGGACTGTTGGTATATGATACGAATCTTTGGGTTCATTAGCTTATGCTGTTAGTGAGTTGAACTCGATTTTTTGATCTAGGATCAATTTGAGAATGATAAACTACTTTAAACGTTAATTTAGCTACCAATTTCTTAATAAAAAAACTGAATTTTACATCTTCAATACTTTGAACATCTTTTAAAAAGTCTTAGCACATTTATAAGAGTAGTAGACGTATTTAGCTTAGTTCCAAGCTACAATATAACACTATAATGTCTCATTATAAATTGGATGCAAAAGATTTCGCTACCAATTGAAAAGCAATATTTTACAAGGGACTTTCAAGATTTTGCAATTAGTAATGACAAGCGACAATTCTTCTTTTGGTATTAAACATACACCAATTACTTCATTGATTAAATTGGCCTTTTAACCTTTATTATGTGTTTTTAGATGTGTATAGTCGAAGGTACACGATCTTTCACAAAATCAAAGACCAACAAAACTGATAACCTAAATAATCTTTCAACACTTTCAACACGTTCATCAAAATGCCCGACTTCAATTGGCCGATCTAATTATACTACATATGGTTACAATTGACAACCCGTCACTCAAAATGTTTAAGGTTCATCACAAAACTTTGATTTCCAAAAAAACATACACATTCGTTCCAAATACGGCGATCACAGAATCAAGTTTTTAAGAAAAGCCGTTGAATTCCGTGAAAAATCAAAAAACATACACACGGCTATACCTTACAACCCGCCTGTAAACGTATATAAACTATCAAAAGTATACACATTGAAAATATTACACTAACTCCTTAATCATTAACTATGCAAATTAACAAAAATAACAAAAAACATACACATAAAACTGAGCTTTCTAACAATTTGAAAACTACAAATAGAAGTTCAAATTTCCCAGTTTTCATTCTTTTTAATCATCATTCAATGAGATTTTCATTTGCTTTATTATCATTAGCTGCTACTTCATTAGTCTCTGCTGGTTATTTCAAACCTACTCCTATTGATGAAGATTGTTATGAAACTGGTTTAACTTCAGTTGATTTTGAATTTGCTTTAGGTGTTAAAGATTGTGATTATGATTATGATTATGATAAAAGAGTTTATGATTTAGTTTTTGAAATTGGTGATGGTCAATTAGAACATGATGGATGTCACTTAATCACTTGTGAATCTTGTTATCCAACTAGTACTTATTGTCCAACTACTACTTATTGTCCTGATCCGGTCACTGAAGATTGTGAAACAACTACCACTTATTGTCCAGATGATTGTGATGATAAACATAAACATAAATGGAAAAGAGGTGAATATTATTCAAAAAAGGATAAATATTGTGAAGTTTGTAAACCTTTCAAAGATGTTACATTTTTCACCTTATGTGATACTGTTTTTCAAGATGAATGTGATGGAATTGGTTCAATTGTTGCTAATCATCAGTTCCAAGTCGATAAACCTGTCCAAGTCGATGCTATATATACTAAAGGTTTTACCATTGTTGAAAAAGATGATGAATATTTATTAGCCTTAAAAGGTAAAACTAAATTCTGGCATTGTAAAGTTGATGATTGTGGTTTATACAAATTATATGATAAAAAAATAGCTCCACAATGTTCCGAAATTGAATTAGTTATCATTAAAGCTAAAAAATGTGATGAAGATTGTGATGATTATTAGGTCATGATAAAGCTAAAGAAATAAGGGTGTGAATTATTCGGCATTTATTTTCAATTCTAGGGGGATTTTTGTATTTGGGTTGCTAATTTTATTTCGGTTTAACCACTGGTTGGTTTTAGTTATTTATAGTTCTTTAGCAAATATATTATATCACACCTAACTTATTATTTCGTAATATTATGTCTCTTGATTATAATGCAAATTTAATTTCTCTGCTTTTAAATGAAGAAGCGCGATTTTGAGATTGACCTGGGCCGTAGCGCAATTTTTTACAAAAATATAATTGGACCAGAGATCAAAGAATGTAGAAATCATATCTAGCCGCCAAAACAATATTTTCATTTATTAAATCGTGTTGAGCAACTGCAATGATCACATTGAAATCTGATTATGCAGTTTTGAATACTCAGAATGTTGCATGATCAATCTAAGTTTGATCTTATGATAATAAGGTTAGTAAGCTATGTAGCAAATGGATGTCAATTTTATACATTGAGTGATTATGCACTTTATAAGTTAGATGCGTAGAAGGTCGGCCAACTAAAAGAGATTGATCAAGAATTTTCAATTTACTTTTATTGTCATTCGTGATAATACGAACTACTTATTAACATTTCTTTCGAGCTGCTTGAGATCCAAAGTTTATCTACTAATTGGTTCATGTTTAAATAACAGTTTTGATAAAGCAGCTAATAACATCAATAACTAAGTCCAATCATACTTCTAAAAATCAATAAGTTTGCGAATTCAAAAGAATACTAGAGATTACAATTATTTGATTTATATAAATATAATTTACATAATTCATTTTTATCAACAACCAACTATATCAAAATATACAATTAAGATAATTAAAATAAGCCATAATTAAATTTACAACTTATTTTTAGCTAGTTAATTAGCATCAACTTTAGCAACATGTTCTAATAAGTCAACAACAATGGTTGAGTAACCAAATTCATTATCATCCCATGAAATTAATTTAACGAAAGGTGGTGATAATAAGATACCAGTTTTGTCATCAAATATTGATGAGCATAATGAGCCTAAGAAATCAATTGAAACAGGTTTAACTACGACAAGACTGCATATAGTCCAAAATTGCTTCAAATTTATTTTTGAAAGTATGTAATTTTCAGAGCGAGAATTCGCCTTGAAAAAAATAATTTTCGCCATAGAGTTAAGGCGACTGGCACTAGATACTTTAGCTTATACTTCACGAACAACACATGCTCTCAAGATTAAGACCATTTTAATAAATTTATTGGACATGAATCATGCATGCCTCATATTCAAAGTTGACTATTTCAAAATTGTTTTTTTTTAAGTTGTCTTTTTAACCTTTTTTTCATCATACAAAAAATTTGCAAAAAATGAAAACGCAAAGTATACTTTATTTAGGGCCAGAACTTCTAAATAAACAACAAACTATATATATCAGATCTCAAAAAATATTGACTAACGAAATTCGAAATGATCAGAACTAAAATTGAAAAGCTTCAATAATTTCTCTTTAGAATGACGAAAATCGAATAAATTGACCTCATGAAAAATCTAGCTCCACATTTGACAATCAAATTAAAACATAATAAAACTGCGCTGTGTTTTAGGTCTGGTCTATGTATAACTTAATTATTTCTGTGTTAAGGTATTCAAAATTTGAAAAGTAAATTTTCGATATTGTTTCAGAATTTTTGAAAAAATTCAAACTGATTGTGGCTTCTTGAAATAGTCATACAAAGGGATCTTGACCTTACATGATCCAAATCAGCTTTATTAGAAGTTGTAAAACGAGATGTAAGTGTCATTTATTTTACAATTTGGCGTTTTTTTGTCGTTTTTTAAATGATGAATTAAGCGACCAGTATTAAGTTATTTCGTAAAGAACTTAAAATCAGTTAAATCTGACTTTGCAGAAGTTTTAAGCTAAAAAGCCTGATGAGTACAGCCTGAACATGAGGGACTTATTTACAATTTAGGTTTCATGATTAACAACTCTAAAACTGCATATAAGTCGGTTCTGTTTCGAAATTACCATGAAAGTTTATTTCTGTGGCCTTCATTTTAGTGCGAGCATGAGGCGAGTAAAATAATCTTGCACTAAACTTCAGCCCATTTCAGAGCGAGATGGCCCTAAAGATTTTATTGAATAACTAGTTAAATAATCAACGTGTCAAAGATTTGTTTGCGTGAATATACACAGTTCTACGCAGAAAACTATTTGATACTGATTCGAGAGTGCTTGCAATACTTTTCTTTGAACTTAAGTTCTGATCAGCTCAATTATAACACTTTAAACCGGTATTTTCAAGTAGACTTTTTGAAGATTCCCCAATTAAAATCATAATTCTGATCTATCTGACATTAAAACTTCCATTCTAAACTCAACAATTGTTTGAGCAAATCTTCATGATTTTGAATTAGACGATATTTTATATTAATTTTTTGATTGCAAAATTTAATGTCGTGCGATTTCAAAAATCGAAACAAAATTTTTAATTTTCAACAATTGATAAAACTATTATGGATTCACCATTAAATAGTACTATAGGTGCTCGTATGAGTGCTTATTTAATAACTGCAAATGATTATAAAAAGCAAAGGAAAAGATTAAATAAAAAATTACTCAAATTACGTCATGACCTAAATTTAACTACTCAAGATACAAAGAACTATAAAGATAAAGAAAGTCAATCAAAAATTACTAAAGAACAATTTGAATTAAATGATAAATATGGATTAATTTATTTATATCTCGCTGAAAGAGACTTATTATATGCTTTAGAATTGAAAAATATGATGGAGATAGAAACTAATAAATCTTCAATAAACTTAATTAAAACCAAATTAAAAAGATCATTACAACATTCATATAAATTATTAGATATAACTAATAATTTAAAAGGTAAAACTAAAGTTGAAACATATATATATTCATCATTAATAGCTGGTCAATACTCAACTACAGCTAAAAAATGGAAAAATGCTTTAAATTCATTTTCAATTGCCAAATGTTCATTAGATTATTTATTATCAATTGAATCAGATGAATTTCAAAAAACATTATATAATGAAATATTAGAGACCTTAATCGAACCAAGTTTAAATTTATCAATGTCACAATTGGAATTAAAGGGTGATTTAAAAACTATAAGTAGAAAATATAGTCATGATGAAAAGTTCCCTCAAATTTCACCAGTTTTAAAATTAATTGACGTGGAATTTACAAAAGATATTTCACTGGAAATTGAATTAATTCGACAAATAAAATGGAGAAATCATAGTGCAGAAATTTATAATGATGAAATTGCCTTTAAAATTATGGAAATTAATAAAGAAAATTGGCAAGGATTTGATGGTAATCAATTTGATTGTTTAATTACTAAATGGTTGCAAATTTTAGAATTACATAAATTAGATAATGAAAAAAATCAAGATGATGATGATTTGGATCAGGTTCAAAATAGAGCTATATTATTAACTTATGTTAATTATAATTTATTATTTACAAAATTAAAAAGAGATCTACTTTTAATTGGACAATTGAAGGATAAAAAAGATATAATTAGATTATTTAGTGGGATAATTATAATTATTGAAGAATTAAAAGAATTACCTGGTGTTTATAATGATGAAGAATTGAGTGAATCTTTAGAAAGTTTAGAGAAATTTTACAAAGCAAAAAAGAATGTTGAAATCGCTGAATGTTATCAAATAAATGGTAGATATAAAGAAAGTTTAAAAATTTATAAGTATATCCTTGATGATTTTGATATAAATTATAAGACTCAATTTCCATTTGAACTAAGCACAAATGAAGAAATTGCAATTTTTAAACAACAATTGAAATCGAAATTATTACAAAATCAAATAAATTCCCAATTTGAATTATCAAAAGGGTTTGAAGGCTATACAATTGAAAATATGAATAAATATCCAAGTGGTCCAATTATTAATTTAACTAAATTACAACCAATTCAATGTAAACCAGTATTGTTTGATATTGGTTATAACTATATAAATTATAATAGCGTAAATAGAAAAAATGAGAACCAAATTGAAACTGAAAAAAAAGGTTTCTTTGGTTTATTTAAATAAACATAATATTGTATAATAATATACATATATACGTGTTTTAGTGATCGTATTCAATGAAGAAAGAAGTTATACTAATAATTAATGTATTAGGTTTATATGTTACGTTTTTAACATGGTCAATTTTACAAGAACGTATAAATACAAAACCATACCAAGATCAATATTTTAAATCTCCATTAATTATAAATTTAATACAAGCATTTTTTGCATCAATTGTTGGTTATATATATTCAATAATAAAGAAAAGTAATCCATTTGATATTTTTAAAACTCATACTACCAAATTATTTGGTTGGTTATTATTAATTTCATTAACTTCATCTTTATCATCACCGATTGGTTATAAATCATTAACACATTTAGATTATTTAGCTTATTTATTAGCAAAATCATGTAAATTAATACCAGTAATGTTTGTTCATTTTATATTTTACAAAACTAAATTTCCATTATATAAGTATATTGTAGCTTGTTTAGTTACATTTGGTGTGATAATTTTTACATTTGCTCATAAACAAGAAAAAACAAGAATAAATGATGGAAATACACCATTAGGGTTAGTTTATCTTATTGGATCAATGTTATTAGATGGTTTAACCAATTCAACGCAAGATCAATTGTTTAAATTGCCTGTAAACTTAACAGGCGCAAAATTAATGTGTATTTTAAATTTATTTGTATTTATATTAACATTGGGATATACTATTATATTTACAAATGAATTAACATATGGATATAACTTTATATTGAACCATAATGAAGTTATATATGATATATTATTATTTAGCGGATGTGGTGCAATTGGTCAAGTATTTATATTTGTTATATTAGAGAAATTTGATTCAATTATATTAATTACAGCTACTGTTACAAGAAAGATGTTAAGTATGGTATTAAGTGTTTTATTATTTGGTCATTACTTAAATATAAACCAAATAATTGGTATAATACTAGTATTTGGTGGTATTAGTTATGAAGCTCTAATAAAATTAACAAAGAAAAAAAAACATATAGACTGAAAATATATATATATATATATATATATATATATATAAATAGATTATTGAATGAATACATAAATAGATTATTGGATGAATACATTTATATTGAATTGTGAATCATTATGTTGTTTTATTGCAAGCTTATTTCCTAAAGTATTCTGTACTTTCACATTGACTTGGTCATTATATGTTATACTATTTATAATGGATAATCATTTGTTGATTAATTTAATATTAATTGGTTTATACATACTATGTTTATATACATACTACAAAATTATTTATATTGGACCTGGTTCACCTTTAGATTATGCAGATTTAAGAATAAATATTCAAGAAAATCCTTACGGAGAACTAAATCAACAATCACCTCCAAATTTTATGCAATTACATACTTTAAAATTTGGTGGTTCGCAAGGTTTCAGATGGTGTTCAAAATGTAATTGTTGGAAACCGGATCGTACTCATCATTGTTCAAGTCTGGGTAAATGTATTTTAAAAATGGATCATTATTGTCCTTGGTTTTCAACTTGTATTGGATTTTTTAATTATAAATTTTTTATACAATTTTTAGCGTATGTGGCGATATATTGTTGGATTGTTTTTATAATAACATTAATCCTGTTATGGAATTTCTTTACTCAAGAGACTTTTCAAGATGAATTTTTATCAATAAATGTCGTGATACTATGTGTATTGGCATTTGCATTTGGTATATCATTAATTATATTTTTAGGATTCCTGGTATATTTAATACTAAGGAATTTAACTACAATTGAATTTCAAGAAAGAAGATGGAATTTTAGAGGTGGATCTGGGAAAGAGAACATGTTTGATTTGGGATATAAGAAAAATTGGGAATCAGTAATGGGAAACAATATATCTACATGGTTATTTCCAATTTCAATAACGAATCATGATCCAAAGGGATACCTTTCAGGTATAAACTTCCCAGTAAATCAAGATATATACGAAGAATTGTGTCATAATGCAGAATTACAAGAACAATTAAATAGACAACTTAAAAATTATCGAAGATGATGAAATTGACACTCAAAGTAAGTAGATCTTACAACAAAAGACATATTTATATATATTCAATACACGCATAATCTAGGCAAATTTTTAATTTTCGAAATTTTTGTTGATGATAACATTTTGAAAATTATACGAAAAAATAATTTATCAATAAATATATATATATATGCACATCACCAATGTATACTCAATTACCATTCGATGATTTACAAGTAGATCCAACTCAGAAGAAAAGGATTGCATATTTTTATGATGCTGATATTGGAAATTATGCTTATGGTGCAGGACATCCAATGAAACCACATCGTATAAGAATGGCTCATTCATTAATTATGAATTATGGTTTATATAAAAAAATGGAAATTTATAGAGCAAAACCTGCAACCAAACAAGAAATGTGTCAATTTCATACTGATGAATATATTGATTTTATAAGTCGAGTTAGTCCTGATAATTTAGATTTATTTGCAAAAGAACAATTAAAATTTAATGTTGGTGATGATTGTCCAGTATTTGATGGTTTATTTGAATATTGTGGTATTTCGGGTGGTGGATCAATGGAAGGTGCTGCTAGATTAAATAGAGGTAAATGTGATATTGCTATAAATTATGCTGGTGGTTTACATCATGCTAAAAAATCAGAAGCAAGTGGATTTTGTTATTTAAATGATATTGTTTTAGGTATAATTGAATTATTAAGATATCATCCAAGAGTTTTGTATATTGATATTGATGTTCATCATGGAGATGGAGTTGAAGAAGCTTTTTATACAACTGATAGAGTTATGACATGTTCATTTCATAAATATGGTGAATTTTTCCCTGGAACTGGAGAATTAAGAGATATTGGAGTTGGTAAAGGGAAATATCATTCTGTTAATGTTCCATTAAGAGATGGTATTGATGATTCTACATATAAATCAATTTTTGAACCATTAATAACTAAAATTATTGAATGGTATCAACCTTCAGCAATTGTTTTACAATGTGGAGGTGACTCACTAAGTGGTGATAGATTAGGTTGTTTTAATTTATCAATGGAAGGTCATGCAAATTGTATAAATTTTGTTAAAAATTTTAATATTCCATTAATGGTCTTAGGTGGTGGTGGTTATACAATGAGAAATGTTGCAAGAACATGGGCATTTGAATCAGGATTATTAAATAATGTTAAATTACCAACAGAATTACCATATAACGAATATTATGAATATTATGCACCAGATTATAAATTAGATGTTAGATCTTCAAATATGTATAATCAAAATTCACCAATATTTTTAGATAAGATTTTAACAAGTATTATAACAAATTTAGAAAATACAAAACATGCTCCAAGTGTTCAAATGAATGAAGTTCCAAGAGATGCGGAAGATTTAGGAGATGTTGAAGAAGATACACAAATGGCATTAGATACAAAAGGAGGATCAGAATTTGCAAGAGATTCACAAATTGAACCTGATAATGAGTATTATAATGATTTAGATAAGAAAGAAAAGAATATACTTACAAAAGATGAAGAAATGGAAATTGATCAATTAAACAATGCGCAAGAAAAATAGTACTATCAAAAAATATATATATATATATACATATATATATACATACATACATACATACATGCTTAAGTTTATGAGATCTCTATCAATACAATCTTGTTCTCAATTACCAAACGCAAGACGACCTCAATTTATAAAATCAAATAATTTATATAATTTAATTTGGAATTCACCGTTAAAAAATGTTTTCATTGTTAAAAAACCAAAAGATTTAAATGTTAAAAATGCAATGATTGAATTTATAAATTACCTTGGTCAAGATTACCCTAGTGTTAATATTATAATAAATGAAGATGTAGTAGAGGAACTTGGAGAACTTAATTATACGGTTTACACTGGATCATCTCAAGATATTGTTGATAAAACAGATATGTTAATTACTTTAGGTGGTGATGGTACAATTTTACATGGAGTTAGTTTATTTTCAAATAGTTCAGTACCACCAGTATTATCATTTGCAATGGGTACATTAGGATTTTTATTACCATTTGATTTTAAAAATTTTAAACAATGTTTTTCAATGGTTTATGAAAATAGATCAAAAGCTTTGCATAGAAATAGACTAGAATGTCATGTTTATCGAGAGAAAAAGACGGAAAATCGAGAAATGATTCATGCGATGAATGAAATTACAATACATAGAGGTAGTTTACCAAATTTAACTGCATTAGATATTTATATTGATAATGAATTTTTCACAACTACCAATTCTGATGGTATAATTTTTTCTACACCAACAGGTTCAACAGCTTATTCATTATCATCAGGTGGATCAATAACTCATCCAAATGTACCATGTATATTATTAACCCCAATATGTCCAAGATCATTATCATTTAGACCATTAATTTTACCAAGTGCATCAGATATAATGATTAAATTATCAGACAATAATCGAAATAAAAATATTGAATTAATAATTGATGGGATATCACAAAATGATTTACAACCGGGAGATGAATTGCATATAACATCTGAGAGTATTGGTAATGATGATTTAAATGGGATTTGGTGTGTAGCAACAGATCGAAACCAGTGGGCAAAGGATATAAATAGTTTATTAGGGTTTAATAATCTGTTTAAAAACAAAGGGAAGATATAATGTATATATAATAATAAATATATAATAATATATATAATATATATACAATAATATATACAATAATATATAGTATAATATATAGTATATGAAGTTTATGAAAAGCAACTGGTAGCCCTTCAGTTTATTCTATATGTACTATACGTACTATATGAAAAGCAACTGGTAGCCCTTCAGTTTATTCTATACGCACTATACGCACTATACGTACTAAACGTACTATATGCACTATACGTACTATACGTACAATACGAGATCACATGGTAGCACCAGATTCCATAAAACGATCACCAAGAAAAATATGAAACAATCGGGGTGAAATAAATAAAGGGGGTGTAAATATAGAAACAAAACAGTTTATCGAAAAAAATGAAAAAATATCACCACATGTGAATTAAGAAAAATTATATGACAAAGTTTTTAAAATTCCCAAGAGTTTAACAAAGAAGAAGTAATTAACAATATCATCAAATACTATATAATATATTAATAAATCTTGATATGAATATGATATAGCATATCCAAAAGTGTAAAGTAAGATAAAAATCGAAAAGGGGAGCGAAAATTTATATTTTATTATGTTACACCCAGAAATTCTTTTGGTTCTATTGTTTTAAATGTCTTTTTAAAATGTCAAAACCGAAAATCAGTTGTTAGTTTTTCAATTAATACCCTTCCCTTTTTTTGAGCAATTTTGTGTAATTAACAAGTTAAAATTCGTTAAATCTCGTTCTTTCCTTTTCTTCTTATTTTTATTTTTATTTTTATTTTTATTTTTATTTTTATTTTTTTTTTTTTTTTTTTATTTTATTTTTTTTATTTTTTTATTTTTTTTTTTTTTTTTTTTTTTTTTTTTAATTATCAACAAAACAAAAAAAAAAAAAAAAAAAAAAGACTTACATAAATTTATTTATTCATTACATCAAAAAATTTTAACAATAAAGTGTTGGCCAATATATTTTATTTAATTTAAGTTCATCCAAGTTTATTATGTATAGTACAAACCATCCGATTGTAGTTGGTAATAAACAGCCTCTTCAACCTCCACAACCTCCACAAGCTTTAAATGGTGGTTTACATTCACAACCTCCTCCTCCTCCTCATGATTTACAACAACAACAACAACAACAACAACAGCAACAACAACACCCAAGTGGTCCAGGTATAATTGTAGCTGCTGCTCAAGCTAGTGCCAAACAACAAGCTCAAGCTCAAGCTCAAGCTCAACAACAAGCTGCTGCTCAAGCTCAAGTTCAAGCTCAAGTTCAAGCTCAACAGCAACAACAGCAACAACAACAACAAATTTCAATTGCTAGTGCCCTTTCGGAAACTACAACATCCACTTGGTTAGCCATTGGTTCTTTAGCTGAAAGTTTAGGTGACGTTGAACGTGCTTTATCGTCATATGATTCGGCTTTAAGACATTCTCCAAATAATCCAGAAGCTTTAATCAAATTGGCAAATGTTTATCGTTCAAAAGATGTATTTTTTAAGGCTGCAGAATTATACGAACAAGCTTTAAACTTTAATCCTGAAAATGGTGAAACTTGGGGTTTATTAGGTCATTGTTATTTGATGTTGGATGATTTACAAAGAGCTTATGCTGCGTATCAAAGAGCTTTATATTATTTAGAAAATCCAAATGTTCCAAAGTTATGGCATGGTATTGGTATATTATATGATAGATATGGTTCTTTAGAATATGCGGAAGAAGCTTTTGTAAGAGTTTTAGAATTGGATCCAAATTTTGATAAAGCAAATGAAATTTATTTTAGATTGGGTATCATATATAAACATCAAGGTAAATTACAACCATCATTAGAATGTTTTCAATATATTTTAAATAATCCTCCTCATCCATTAACTCAGCCTGATGTTTGGTTTCAAATTGGTTCTGTTTTAGAACAACAAAAAGATTGGAATGGTGCAAAAGAAGCTTATGAAAAAGTTTTACAAGTAAATCCACAACATTCAAAAGTTTTACAACAATTGGGTTGTTTATATTCACAAGCTGAATCAAATCCATCGAGTCCAAAAAATGGATCAAATAATTTTCAACAAGATTTAAATATTGCATTGAAATATCTTACACAAGCGTTAGAAATTGATCAAAGTGATGCTCATTCTTGGTATTATCTTGGTAGAGTTCATATGATTAGATCTGATTATAATGCTGCTTATGAAGCTTTTCAACAAGCTGTTAATAGAGACTCAAGAAATCCAACATTTTGGTGTTCTATTGGTGTTTTATATTATCAAATTAGTCAATATCGTGATGCTTTAGATGCTTATACAAGAGCTATAAGATTGAATCCATATATATCTGAAGTTTGGTATGATTTAGGTACTTTATATGAAACTTGTAATAATCAAATTAGTGATGCTTTAGATGCTTATAGACAAGCTGAAAGATTAGATCCAAATAATCCTCATATAAAGGCAAGATTAGATCAATTGATAAAGTATCAAAAAGAAGGTAATACTCATCCACCACAACCACCTCCAGTTTCTCAACAACCAAGATTGCCTCAAGGTATGGTTTTAGAAAGTAATCAAGAACAACAACCTCAACAACCACAACCACAACCGCCACAACCGCAACAACAACAACAACAACAACAACAACAACAACCACCACCACCACCACCACCTCAACAACAACAACAACAACATCAACAAAGTTTACCACCACCTCCTCACCAACAACCTAATTATCAACCACCTCATATAAATCAACAACCTTACCAATATCCACAACCAAAAGATGTGTATCCAACTATAAGTTCAAGAAATCATACACCTAATCCAGCACCTGAATTTCCTAATAATCAACAATCAGATAAAGAAGAAAAACCAATAGGTCCTGCACCAGTTTCAAAAAAAGAGGAGAAGAATATTCCAACTACTGAACCAGAAGGTACAAGATCAACAGCAATACCTCTGACTAAAAAAAATGGTAAACATGATTTAGAAGATAAAGAAGATCAAAAAGTTACTAAAAAGCCAAATAATCCAGAACCAATTGAAAAGAACATTGAAAAAGAACCAAATGGTGAAACTCCTATAAATAGTGTGGAAGAGAAAAAATCAACACCTCCAACAACATCAAATCAATTGAAAAAGGAAGAAAAAACAGGTGCTGTTGTATCTCCTCCTCCTGCTCCTGCTTTAAGTACGGAAGAAATAATTGGAAAGGAAGAAGAACAAGAACAAGATAAAGAAACACCAGCTTTAAAAGAATCTATTATGCCAGTAAAAGAACCAATTGAAGAAAATAAAGATATAGAAGAAGAAGAAAAAAATGACGTTGTTGAACCACCAATGAGAAAAGTTGAAGAAGAAGAGAATTATGATGATGAATAGTAATATATGTAAATTTATTTAAGGATATGCACCTGGGAATTCGACTTCCGGAACTATTTCTTCTAAATTTTCTGTAACTTGTTTAAATATAGTTAATTCTTCATCTGTTAATGTAGATAATTGTGACATTTGTGAAACTTTTAATTTAGTTAAATATAAATTGAAAAATTCTTTAACTATAGCCACAAGAAATAATCCAATTATATTAGCAACTAAAATCTTTTTGTCCTTTGGAAGGTTTTTAAGTAACGGAATTATTAATAAACCAACTTTTGATGAAATATATGGCCAACATAAAGTTGTGAAACATTTTATAATTGTTGATCCATATGATATTGTCATTGAATAATCATTTTTGAGACATATTAAAGTATATTTTAAATTCTGTATTAATTTTAATTTCCATGATTTAGTTTGTTCAATTTCATTATTTAAATTTTCCAATTTTAAAATTTCATCTTCTGATAAACTATTTGCAATTGCTCTTGGTCTAACCTTCATTGTGTAATTAAAATAAACTCTATTAAATGTAAGTCTATATATCAAATCATAAATCCATCTCAATGGTATCAATGTTGATATTAAATTACTGGTATCCAAACTTAATCTACCCCTCATTAGTTCCCTTATTAATTTATGATCACTAAATGATGAGATATAACCAGATATCATCAACTCATTAATCCAATTCTGTATACTATTATCTTCCTTCTCTGGAAAGAAACATCTAAAAATAGATGAACTTCTTAACCTAAACATAACTATGGGTAATATTGGAATTCTTGAAAATTTTAAAGGATCAACTAATCCTTTCATCAATGCTTGTTCTAAATTATCAATTGAATAAATATTAAATATCAAATTTGATTTTTTGGTAAGTAATTTGATTAACAAAGAATTTGGTATAATACAATCCATAATTTTTAAACCTGCTGTGGTTAAACCAATATAACCCATCGATAAAATACCAGTTAATGCAGAAGTTAAACCTAAAAATACACCACCATATTGTACAATTCTTGTAATTATAGTTTTCCCTGAAGAATATATAGTTAAAACCAGATTTTTATCCATTTTAAATACAATTTGTTTTTTACATTGTGGACATGGAGCAAATATATAAATTCTATCAGATTTTATATTTACTGGATTTTCTTCAACTAAATTATTAAGCCATTGCTGAATAATTTGAGGCGATAAATTTATTTCAATAGTTTGATTAATTGGAGGAGCACCAACACCAATATATTCAGCTTGTCTTACACCATTTATAATTTTTAATTTATCTGAAGGTATTGTATTAAACCAATCTAATAAACATTTTTTATGACAAAGTAATGAACAAGTAGTACAAGGTTTTATTAAAGCTTTAGCATCTGATATAGAACCAAAAGGTGGAATCTCAGTATCATCACCTAAACAAAAACAACAAGAGTCCATGATAAAATTTGATTTTTATTGATAAGAGAAGAAAGAAATTATTTAAATTCTGTCGCGCCAATTCTAGGGCGATTTCGAGCGATTTCGAGCGATTTGGTGCGATTTGGTGCGATTTGGTGCTATTTGGTGCTATTTATTTAATTCTAAACCCATTGCAAAATGATACAATCTAGCATCTACTGTACAACTTTCTTTCTTCATTACCAACTCTAAAGAATTTAATAAATTATCCAATGGTAAACTAAAAGTTTCAATATATTCATTATCTTCTAATTGTGGTTTTGGATGTTTATTTTTTGGATTATTCAAATCCACATCAACATGAGCTAATACCATATTTGCATTTGTTAAACCAGGATCTGAAAATGTAATTGGAGATTGTTTTCTAAATACTCCATGATAACCAGTTTCTTCTAATAATTCGCGAACAGCAGTTGTTTCAATTGTTTCATTTGGATCTATTAAACCAGCAGGTAATTCAATTACAACTTTTTCTGTTGGAGGACGAAATTGTTTAACTAAAACTAATTCTTTACCTTTTGGATGATGTAAAATTGACACTATTGAAACAGCATCAACATTTACTTCTTTTGATCTTGTAGTTCTTATAGCCATTTCCCATTGTTTATCATTACCGTCAGGATCAGAATAATTTATTTTTTTTGTTTGAATCCATTTACCTTGTTGTAAAGATTCAATTGATATAATTTTAGCTTTATATGGTGAATTTTTACTACTCATTCTAATAAATTGCTTAAACATGAAAGAAAGAAAAAAAAAAAATCAATCAATATGGATCAACAACAAAAGGAATTGGCTCAAATTAAAGCTAAAATACAAAATCATTTGATATCTTCTGGTAATTATGATATAATAAATAAACAGTTAAAGCTTAAATTATATGAATCTGGTTGGTATGATAAAATTAATCAAATTGCATTAAGAGAATTAAATGATAATTCAAATATAAATTTTGATCAATTATATAATTTTATAAAACCAAAAGCTCAAGATTTAGTACCAGATAATGTTAAAGATGAAATAAATGTAAAGATTAAACAATATTTAGATCATGTTGTACAATAATTGGAAAAATGGTCCATCGCAAAATTATATAATTCATTTTATAAAACCAAAAGCTCAAGATTTAGTACCAAATAATGTTAAAGATGAAATAAATGTAAAGATTAAACAATATTTAGATCATGTTATACAATAATTGGAAAAATGGTCCATCGCAAAATTCAAAAATGGCCCATTTTCCCAAAATTCAAAAAATTAGGGTAGTTATCGAGTTGATGAGGATATGAGATGAAACGAGGTTTAATAAATGGATTAGTGAAACTTGTACGGTATCTAGATCATGTAGAATCGCAAGTTTGATGGAAATTTACAATTTAAAGCCTCACCTTTCAATGTAAAGCAAAGGAATTGATGATATTTGGTCCAATACTGTTTAATATACATTCACTATCATTAGTAGCAATATGATGTAATCTCTTAACTAATCTATCTCTCATAGTTAAATCAATATTTATCCAATCAATTCAATTTTTTTCCTGCTTAGTTAGGCGTAAAAAAAAAATATCATCAACTAATCAACCATCATGTTGAAATCATCATTAACAAGAATAAATAGACCATCTACATTAATAGCTCAGAGATTCATAGCAAGTAAGGATTTAACTCCTAAAGATTTACCAACTAATTATCCATTAATGTCAGATAAAACTGCTACTTCACCGATAGATTATGCTTTAACTTCATTAGATACAATAGCAAATTGGGCAAGAAAATCTTCATTTTGGCCAGTTACTTTTGGATTAGCTTGTTGTGCTGTTGAAATGATGCATGTTTCAGCTCCAAGATATGATCAAGATAGATTAGGTATTATTTTTAGAGCTTCACCACGTCAATCCGATATTATGATAGTTGCAGGTACTTTGACAAACAAAATGGCTCCTGCTTTAAGACAAGTTTATGATCAAATGCCAGATCCAAAATGGGTTATATCTATGGGTTCATGTGCAAATGGTGGTGGTTATTATCATTATAGTTATTCAGTTGTTAGAGGTTGTGATAGAATTATACCTGTTGATATTTATGTACCTGGTTGTCCTCCAACTGCTGAAGCATTGATGTATGGTGTTTTTCAACTTCAAAAAAAGATGATGAAAACAAGAATAACTCGTTTATGGTATAGATCTTAGGTTAGGGTTAATATATATGCTTTTAAGTTATGGAGAATTTTCGTTTGATTATTTAGTCGTAAGTCGTATAAAATTTAAATTTTTTGGTACGAGCAAAACTTTTTATCTCGCTTTAATTATGCGGCATGATCGATAAATTCGAACAAGGAACTTATAAATAAATGCAATCAATTGGATTGAAATCACTTTTCAAAACAAAAAGTGAATTATGAACTTTTGGCATTTGTTTTCCGTCTCAGTTTAATTTTTTCAAAGAAATCGCATATCCTTTAGCAGAAAATACACATAAATTATTGACTTGACCAATTGAGAGAATGGTAATGTCCCTCAAATTTTGAAAAACAGATTAGCGAACATTCTTATATATTTAAGAGTCTAGAGTATATGACAGAGATGCCATCATTCAATTGCATGTTTTTTAAGGGACTCAAAATTACTACATTTTTTCATAGCTTCATTATCCGATCAAGAGTAACACTCTTTCACATCAAAACAATCTAATACATTAAATCGAGTAAAAAATTTATGGAGTTATGCAATTTTCAGATGCGTAGCTTGGATCTAGCTTATACTTTTGCATGGATTTCACTTAGGGGGTAGGCAAGTAAAAAATAAGAATTTTTGTCGCTACCTTTTTTTTTGCAGCCAATTTTTCTGCCTCTTATGCAAATGTGATTAATGCAGAATTAAATAGGATCGACATGGATCAAGTCTTGCGTCTGATTTCTGGTATGCATCTAATACCCATTCTATACTAACGTACAAGATATGTCTAGAATAGTGAACAATCAATATAACTTCAGTTCAAAATGAAATTGGCACTAGTAATGAGATTTCAAATGAAACGACACATGACTAAGATACTGTTTAAACCTTTTAAGATACAAGACTAGCTCCTTATCTTTTCCAATTTGAGATATGAGTCAGTAGTCTCTATTCTGATAAGATTCGATACAAGAAATGCTATTGTTCATTATTCTATAATCTTATTTGAAATTAATTTAATATTCAAAGATAAGTTCTTAATCTACAATCAAAGAAGACAAGTTTGAGACCGACTTAGAATCAATTTATAATCATATATCGAATGATCCATATCAAAAAAATACAATTGCTTTCCTAGATTTCTTTTCTAAGTTTTGTTCAAAATATTTAATTGATTTTTATTTATTTTAAAAATTGTTGACAGTTGGTAGCATATCATAATTCAAGGTCAAACTACATTTTATGACAGAGATTAGACCTTTTAGTAATTTAGAGAATCAAACAATCGTAAACACAACAACACATAAACATAATATTAGAAATCAAACTATATAAAAATAACTGAATAACTGAAATAACTGAAATAAAAATAAAAATAAAAATAAAAATAAAAATAAAAATAAAAATAAAAATAAAAATAAAACTAAAACTAAAACTAAAACTAAAACTAAAAATAAAAATAAAAATAAAAATAAAAAAACCAACCAATAATTAACCAAATCATGCTCTTTCACCTCTTAATCTTCTTGCTAATTGAATATCCTTCTTTTGAATTGTAACTCTTTTAGCATGAATAGCACACAAGTTAGTATCTTCGAATAACCCTACAAGATAAGCTTCAACTGCTTCTTGTAACGCTCCGATTGCAGAAGATTGGAAACGTAAATCACTTTTAAAATCTTGCGCAATTTCCCTAACTAACCTTTGAAAAGGTAATTTTCTAATTAATAATTCTGTTGACTTTTGAAATCTTCTAATTTCTCTTAAAGCAACAGTACCTGGTTTATATCTATGAGGTTTTTTAACACCACCACTAACTGGAGCACTTTTTCTAGCTGCCTTTGAAGCTAATTGTTTTCTTGGAGCTTTACCACCAGTACTTTTTCTTGCTGTTTGTTTAGTTCTTGCCATTATGAAATAACTTGATAAATAATGATAAATGTGATAAGAAAGAAAAAAATTTTTGACTGAGGAAATTATATTTATTTTAAAGATTTTTTTGCTTAATTGAGATATTTAATTTGAGACGAAACGAACAATATGAAATTATTATGTACTCATAGTTAAGATGTAGGTAGTGTGTAATGGTTAAAGAAGGGGGGCTAAAATAAGACCTGATTGTTTAGCAAATGAGTGAGAGTAAAGAATGTCATGTCTATTGATGGCAAATATAACCTGACCATAATAAATTGTGTCCAAATTGATCAGCAGAAAAAAGAATTTTTTGGTATGAAGTTAATTAGGCTCAGTTTTGTTAGGCGAAAGTCGCACTCGATTTATATGCAGGTTTGATACCGAATTTAGACAAAACTGAAACATGAATTCGTTTGCAACAGAAATTAATTTTCATTTGCAAACAATTGTTACTCTTTATAAAATTTAGGAGTTGTAATTTTTATATATTCACATTAATCAAAGCTTAAACAAGTATTTATAGAGCAGTATACTAGTATAGACTAGACGTAAGGGAATAGAAGGTTTTATATTTATATGAAGCTTCATGGCGGCAACATTTTCAATTTTGACTTTTTTTTTTACATTGACTAAGCATCCGAAAAAACATTAGACAGGTAGACAGGCAATTGAATAAAGATACTATAGAGCATACTCTAGGAAACTCTGAATTTTTGGAAACCAGATCTCATAAACCTAAGGTATTATAAATCTATTTCCCTTGTGCAATTTTTACATTGAAAATTTATTGTTAAATTACTAAATGGTAATAAATTTTTGGAAGAAACAGATGTATATAATTGTAGTGTGTATAGTAGTCGAAATTCACTATTTGTTAATCTACTATAATTGAAAGAATCACATATGCTTCGCTATAGTATAAGATAGAAATCAATATAATTCGAATCAAAGATAATGCGTTGCGATACAAACAAAAATACCTACAGAAATCCCAAAAAAGCTGACAAGAGCTATTGTAACTGGTTTATTTTAAGTTTGCAGCATTTACTCATTGATTAGGGTTTATTTCAAGTTTGCAGCATTTACAGAAATCCCAAAAACTGACAAGAGCCATTGTAACTGGTTTATTTCAAGTTTGCGGCATTTACTTATTGATTAGAGGTTATTTCAAGTTTGCAGCATTTACTCATTGATTAGGCTTTGCCAGATTCCGAATTATTGCAAATTTCAAAAAGTGGTAGCATTAAGGGGTAATTATATTAAGGGGTAGTAGCAGCACAAATTTAATTACTCGTAATTTTCAACAGAGTCATTAATTTTAAAACATTCAAATATAAACAAAAAGTCGTTAAAACTATTAACCTACAGATATAATCTACAAACTTTCCTACCAATAACAAAATAAAAATTATAAAAATACAAACATAAAAAAAAAAAAAAATACCAAAATTGAAAACATAAATGGCCCTAAAATAACACATAAAACCCAAAATGACTGTAAACTTTTTGCTTTAATTTTCTTTTTCATTTTCATTTTCATTATTTTCTGGAGGTAAATTTAATGGTAAAAAACTTCCATTATTTTCAGGTGGTAAATTTAATGGGAAATTATCATTTAAACTTAATCTATTAATTAAATTTTCAGGTTGTTCATAAAATGGAAATAATTGTAATTGAGGAGGTGGAAAATTCGGATTTAAACTTGGTTGTAAATTTGGATTTAAATTTAAAAATTGATTTTGCATTAATGGTTGTCTTTGTGATCTATGACCCCATGATAATCTTATTCTTGATCCATTAATTATAAAACCTTGCATACTTGCAATTGCATTTTCTGCAGATTCTCTATTAATATATTTTATAAATGCACAATTTTTATTTAATGGAATTTTAATATTTTGTATAATTCCAAATGGTTTAAATAAAACAAATAAAGTTTCTTCAGATACTTGAGAACTTAATCCACCAACAAAAACAGTTGTATTTGTAGGATCAACAAATTGGATAGTTGGACTTTTTAAATCATCAAAATATAAATCGTTAGTTTGTTCTTGAAAATTAAATCTTCTATTATTATTAGATCTAGGAGTTGCTAAAGCAACTCTTAAAGGTCTACCACCAAAATAAACACCATTCATTTCAACTAAAGCTCTTTGTCTTTCTTGTTCATTTATAAATCTAACAAAACCAAAACATCTTGATTTACCACTTATTGGATCAGTCATTACTCTAACAGTTTTAATTGAATCGGGGAATTTTTTTTGAAAAAATGCTAATAAATGAGCTTCAGTAGTTGATGCAGATAAATCACCAACAAATAAAGAATATTCCATAGTTTGTATAATTGGAGCACTTAAAGTAGCACCACTAGCCCAATTTAATCTAAAATATTTCTTTTGATTATCAGGATTATTTGGAAAATTCTTTTGACTAGGCATTGCAATATCTGGTAATAACTGACCATTTAAACTTAAAGCTTGTTGAGCATCTTCAAAGTTTTCAAATTCAACAAAGCAATAACCAGAATTAGTTAAACCTTGATAATTTGGATTATCTTTAATAGTTTTTGGTTTAATCAATTTAACAATAACTTTTTTTTGTAATATATTCCACCATAAATCTATTATACCTTTTTCATCTAACCATGGATCCAAATCACCCATCCATAAAGTCCGTGGTTTTTCTTCTAAATCATGATCTAATTGAGTTGGAGGATTTGGAACATTATAATTTGATAATAACTCTTGTTCTTGTTGATGTTGATGACTGGCAGTATTTGAAGTTGTAATTGGTGATTGAATTATGTCATGGGGTATATGTGCCATGATATATCTATTGGTTATATAAAACTCTTAATAGAGATGGGCTCTAGAATCAGAAAAACTTGTTGTATGCAAAAGAAATCAACACAAAAACAAAACCGCCAAAAAAAAAAGTAGAACCAAATCAAATCAAAACAAGAGATAATAATATATTGGAATACATGGCAGATAAATATCAAGATAGAATAAAATATAAAGTAAATACCGATTTCAATGATAAATCTTCATTTGTTAACTTAGATCCACCTTCAATTCCGAATACTTTTAAAAATAAATCACATCCAAATGCTAAAACTAAAGAATTAGGTAGTAATTCAATAGATGAAACTCCTGAATGGATGCCGGTTGAATTAAATGATAAATGGATACCTGAACAACTATCACAATCAGCACAAGCACCGCAACCACCACAACCACTAAATTTTACTTCTTCTGTTAGAATTTCAAAAAAAGATTCAAATACAATGATTCATAATTCAGATATTAACGAAACTCCTGATTGGAAAAAGGCAACAAAAGGTTTCAATAATTTAAAACAAATATTTGAACCTCCAAGTATTGAACAACCAAAATCTCCTTTAAAATTATTTACTGATAATTATGATACATATACAGAACAAAAATTAAATGGTGTTTTAAATAATATGAGAAATACTCCTGCTCAAGCTCAAGCTCAAGTTCAAGCTCAAGCTCAAGCTCAAGTTCCATTAAATAAAATATCACAACCAAAATTAAATTCAATTCCTAGACCTACAAAGAGTTTTGCAGATTTTGCTAAAAAGGGAGATGCTATAATAAATAATATAAAGAAAAATTATAATGGAATTAGAGTTATTTCACAAAATACTGCTACTTCAACACCTAAAAATGATAAAATTGTATCAATAGAAGATGAATATGAATCTTATACCAGTGGATTTAGTTCAGATGAAGAAAGTGTAAAACAACCAGAAAAAGAATCGAGTTATACACTTGATTCTTTAAAGAAAAATAAATCAAAACAATCAGAATATACATTTGATTCTTTAAACAAAGATAAGTCAAAACAATCAGATTATACATTTGATTCAATTTCACAACTAAAACAAGAAAATGAAGAGATTAGAAAGTCATTAGAAGAACCATTAATCGATACTACGCCATTAACTTTTGATGCAAATGATGATAGTATATATCATGAAGATGTTTTTAAATGGAAATCAAAATCAGAATTAGGTCCAATTATAGGAAGAGTTGATCCACAAGATTTACCAATTGAATATGAAAATATGATTTATGATGCTGAAAATCAAAAATGGATTGAAAAAAATAAAGGAAATTATACTTTAGTAGGTATTGAAGATTTGACAGAGGAAATAAAACCAATTTTGAAAAAGCCAAGTAGGAAAAATTTAGAAGTTTCATTTCAAGAACCAGGTAACGTTACAAGAATATCACATATTGATGAAGTTTCATTTAGTGAATCAAAGAAAAGATTAATTTCAATAATTACTGAAATTGTACAAAATTCTTGGAATGAAATTATAGATATAGATTTACAAGATTATCAATTGGAAACAATTAAAGATTTAGATCAAATGCTACCAAATTTAAAAGAAATCAACCTTTCAAATAATAATCTAACGTATTTAACTGGATTAACGGAGTCAACAATGTCATTAAATATAAGTAATAATAACATTCAAGATATTACACCATTACATTATACAAATTTACACAATTTAGATCTAAGTTTTAATTTATTAACTAGTTGTTCAAATTTATATGAGAATATTCATTTAACTACATTAAATTTAAGTAATAATAGGATAACAGATGTTACAAATCTACAGAAATTGATTAATCTTACAGATTTAGATTTATCAGGCAATTCAATTGAAATATTTAATATTAGTCTTGCACATTTACAAGTTTTAAATTTGAGTAAGAATAAAATTACTCAATTTCATACCAATTCACCAAGATTAAGAATACTAAATTTAAATGAGAATAAATTAGTCAAATTTTCAAGTCATTTAAGAATTGCAAAATTATTATTAAATGCAAATAAATTAAAATTATTAGACGTTAGTAAAATGATTGATTTGCGTTGTTTAAAATTTGATAGTAACAACCTAAAACAATTGGAAATTAGAAATTGTCTTGAACAAGTATCTTGTAAATCTCAACCATCACATATTATTGAAAAAATCAATACATTAACTAATCTTAGTAAACTTGATTTATCGGGTAATCAATTAAAAGTAACTAACCCAATGTTATACATAACAGATCTTACATTAGCAGCCATGAATTTAAAATCTATACCTATTAATTTTTCAAATATTTTCCCCAACGTTCAAAATTTAAATTTAAATTTTAATAAACTTGAAAATATTGATAATTTAACACCATTAGAAAATCTTAAGAAGTTATATCTTGTTAATAATCAATTTAAACTGTTCAAGGATATAATGAGACCTTTATCAAACATTAAAAAATCAATACGTGTATTAGATTTTAGATTAAATCCAATAAGTCAAAATTTATGGCCATTTGTATTTACAAAAGAAGAAGATGAAATGACAATTCAATTAGAAAGTATGAATGATATAGATGGATTTATTGATCATTATCATGAATTAGATAAATCAAATGATTGGGAAGATAGAGATGAAATATTTATAAAATCGAATAACAAATCTGTAATTAAGAAACGATTGACAATTGAAGAAACTTTATTAGTTTACTTTATAAACTTAAAAAAATTGAATGGTAACAAAATAGATAAAAATGATAAAGAAATAGCCAAGAAACGATATATGGAAAAAAAATAATCGTAATGATGGTTCTATCCACACGATTATCAATACCGTGGGAAAATAATGAACCAGAAGAATTATCAAATACATTAGCTTATAACAACACCAAATTATCATTATGTAGATGTAAGAATATATTAATCTTTTTTAAATGTTTTGTTTTGAATTCTATAATGTTTTGAATTCTATAATGTTTTGCATCTTATACTGTTTTGAATTATGTTTATGAGGTAGAGAGCTACCAATTGTAAATAAAATTAAATATGAAAATACGATAAATTCGGAAACTTTAAAAGAGAAATGAGATGGTAAGGATGCGGATATTCCTGTAGATATTGGATAGTTTTCTGATTTTGGTGAAGATAGAAAAGAAGTTGGAAATGTATTATAATAATAGAATCAATATAAACCAATTTGTTTTCTTTTATCGCAATTTATCAATTGGAACGAAAAGAAAAAAAAAATTCTTCCATTCCATTTTACTCTATAATCAAATAGATTCAAGAAAGATGAATGGTGAAGGTTGGCTTTTTATATTAACTGTTATAGTTAATGCTATTAATTTATTTTCACAAGTATTTTTCACAATTATGTATTCTGATTTAGAGTGTGATTATATTAATCCAATTGAATTATGTAATAAATTAAATCCATGGTTTATTCCAGAAGCTGCTTTGCATGGTTTTATTACGATTTTATTTTTAATTAATGGTTATTGGTTTTGTTTCTTATTAAATTTACCATTATTTGCTTATAATGTTAATAAATTTTATAATAAAAATCATTTATTAGATGCTACTGAAATTTTTAGAACTTTATCAAAACATAAAAAGGAAAGTTTTTTAAAACTAGGTTTCCATTTATTAATGTTTTTCTTTTATTTATATAGAATGATTATGGCGTTGGTTAAGGATGAACATTAAACGAAACAAAGACGAGTGAGAACACAATTTTAGCATATATTTAATATATTTTTATTTAATTTTATTTTTAAGTTTATTTAATTTCATTTTGATTTAGTTGGTGATGCTTTCATTTGTTAAATCAACTGTGTACTAAAGGACAAAGGTCTTTCATGTATAATTAATATATTCATTTAATATTTGTAATATTATTACTTTTGGTGTTTTATCTTGTCATTTTAACTTTGAATAAGTGAGAAACTGAAAGTTTTGGCCCTTTGGCCTTTTGGCCCTTTGACCTTTTGGCCACTCCCTCTATTCTTCTAATTTGAAAATAAAGTATCTAAATATTGCTCTTAATTTTTGATGATCAATCTATTTTCTCATGTAGTTGATCTAGCTTGGAATTTATATCTTTCAATTTTGAACTTATTCCCATTTGTGGATTTACCAACAGTTTCAAAGTATTCAATTGCAATTTAACTTGCGAACTTAGTTTTGGAGTAGTCTTTTCAAAAAATTCGACATGTTCTTTAGTATTTAGTATTTGATTATACATCAATTTAACATCTTGTTGTTCGCGTTTTTTGTTTTTCAATTTATTTCTCAATTGATTTAACGTGCTTCCAACTTTAGTATGACTTGTTCTTAATTCTAATATATCTTTTCTAACTTGATATTTCTTCCGTTGTACTGAATAGATTTTTTTACCAATTACTTCCACATTATTAGCTAAACCTCTCAACTGATCAATATATGTTAAAAGATAATGTTTGAATTTTGAATTTATAACCTTTTGTTCCTCATTTAAGTCTTTGGGTTCAAATGTATCTATGAAAAATCTCAAAACATCTAATAATCTGGTTCTCATTTGAGTTGTTCTCATGATAGCTTTCTTTACATTTTTCAATTGAGGATAATTAATATGCAACGATGGTTCATGAACTGGTATAAATGAATCAATTGGTCCAGTGACGGACACTGTATATCGTTTAATTAGTCTTTCTTCTGTTTCTGACGGTTTTTGATTAATTGGCGATGCGGGAATAATAACTCGTTGTAGATTTTCAGGTGTATGTTCTATTTCTTCATTAACATCTTCCATTAACTCTTCTTTTTCCAATTCTTTCTCTTCTTCTTCTTCTATTATATCTTGTTCAATTTGATCATAATTATCATTTATATCAGGTAATTCAAAATCGGGAGCGGTGGTAAAATTTTGTCTAAGTTCATCAAAATTTATGGAAAATCTTGCTCGTGATAGAATACGAGTACTTCAAATGTTAGTATAATATTTATGAGGCTTGGTGAATGCTTTACATACCCTGATCCCCTTAATCTTGCTTCTCTTTTGGCTACCCTATTCATGTTTAATAAATTGTAAACACGCACAAATTTGTTCTTTTACACGAAAACAAAACAATCTTAAATTTGCAGTAATTCAACTTGGAACTAAAAATAATGCGTAATGACTAGTAAAAACATGGTAAAAACATGGTAAAGCAGATTAAATTTGAGATCTTAACTCATAAACTACGATTGTTACGACTGTGATAATCTCATTAGCAAAAAAAAAGCGAAAATTTTAATGAAAGTGACGACTACAACACCATACATGAATAGAGTTTAATATTAGTTTTGACGATAAATTAAATTAACGTTTATTATTAATTAACTTATTTATTGCTGTGAAAAATGTTCTAATAAGATGTTTCTTTCATCTGAATCAGCACCCCAGTTTTTAACAACAACACATGAAGCACCAACAACTTTTCTAGCATTACCTTCTCTGTCTAATTGACATAAACCAGCCCATTCACCTAAAGCTTTAGCATCTGAAACTTTAATTAATGGAATTTTTTCATCTGGTTCATTACATAAAGCTTCAACTAATTTAATAATTGATTCTTCAGTAACTGAATCACATAAGACACATAATTGTGCTTCACCTTTTGATAAAGCTTTTGAAGCTTCTCTTAAACCTCTAGCTAAACCATCATGAACTAATGAAGTTCTTAAAACAACTTTTAATGCATCTTCAATTGAGATTGAACCTGATTCTTGTTCAACGGCAACTTCTTCAACGATTTGTTCGGCTTCAACGTCTGACATTATTAATTAATTATTTGTGTTTGTATTTAAATTTCTATAGAGACTTCTTCGTCAAGTAAATCGGTTTACTGCTCAGTACAGACTAAAAGAAATTTGAAAAATAATTTTTTGATAAATGGCGATGAAATAGAAGATCAACAGTCACGTTTTGTTAGTTAGGGCTAATTAGTAGTGCAACTTGGTCATTTATGAAACACGTCCTAAATGACACAAAATTGAAAATAAGCTTTCGTAAAAATCGGATACAAAAAACGGTTTAAATAAAATTCCTATAACTTTGAATGACAGCGATTACTAGAATTACAATGCTAAAAAACTGTTTGAAGCTTATAAGATCTAATTTTCTTTGCCTGTACCACCGATATTAGTAAATGAAATCTATTTTAAACCGAAATTGTAAAATATTCTCAATTGTAGAACTATTGAAATACGAGTACTCACTGGCATACTCCAGTTGTATACTCACACCCTTTTCAATGCTGAGGAGTGATATACGACAAGCTTTAACTCTCAAATTTAGTTAAAGGTTAATAATAGCTGGAAAATTCATGAAGCGGAATTCAGATCAAATAGTTAATTCCGGCTTATGATTGTGTCTCAAAACTCGGAAATTCCAAACGTTAAATCAACCTTCATCATTGTTGAGAGGTAATTGGAGTAGAGAAGCAATCAAAACACATAAAATGTGCTGTCTTTGTCTTAATACAAGCTTTTTCTTTAATTTACTGGTTATCGTATATTATTCAAATGAACGATACAGACCTAGCATTTAACCGTGATAATCCTAAGCCAACTTTTATACTTCCAATAACAGGAATACAGCGAATTGAAGACTTGGATCAATTAAGGTTTACAATAATGGCTTTAAGGTTTGGAGATGTCATTGCTTTCCCACATGGATAAAACTGTAACTTATAACGCAATTTAGATTTACAAGCCTGTGGTCACAAGTTTCACCAAATGACTCCAAGTTTCAATTATATCAAAAAAATTCTCGAGATCTATTGGGTCAACTCATAACCTAGAACTCTGGGTTTCAGGATTATTCAAGTTAGCAAGTCAAGACTTTCAATAACATAATTTTTTCTAATGTAGATCATTTAGCTCCCATTGGCTAAAACAAACTTTTTTGAATGAAGTATTTTTTAATTTTCCTCAACGTATAATGCAAAATTAACCTTGTTTGCATTAATTAGCAATATGACAAAAGTTTGAAAATTCCTAAATAGGAAACTATCAATTGATCTCTAAACCAGTATATGATGATATATAAACTTTAAAAAAATGTGTGGTATTGAATTTGAATCAGTAAGGATACCCTGGTGATGAAAGTTATAATACATTTATATTTTCTAAGTATTGTACTTTGTTTAACATTGGAAAAGAAAGATGATCCTTCAAGTTCACAACCTTGGTATTATGGATTATTCGGTCAAGGTAGATCAACTTTAAATTTTCAACAAACTGCTGCTTCTTCAGTTAGTTCTTCAATTGAAAGTGCTACTCAAAGTTTAACAAATGAAGTATTACCTAGTCAAAGTTCAAACGTTGATTCATTTTTAACAAAAGCTTCATCATTGATATCATCAGCTCAATCAACTGCACAAGCAGATAATACTCCAGATTCAACTTCACAATCAAAAACTAATAGTTCTGTTTTCAATACCCCAAGTCAATCAATTGCTGTTACCAATACCCTAAGCTCATCAATTGGAAGTCCACGTTTAACAAGTAATCCAAGTTCAACAAGTAATCCAAGTTCAAGTTCAAGTGCTGAAGGTTTACTCGGTTTTATTCCAAACATTTTAACAAATTTTGAAGGTTCATCGTCATCAATTATCACAAATTCATCATCTACAATTAATGCTATTTCACAAGATGTTTCACAAACTGAAGATTCTTCAGATAGTACAGATGAAACTGAGTCAAATGGAGAAGGTGATGGGAAGAGAAATCCTTATACTCCATATAATGTAACTTGTCCAGCAAAAATCATTAGATCAGCAAGTGGATTATCAGATAATGAAACATCATATATTGAATCAAGATATGAAATTACTAATAAAAATTTAATTGATTTTTTGAAAAGAACCAATATTTCAAATTTTGATGCAGAATCTTTTATCAATGATAATTCACAATCTCATAATATTACCATTGGTTTGGCCTACTCTGGTGGTGGTTATCGTGCAATGTTGGCCGGAGCAGGTCAAATTCTTGCATTAGATGATAGACATAATAGTTCACAAAATTTATTGGGTGGATTACTACAATCAAGTACTTATTTAGTTGGTTTAAGTGGTGGATCTTGGTTAGTTGGTAGTTTAGTATTGAATGATTGGATATCAGTAGATGATGTTTTACAAGGAGAAACTTCAATTTGGCAATTGGAAGATTCATTATTTAATCCTGCTGGATTGGATATTACGTCAAATGTTGAATATTATTATGCTTTAAGTAAAGCAGTCTTGGAAAAACAAACAGCTGGTTTTGAAACTTCATTAACTGATATTTGGGGTAGAGCATTAAGTCATCAAATGTTTAATGATACAAGTGGTGGTTCAAATATTACTTGGTCAAGTGTTAGAAACTTGGATTCTTTTCAAAATCATGAAATACCATTTCCAATTTTAATTGCAAATGGTAAATATCCTGATACTTTAATTGTTAATGAAAATTCAACAATTCTTGAGATAAATCCATTTGAATTGGGTAGTTGGGATAAATCACTTTATTCATTTAGTGATACAAAATATATTGGATCAAATTTGAATGATGGTAAAGATGGTAAATGTATTGAAAATTATGATAATGCAGGATTTATTATGGGTACTTCAAGTTCTTTATTTAATGAAGTATTGATAAAATTAAATGATTTTGAAGTAAATTCAGTGCTTAAAGTAATTTTAATGAATGCATTGGCAAGTTTATCAGATTCAAAAGATGATGTTGCAATTTATCCAAATACATTTTATAATACTACAGATTCAAATAGTGAAAGTTTAAAATCAAATTCTTCATTATTTTTAGTTGATGGTGGTGAAGATGGTGAAAATATTCCGTTTTATTCACTAATTCAAAATGATAGAAACACTGACGTTATATTTGGTTTTGATAATTCTGCAGATACAAGTGACAATTGGCCAAATGGAACTTCAATAATTGATACTTATAAAAGACAATTTAGTGATCAAGGTAAAGGTACTCCATTCCCATTTGTTCCTGATATTGATACATTTTTAAATGATAATTTAACTAACAAACCTGTATTTTTTGGTTGTGATTCTTCAAATTTAACGAATTTGTTGAAATGGCATAATAATGAAAATATAAATGAAACTGATGTACCATTAATTGTTTATATTGCAAATACTAAAAAGTCTTATAATTCAAATTTTTCAACTTTTAAAATGAGTTATGAAAATGATGAAAAACTAGGAACTATACAAAATGGTTTTGAAACAATGACAAGAAATAATTTAACTGATGATGAGAATTGGTTAACATGTGTTGGTTGTGCAATTATAAGAAGACAAGAAGAAAGATTAGGTATTGAACAAAGTGATGAATGTAAGTCATGTTTTCAAGAATATTGTTGGAGAGGTGGATTTAATGATGCTGTAGAAGTAAATGTTACAATAGGATCAAACTCAATATCAAATCACACAAATTCAACAATTAATAGTTCAACAAAATATTCGAATCAAACACATAGTTCAACAAGTTTACTCAATTCAACAACAAGTCAAAGTAAAACAACAACTGCTATAAATTTTGTACCTATAACATCATCATCAGATAAATCTACAGTAGATGCTCAAAGTCAATCACCATCACAAACTACAACTGTTAATAATTCAGCTGGTATCAATTATTATAGTACTTATAGTGAAAGTTCAAGATCAACAATTCCACCAAGTCCATTTAATTCAGCTGCAACACCAGATACAACAAATGCAGCAAATAAATCTAATAAATTTTCGTTTGAAGTTGTATTATTCAATTTTATATCAAGTTTATTTATATTTATATAGTCATTATTAGAGGATTTTCGGTTATACCCATAATAAAATACATACTAAAATTTAATTACAATTGCCTAAAAGAAATTATTTCTCGCCTTAGAGATAAGGCGACTGGTATTAAAACTATTGGCTTATATGCCACGAACAACACATTCTCTCCAGATAAAGACTATTTTAGCTGAATTATGGACCTTGAACTATATATTTGAGGTATACTTAAAACTTTCGAATATTTTTTTTTTGAAGTTGTCATTTTGGCCTTTTTTCATCATACAAAAAATTTGCTAAAACTGAAAACACAAAGTATAATTTATTTAGGGCCATAATTTCCAAATAAACAACGAATTATATATATCAGACCTCCTAAGGAATTGTTCAACCTAAATCAAGATGATCAGAAACATTTCAAATTTTTCCCTTAAATATGTGGGAAGAAATGAATAAACTGACCTCTTGAAAATTCTGCTTCCACTTTCCTTATTCAAATTAGAGTATGATTTGTAGATCCTGTTCGAGGTATTTCTTGAAATCTGTAGTGTTAAGGTATTTAAAATCGCAAAAGTATTTTTTCAAGTGGTATGGTTCGAAAGCTAAGAAAAAAAAATTCAAAACGATTATGGCGCGTTACAGTTAAGATTCTTGGTGTTAAATAAACCAGACCAGATGCTTTAGAAGTTGCTAAATGAGGTCTAAGTGTTGAGTATCTGACAATTTAACGTTTTTTGGGTTTTTTTAGATGTAGAATAAAATGATCAAAATTGAATTTTATCAAAAAAAAATAACATTAGTAGATTCTATATCTTGTGAAATATTGAATGAGTTATGTTTGACAACAAAATCTTGAACATTGAGTGAGTTATTCACAAATGAAGTAATTAAATTAATTAATGAGAGACTGCATATATGTTGAATTGATTATTTAAAATTTTTGATTCCAGATGCATTTTCAAACGACGTGGAGCGAAAATATAGCCGAAAACTTTTTTACTTGAGGCGAGAGCTAGAACCATGACCAGTGCCAAAATCATACGTATTAAACTACATAAAAAGAAAAATTTGCACACTTCTAATCAAATTAAGACGATTTGAAGCACGGGACATTCAAAATTGAAAAACTTGAAGCTAGAAAAAGTCTCTTAGCTTATAATGGATTCATTGAATTCGAATTCAGGATATAATTCCTACAATTTATAAGGCAGAGGTGCCTCAATTAAAGTGAGACTAAATATGATAGCTGAAGGTGACAAGATAGTGTGTATTAGTGCTCAAATTTCAGCTGAAGCTCAATTAATTATATTGCGTTGAAAAGTAGCGAAATTCGTGAGCACAAAATAAAGTGGAAAAAGCGCGATCTAGATCGGTTGCAAATCTATAGATCTGAAACCTCAAACAAAAAAAATATCGAGAACGCGCAACAAAATATAAACATGCAATTTCTGGGGTAAAAAGTTCAATTAAGATATTCACACCCAATTTTTAATAAAAAAAATATTTTGGTGGTTTTGGTACCGTTAGAATGAGAAAAACTTCAAATCAATTTGAATTTGATAATTAAAAAAGACCTACCTACCTTTCAGTTTTTTTCCACCGAGTCTAGTTTTTCGATTAGAGAGCTAAATTTTACATTATATTTATAAGTGTGGCGAAGCTTTGTGGAATTCTGCAATTTTGCAATTCTGTAATTCTGTAATTCTGTAATTGCGCAATTCTGTAATTCTGCTATAGTGTCACATTGTGCTTATGTGCCGTTTCGTTTGCAAGAAGTATGATCAGTTTTTTTCTCTCAATAAACTAAAAAAGTGGTGTTTTAGAGGTTCGTCGAAGGATCCCTAATACAAGTTTTGCTTTGAACAGGGGACAATAAGAGAACTGATATATGATAAGCAAAGTTTTTGAAGTATTTCTTATTCTTATTTCTTATTTCTTATTTCTTATTTCTTATTTCTTATTTCTTATTTCTTAACTTATGTTGATTATGTTGATTATGTTGAAAGAAAGTAGTGTTTGAAAATATGTATGATCTTTCGGATAAATGTATGTTTACATTTTTAGTTTTGTGTAATGGATTTATTAATTTTCAAAATTTAAGCCGATGTTTCTTGTAAAAATTAAAATGTGAATTAAAATCATTGAACGAGTTACGATTATTTTATTATGGCTCAATAATATTGATAGATTTTTCATTCAAACGACTTTAAATAGAGGCGTAGAACAAAAAAAAAAAAAAAAATTAAATTTCTCAAATCAAATCAAATCATGTGTTAGATTTTAGATTGTAGATTGTAGATTGTGGATTGTAATATTAAATGAATACTAAAACCCTAAGATTTTTTAATTTAACAAGTAATATCATGATAGTTAATTGATTTTGATTTTTGAGTTAATTTAAAAGAATAGGAGATGATGCTTTACTGGCTTGTATTAGAGGCAACAAACACAGACACTTAAATGATAAGAATGATCTATATACCTATTGTCATAAAATTCAAATTGCTGGTTGATTTCAAATATTTAAATGATTTTTCAGCAATCAGAGCTCATGATTTGAAGTTGAAAAGAAAAGAAATGAAATGAAATAATTTCAATCACGAATTGTTTTAGATAAATTAATTGCATTTAAAAGCCTACATTGTTATTGTTATTGTTATTGTTATTGGTTATTCTTATTCTTATTCTTTTTCTTATTCTTATTCTTATTATATTTTCTACTAATGAAAAAAAAAATTAATATTAAACAGAAATTTATTCTACTATGGAGAAAATAATATACAAAATAATATACAAAATAATATACAAAATAATATATAGACATTGAAGAGTTTAAAATTTGTTAAGAGAAGAAAAAAGAAAAAGAACTAACAGAAGAAAAGAGAAGAAAATATTGTAAATTTATACACGACTCCTTAACACAACAAAAAAAAAAAAATAAAAAATATGCTGCAATGAAAACTATTTGGCTGTAAAATTAAAAACTGAGATTCACAGGGCAGCTTAACAAATGTTTAGTTCATACATCATAAATCATACATTATTGGTATTTTTTTTTTTAATATTTTAACATAGCCTTTTCAATTCTTAAGCCAATATAGGCTGATAACAAAGTTTGAAATGAAATAACAAGTAAAAAAAAGTGAATATTTACCAATCATATAGACTAAATAAATAAATAAATATATACATAAATAAATAAATTTCTTTGCATTAATTAAAGTTTCATATATTATTACAACAAAAAAAACCAATATATATTGGGTTATTAATATATTCTTAATATAATTAATAAATGTCATTTGATTTCAAGAGTAAATATAATATAATATAATATAATATAATATAATATAATATAATATAATATAATATGAATTAAATTAAGTATAGTTGATTGATCTCCAGATGGCCGTATTATTATAATTATTATTGTTATTGTTATTATTATTTACATTTCATCGTTATTGTGCTGCTATTAATATTTATTTATTTATTACACGCTAATTCTAATACTACACAATAACGAAAAAATCAATAAAAAAACTATAGTAATAAAGAAAAACTATAGTAATAAAACCCCTTACATAAGCTATTACGTAATTTCTCATTCATTCAACCTTTTTTCCCCTATTTTATTATAAAAAATCTTAACTATGTATTATATAATATGGTTTTGAATATTATTACACGACATACATAATATTCTGTTACTTCTTCTTCTTCTTCTACTACTAATTTTTTTTTTTTTTTTTTTACGTAAATTATAAAATATAATAAATTGATAAACAAATATTCAATTTTTTTTTTTTTTTTTTTTTTTTATATTTTTTTATATTTAATATATATTTTTTTACAACCAACAATTTACAACAGATTTTGTTATTATTATTATTATTATTATTATTATTATTATTATTGTCAATTCATCTTCATATTCAATTAGTGATTATTAGTGATTATCTGATAGATTAACAAACTACTACTACTACTACTAATATTACTACTAGACATTTACATACTTACTTCATTACTTTCTTTTTTTTTTTTTTTTTCCATATCACAACTTTACATTTCATTTGTCTGTTTGTTTGTTTGTTTGTTATCATCATCTCCTTATTCCATTAATTAACAAATAGTGTTACTACAATTGTTATTTAATTTTAATTTCAATTTTAATTTCAATTTCAGTTTTAGTTTCAATTTTTTTTTTTATTTATTTCAACTCAAACTATTTTGTCAAATCGTTTGTTTGTTTCGTTCGCACCATATATTTATTTATAAGATAAAATCTCATCGATCATCATAATATGAAAAAAGAATTAAAATATATAATATATGCTCACGTAGCATTAATTATATATTTAATATATTTATCATTTGATTTAATAACTTTACTTCATGATGATACTTTTAGTGATGCTTTATTAGATATTGAATTAAATCCATTTAATGGTAAAATAGATAAACCACAGTTAATTCCAAAAATCATTCATCAAACTTATAAAACTAATGAAATCCCCGAAATTTGGAAGCCGGGTCAAAAAGCTTGTATTGAATTACATAATGAGGATTATCAATATATTTTATGGACCGATAAAAAATCAAGAGATTTTATATCTGAAGAATTTCCATGGTTTTTAAAAACCTGGGATAATTATAAATATCCAATTCAAAGAGCTGATGCAATTAGATATTTTGCTTTAAGTCATTATGGTGGTATTTATATTGATTTAGATGATGGATGTGAAAGAAGATTAGATCCTTTATTAACTGTACCTGCTTTTGTTAGAAAAACTATTCCAACAGGTATTTCAAATGATGTTATGGGTTCTGTACCAAATCATCCTTTTTTCCTTAAAGTCATTGAAAGTTTAGAAAATTATCAAAGAAATTGGTTAGTTCCTTATATAACAATTATGATTTCAACAGGTCCTTTATTTTTATCAATTATATGGAAACAATATAAACGTTGGGGTATTCCAGAAGCTGGTAAAGTTAAAATCTTAATGCCTCAAGATTATAAAGGTAATAAATATTCTTTTTTCGCAATTGCTCCTGGTTCTTCATGGCATATGAGTGATGCTCATTTTATAAAATCTTTAGCAAATCATTTAATTTTAGCTATAATTGGTGGGTTTTTAATTGCTTTAGTTATATTATTAATTGAATATTTATTTTATTCATTTATTATAAGTCAAACATTTAAAAAAATTTTAAATAAAATTAGAGGTGGAATAAGTTGGATAATAACAACTTTTTTAAAAATTTTTAATTTAGATAAATATTTGACAAATGAAAATAATGATTATAAAAAAATTGATGATGTTAAAATTAAGAAATCAAATATTATATTGAATTTCTTAAATTCAAAAACAAATGTTAAAAGAAGAAATAGAAAAGATTCAAATTTACCTATTGAAATTGGTATACTAGAAAAATTAACAAATGAAAATGATGAAACAATAACAACAACAACAACAACCGATATAGAGATTGATGAAATTAAAGAAAATATAAAACCTGATGTTATAATAGAAGGTAAAAAAAAAATTGATGATGAAGTCTTAGATAATAATAAAACTACTAGTATTAATGATAAATTTAATGATTATAGTGATGACATTGTATAAATAATAGAAATATATATATTTGTAACAAACTTCTATCAATGTGTTTTTTATTTATTCATAAAACAACACTAAGTGAGGTAACTATATAACTCGCGAATTTTTGACATGACGTCGCTGAAGTCGTCGATCTGCATAGTTCCATATCGAGATAGGAAACTTCAGCAAATCGACACTAGTTTTTTTTATGATGTAATAATGACTTTATTTGTAAACATTTATACTTTATAGTTTCCTCGCCGAGCTCAACTAATTGAGAGACCAAAAAAAAGAATAAAAAAAAAAAAACCATGACGCCAATATCGCGCTGAGATGGAACCAAAAATCTCATTTTATACTCTCCGGAATATCTCGTCAGCATTTGACTTTAAAGATGTGGTTCTCTAATAAAAAGTACTCAAATACATTGAATCTATCTATTGATTGTTAGCTGATTATCAGATGTTGCTGGAAATCCTCGACTATCAAAAATTTTCACTAGCTTCAAACGGAATTGAGAATTAAGGTTCAATTGAATTATTTAAGGACAATAATTTATACCATTTAGACAAAGAATCTGACAAAGATGTCCATACAAAAGTTTCTCAGCTTTCTCAAATGTATATAATAGTAGTACTTAGATGTTTTAATGCAGTCAAAAGTTATTTTGTAGATAAAAGAAAGACTTTTATTTGCGAATTCCTCCTTCTATATATGCATGCTGCTAATGGTTGAGAAATTAATCTTTTAATAAAATTTTCGATGCATTGAATTTAAAAATACATATCTTATATAAAAAGTATTCGAAATAAGCAACTCATTCTAACGTTATTAATTTTCATAAATTATTATTTAGATGGGTGTTAATTAATGGCTATGTAAACTCGACCAATAAAGAACCCTCAATTTTGTATAAGAAACTGAAACTGTGATTGATTTCAGAACAAAAACGGATCTTCATTCAACTCCACATTTTATTACGCAACGAGGTGACTAGGTGATATTCACCACTGATTTTGAAGATTTTGAAGTCAAATGCCCATCAAGAGGATCTAAAGATATTTCATGGTTCATAGATCTGAGATTTTGTGTTAGGTAATTCATTATGTAATTTATACTATATAACTCCACATACTTTAGATTTTTCAACCTTATCAAAAAAATGGAATTATGTTACACTATAAAAAAAATGTATAGTCAAATGTAACAATGAAACATTTTCCACAATTTATTATCAATTTGTAGATATTACCCCATATTTCAGGTTTAGACTATAAATAATCAATGGAATATCATCATTTTACTTATCAATCAAAATGCCAGCACAAATTCCACATAAACATCATGATGAAATCGAAGAAAATGGTTTCACAGTTGTCAGAAATTTCTTAAATCAAGATGAAATAGATGAATATTTAAAAGCTTCCGAAACAATTATCGATTATGCTAGACAAGGTAATTGGCCTTATGTTAGAACTATGGGTAAGCAATTTCCACCATGGCCAAAAAATTTTTCACCGAATATTTGGGGTATAACAGGTTTATTACATCCAGATTTAAATGAAAAATCATTACCATTTCATAAACTATATTCAGATGATAAAATGTTATCTATAGTTTGTGATATCTTACAAATTGAAAAAGATCAAGTATCTATGGAATTATTAAATATGTTAATTAATCCATTGACTGATTTTGAATTGGATTGGCATAGAGATACAATTAAACCAGAAGCAACACCAGAAGAAGAAAAAGAAGATTTATTGAAAAATCCTTATGCTGGTGCTCAATTTAATTTGGCATTAACCGAAGATAATTGTTTGATTGCTATTCCTGGATCTCATAAACGTTTAAGAACACAAGAAGAACTAGATAAAACTATTGATCCATCAAGAAGGAAAGAATCTATTACTGATGAAATTGTTGTTAAATTGAATCCTGGTGATTTGGTATTTTATAATAATAATATTTTACATAGAGCAAAATATTCAGCTAAAAATAAAAGAATTACGGTTCATGGTTCTTATGGAAATGTTAAATTTGGTAAATCAAGAGCAAAAGGTATCTTACAACATGGAGTTGCAGAATGGTTACCAAGACTAGAACCAGAAAATGAAAATTTGAAAATGTTGAAAGAAAAATTGGTAAATTTGGCACATGAATTTGGAGGTGTAAATTTAGGATATGCATTGGATGGTTAATTATCTAGGTATATGTGTTTAGTTGTTTTAAATTAATTTATTTTGAGTTTTGTGTACTGAAATAGTTTTTTTGCGCTGGATCTTAAACGCGCAAATTTCTGAAACAAATTTCCTAATCAGGTAATTTTTGCCTTCAACGACTATTTACCCAACTAGATCAAATACACAAGATTAGAAAAGCAGAAACTTTTACAAGTAATTTAGCAAATTTTGCTTCTAAATAATCAGAACGCCGTGTTTTTGGTGTGTAGAAACATATAGAAGGCTCTAAGTTTTAGTTCCAAAGGTTTTTTTCTTCTTTAAATCTATTATTATTCGTTGGAAAAATTTACTTTGTATATTTATCTGTCAGCAGTAGCTTCTAATAATCCCAAATTATTCGATTTATACCTTTCTTCTTCATTTTCTTTTATTTTAGTTTTAATCAAATTTGTCAACTCATCAACTATTGATTGACCTTTCATACATAATTCTAACAACTGTTGTGCATCTATAGGTAACCCACCATTTTTACTCAATTGTATCAATTCTCTATTTTTATTCAAAGTTATTACCAAAAATCCATCTCTATAAGTTTCTTCAATTAAATCACAATCTAATAAACAAATTTCATTCGCCTCATCACCTTTTATATTCATTTCTTTTGAATTTAAATTAAAAAACGAAAATGTTAAACAAATAGGTATATGTAAAATACTTAAATTAACAGGTTCTCTTTCATTTATATCATAAATTTTAATTTCATCATTTAATATACTTATATCAGGTTTTTTAAAATGTGATAATGCCAACATACTTGCAAAACAACCAATATCAATTAAATTTCCATCAAAATTCCAAAAATTTAAATCAACTATAATTTCCCAAACTTTTTCACCCGCTACAATACATAAATTTTCTAAATCTAAAGAATTTGATCTCCTTATCGCTTTTTCAATTATTCTTGAAATTAAAACTTCTTCTTGAGATCTTGAATTTGTATCAAATTTTAAACTTGACATTGAACTGATTTCAGAATTAATAGTTAATATACCTTCAAATGGTCTATCTTCATAAGGTTTTATAATTTGTGATGATACTCGAACTGATATTTTTGTATTTCCAATTGAAACTTCAACATAACCAAATTCGTCAGTTGATAAATATATATCAATATCTCTAAACTTTAAAAAATCTCGATTGCTCAATCTTATACCATTCTTTAAACCTTCATGTAAGTATGTCTTTTGATTAGTTGATAATTCTAAATTACGGGACATTTGATAAAGAATTTTTTTTTTTTTAGATTTCTTTCGCAACTTGAAAAATTATTAACACGAAGGGCAAATTATCTCCAAACCAAATTACCACCAAATGTTATCAAGAAGATTAATTAAACCTCAACAATTGAGTTTCATCAGATGTTATACCAATCAAAATTCATTAAATTTTTTTCAAACTAAATCATTACCTTCAAATACAATTGTTAAATTTGTACCTCAGCAACAAGCATGGATTGTTGAACGTATGGGGAAATTTCATAAAATTTTACAACCTGGTTTGGCTATATTAATTCCTGTAATTGACAAAATTATGTATGTTCAATCTTTAAAAGAATCAGCCATTGAAATTCCATCACAAAATGCAATTACTTCAGATAATGTAAGTTTAGAATTAGATGGTGTTTTATATGTCAAAGTTATAAATCCATATTTGGCAAGTTATGGTGTTGAAGATTTTCAATTTGCAATTTCACAATTAGCACAAACTACAATGAGATCAGAAATTGGTAGTATGACGTTAGATTCTGTATTAAAAGAAAGACAACAATTAAATCATAATATTAATCAAGTTATAAATGAAGCTGCTAAAGATAATTGGGGTGTTGAATGTTTAAGATATGAAATTAAAGATATTCATCCCCCACAAAATGTTCTTGAAGCTATGCATCGTCAAGTTTCAGCTGAAAGATCAAAAAGAGCTGAAATTCTTGAATCTGAAGGTAATAGACAAAGTAAAATTAATATTAGTGAAGGTGATAAACAAAGTACTATATTGAATTCAGAAGCTAATAAGCAACAACAAATTAATCAAGCTATTGGTGAAGCTGAATTTATAAAATTAAAAGCACAAGCAACTGCTGAAGGTTTGAAAGTGATTGCAAAAGCAATTAAAGATACTCCAGGTGGTGAACAAGCTGTTAATTTACAAGTTGCACAAGAGTATATTAAAGAATTTGGTAAATTGGCAAAAGAATCAAATACTGTTATTATTCCATCAAATGTTGGTGATTTATCAAATTTTATGGCTCAAGGTTTATCAATTTATAAAAATTTGAATAAGCAAAATAAAGTATAGTATGATTAAATGATATGTAAATAGTAGTAGAAAAAGTTTTTATATGAATATATATTCTGATAAAATTATGCTTTATGCTTTTTTAAAAAATGAATCAAGTGGACCTCTACCTACACTTTTCTTTGTCTCTTTCTTTGTAGGTTTCTTCTTTGTTTTGTTATTATTCCCTATAGTTTCATTTATATTTGATTCCAGTACTGCTAACTTCTTTTCTTTTTCTTTCATCTGTTTCAAATAATCTTGTACTTTTGTAAAATCATAATCAGAGTGTAATATAAGCTCATCTTTCAATACAGATATATAATCTAGTGAATATTGCAATGCTAATAACTTTATTAACTCCGGATCTGTCTCTTGACTTGGATCATTTAATTCTTTTTTAATTTTCCCAATTATACTATTTGGTTCATTTAGTATAAAACTTTGTAATTTTAAAACTTTACCATTCACCCAATTTAATGCATTTTCCTTTGAATATTTATAAAAATACTCATCACCTTCAACTATTGAATCACAGATTTTTTCAAATGATTTAATCATTAAATTATCTGGTAGTTCATCCATACCACAAGAATCTTTAATATCTTCAACCGTTTTATAATTTTGATCATTTTTACAGAAATACCTTATTAATAACCACGTTATATCAAATTTAGTAGCCACTATTGTATTTGCAGATTTTAAAACTTTCCCAGGGTTTGATTCAAAAATATAAGATTTCACAGCTTCACCATTATGTTTTATGTCATTACCATCCACAACATTAATCTCATATATCTCAACATTTAATAAATATTGTTTACCATCAATCAGTACAATTTTATAATTCGTTGATTCATTAGGTAAAATTATAACTCGTTCCATGACTCGTATATTAAAGAAATAAAAAAAAAAAACATTATTTATTTTTCATAGTCCTACCCAAGATCTAACTAATTCACGTATAGCATTAATTGAAGCCATTATAACCATAACTGTACCAAATACTGAAAAACTTAATGAACTCATTGATGCAGCTCTTGGATCAACATTTAATAAATGAGCAGTTGCAATTGCACCACAATTTATACCTAATGAAACACCTCTAGTTACAAAATCACCTTTTGCAACTCTTAATAGCTTGAATATTGGTTCATTTAATAAAACACCAAGTATACCTGATAATATTGTACAAACAGCCATTAATGAAACAGAGCCACCAAGTGCTTTAATTAAGGGAGTACCCAAGGCTAATGTCACAGATCTACCAATAAAACCAATTGATCTATGAGCTTCAATTCCAATTAAATTACAAAATAACGGATAAATAAAAAAAGTCAAACCAACAGATAATAAAATAGTTGGCATTAATAACCAAAAATTCTTTATAAAATCTTTTCGATGAGTAAACATAGGTAAAGATAATGCAACAATTGAAACATCCATTAATGAACTTAAAAAATCTCCACATCCTGGCCATTTTGGTGTTGCAGTAAACTCGGGAATTTCATTTGATTTACCATTATTATTCAAAATTTTATTATTAAATAAACGAAGATAATTTTTACCAGTTTTATAAAATTTTAAATCATTTAAAAACCCCTTTGGATTTTTATGATAAATTAAAGATCCAATAAAACAAATAAACAATATAATTGCAGTGGAGATTAAGATTGGATGAGCAAATTTTTTAGTTTGAGGATAATATTGCGGAATTAATAATGCAGTATAATATGCTAAAATTGTAATGCTTAAATGATATGGTAAAAATACATGAATTGATGAAATATAATATAATGGCAATGAAATTATAAATAATAATGAATATAAAATCCAATCGATATATTTAGATACAAATATTGTTAGTTTTGGTATATGAGAAACCTCAATTTGTTTTGGAGGTTCATGAAATGATAATGGTGGAGATCTTCTTACATGATTTCGTTTTGGATATACAGGTTCGGGCAAACTTACAGTTTCCTCAAATGGATTTTCAACGGTTTTAGTCACATTTGGTTCGGTTTTAACATGCCGAAGACTGTCAACATCAATTGTAGTTATATCATCCCTCATTGATGTAAAAACGTTTGAGCTACTAGTCTCTATCAACTCAATTTCCTCCTCCTTTTTATCCTGTTTAATTGATAATAAAAATTTTAATGATTTAATAAAATACACATTACAAATAAATAATATAATCATTCCAAATATAAATACAGCAGCAATTTTAACACATTCAATAAAAGTAATTGGATCGGATAGTGGTAAAATTATGAACGAAGGTATAAAAAAAACATTTATCCATTTTAAAGTAAAATTCATTGGTGGTTTAATTAATATTAAATAATTTGTTAGTAACCAACTTGAACCGTTTTTTATATATTTTATATCTGAATCTCCAAGTATACTCAATATACATAAAAATATTAAATTTATTAATAAACCCAATACCGAACAAGGAAATTTAATTTTAAAAACTTGAGTTAATAAAATATTAAAACCATAAAGAATTGTCAAAATAATCAATATTCCCAATGGAATTATCAAATAACTATGTATTAAATGTTTTCTACTATACCATATACCTAATATAACCAGATTTATCATTTGATAATAGGGAACAAAAAAAAAAAAAAAAAATTGAAAAATAAAATTGGTGCCATAATGAAAAATAAAATTGGTGCAATAATGAAAAATGACATTGGTGGTGATAATTCTACGGTGATGATTCATTCTATGCCGCTTCTGATTCAATCAACTCTTTATATTCTTCTTTTGCATATCTTAATCCACAATATCCACAAGTGGACGCTCTTGGTTGATCTAAATTAATGAAAACTTTTGGATGTCCTTGTAATGTTGATCCTCTATTACCATCACAAACTGCAATATTACCTTCATCATGATTCAAATATCTTATTGGTTCTTTCGCAATTAAATCTATTGCTGCATATGGTCTTGGTTGTAATTCTAAATCTTTTTGAATAAATCTTGTCGGATATTTATCAATAACATCTAGTCTGCCTTGTTGTGATTTTGACCATGTTAAATCATGATTTGGAGCTTGTTTGACATATTGATTATTTTGTAAACTTTTTTTATTTAATTGTGATGCTTCTGGTCTATTTTGAGTACCTAATGATTCTGTTTTTTGATTTATCAATGATTTAGCTGATCTAGATTGAAATCTAATGAATATTCTATTAATTTTACTTATTTTATTTATTCTAATCATCTTTTGGTTATACTAGTTTATAGATTTTTTTTTGAAATCAATATTTCGCACTCAGTCATTGGTTAATATCAATTCACGTGTTTGGGTGCAAAATAGTAGTAATCAGTGGAATAGACTGGAAAACTAGTTTAAAAAAGAGGTATTACTTGTAGAGTTGAAGATTCATTTGAGGTGTTGTTTAATTGAGTGATTTCGTTTAAAGTGTACTGAAATTTTGCTCGTATAATTAATTTGGTTTTTATTATTCTTTATGTCATTGGAACCTAAAACTACTGCGAAAGTATTGATAAATACTAGTAAAGGTCCAATTGAAGTAGAATTATGGGCAAAAGAACTACCGAACACCACCAAACAATTTTTGAATAAATGTTTAAACCATCAATACTCCAATCTTCAATTTTTATCAACAGATGAGTATCTTGAAATTATTAACGATAAAGAATATAATCTCAGTAATGAGTCTAATCCAAGACTTAGCTGTAAAAGAGGATATTTAGGTGCTATAAAACAAGGTAATAAATTAAGTATAGACGCTTTTTTCATTAGTTTGACAGAATTGCCAAATTTTCAAAATTACAATATCTTTGGTAAAATAGTTGATGGTTGGTATAATATTGTTAAAATATCGCAAGTTGAAAAGGATAATGAAGGTAATTTAGTATATCCTGTTACAATTTTGGGTACTGAGGTTATTGTTCCATACTTTGATGACTTGGAAAAAGTTGAAACTGAAACACAAGTTAAAAAGGTTAAAAAACAAGTATCGTTAAGTTATGATGAAGATGAGAGGGAGAAGGAGGAGGAGGAGGAGGAGGAGAATTTTCAAATAAAGAGTGGTCATGATATAAGGCAACCAGTGGAAAAAGTTGAATCAAAAATTGAAGAAAATCCCAAATCTAATTCCGAATCTTCTGAATTTGAATCTGAATCTGAATTTAAATCTAAATCTGAATCTGAACCTGAAAATGAAACTAAATACAATACTGAACCTGACGCATCAATAGACTCAGATTATGATTCCAATCTTGATTTAAACAAAGCTGAATCAATCACCTTCGAGCAATTACAAAAACATTCCTTTAAATAAATGTCTATTCTTTACACAAATCTATATACCCAGGTAAATCATCATGTTCGTTCGTCATTGCTTTTGCTCTTTCAATAGAATCCAATCCATAAGTTTCTTCAAACCATGGATGTTGTAATAAAGAATTTGCATCAAATCTTTCATTTAATTCAAATTTTAAGCATTTTAATATTAAATCACTAATTAATTCAACTTCAATATCATTTTTATCAAATTTATACTTTTCAATTAATACACTTTTTAAATCCCAATATTTCAAATTATCAATATTTTTAAATATAATTTTTCTATGATCTTCAGGATGTAATTTAAAAAATTTACTTGTTAATTTACAATCTACTAAATATTCATCATTTGGAAAATGTCCTAATAATTCTATAATTTGAGCTAAATGATCTTCATCTTTATCAAAAAATTTCCCATCGTGTGGATCAAATAAAAACTCTCCAGTAATTAATTCAAATATTATACATCCTATTGACCATAAATCTGTTGATGCCCCCCATGATTTATATCTCATTATAATTTCTGGTGATCTATATTGTCTAGTTTGAATTTGATTAGTAAAATGTTCATCAGTAAATGTTGCATTACCAAAATCAGCGATTTTTATCGAAATTTTAGGTTCATCAAAACTAAACTTTCGTGGACTTATTGCTTTAGAAACTGATTTTGTATAATCAACGTCATTAAATAGAATTTCCGACGATACTGAAGTCGAAAATGGTTTTGATGATCTAACTGGTGAATCATAATATTTCTTTTTATAATAAAATGATGATTGTGATGACGTTGATAATGTTCTTGTTAACGACGATGATTGTTTAGTTGAATTTTTTCTAAAAATTGAAGTCCTTCTACTTGGAGGTTTCTTATCTTCTATTGTTTTTATAATTTTATTAATGTCTTTTATATCTATAAGTATATTTTCGGGTTTTAAATCTGTATGTATAACACCACAATGATGTATATAGTTGACTGCTAGCAACATTTGTTTTGTAATTTGTTTAACTAATGTTAATGGAATTCCACCAACATTTTTTGAAGTTTCCATTAATTTAACAAGTGATTCTGAATTCATTGAGTTTAATTTTTGTTCAATCTCCTCCTCTTCTTCAGTTTCAACAGGTGATATAGAATTCTCTTTTAATCCCAAACTCAACATCGATTTTGTACTTTTCATAATTGTATCTTTTTTAGTAAATTTGATTTCTTCACCCTTTTTTTGAATTTTAGTATCTAATGATTTATAAAACTTTTTATAATTATAAATTAAATTAAGTATATTTTCACCCAATATTTCAAAGACCATACATATATGACTTCCATGTGGACCTGTAATTTCAAAATCGTCTAATAATTTCATTACATTTTCAGAATCATGATTTTCAAAATATGTCAAATATCTCTCCGGTAAATGTTCATAATACTTTATAGGATCATTTAATGTTTTCATTATCCGTATTTCATCTCTTGCTGCTTCAGTGTAATTCTTATTTGATTTAACAAATTTCACTGCAACATAATTATCCTCATTTTGTTTTGCTAACCAAACAGTAGAAAAATGTCCCCAACCCAATTTTCGAAGTATTAAATATGAATTTTTTTTCAGATAATATGTTTCACCTTTTGTTACCGGATGATAACCACCAACTTTATAATCATCTTCATTTTCTTCATGTTTTGGATCAAAATTTAAATCTGACTCCAGGTCCAGATAATCTTCTTCTGTGTGATGTGGATTGGTTGAATATATATTATGATTTGTAAATGAACCAATACGTAATAAACTTTTCAAATTTCTTCTAATTGGTGGCCTTTCTGGTGGTTGCTGTTGTGGCTTTCTACTTGGTTCTTCAAAATTTGACATTTCACTATTTTGTAACGATATACATTCAGTTGCAAATGATGTATATCTTTCTTCATCATTAATCATAGTTGAGTAATTAAATTCTTCTTCAACCTCATCTTCTTCTTGTATAGGCTTTGGTTCATCTCCTTTCTTTTTGAAAAATCCCGATATATTGAATTTATATTTCTTGTCATCTTCTACATTTTCATTATCATTTCGGTTAATTAACAACATTTTGAATTAACCATTTGAGATACTTTTAACAAGTATATAAAGGAATAGAAAATACTGGGGTTTAAGAAATGAATATTAAAACTGTTGGGCAGAGAGAGGGGGGGAGAAAGAAGGAACCGAATGGCATTAATGATGCCGCAGAAGCAAAGAAAAAAGAAAAGAAAAAAAAAAAAAAAATTATATAAATTTTGTTTCAAAAACGACCCATGTTAATTAAAAATACCCCTATTACATCACAAGCAAAAGTGTATGTAGTATAAATCCACCACAATTTATGATTAGCCAATCAGATCAAAGTATAGTTTAGTACATTAGACTTTTTTTAAATTTAAATCTGGTTATTCAATTGTAATGTATGGAATCTCGTCTATCGTATTGTTTCAAAAAGTTAAAATTGCTTTTTTTTTTAAATGCCGAATATCTTTGGATTATAACCGAGATCTTTGTATGGTCCGAATCGTGTCGATCGCAAAGAGGTCACGTGATACATTTTTTGAATTTGATTGATTCATAACGGTGTCAACGTGGTAAAGGTTAGATCAAACGGTTCATGTGATATTAATACGGCTAACATGATCTATTGTTGAATATGATCTCTATTCTTCGATATAGCTTCTATTCGTATATTTGATTCACTTCCATGTCATAATTTTCTTGGTGCTGTCAAATTAAAGAAGTATTCTTGTCATTTTGTCTTCTATTTATATTTTTCTGTATCAATGAAGCTTAGTTTTTGAAGGAACGTGGGGCCAATCTTATTTTTCTGCAGAAGATAAGAATGGAAATTATTTAGTTAATTAGATGCATTTAATTAATGCAAACGTGTATAAAGATAGGCTTAAACAATGAAAAGGCTCCAAATTGGATCTTATAAATAGAATTCTTAACCCCTGCAATTTTTCATTGAAATAATACAAAATGAGTGAAGTCAAGGAACCTCTAGCTGTTGAAATTACTAAAGAGGAATCAAATGTTCATCATAAGCATTTTAAATACGATAGAGAAGAAAGAAAGAAAAGATATCAAGGTGGCGTTAAATTAAAAGATGCTTTAATGATCTTTTGTGCTGGTTTTGCATTAGTTTCAGATGGGTATCAAAATAATGTCATGTCTATGTTAAACAAGGTGTTTGCTTTGATGTACCCAAAAGAATATACTTCGGGTATGTCAACACAAGTTTCAAATGCTTCGTTAGTAGGTACAATTTTTGGTCAAGTTGCAATTGGTGTTTGTTGTGATTACATTGGTCGTAAGTTCTCCATTGTTTTAGGTAGTTGTTTTTTAATTTTTGGTTCAATGATGTGTGCTGCTTCTCATGGTAAAACTGTTAATGGTATGTTTTGGATGTTGACAATTTTTAGAGGTGTTACTGGATTTGGTATTGGTGCTGAATATCCAAGTTCTTCAACCTCAGCTAGTGAAGCTGCTAATCATTCTGTTAGAAGAAGAGGTGGTGCTTTTGTTTTAGCAACCAATTTACCTTTATCTTTTGGTGGTCCATTTGCTTTGATCATTTTCTTGATCGTAAACAAGATAACAAAGCTGTCATTAGATGCTTTATTTAGAACAATGTTTGCTATAGGTATGTAGAATATCGGGTCTTCTAATTGGATAGATCGTGCTTGATTTGATGAAAGCATTTGAGGTAATTTTTATAGTTTTTGGCTGCAAAAACAAATTTTACTCATTTGATCAACATCAAAATTGGCTTAGATTCAACTGACCCCAACTTAATACTAACGTTCTAGGTTGTTTCTGGCCATTATCTGTCTTATATTTCAGATTGAAATTGGTCACTTCCGAGTTATATACTAAGTCTGCTATAAAACATAAAGTTCCTTATTGGTTAGCTTTCAAATTTTATTGGATGAGACTACTCGGTGTCTGTTTAGCATGGTTTCTTTATGACTTTGTGACCTTTCCTAATGGTATCTTTAGTGCCGGTATGCAGAGACTTTTGGCTTTGATTAAAATTGTTTTAAAGTGCTCAATGTCCATTAAGTCAATTTTTTTCAAAATTTTCAGTTTTTAAGATGTTACTGACAATCTGTAGGTATCATATCAAGTGTTACCAAGGCTAAATCTACTCCCCAAGATACGTTAGAGAATGTGGCAGAATGGAACCTTCTTCTTGGTGCCATTGCCCTTCCTGGTGTCTTTGTTGGTGCTTATTTAATAGATATAATAGGAAGAAAATATACTATGATGATTGGTTTCTCTGGTTATATTGTTTTTGGATTAATTGTTGGTTGTGCTTATGAACAACTCAGTAAAATTACTGCTTTATTCATTGTCTTTTATGGATTAATGCAATCTTGTGGTAACCTAGGACCAGGAAATGTATTGGGAACTGCTTCAAGTGAATCATTTGCTACTCCTGTAAGAGGTACTGGTTATGGTATTGCTGCTGCTATTGGTAAAGTTGGAGGTATGTATCTTTTAAATCTAGTTATTTTACGATGAAAATTTGGAGACTAACATAGGTACAGCGGTCGTCGGAACAAAGGTGTTTACACCAATACAAAACAATCTCGGAAAGCGTTGGACTTTCATTATCGCCGCTATTTGTGGACTTGCTGGTGTGATTGTAACGTTTTTATTTGTTCCTCATTTAAGAGACGATGATCTTCTTGAGGAAGATGTCAGATTCAAGAATTATTTAATCGATAATGGATGGACTGGTAAATTTGGTATCAAATCTTATGATGAAGAAGAAGATTTAGATTATAGTGAAGATTCAGGATCGGATATCAAAGAAAATTTCAAAATTGAAGAAAATGAAAAAGTTCATTAGATAGTATAATACTTAATTTTTCTAATTTTATAGTTTGATGTGACTTTGATTGAATGAGGCCCAACTTTGATTGTTTTTGACTGTTAATTCCTGCAGAATTGTTCTTCTGTTATAACTAATTCGACTAATATATACATTTGATAATGTGGAGCGCCAATTTTTTAAATACAATTCAAGAAGGGCTATGTTGAAAAAAATGGAACAGCTAATGAGTTTTTCAAAAGAATGTTAATCAAGGTAGGGGGATTGCTTCAGATTGTAGAGCAGCATTTAAGGGGTAAGTGCATTGTACTGTTGAAAATTTCTGACTTCAGACTCCTTTTCAATTTTAAAATGCGTTTGACTTATATGCATTCTCCCTATTGTTATACTTCATTCTTAGTTAGTAAATAACTTCATCAATTCTTCTTCTCTCTTTCCGAGAGTTAATTCAATAAGATCTGAATTGTATTTAGAGCTAATTGATGTTAATATTTCTTAAAACGACCCTAAACTGATTTCGAAATTTTACAGTTAAATATATAAAAAAAAAGCTAAATTAAGAGATAGTCAACTCTTCGACTTGATCTAGCAAATCCTAAGTTATCCAATGCAATTTAACGTCAAAGACCTTAATGGGATGTTTTCAAGACGCCATAACCGTTTCAAAAATTTTTGTCGCATGAAATGATTTGCATTGACTTATAACACGATAGCTATCAAAAGTACTCTATTCTCATCATTCAAATAAACCCTGATAAACAGCATATCATTTCTTAATTAAATTACATTCAGAAGCTCAATTTATAGAAAATTATTATCATTATTGACGTTTATTTGTAGTAATGGATATAAATTTATAAAATTTTGTAATAATTCACCTCCTATTGCACAATTAATAATTTTGCACTAAGGTATATTCTTCGAAATAAAATTTGATCTTGATTGAAATTTGATTCCTTTTAAATGGAACGATTTGACATTTTTAGGAAAAGAGACTGAATCATGAAAAATCAATTGATCAAAACCGTCGATATCAATACATGATAAACTATCAGGAAAATAAAATCACCAAAAAATTCAAATTCACCTTGGAATGGTTTAGATGATATTTCAAAATTAAATCAATTATTTTCGTTTAATGAAGCCCAATTAAATGGTGTAATAATTAGAATGAAAGTTGATAAATAATTAAATCTGAGACAAATATGGTTTATATGTCGTCTTACGGTATTTAATCACAAAATTTCTTATGGTATTTAATCACAAAATTTAATTTGCAAATAACTCAATCAATATACTAGTTGTAGTTGTCAAAATTTTTCATTGAAACGTCATCAAACTTGAAAAACAATTATGTTATTTTCCCTTCAAGAAACACAATTTTGATCAGTTTATACCTGGTTCAAAAAATGGAAAAAATCAGTAAATTGCAAGATTACCAACACTTAAACCTCATTTAGTTCTGATATAGCTAATCTGGTTTATTTCTCCTTAAATAATTTTTATATCATGTTTTGAAGACGCCAAAATCTGTTTGAATTTTTCTCAATAATTTCGAGCCACTTCTGAAAAATTAATTATCCAAATTAAAGTACCTTAACACAAAAAATCTTAAGATTTATCAGCTTACAGGAGCTAAATCCTGATAATTTATCATTTTATCATCTTGAATTTGGTTGTGGAATTGAATTTTCCGGAGAGCCAATTTATTCAATTTTTTCCATACTTAAGAGGAAAATTTGAAATTTTTCAATTTTGGTTCTCGGTTCTGAAGAGTTAGAATTACATTGGTCACTTTTATTTGAGGTCTAATATGTATAATCCGCAGTTTAATTGGAAGTTATGGACTTAAATTATAACATACATTGCATTCTCACTTTTGATCAAAATTCTGTATGCTGAAAAACCGCCAAAATGACAACTCAAACAAAAAACTTCGAAACTTAAAGATTAAAGCAAGTAAGATACATATTTTATGGTTTCTGATTTGATACAATTATTCTTATCTAGAGAGAATGCTTTGTTCATGACATATAACCCAATTTATTTAGTACGAGTCGCCCTAGAATTAGCACAAGAACTTATACTGTTCGCACTAAACTAAACGCATCATAAATTGATGTAATTTACATGTATGGAATCCTGATCCTAACAAAATCAGTCATTTAAGCCCCAACATATTGTTGTAGGCTGTAACTAACCTAACATGTTAACCATAACTACACAGAACTGGTTATTGATGTAATAGTTATTCACATCATGTTTACAAATATTTCAAATAGAAAGATCTTGCGGTATTCTTTAGACAAGGCAAAAATTATGGACTGATGTATTGCATATTGCACCAACACTGTAAGACGTGTCTATGACATGTACGTATTCACGTATTCACAGATCAAAATCTCAAAGGACCGTTTTATCTTCCACATTACATTCAATTTGTAAATTGAGCGTCTAATTAATTTTAATTTGTTTCAGAATTTTTTTTTTTTTTTTTTTTTTTTTTTTTTTTTTTTTTTTTATATACAGTCTGTTGAAAAATCACCAATGGCGAAACCAACAGAAGAAGAAATTGCCAAATTAAGAGAATTAAAAAAACAAGAAATAATACCAGAAGGTCTTAGTAAAAATGAATGGAAAAGACAACAAAAGGCCAAAAAGAAAGAAGAATTAAAAATACAAAATAAAGAATTACTCAAAGAAAAGAAGAAAGAACAACGTAAACGAAAAAGACAAAGAATTTTAGAAGATGAAGAATATAGATTACTGTTAAAAAAGCCAACAAATCAAATTGAATCGGGTGTTAAGATAATTATTGATTGTCAATTTGATTCATATATGAGTGAAAAAGAAATTATATCATTACTGAATCAAATTAGAACATGTTATTCAGCTATGAGACATTGTAAATATAATTTACCAATTACGGTGACTTCCTTTAATAATAGATTAAAAGAAAGATATGAGAATAAATTATCAGAATATGTGAATTGGCAAGGTATAGAATTCAAATCTGAATCAATTGAAGAATTATTAGAAAATAAGGATAATAAAGATAAAATGGTATATTTAACACCAGACACGGAAGAAGATGTCATGGATATATTACCTGATTATACATATATAATAGGAGGCATAATTGATAAAAATAGACATCCTAAATTATGTTTAAATAAAGCTAAAGAACTCGGAATAAAAGTTGGTAGATTACCAATTGGACAATATATTAATTTGAATGGTAGGAATGTATTAGTAACAAATCATGTTTATCAATTACTATGTAAATTTATAGAATTAAGAGATTGGGAAAAATCATTTAATTTAATTTTACCATCAAGAAAAATAAACAATGAAGAGCTTGACTAATAGATTAATACTCTTATATACTAAACAACAACTTAAAGTAAAACAACCATCAAATAATGGTCTCCCGGTAGTTTCATCAATTCATTCATTACATTCGTGTTTAGATATTTATAAACAATCAGATTTATTAAATCTTGCATTAGATTCAATTGATTTAACGAAAATATATAATATTGAAGATAGTGATACTTATGATAATTATGATGATTTAATAGTTAAACAACTACTTAAGTACTTCAAAAATGATTTCTTTAAATGGGTAAATACTCCTGAATGTGATTGTGGTGGTGATGTTGAAAGTTTAGGTTCTTCAACACCCCCACCCAATAAGGATCAAATTTCAATAATTGAACATTATAAATGTATAAAGTGTGGAAAACAACTAGAATTTCCTAGAATTAATAATCCTGCAACTTTATTAATTACTAGAAAAGGTAGATGTGGTGAATTTGTAAATTGTTTCTTATTAATTTTATCAGCTTTAATTGGTATTGATAGAGTTAGATATTTATGGAATTATGAGGATCATGTATGGTGTGAATATTATTCAAGCAATCTAAAAAAATGGGTTCATTTAGATCCTTGTGAAGGTGCATTTGATGAACCTTTATTGTATTGTGACAATTGGGGTAAACAAATGAGTTTTGTAATTGGATTTGGTGATAAATATATAATTGATTTAAGTGAAAAGTATATCACAAAAGAAAAACAGATCAATAAAAGTACAATAACTGATGTGAATAAGGTTAAACAAGTTATCAACTATTATAATACTTTGAAACAATTAAATTATCAAAAACAATTTGAAGGTGATGATGAATCATTAATGAGAGTATATTATGATATAATAGTACCTTACAATCAAGAATTAAAACATGTCGAACCTACTAAAACTAATAATCTACCTATTGGTAGACAAACTGGTTCTATAGAATGGTTAAAATCAAGAGGTGAAAGTGGATAAATATATTAATCTTGAATTCCTTTTGAATGTCTAAATAATTTAAGTCCACACCATGATATTATGGCCCACCACCAACAAACAATATAAATACACCAAATTCTAACTATCATATCATCTATAAATTTAAATATGGTATATAATTGAAAATACATTTCTCCACCGTATAATGGTTGTATTATGAATTTCCATAATTCAAAAAATGAATTAATTGAAATTATAAATAATACATAAGTTGATATTAATAATATATAGCCATATATTCTTAAGTTATCATAATTTAAATTATCTATTTCATCTTCTGGATCAATTAATGGTAATGGTTTACTTTCCATAACATTGATATTTTTTTTTTTTTTTTTCAGTCCAATCATAAAACAAACTATGCAAAATTAAGGCTTTATTGACAATGCACTATTAGCTAGATGCCACATACTTCTCAGTTGTATTACAGTGTTGTTCGTAGTGTTTCTTTTTGGTGGAATAATGGCTTCTAGTTTTTTTGGTTTGACTTGTATTACATCATTTTGCATTGAATTTATGGCAAGATTGTTGCAAAATTTCTCAAAAAGTAGAAAATGTGTATAACTTGATCAAAAATTGTTATAGTGCAATGAAATAAACTTAGATACAATATTTAAGACTTTAAGAACATCATCAAAAACAAAATATAGAGTGTAATCCAGTGTAATACAGTGTAATCCATTTAGCCACAAACAAAGATGGTAGCTTGGAAATATCTCATACTACACAACTTTTTATTTTTAAAAGATTTCGATTTCAACGAAACCAATTTGGCATAATAATTCGTTAGGACTTTAATGTCCAGTAGAAACGGTCTGTTGGCCCAGTTGGTTAAGGCGTGGTGCTAATAACGCCAAGATCAGCAGTTCGATCCTGCTACGGACCATTTTTTGTTTTTTCGGTTTTTTTTTTTTAACTCGGTGTTTGTTTTATTTTTTTAGTACTACTTGATGCCAGGCTGGTTTAATTTTAATGCAGAACTGAAACAAAATTGGGCCGGAGTTAAACAAGGAATATATAGTTACACAGATACACAGATATAAAGCGTAGTATAGTTTAAGATCAACTCGTCAACGTATAACTCTAATAATCAGTCAGACAATATCGAAACTCACAGTAGTAGTATAATACTTGTCACATATAATGTCCTTTTTTATCTTTCGATGTCGTAAATAAAATTATCGAAGTAATTTTTTTTTTATAGCAAACCATTAAATTTTCTCAATCAATCAACAACAATAATAGACAACAATGACAGATGATAAAATAGATATTGAAAGTTTAACAATAAATGAAAAGAAAATAGAATCGCATGCTCATGCAAGTCAATTAAATAGTGATATACAAGCAAGATTATTAGCTTTTCAAAAACAACGATCTAAACCAAATCAACAACAACAGCTACAACAACAACAACAACAACAACAACAACAATCACCTCCAATTGCAAAAAATGTTCAGTTCAATAGTGATTCAAATATAGAAATAGTAAATCTTGAGAAAGAAAAACCATTACCACCATTACCATCATTAAATAATAATCAACCACCAATTCAACATAAACCATTTTCAAGTCCTAAAATTGAGGTTCAAAAAAAACCATCATTATCGCAAAGAAGAGGAATGAAATTGAATATGAATGATATGCCAAAAGATCCAATACTAAGTCCTGACTCTGAAAAAAAACATACACCCGGTGAATTATCAAGAAGATTATCTGAACGAAAGAAAAAACCAAATTTTAAATTAAATTTGGATAGCGGTGGAATTTCAAGAAGCAATAGTCTTAAAGATAATTTATCAAGATCAAGTAGTTTAAGTTCAACGGAAGATACTGATTCTCCAGAAACTGATTCATTACAAGGTTTATTTGCCAATTACTCGAAATATATAGATATAAAATCTGGTCAGTTAAATTTTGCAGGAAAAGCTTCATTACATAGTAAAGGTGTTGATTTTTCATCAGGTTCAAGTTTTAGAGTTTCATTAGATGAATTTGAATATTTAGAAGAATTAGGTAGGGGGAATTATGGATCAGTTTCAAAAGTTTTACATAAACCAACAAATGTTTTAATGGCAATGAAAGAAGTTAGATTAGAATTAGATGAAACTAAATTTACTCAAATTTTAATGGAGTTAGAAATTTTACATAAATGTGATTCTCCATATATAGTTGATTTTTATGGTGCATTTTTTGTTGAAGGTGCTGTTTATATGTGCATTGAATATATGGATGGTGGGTCTTTAGACAAGATATTTGGTAATAATATAGGTATCAAAGATGAACAATCATTAGCTTATATAACAGAATCAGTAACAAGAGGTTTAAAAGAATTAAAAGATCAACATAATATAATACATAGAGATGTTAAACCAACAAATATTTTAGTAAATACTCAAGGAAAAGTTAAATTATGTGATTTTGGAGTTTCTGGAAATTTAGTTGCTTCATTAGCTAAAACAAATATTGGTTGTCAATCATATATGGCACCAGAAAGAATTAAAACATTAAATCCAAATGATGCAACATATTCTGTTCAATCTGATGTTTGGTCATTAGGTTTAACTATACTTGAATTGGCAGTTGGTCATTATCCATATCCACCAGAAACTTATGATAATATATTTTCTCAATTAAGTGCTATAGTTGATGGAGATCCACCAAAATTAGATCCCATGATCTATTCATTAGAAGCACACGAATTTGTAAATAGATGTTTAAATAAAGATCCTGATGCAAGACCTTCATATAGTGAATTATTAGAATCACCATGGTTAAAATTATATGGAAAAGATCAACATTTAGATAAACTAGTTCAAAAAAGATTAAAAGAAATTGATGATGAAAAAAATGTTAAAAAGAAAATTGCAAATTTACCTACAAGAAATGTTGATCTGGTTCAATCGTTACTTCGAGGTAGAGTTAAAGCACCAGCTTTACATAGAGGTGGTTTACAACAAGCAAATAAGAAATTTCTCAATAATAAATAAATAAATTTTATAACATTTTTGACATATATGGACCATCCAATTCATAACCTAATTTTGCATAATAATTTCTAACTCCAACCCCTGATATAACCGATATTTTCTTTGAACCATGTTCTTCTTTTGCAATTCTTGCAGCTTCTTCCATTAATAAAGTACCAAAACCTTGATGTTGAAATTTTCTTGGATCTCTTGAATGTAATGGAACCACTGAACCATAAACATGTAATTCTCTAACTATTGAAGTTTGTTGTTGTTTAAATTCTTGTCGATACGTATATTTTTTTGAAGCTTTTCTTAATCTTAGTAAACCAATTAAAATATCTTGTTTTGGATCTTCATAACTTAAAAAAGTTTCCCAACCACCATTTGCATAATAATCTCTTCTAATTAATTCCACTTGTTCAGGTATAACTTTATTATGAACTTCTTGAATACCAACTTCTCTTGTTCTAACATCTCTACATTGTGTACCAAAATCTTTCATCCTTGCTAATGCCAATTCTCTTAGATTCCCATTTTCAACTCCCGATGTAACTAATGGCATTGGAATATCTCTTTGAACTCGATAAATTCTTGTCCATGGTGGAATCAATGCTAATATTCTTGCAATTAAATCAATTAAAGCATTTGCATTATAAGATTTATATAAACCTTTTTTCCATAATTCATATAATCCAGTACCTCTTATAACTAAAGTTGGATATAATTTTAAACCATCAGTTCTAAATTCAGGATTTTCAAAATATTCTTTGAATTGTTCTAAATCTCTTTCCATTCCGACATTTGGTAAATCTGGCATCATATGACTAACAACTTTATAACCAGCATCTTTTGCAACTGCAAATGTTTCACATACAGATTTAACAGTATGACCTCTATTTGTATCTCTTGCAACATCTTCGTAAACAGATTGAACACCAATTTCTAATCTTGTACAACCATATTTTAACATATCACTTAAATGAGTTTCTGTACAATAATCAGGTCTTGTTTCAATTGTAATACCAACACATTTAGTGTGAGATTGTTGAGAAAATTTTATAGATTCATTCAAATTGGTACCATTAAATCCAGTTAAAGCATTATGTAATTGACATATAAAATTTTCTCTATAATCAATTGGTAATGACATAAATGTACCACCCATTATAATATATTCAACTTTATCAATAGAATGACCAAGACTTCTTAATTGATCAACTCTACCTCTTGCTTGTTCATAAGGATCATATCTAGCTCTAATAGCTCTCATTGAAGTTGGTTCATAACCAGTATAAGATTGTGTACTATATTCAAAATCACTATCGGGACCACCAGGGCAATATACACATATATTACCAGTATAAGCAATATGAGGACATCTATGAGGTTTACACATAACAGCAACTACAGCAATACCACTAGCAGTTCTAACAGGTTTAGCTTTTAGCTTTGGTATTAAATATTTCTTATATTGATCGGGTATTGAAGATATAATATCTGTTAATCTTGGTTGTTGTCTTAATTTATATTTTTTAGCATAACGAACTATCAACCCGTTCAAATTAACTTCTTTCGATGATTTTAATGAAGATACTAATTCTAATGATATATCACCACATGCTTGTATAAATCTTTCTTTCTCTGGTATAACTTTCTTTTGAACTGGCATTTTATCAGTTTTACTTAGCTAGCTCATCGAAAAATATTTTTCAATCAAAATGTTTAAACTTATAAAACCAAATAGAATACAACACAATGTTTATAGAATATCCATAGCTAATTATTCTGATAAGAAGAAGAATAAAGTTAACATATCTCAAATGCCATTATCTTATATTGGTGTAATGTCAGATTTATATGTTCCTCCATCTTGGTCAAGAGTTCCAATATTATATTGGCCCAAGGTATTAATTAAAAGAATTAGTTTATTTGCTTTAAATACTTACATGATAGTTAAATTTAAACAAGAAATAGGAGTACCATTGAACTTTAATAAATGGAAAGATGAATCGATTGAAAAATTTATTAATATTAATAAAACATTTACAAAATCATGTAATAATCATTCATCAAAAATAATAGATCAATTAAATAATCATGCTGGTAAATATTTAATTGATATGTTAAAAATTAGATCAAATTCATTTCCAAAATCATCATCATCGATTTCATGGGAAATTAAATCAATTGATAAAAATCCAAAAATTGTTTTATTTAATGTTATACCTGATCAAAATGGGTTGGGGTTATTTGTTCAATATATAATGCAATTAAAAACAACTCAAGAAATACAGGTTGATGGTAAAAAACACGTTGTCGAAAATAATGATTATTTAGTATATTCAATGAATCCAATAACTGAAGAATTATTATTAGTTGGTAAATTATTTGAATGTGATTATAAAAGAGGTTTAAAAGGTGAATTAGATATGTTTGATCAAAAAACAATGCAAAAATTCCTTTTATTGGCCGCTGATATATATAGAGAAGATCCAAAAACATCTAAACAAAAACTTGAGTAACCCTGTAAATAGTCTAATCCATCAAGAAAACATCCGATGATATTTTTTCCTTTAATTTAAAATTCGGTCTAACATTTAATGTTCCACTTTGAGATCTTGAATCTCTTCTTTCAACTTCTTGTGGAGTTAATATAATATCCGTTAATGAATTAGGTAAGAAATCTTCTTCAAATATTGAATTCTCTGCCGATTCAACTTCTTCTTCATCATCTTCAAAAGGTTCAGAAAATAAAGGAGGAGAACTATTCATTGAATAAGATCTTGTTATTTTAGGATATGGTGATGGATTATTACTAAAAACACTTGAATATGAATTCGAAAACAAATGTATTCTATCTGTATTGTAATTAAATTTATTATTATCTGGAGTATCTGTTTTATAATTTTTATTACTTATTGTATTGTTCTTATTATTATTATTACTATTACTATTATTATTATTGATCCTAGTACCGTCAGGTAAGAAATGAGCTAAAGCACATTTTAAACCAAATTTACAATTACCCTTTTGAAAATATTTACAAGGTATTTTACCAGCAGCTAAATTACCATCTATATTATGACTAAAAGGACATGAATTACCAGCTTGACAAATTCCTTGTTTAAAAAATTTACAAGGTACATGAGATAAATTTTTATTATTAAAGTTATTACCATTTTGATATAATTGAACAGTACCAGGAGGACCTGTATTTGGAGGTAACTGTTCAGATATTGATTTCAAATCAAACTTGTTACTCATGTATTTATGAAACTCGGTTGGTATAAAATTTAAGGATATATTTATTTTTTTATAGATAAGATAAGAAGAGCTACCATGTGACCAGAGCTACCAAGTGTGTTCCGTTAAAACTGTGGATTCTCAAATGAACACAATAAACACAATATACCACTCACTACTAACATCGCTAGGCTTACTAGCATCCTTGCATCCTTCATCTTGACTGCACCCTGATTACCTACGATCTGCTGATCCAATACCTCTTTTACCACTGAATAAATGTTTTGGTAATGCAGCAGTAGAATGTCTATCACCTTCTCCTTGTCTTGCCATTCTATTTCTTTCTCTTCTTTGAATTTTTGCCAATTTTTCAGTTTGTGATTTTAATGCTCCGTCATTTAATCCTTGATTTAATCTATCTGATTGATTCATTGCTGCTTTCTTTTTAGTTACTTTTTGTAATTTAATACCTTGATCTTGTTTAAGTGTTTCTTTACCCTCTTCATCATCTCTTTTTCTCTTTTTAACTGTACTTTTCAACTTACTAGTATCATGTCCAATATTATACATATGTTCTTCCATATCTCCAAATGATTTCTTTATTTGATCTCTTGGCATTAATGCTTTATTTTTCAAAGATTTTCTATTTCTACCTTCTATAATCATTGTTTTTTGTTTATTTCTAATCCATTGTGCTTTTTCTCTAATATCTTCCACTTGTTCATCTTCAATTTCTGAATCTGAATCTGAATCATAAAATCCTTCTTGTTCTAATCTTTCTTCTTCTTCTTCTAATGCTTGTAATTTAGCTGAAATATCAGGATCTAAATAATCATAAACATTTTTACCATTTAAAACTTCTGGCATAACATCATTTTTCCATTCTTCATCTTCTAATAAATATTTATCTTTTAAATTTATATTAAAAACTCCAGCACCACCATTTTCAAATTCAATATCTCTTGCTAATTTTCTTCTATTTGGATCATTTATATCATATTTTTCTAAATCTTTAACTCCTTCCGGTATATAAGCTGGTCTTTCAATTTCATCTCTTTGTTGTGGTTTTGCAACATGAATTTTATTTAAAACATTATTAATTCTTGCAGTACCTTTTAATTTCTGTTCAATTCTTGCAGTTAATAATTTTTCACAAGCATGATTTCTAACTTGCATAACATTATCTTCTTCATAACATGATGTATTCATGATTTCTAAACCAGGAAGTGATTTTAATGAGTTTATTAAATCTTGTTTTTCTTTATCTAAATCTTCAATTTTAATTATATCTGATTTATTTAAAACAACCATAACTGATTTATTTGCAAATAAAGGTTTTATAGAATTAAATAATTTAACTTGAGCTTCGATTGAAAAACCACATTGTTCTGATAAATCCATAAAATATAATACACAAGATCTTAAATGTGCAATAGCATAAATAGATTGCATTTCAATATTATTCATATCTTCTGTAGGTCTATCTAAAATCCCAGGGGTATCAATAGCTTGAAATCTTAAATATTTATAATCAAAATGACCAACATATAAAGATTTTGTTGTAAATGCATAAGGTTGAACTTCAACATCAGCTTTTGTAATACTTTTTAAAAATGAGGATTTACCAACATTTGGATAACCACAAATTAATAAAGTTCTAGTATTTGGATCAATCAGTGGTAATCTACCTAAATGTTGTCTAACTTGTTCCAAATAAATAAAAGGATCTTTTAATTTTTTAACAATGGTAGCCATTCTACCTAAAGCAGCTCTTTTTAATTGTTTACACTGATATAAAGATTGACCAAATTTTAATAATCTATTATAATCTCTTGAAACTTGTTCGATTAAAGTTTTAGCTTTTGAAATAGCAGCTAAAGAAACTTTATAATGATTTTTTTCATATAAAGTATCCATTAAATCTCTATGAAAAGGATGAACATCATTTACATTTGGGAAACCACTTAATAATTCAGTAAATTTTTCAGTAAAACCTTCAGCAGTAAATTTAACTTTTCTCATATAAAAAGCTCTAATTCTTGTAATTTTAAAACCAGGTCTTATAACAGTTGGAGTTTTTCTTTGAGTTCTATTAAGGATGATATCCAACATATCATTTGAAGTTGGAACTGGGGGTATATCCTTCCATGATAATTGCATACTGATAAAGAAGAGATGAGATGGGATGGGGGATGGGTATATTTTTTTTTTCTGCGAAGAGATCAATACAATACAATACAATACAAAACATAATTTCTATTCATTAAAATGATAAACTAAGTAGTTTGGTAAACCAAATACTTCATATCCTAATCTTTTTGCCATCTTAGCAAAACCTTCTGTCTCTATTAAATGATAGAATGGGAAAGATGGAAACATTGCTCCATCTCTATGAACATCAGCTTTAACTAATACAGTTCCACCTCCAACACCATCTAACTGCATTTCTGTATTAACATCACCCTTTTCTTCATAAAAATGAGCCATTAATGGTCTATATGTTGCCATTTCTGCATATCCTTCGACTATTATTTCTTCATCATCCATATTATTAGCTAATTTTAATCCTTCATCACTTTCAACCCAATTATTATAATCATATGGTCTAATATTTAATTTATTTGCATCATCATAATACTTTTGATAAACATTTGCTGACAATACAGGTTTATTATGTGCTGTTAAATCTTGTATTAAACTTGTTGGTGTTTCAACAATATCTGAATCTAACCATAAAACCCATGAAGTTGACGGTGCAATTGTTGTAAATAATAATGAATTCCTTGCTAATGCCATCATTGATCTTCTTTCTTTTTGTACAGATAAAGCATGTCTATCCTTTTCTGATTGAGATTCTAAACTATTTGAATCTTGTCTTAATAATGTAATTTTTTTAAAATTCAATTTTTTTTCATTTTGACTCTTTTTTAATTGATGTTCCAAAGATTTTAAAGCATCATCACCTTCTTTGGTTCTTGGAAATATAAAACCTAAACTTATTAAAGAATGATCATAATCTAATTTTAGTAAATTATCCCAATATTGTGATAAAAATCTTGACATTGGAGTCAAAATTAAAATTTCTTCTCTGTTCATTAAAGCATTTGGTGAAACAGTTAATTTATTTAAATCGTAATGACTTATATGATTATTTGGTAAATTTTTTAATATAATTGAATCTTTATTTTTATTATTATAATTAAACCATGAATTTGATTTCTTATTATAATCATATTTATTTTGTTTTTTAAATGAAGTTGAAGATGCAAAGAAATAAAAATATATGATTAATATTAATGAAATTGGAGCTATTAATGCCAAGGGTCTTCTTCGTATATAATTTATATAATAATTCTTATAATAAACCATCCTTCTTTGTAGAACTTCGGATCAATTGTTATTCATTTTTTTCGTTCTATTTTTAACGTGTTGATGAAACGTCCAGGGGTAGTGTACAATTTACAATAAATAGACGATATAACAATATACTATTGAATTATACAATTAAATATATAAACAGTCAAGTACTCAAAATCTATTTAAATACTTTACCATCGGCAATTTCTCTTGATTCACCGTTAACAACAACCGGTTCATCCCATGCTAACATATTATTAACAAATTTTTGAACATCTTCTTTTGAGCCATCTAATTTTGTAAATTCATATGATTCCCAATCTGGTGCAACATCAAATGCTGGTTTATAATCTTGTCCTCTAACTAAGAAAGCACCTGTAATACCATTATTATTATTTTCTCCATAAACAACCATACATCCAAACATATATTTAGTTGATGCTGATAATCTATTGAAAAATCCACCAACTAAATTATTTGACATAAATGTTAAAGTTAATTCATCATTATATTTATAATCAACTTTATATAATGACCATTCTTCTGGATCATACATATTTTTCCAAAACCATGGAATAGCAGTTTCTCTAGTTTCTTCATTTGAATAAACTCTTTTCCATTCATCTAAAGGTGTTTTTGGTTTACCTAAAGCTTCTAATGGATGTTTTGGTTTTGGTGCAGCTGGTGGTTCTTCTGAAACTTCTTTATCTGGTTTAGCTTCTTTTTTAGCTACAGATTGCTGTTTTGGTTCTTTAACTTTTTCTTTCTTTTCTTTCTTTGGTGCTTCAACTGGTTTATCAATAAATTTATAATCACCTAAAAATTCATTTAAAATGGGTGATTTAATAATTGTTTTAAACCATCTTGTAATACCTGGATATTGTTTTCTCCATTCTTCACCATACAAGAAATCAAAACCTCTAACAAACAAAGTTGTAGCAAATAAATCAGCTAAAGTAATTCTTTCACCAACTAAATAAGTAAATTCAATTAATCTTGATTCAAAAACTTGTAAAATTTTGGTTAAATATTGTGAATTATCATCAATTTGTTTTTTATTAAAAGGTGATTGACCAGTTAATGGTTTAAAAATATTAGCTTCAGTTGGCATTAATTCAGTATTTGCAAAAGATAACCATTTTAAAATTTGAGCATATTCAGCACCATTTTTACCTAATAATTTTGAATTTGGTTCAGCTTCATTAATTACTAATCACAATTTTGTTAGTATAGATTCTTAATATTTAATAATTGCTCTATTTTTCAGATTAAAAATCCTCGACATAATTTATTAAGACAGGGATAACTGTATAAATATAAAAAAACTTTCTCATCATTTAAAAGCAACTCAATTGAATCTTTTAATACATACAGTAAATAACAATTGCAATAATTTCATGTAATTTAAAACCTTTTTTACCAATAAAAGCAGGAATTTTATTTAAAGTGAAATATTTATGATAAGAATCATCTTTATCAGATAATTTAATATCTAATTTGAAATATTTAACTAAAGCTTTTGGTAATAACAGTCTAATTTGTTGTGTAACGTATAAAACTTCTGACATATTGTTGAATTATGAATGAATAACGAGAGGTAAAAAATTTTTTCAATTTCGTTGTATTCTCTTCTCACAAATTTAGTGTTGCATGGCAATAAATTGAGAGCGACGCTACCAATACCTCCAAATTCAGTTTGATTGATAGTTCATTGCTAGTATGAGAATTTGTTTTGGTATAACTTATAAATCTAATGACTAGTTTCAATATGCTTTGAGCAGATAATCCCAGAACAATTGAGGAGGTTTTTATTTACGAAATCGTTGACACCAGAGCATGGACCAGTTATCCGGCCACTAAAACGAGAAAAAAAATACTTCGCTACAACATCTGGGTCTAGCCCCCGAGTTAAAAAACAATTCTTTAAAACGAAAAAAAAATAGACTTTTCATGTTGAAAACAAGCCCCTTCTTTAGTCTATAATAAGCATAAACTTTTATTCATTACTTGAATCAACCAGCTTATGCCCTGTCGCAATTTTGAAGTATAATTTTTCACTATTTCAACTAAATAATCAAGTGAGCAAGTTACGTTTTTATGAAAGAGTGAAAGAGTCTAAGGTTGGTTTGTTCTAATTAGACTGAATAGTTAAATGGAATGAGCTTGTGAGTGACATCTTGAATATAGAAGGAGTTATTTACAAATTAAATCTCGAGATTAATATTAATAGTGTAGAACTGCAAATTAGTCAAATTTGTTTCAAAGTTGTTTTTTTTAAGTCTGTAATTCTCGCACAAAATTGGCGCCAACAAAGTATTTTTCCTCGTGGTAACTCTGGGGAGTCTCGTACTAAGTGTATTGGCTTAAATGTGGAGAAAAATGCATTCTCCTGAGAAAATAACAAATTATACGAAATAAGGAAGTGTAAAACCATATATTCTAAATAGTTCAAACTTTAAAATTTTTGAAATGTTTTTCGAGTTGTCATTTTGGCTATTTTTCATCATACAAAAATTTTTCAAAAAATGTGAATTTGTGTACTACTTTGATTGAGCCGAAAATTTTCGGTTAAACAACGAATCATATATATCGTACCTCAAACTAAGGTGCTGATTGCAATTTTGAGTTATTCAAATTGAAATTGAAAAATCTCAAAATTCTCTCTTAAGTATGGCGAAAATTGAGTAAATTGACCTTTGGAAAAATCTAATTTCACAATCAAAACTTAAATATCATAAAAGTATCAAGATTCGTAGTCTCTCATTCTGATATGGTTTAGTTTTTTTTTTTGTGTTGAGGTATTCTAAATAGAAAATCAGTTTTTTAAAAGTGGTTCGAAATTTTTGCAAAATTTTCATACTAGCTATGACAATTTTAAAACATTATACATGTAATCTTATAAATTGAATTAAACAAATCAGATAACTAAGAAGTTGCTAAATAAAGTCTAAGTGTTACTTTTCTATTCTTTTCTTTTCAAAATAGCGTTTTATTCCATTTTTTGATTGAAGAATAAAATCATCAAAATTAAATTCATCCGATACACATTGTTATCAGTTTACTCTAGATATTGTAGCGGTTATAATAAAGCTACTTTGAATGCAAAAACTTGATTATTGATTGAGTTATATCCAAAATAATAAATTTTAACATTAAGTATTACAGAACTGCATATAAGCATATTTGTCTCAAAATCTTAAAACCGATAAGGAACGAACATACGGTCAAAAAATTTAATTTTTTTCTTTTAGGCGAGAGCAGGTACCACCACCACAATCCATAGCAAAATTCGTGATAATTCTACAACACTAATTAAAAAATTTCTAGACTACAAAAGAACTGGTATGAAATATTATGCTGCATTTAACTATATGTAATTATACATTAATTATACAGATTAAAACGAATTTGGACACTATATATAATTAAAGTGGTGTAATTGCACACCCACCTGGTAGAATACACTAATACACTAGTACACGAATACCCGAATACACTTCCTATTTTTTTTCTGTGAGGGTTTATTTTTTTTTTTTTGTACTACATACTCCTTATGATTTAAGAAATCTTGACAGATCTGCACGATTAAAAACAAAAAAAAATAATATTAATAAGGGTGCAAAATTATAACTATGATAACTCTCGGAAATTACAAAGAAAAAATTGTTCAACAATTATTACAAAGCTAACTAAAGTTAATAGTTTTAACTAGATTTACATTAAGCCCTTATTTAAAGTTATAAATGAGTTTAATAAAATTGATATTAAATATTATGAAATAAAATATTATGAAATAAAATATTTGGTAACCCCATGTGCGCTTTCTAAAAATAATATTCAATGTATTTCTTGTTAATTTTGAATGATTGGTCTGGCTTTAAATTTTTACACGCCTTACTAAATACATTTTTTTAATAGAAATCTGATAACGAAGCTAAAATACTTATTAGGTGTAGTTTGATAAAGAAAGAAAAAGAGAAAAAATACTAGACTTATGCAAGAACAATTAGTAAAATACTATAAGGAATAAAGCATTGAATATTAATTGGAATAGTTAAACTCTAAATTTTGTTAGGGGGTGTTTTTTTTTAGAAGAAGGGGTCAAAAGAAAGAATAAAAGAACAAAAGAATAAAAGAACAAAAGAATAAAAGAATAAAAGAAAAAAAAAAAAAAAAGAAAAAGGAATAAAAGAAAAAGGAATAAAAGCCTAATTGCAATACTTTTGAAGTTCTTTTATAAAAGCTTAAATATTTATCCATATGATTGGTAGGCGGCGACGGTGTAGAGATTTGAAATTAAAAGTAAAAATTTAAAATTGACGTGGTACAAAATTAATGAAAACATGGTCTCTACAGGAACAAACAAAACATAATTGATTCAAAACATAATTGATTCGAAACGTAATTGATTCAAAACATATTTGAAACAAAACATACTTGAAACAAAACATATTTGAAACATTTATTCAAAAGTTGTTTTTAATATACAAATATTGACATTAAAAACACGCACCCTTATCAAACTTTTCATTTAGTTTGACGTTTATACAATAAGTATAAATTTAACTTTTAATTCGTCCAATACAATTTTAGCGCTTAATTTTATTTTATTTTATTTTATTTTATTTTATTTTATTTTATTTTATTTTATTTTTTTTTTTTTTTCTTTCTTTTTATCGTTTAAATTTGGTTTTGAGTAAATAATTTAATTTTCTTAATTTAATTTTTTTTTTTTTTTTATTTTTATTTTTATTTTTATTTTTATTTTTATTCTTTAATTAAAATTCAAATTCAAATTCAAATTCAAATTAAATTTTCAACAAATTGATCAACAACAGTTTTTAAAAGATTTATTCATTAAATATATTCAATTGATTAGTAGTAATAGCCTTTGGTTTAACTTGTTATTTTGGATTTTTATTTTGGTGAAATTGCAATGGTATATTAATTTGTTTTAATTTTTTTGCCATGAATCAACATCGAACAAATAATAATAATATTAATAATAATAGTAATAATATTAATATTAATAATACTAATAGTAATAATAGTAATAATAGTAATAATAGTAATAATTTCAATTTCAATACTAGGGCCAAAGAATTTAACAATTATAAATTCAAAAATAAGCCTATATTCAATGTAAACGCTGCTCCTTTTATTCCTTTATACCAACCCACGTTTGATAAATCGCCGACGTCAAAAGACAATAATAAATTAACGGTTGAGATTTGTCATTTTCCAAATTCAATAACTCAAGAGGACCTTATTGAGTTTTTAAATAATAATCAAATTGATATAAATAAGCATAAAGTTTTGCAAATTATAAAAGAATATGAAGCAAAAGTAATTTTGGAAGTTTGTAATTATGAAATTGCAAATTTATTGTATACTCAAATCGACGGTTCACAATTCCATGGAAAAACTTTGGGAGTCATTATAAATAATAATCATCAAACTTCATACTTTCCTGATGAAATTAATAATTATTCGAGACGTGCTAGCTCAAAAAGTAGTAGTGATAGTGATCATTTATCATTATCAAATTACTCATCATCATCCCTCAATACTACTACAGAGCCTGTTCCTCCTTTCATAATGAATATGATTCAAAATAACCATAAAAACTCGACATCTTCACCTACAATCCCATATCCCTATCCTTACTTGATCAATAAAATAAATGAAGAAGAATATGAACATCTGCTGTCTGAAGAATTGGACTCTGCCACCTCCATACTAGTTCCAATTGGCGATGGTGAAAATCCCGACCAACTAATACCCGTGAACCCATTGAGGTTATTCATTGGAAATGTACCATATTCATCAAATTGGGTCTCCTTAAGAAATTTTTTATTGGATAAATCTCAAGAATTAGCTCCAGGTTTTCCTATATCAATTCAAAGAGTAGAAATACCAATACAACAAATTAATACAGAAGAATATAATTATCATTTATATCAAGGCGTTTTGCAAACACAACCATTACCTCCAATTATAATTAAAAGTAGAGGTTTTGCAATCGTCAAAACTGGAAATATAGAAACTTCAAATAAATTAATTGATTTATTTAATAATATAGAATTTGAAGGTAGAAAATTAACTGTCAGATTTGATAAATTTCCACAATATACTAATTATTCAACTCAACAAACAAATACTCAAAGAATAATATTACCACCATTAGAATTTTAAAAGATACTTCCTACAAATAATAGCAGACCTACGTTAACTAATTTGTAAAATCCTTCGATATTATAAGTAACTTACCAGTTGAAAAAAAATGTTACGTCATAAATCTTTTTATTGGTCTGGTCCAAATTTAACTATAAAAATAACTCAAACCATTTTCATCGTAATAATTCATTACCTACCAATCATTATAATTATTATAACAATCGTCAAAGACAAAGTATACAACTTACAGGTCGTTATTATTTTTCCATATGCTCCAATTCCACCATTTACAACACCATATGGAATACCTCTTAATCCAGCAATAGATCCACAACAACAATTGAACTCTTCACTCCTGAATTTGAACGTTGAAGAGTATAATAACAAATCTGAAACAAGTACGTAGTAGTTAAATTTGGCTGCAAAATAGAAATATGGAATATATAAATGTAATATATACACATGTACTGCATATAAAATAAACATAATATTTTTTTTTTTTTTTATGGATTCTTTGATTTTTTAGCAAACAATTAAGAGATTAAATATATCAAAAAGTTAGCAAATACACAACGTTAATAAGATTTGATAATGAATGTCGAGCAAAAGGAGCATTCTCAACAGGTGCAACAAACGCCAGTTAAAGAAACGAAGAAATTACAGTTACAAACAAATGTTTCAAATGAAGATATTCCACCGTCAATTCTAAATGTATCTCCACCACCAACTTCGCCTAATAGAGAACTACCAATAATTGAAGATAATAAAGGGACGGTCATGGCTGGTGGAGCATATCTTAAAGATCAAAATAGTAGGGAAGAGAAACCTGAGTTCGCTAGTACATCTCATCATAAGAAAGCTCCTCTGGTGCATGCTCATTTTGAAATGAGCCAGTTAAAGAATCGATCCAGAAGTGGATCAAATCCATCGTCAGTTCAACTAGAAGAAACTCAACAACAATCACAATTACAATCACAATTACAATCACAATTACAATCACAATCACAATCACAATCACAATCACAATCACAATCACAATCACAACAACAACCAACTCAACCACCTTTATTCCTAAATGATTCATCAACTACAAAATCTCAAGAAAGTATAAAGAGTAATCCACGAAGTACTCAAACTCCACCTCAATTACTATCTACAAATTCATCCTTTATGGAACAGCAATCCAATACTGATCCAAGACTACCTACCAATGATGATAAATTTCATATTTTATTAGGAGTTTGTGCTTCTTTAAGTTCCAGTAAGATTAAATTGATAATTAATAAATTATTTGAGATTTATAAACCTGATAAAATATCAATTCAATTAATTTTAACAAAATCTTCTGAAAATTTTATTCTTCAAGAAACAATTACATATTTAAAAAGTGTTAAAAAAGTACGAGTTTGGAGAGATGAAGATGAGTGGACCACATGGCAAAAGAGAAATGATCCAGTTTTACATATTGAATTACGACGTTGGGCTGATATATTCGTTATAAGTCCATTAACGGCAAACACTTTATCTAAAATTGCCTTGGGAATTTCTGACAATTTATTAACTTCGGTAGTTAGAGCTTGGAATACTGCTTATCCTATATTATTAGCTCCTGCCATGGTTAGTTATAGTTATAATGCTATTACTACTAAAAGACAATTAAGATTGATTTCTGATGAAATGCCATGGATTGAAATTTTAAAACCACTGGAAAAAGTATTTGGTAGTTATGGTGATATTGGAATGGGTGGAATGATGGATTGGAATGAAATTGTGAATCAAATAGTAATGAAAATGGGTAGATTTCTAAAAATTGAAGATGAAGAAGATGAAGAAGAAGAAGAGGAAGATAAGGAGAATGATAAAAAAGTAGAAAAAGATGAAGAAGAAGACGAAGATGAGGATGAGGATGACGAAGATGAAGAGGATGAAGAAGATGAAGAAGATGAAGAAGATGATTCAAGAGATTAGTAAGAATATTAACGTTTATATTAATTAATAATACAGATAGAATTGAACTCATTAGTTTTAATTATTTAATTGTTTAATTTTTTCATCTCTCCAATTTAAATAATCATCACCTATTAAAGTTGAAGTATCGACATTACTTACTTCATCTTGAAATTTAGACAATTTAATAGGTGATAAATCAAATAGTGACGAATCCATATTTTCTTTATCAAATGAATTTTGTGTATGCTGTTTTGAATTTTGAAATAGTGGTTTATCATGATTTAAAGGTTTTAAAGGTGAGTTTAAAGGTTGTAATAAAACTTCTGGTGGTTTATTTCGAAATGAATTCATTCTTGAAGCTTGTATGGGACTTTCATGAATTGAAATTGATGAATTGAATTTGGATGACGGTATAGTTTGTCGTTTCGGGATAACTTTTTTTATATTAGCTTCTTTTTGAATCCTTGAAAATGATTTAGTTGGAGATTTTCTTTCTGGTGACGATGTTGGTCTGGTAAACCTTAGTTTATTTGGTGATTTTACATCAGCTCTAACTTTTGATGAACTAATATTTTTCACTTTATGAAGTTCACTTGACATAAAGCATACCTTCTCAAAGAAATCTTCACCATTTATAGTTAACTTTTTTTGATTTTTTGAAAGTGCTAGGTTATTATATTTCGTCACTTCATTTTTCAAATTTTCAATAGTTTTGGGTAAATTCTTATTGATCTTTTTCCTGATTTTTTCTTCATTAAGTAGTATTTTACATGAATTCTTACTAAGTAATCTTGATGAATCTTTTGAACTTTCAATTAAAAATTGCTGATCTTTTAATAAGTCATTCAATTCGTTATACAATTCAAATACTGGTTTCTTTTCATTAAATTCTTCTTTTAATCTCTTTAATTCCAATTCATGTTTGTTTAAAACTACTTCCTTATTTGTTTCATCATCATCATTTTCAGGATTATAATTAAAAAATTCAAAATCTTGTCTCATTTCAATTGAATAATACATTCTATCCCATAACTTTTCAATTTCAATTCTTGCATCGTTTATAAAACTTTCAATAAATTCAGAACGTCTAATATATAATTTATTCAATTCCATTTTGAAATTTAGTATTGATAAATCTGAAATTGAATTATTTCGAGTTAGGAAATTTTCAATATATTCACTATTTTCACCTAATTTTTTCCATAATAAAGTACATGTATTGTATAATTCATGCCATTTAGCTTTTTTATCCTCATATGTAGTCTTTAACAAATTTTGAAATACCTGAAGAAAATTTATATGATCGTCATTCAAACCGAATTGATGTGGTTCGTTCCTTATGGCTTCTAAAGTTTCAAGATCTAATATAGCTTCTTCTTGACTATTAGATTTTTGTAATTCCAAAATTTGATCATTATTTAAATTTAATAAACTTATAAATTCGAAACAATTTTCCAAGATTTTTAAAACTTGTTGTTTTCTCTTCTCAGTTATACTTTTACCCTTTTCCAATTCACTATTAACATGTAATAAAAACTCTGGTGTAATTTTAGTTATCTTCAACCCTCGTATAATTTTAATTAATTGATAATTTAAATCTCGTAATTGTATAAAATTTTCATCTAGATCAACAGCTTGATTTCTTTTTGGTGATACATTTTTTATTGGACTAGCTAAAATATAGGAGTGGTTAGAAGATTTAATTGTTTTTGTTACTGATTCAAATTCTTTAATAATTTCTTGATGATATATGGCATCTGGTTTCGCAGGGAGCATATTTAATTTTGGATCTAATGAATTATCATACCCTATAACTTCAATTAATTCAATATATTGCAAATTGACATAATTCAACTGTTTAAACATCTTTATAAATGATTTTAAAACTTGTAGGAAAATTAAATTTAATTTGTTTCGTTGTTGTAATAATGATAACACAGGTATATTGTTCATTAAATACTCATACTGTCTTTCAATTGATAAATCTTTATCTATGTGTATGTCGTAATCTCCACACTCTCCTTGTAATTGATTTGTCATCCTAGTCAATATTTGTTCTTTATATCCATCCTCATAAAGTGATTGATTTTTAAAAACTAATCCCTTTTCAATCAAATTTAAATTTTTGTCTCCTTTAATATCATTAATCATTGATAATATTATCTGAATCTGTTGTCTTAGCCACTCACATTCATTCTCGATATTATTTCGTTCTCTATTTAAATTAGTTGAAAAATTAACAATTGTATCTTGAATAATATTGAAAATTTCATTCTTTTTAGATAATGTTTCTGAGTTTGAGTATCCAATTATGTTGTATATCTTATCTAGCTCTTCCAATGTATTATTAATATGGAGAGCAATTTCATGGAATGATTTTGTTGAATCAATATTATGCTCGGAATTTAATGTTGTATGCAGCAGCAGTAGTATCAGCGAAGCTTGTTTCTTGGGTGTACTATTTCTATAATACGTAGTTCTACCATTACTGATAGGCGAACTCATTGGTAATTCATTCATTGAAGATCACGATAAAATTAATAGAATTCAAATTTTATAAGTTCATCTTGTTTTGAAATTGCCTAATGCGGCTAAATTAATAATAAAATAAAATACAACAAAAATAAAAATCTGAAACAAATCGCTACCAATTGTGTGTCGTTAAAATAAATTTCATTAAAAAATTCTACAAAAAATCTTATTGCATCTATTAATTTATTATCTCTTTTGTAATTTCATCAATTTGATTGTCGCTATTTTTCAATGATGCTGGATTGAATGATGATAAGTTTAAAATTGCTTGTTTATCATTTTGTTTCTTCATCTTTAAATTATAATTATACTTAAATTTATTAAAATTATAACCCAACTCTTTTGAAATTTTGTGTAGAGCCTGTGCATGTGAAGAATTGAAATATTCTCCTGATTTGATTAATTGATTAAACCAAAATTTGGCAAGTTCTCGATTGTTATGTCTATGATGATAATTTATCAATGGGTACAAATGAATAAAATGAAGTGGTTGATTGTTATCGTATAAATATTTAACTATTTTCATTGCAATGGTTAAATCATCATGATGAGTTAGTGATACCCAAACTAGTGAGCCAAATGCTTTTGAATTAAGATGTGAATGTAATAAGGAATTGAATATTTTCTTTGCAAATTCAAAGTTTTGTACGGAGGAATTGAATATGAACTTTGACTTATTGATCATCAATAACTTGTCTATGAATAACTGTATTATTACATCTGATTTTAAGTTGGCCTCTAATTGATATTTCAAAAAATGCTGAAACAACATATCCATCGTATTAATGTCTATTTCTTCCATTGAATTAAAAATAACTTCATACATGTTTGATATTCCAAATGAATCTAAATGTGGTACTGTTAAATTTGAATCAATATTTGCTAATTGTATATTATCATAATGAGTAATTTTATCAGATGATGGTAAATTCAAAAGTCGTAATTCATTTAATATTTCTAGGCCATCATTAAATAAAGCACCAATATATCCAATGAAAACTTTAGGTGAGGTTGGAAATTTATTTTTAATTAATAATAATATTTCATTACTTAAAAACATTTTTTGTTCATGAGTAATTGACTTTAAATCTAGATTATTTAGCACTGATATGAATTGTTCATTATTTCCTTCCTTACGTAAACTAGACAATAATATTGCATAAACTTCAAAATCAATTGAAAAATTTTCTTTAATCATATATTTTAAAATTTGAGTTCCATTTTCTGATCCATGATATTTTAAAACTAATTTCAAAACAGATTTTATAATTAATGATAAACTTTGATTAATTTTAGATTTGCTGGTTGATTTCTGACATAATAATTCAAATTTTTCAACCATACAATTTAACAAAAACATTGCCTTGTAAGGCTCTTGACTATTGTATATCAACTTATTGAACTCAACAAAAGAATAAAACCTAGTTATCCTGTTTTTTTGAATTATACTGAGTTTCAGTTTTGAATTGACATATATATGATTTTTCGAAAATCCAAAACTATTTGCATTTACTGATTTGTAAAATTCTTTATATAATTTAGGTGGATATACTTTCAAATTGAGATTTAGCATGTAAACAAAAAGCTGGTTTTGTTTCTTTTTGGAAATTTTGAGCAATTCGTTAAATTCGTTGGCTAAAATCACATACAATTCTGAATTGACATAACTTGTTTTACATATTTTCTCAAAATAATTAAATAATAAATCACATCTCGTTTCATTAGTTTCATTCATCCATATAATTTGTTTAAATATTTCAAAAAATAAATCTCGAGTTTCAATATCATTTGGTCTAGAAATAAATTGAAAAATTGATAGTTTAATTTTATCGCCCTTGAACTTTTCAGTCAATGCTTCAATCACATATTTCTTCATGGTTTCATCTTTTAAACCATTAAATAACCCATCTGCTAAACTTGGAGAATTCAATATTTCATCGTAAATCAAATTTATCACATTATAACATATTATTTCCCTCTCTTCATTTGAGCCATACGGTATCTCATTTAAATATAAATAATCTTTCCACGGTAGTGATTTTAACTGATCTGGAGTAAAATGTATTAAAGGATTTGGTTTTGAATTTAATGGTATTTCAAGTATATTTAATTTCAATGGAGTGAAAATGTTCTTTTTCAACGACATGGAAGGTTTATCTAGTTTTATTTCATATGAAGACACCGAATACAGTCTTTTATGTATACATCGTAGTTGCTTTATAAATATATTCATTATATTACCACCATTTGGTCTCCGTTTAAAGATTTTGAAAAATTTTACCCGCGCGCTACCAATGTACTATTCAATGTGTATTAGAATCATTAATTTCATTCCAATTTTGTAGTACCAAAGTGGAAGAATCAAGATTAGTTCTATATAAACATCTTTGATAAAAATAACCTATATCAAAAAATACAGTACCACTTGAACCAATGATATATGGTAATTCATGGTATATAAAATTAATTCTATCTTCATGATTACTTAGTATAAATTCACAACTTGTTAATATACTAATTGTATAAGTTAGATTACCTATCAATGCAGCAGCAAATAAATAAGGTGATATACCATCTACCGCTTTTCTTTTATAATTTTTATATAATTGAGGACACCTTGATGAACAATAAACTATAGTCATACTCCAAGCTAATATAATTCCTAAAATGTCTTTATTAGAAGTTTGAGAAACTTGAAATGCATTTGTTTTGGACACTAATGAAGATGCAATAATTACTTTTTTCATTATATTTGATTCATTAGTTGAATCATAACTACTGGGTTCTGATTCCATATTAGTTGGAGTTTGTTTTTGTATTATCGGATAATTGTCTTTCTTTATATTATCATCATTTAAAGGTGTTGGGTTTTCTCCTACCCTAACGTAAATTGGTTTATCAAAAGATTTTTTATTATAATACCAATATTGAAAACATAACGTTACATCATTAAATAAAAAGAATATACTTAAATAAATTTGAAATTGTAATACTTTATCATTAATTAAACAACTCGTAAAACTTAAGAAATCACCAAGAAACCATAATAACAAAAAACTTAATGATATACCTCGAGCTGATTTATTTTTATAATTTTGTATAATTTGTGGTAATTGAGCACATATCCAACTGATACATGATATAGTACTAAAACATGAAGATATAAACGATATACTAGAACATTGCAGCATTATTTCTGAAGTTGTGTTCGTCTTGTTATAAATTTGTTAATGATTCTTGTTGTCAATCACTTAAAATTCCTTTTTTGGTAAAGGTACGAGATACGCGCTAAAAAATATTATACCAATATTACTATAGTTAAAGTTCTATATTCAAACTTTGTATAAAGTATCTAAGAATGCAGCTATCAATTGATCTGCTATACCAGCAGTATGAACACTACCTGCTATACCATATAATGCAGCAGTATCTCCTTGTTTCTTTTTTTCATTTTTATTTTCATGTTCTATTTCTAATGATTCTTTTGTACATATAATTAAATCATCAATTAATTCATTTATAACTGGCACTGTTAATCTTGTAAATGCAAAATGTAATGCTGGAGGGTTTTGTAATGTTGCAAAATGCCAACCTTTTTTACTTAATAAATCACTTAAATCATAAATACCTAAAATATAATTATATTTATCTTTAATTTTGAATGAAATAACAGAACCAATTGGGTCACCAATTATTTCTAAATATTTTGATAAAAATTCATTCTCTTTTATACATTTTTTGAATTTCATCAGTACTGAAACTATTTCAAAACAAGATTTTTTATAACCTTCTTCACCAAAATTAATTAAGGTAGCCCAACAACCAACCATTAATGCACCAGGTCTTGATCCAGCTAATGTAGGAGATCCATACATCCCACCAGTCCAATCACTAGATATATAATATTGACATTGTCGAAGTATTTTGTTTCTATACATAATTATTGATGAACCTTTTGGTGCAAATCCATATTTATGAGTATCACACGAAATTGATGTAACTCCTGGTAATCTAAAATCGAATTTTGGTATTTGTTTATCACCATGTACTTTTGATTTTTCTAAAAATGAAACAATAAATGATCCTAAACAAGCATCAACATGTAATGGAATTTTATATCTAACTGCCAATTTTGATAATTCTTCTATATCATCAATAACTCCATGTGGGTAATTTGGTGCAGATCCACATAATAAAACAGTATTCTTGTTAATTAATCTTCTAACTTTTTTAATATCAACTTGAAAAGTTTTTGGATCTAATTCAACTAAATGTAATTTCATTCCAAAATAAAAACACGCCTTTTCTATACCAGCATGAATAGTAATTGGTGCTATAACTTCCGGTTTATTTATACCTTTAAATTTCTTACCAAATTCTCTTGCTGATAAACCTGCTAATAATAAAGATTCGGTTCCACCAGATGTAGTAGAACCACATGAACCTTCTGTACCATTGAAAATCTTCAAAACCATTGAAACTACTTCAGCTTCCATTTTTCTAACACCAGGAAATACATCAGGATGTAATTGATTAGCAACTGAATATTTAAAATATGCATCACTTTGTAATTTGAGTAAATCATCACCACCATGATAAACAGCACCACTTACTCTTCCATTGTACCAATCATTATGTTTTAATTCTTTTAATTTATCTAATTCAATTTCAATGTCACTTGATGATAAACCAGATTTTGGTAATTGGGGAAATTGTAATAAATTATCATCATTTTTCATCAATTCCTGTTCAATTTTAACAATAGTTTCATTTAATTCTTTATCAATTTTAGATTTAATAGGTGGTAATGACATTATTATGGGAAAGAAGAATGATGCTATACTTTTGTATAACTTTTTAATATAACCTATCGGACCATACCCATAAATAGCTGTAAATAAATCACTGATTTTATTAAATATTATATAAGCACATATAACTTCTCTTATCAATTGTAACCAACCTAACAATTGATTATTATTCATAAAATAGTATTCATAAATGTTTGATACGATGATATCTACATATTTATCATGAAACATGATTGGTATTAACAATTGTAGAAAATTGGATCTCGCGGAATCAAAAAAATAAATTTGCACCCAAAACTTATATATATTGTTTGAAAATCTATATCAATGGCGTTGAGCCACGGCTAATTCTATTACTAGGTCTACTTGTTGAGCCACCAGTTGAACTATCTTTAACCAAAGTACTTCTTTCTTGATATATTTTATCAATTTTATCATTATAATATTTTGTCATAAATTGATTTTGACTTTTTAATTTGTTTAATTGAATTTCATAATTTTTAATATCATCATCATTAATTAATTTAGGTAATTGAATAAAACCTACATTGTTTATCTTATTATTAATTTTTGTAAACTGTTCCTTGAGATTGGCTAATTTATTTGATAATTGAACAGCTTTTAAGGATTCATTTTGATAATTATTTCTAATTTCTTCACATTCTTTATTTAATGTCTCATATTCACTTTCCATTAATTTATTCTCAATTTCTAACTCCTCTAGTATTCGCTTTTGTTCGGGCTCGGATTCTCCCTTTTCAAGTGTATTTAATTTATTAGTTAAATCAGACTCCTTCTCTTGTAGTTTTAATTGATTTTGATCGACTCTATTCATATTTTTTTCCAGCGTTGACGCTTCAACGTTTAATTTTTTCAATGTGATATACTTCTCTCGTATTAAAACCTCATCATTATCATAATCTACTTGTCTTTTGGACTCATTTAATCTCTTCACTGGTAATTCTTTCATTTCAATATTTTCAATTTCCTTATCATAACTAGAGATTTGATCATTGATATATTTCGCCAATGCAACTTTACACTCCATTTTGGTATCTATAGGATAAATATTACCAGCCATATTATCTAATTTTTGCAGAAGTACAATTTCATTTTCTTGAAGAACTAGCCCGGTTTCGAAATCTTTAAGATGAACATGTTCAAGGTTTTTAAAACCCCTACCATAATTGTTAATGAAGAAATCTCCCAAATCTTCTAATTCATTATGATTCAAAATAACCAAATTTATAATTTTTAATTTCCATTTCTTCAACAAATCAACATCATTAAAATTAATATTTGGTTTCGGTATTTTCAATATTATATGTTCTATTGAACATACAGGTATTGGTATGTAGATCGTACCGATATTTGGACTGTCAAAAGTCAACAGTGTGTCGAATGAAAAAGCATAATCAAAACTATCTGCTACACCAATATTACCAAATTGTTGACTTGTAATTAACTTGATAAATAATTTATTCTTTAATCTAGGTATTTCATCTCTACCCGCATGTAATTTTGAAGTAGTGAAATTTTTATAATATAAATCTCTACCAATTATTATACCTTCAATTAATTCTAATTCTTTGACATTATTAGCAATAACTAATAATTTCTTTTTTTGATTTATAAAGTGATCAACAAATCTATCAAAAATATGAAATTTCCCACTAACATTAATTTGTCTTTGAATTGTATCCAGTAATAATAACTTTTTCGGTATAAAATGATCAATTAATAATGAAGGATGATTTGTTATACATGAAATTTGATCAAAACAAAGATTAATCTTATCAATATTATTATTTGATTCTTGATTAATTATATTATTTTCTAATAAATTATTAATACTTGTTTTCATCTTTTTTGCCTTTAACTCATTCAATAAATCGTTACTGAAAATTTGAAAAATTAATTTAATCAATAAATTTTGTATATCAGTTAAATAAGTTGGTAAGTATATTATATTATTATTCAATGATAGTTCACTTTCTATATTATTTTCATTATAAATTGATGTTGGAGGATCTTTTGATAATATGTCTAGTAAATTCATTATGGCTAATGTTTCAAAGATCTTGAAAAAAAAAAAAAAAAAAAAAATTGTTCCGTGCATCTATATTTATATTCTTGAAATGATTGAATAACCAGCTTTCAATATTCTATTCTATACATTTAACATCTACCTTTAAGTTCTACCTCTTCTTTATATGGACTCCTATACCGCCTAAGTTATCCCATACTATATTATCCACTTTTTTCGGTAATTTTCTACCATATAAACATTGATCAACTAACCACATTCCAACTAAAAATTCATTTTTATTCAATGTTCCATCTTTTCTAAAATCAACAAGATTCCATATTTGTTCTAATGTATCATTTGGTAATTTACTTCTTTTCCATATTCTTTTAACTATAGATCCTAATATTAATTGATTTATTTCAACTTTTTTCAAATTATGTAAATCGTCTGTATCTTGTTCTGATAATAAAGCAGCTTTTAATGAATCATCCATTTGTTGTTTATTATCTTCTTCTTCTTCTTGTTTTAGATCATAGTTAACTCCAGTTAATCTTGTTATTATTAAATTCATATAAGTCCCTCTATTACTTACCCAAACTCCTTCGTATCTCTTCTTTTCTGAATCAGTTAGATAATTTAAATCATTATGACTTTTCCATGGTTTATATTCATCAAACATCAGCTTTCTATCTTTTCTAGTATCTTTTCTCATTGTAGTTCTAAATTGTACCGTTTGTTGTTGTTGATAAGATGATGTTGTTGTTTTTTGGGGCTGTAGATTTTCATCACTATGATAATATACACCTTTCGTTGACTTTTTCTTCTTGTCTTGTAAATTAGGAAATTGTGGGAACTCATCTTCTTCTTCCGATAGTATTACTGAACCTCCACTTGAAAATGTATCAGAAGATTTTGCATTTAGTTGCATTTTTTCTTTTAAAGTTGGAGCTGATTCTAAACCTGGAGGAGGTTTCCTTTTCGGTTTTTCACTATTTGATCTTTTCATAGGTATTCTTGACATTTCATCATCATGATCCGATGTTTCATAACAAATCTGACTATCATTTAAATTTAAATTTGATATTGATTTTCTTTCTGTATTTAATGCTTTTTGATGTAGCGAATTCTTTAAATTTTTCAACATTTCTTGTGGAGAATAATCTGACGATAATCTTTTTAACGAAGGATCTTGTTGTAATGATTTTAACCCTATACTTTGTTTTACATTATTTATCATTTCTTGTGGCGAATAAGCAGCTCTATCAGTAAAATAATCATCGGATATTACAGAAGATGGTGTATAATCAATCATTAAACTATCACCAGATGCTTTCCTTATTTGTGGAGTATGGATAGGACTGACAAATTCTAATGATTTTACAGAATTGTGATTTTGTCTAGGAGATTTTGCTGTATTTAAATGTAATTTTGGTTTTGATGAATTAATTGAATCAGATCTCAGAGAATCCTTGTTAAAAGCAGCTAATGCAGCAGTTTGAGCAGCATTTGACATAATAATTTGGAACGGTATATATATATATATTTTTTTTTACTCTATTTATTTTTTTTTACCTCTTGATGAATTTACGTATCTACCTTTACCAACTTTAACACCACTTGGCCTTATTGAATTCATACCAAATGGACTCATTACATTATCAGCACTACCGCCTCCTATCCATTCTTGTAATAATTTCTCCTTTTGTTTCTTTTCCCATGCATCATTTTTCATTGCTTGATGATATTCTTTTTGATCTTCTCTGAATATTAATGGAGTTTGTAATGATTTATGCCTATTTTCTTTATTATGTTGAAATCCTCCTTTACCTTGCTTTTTAATTTGATTTTTACTTAATGGTGATGGTAATGAAAATTTATCACCACGATTTATCCATTGAAAATTTTGTTTTAAATGTGGTATTATTTTACCAGTTTTATTATCTATTGAAACTGCACATCTTAATAAAGTATTACCACCACATTTAGGACAAAAATGTTTTGGTTTACCATCTTTTGAAATAGGCGTTAATTTAAAACATGCATGGCATCTATACATATAATTTCTAATTCGTTTAATTTGTTTACCTGACATTGTATTGAGTAGATTAATATTTATTTGCATGGCTACATTTTGACAAGCAAAATCACCTGTAGCTAATGCAACTGGAACATGTATTATATTAGTATCTTCTTGAATATTATCTTTATTTGCATTTTCAACATGTGTTTGTAAATTTTCAGGTGTTATCCATTCTCCATCATCATCTGAATCATTATTCTCGTCGTCTACTATTGGATCCACTTGTGTACTCTCTGAGTCCACTTGTGTATTCTCTGAGTCCACTTGGGTACTCTCCGAGACCACTTGTGTATTCTCTGACTTCACTTGGGTACTCTCTGACTCCACTTGTGTGTTATTTTCAGCATTATTTTGTAAATCTTGTTTAGATTCTTCCTCTTGATCATCTGATTTATCATTTGTTAATTTTTCATCAGCTTGTTCTTCTGTCTCTTCTTTTTCTTTTTCTTTTTCTTCCATCAATCTCCTAGCTTCAGCTTCTCTTTTCTCACGTTGTCTTCTTCCTCCTCTTTTCCTTTTTGGTTTAACAAAACCATCATCATCTGTATTATCCTTTTTTATGGCAGTTTCTTGTTGTTCTTTTTGATGTTGTAATATTTCACCAGGTATTTTACGTAAATTAGATTCACCTTTACCAAATTCAATTTCAAATTGATATGCTAATGCAATTATATGGATATCATTCATACTTAAAACATTATAATCACCAGTTAATCTTGCAAATTTACTAACTTGATTAATATATTCTTGTTTTGGTTGTATTATTTTTAATTGATCACCCCAAATTATCAATTGTTGTCTAACATTTTCATCTTTTAATTCTGAAAAAACTCCAGGAGTAGTATAAAATTCATTAGCAAATTGTTGTAATTGATTAGCAGGTTGTGTTATTAATGGACCAGCATCTAATATAACTTTCTGGATATTTTTTGACATTATTTTGTAAATTTAATGTAAAATCTAAGATTGTAAATAATTTTTTACCCTTCGTATCAAAGATGAGCTTGATATCAAAGATGAGCTTGATAATATGCAGTATTAAAAATAGACGATGAAAAAAAAAAATCATTTCCTAAAATGGAATATTGTTTCAGAATTTTAAATTGCTGCAAAAAACACAATAAATTGTGTACGGAATTCCCTAAATAGCTAGATGGTAACTCCGAAGTGTATCAGGGTTCTCAATATTATTCACCTCAATTATACAGTTATATAAATTATATTATAATAACCATATATACGATGGAAAAGTGACGAATTATGAATTAATCGTGTCATCGATTGCAGACTCAGTAGTAGTACTTAGTACTTTGATAACTTTTGTTTAATACGGAATAATCTTATTATCCGTTATCCCTTTTAAACAGGGAGTTAATCAACAATACATATGAATTTTTTTTTATTGAACTATAAATATTGAACAATTTTTCCCCCAGGTTTTTTTTTTTTTTAATTTAATCCCTAATTATCAACATTATGACAAAGAAATTAATTTTACACTGGCTTAATTATTCAAGATCACAAAGAGTTGTAGTTCTTCTTGAAAAATTGAAAGTTCCTTATGAAATTAAAGTTTACGAAAGAACCAAAGAATTTAGAGCTCCAAAAGAATTGGAAAAAATTCATCCGTTAGGTAAATCACCGGTTCTTGAAGTCATAGATGAATCAACAAATGAATCTCAAATTATTACTGAAACTGGTCATATTTTTAATTATCTTTTAAAAAATTTTGATAAAGATCATATTTTAACTCCAACAGATGCTAAACAACAAGATGAAGTTGATTATTTTTTACATTATTCTGAAGGTACCTTACAACCATTACTTGTTTCTTTATTAGTTCATGGTTTTGCTAAAACTAAAGCTCCTTTTGGTACTAGATTTTTAATGGGTTTATTAGTTAAAGGTATTGATGATCAATTTTATTTACCAGAATTATTTAAGAACTTATCGTATTTAGAAGAAATTTTAAAAAATCAACACGAAAAAGGTTCATCTTATTTTGTTGGTTCTCAATTAACTGGTGCTGATATCATTTTATCATTCCCACTTATTGTAAATCTTGTTGAAAATAAAAGATTAGATGCGTTTGGTACTAGCGATTTAGAATTTGCAAAAAGATATCCAAATATTAAAAAATGGGCTGAATTTATTGTTAAATTACCAGATTATGTTAAAGCTGAAGAAAAAGTTGCTAAAAATAAACCTATAACACCAAATATTTAATTATTATAGAATAATGGAGATAATATTAATAATGTTAATAATATTAATAATTAAATGAAATCATAAATTCTTTAGCTTCTTAATCTTTGAATAGTAGATATCTTCTCTTAATTAAAAGAAATACAGTTACTTAAGGAGTATTAGATTATTTGTAAGCCGCCTAAATGAGAAGATGTGCAAACTCTAAATACTTCTAGTTTAGGAGAAGCGGCTGTAGTGGTTATTTTTTGTTTGAACAACTTACTATTTTATCAAAAAGTATAAATAGTCCCCAATTTTCATTTTTTCCACAATCAATATAAAATTGTTGTGATTATTTCAATTATGGACACATAGAAAGAGCTTGAAAGTAATCTAGGAGGCAGTACAATAAATGTGTGTGTGTTGGAGTGGTACCTTCCTTATCGCCAAAGAATTATGGGATTTATCATCCTTCTTTGGAGAAGTATATAGTTTTGTATGTAGTTTTGTATGTAGTTTTGTATATAGTTTTGTATATATATAGTTTTAAGTTTCAATCATGGACTCATTGTATTATAGTGCTGGCTTGATATGGTGCTGATTGTTAGTTGGTAGCGTTTATGAGTCCAACAAATTGGAGTTTAAGCCATTAGTATGTGTTAATTATTAAAATCGTGCAATTATTGGTTCCCAAATATGATTTTAAAGAAGCATTGGGGTATTATGAAGTAAAATTATGCTCACTAATATCTTAACATGATGTTTCGGCTATATCATATTATATTTTTTTAAGGTTAATTTGTTAGGATATTAATTAAAGAGGTAATGGATTGAATTTTAAAAAATATTAAGTATTTAAATTTTTACTGCCCTGTTGGTGCCAAATCATGCCACGAACTATGGCCAAAGAAGAAAAACTCTGGAGCAAAAAATCTCGCGCCAATATTTATGCGAAACTATACCACCGTATAAAGCAAAAATCATATAAATTATTCATATAAATTATTCAAATCAAAACCAGATTTGGTTAACATATTTATATAACGAATATATAACCAAATTAATATATAATTTACGTTGTATTGTAATGTATTGTATTGTATTGTATTGTATTGTATTGTATTGTATAGATGGATCTTGATACTTAATTTAGATCGAATTTTCTTTTCTTTATCTATTGAATCTAGAAATGATAGATAAAAAAAAAACATATTTTATCAATCTTATCAATCTTATGTCGAGATCTTGAACTATAAATATCTCCAAATTAAACCAATAGTTATGACAATACGACGTTTAATACAATGGCTACTGTAACAACAACAGCTACTACTACCACAAGTTCATTTCAAGATGTTTTAAATGATAATATTCATAAAAGAATTCCCTTATCAACTTATGAAACAACTTTATTATCAAGTTATAATCAAATTCAAGAAATTGATATTCCAGAATTTGATCCTTATTTACACTTAAATTATTATCAAAATGATTTAAATAAACATAAATTTCAAGACACTAGAAGAGTCACAATGGAAGAATTAGGTTTAACTCATCCAGATCAAATTTCAAAAATTGGAGTTACTGATCCTTTTGAATTATTTACATTAGAAGCAATTGCAATTATGAGAAAAGAAATTTTAAATAAAGAAACATTTATGAGATTTGCTAGATATAATTTTAATTCTACTTCAGGTATGGATTGTTGTATTCGTGGATATGTTAAAAATGATGATGAAATTTCATGTCCATTTATTTATCAAGCTTGGACAAATCCTAAAACAATGGAATTACTTTCTAAAATTGCTGGAGTTGAATTGAAAATTATAATGGATTATGAAATTGGTCATGTTAATATTTCAATGAAGGGTAAAGATGAAGAATCTCAAGATACAAAAATTATAGATGCTGTTGTTGATTGGCATTATGATTCTTATCCATTCGTTTGTGTTTTAATGTTGAGTGATACTTCGAACATGGTTGGTGGTGAAACGTGTCTTAAAATTTCAAATGATGAAGTTGTTAAAATCCCAGGTCCAAAAATGGGTTCTGCTTCAATGCTTCAAGGTAGACTCATTAATCATATTGCACCAGTACCAAAAGGAATGAGTGAAAGAATTACAATGGTTACAAGTTTTACAGCTAAACATCCGTTGATAAAAGACACAAGTAATTTAAAAACCGTTAAACCAGAAATTAATTTTGGTACAAGATATAATGATTTTTATTCACAATGGATTAATTATAGAATTGATTTAATTAGTCAACAATTGACATTAGTTAAACAGAATTGTAAAGATAAAGATGGCAATTTTCAAAAATTATCAACAATTGAAGCTTTAAAGCAAATTGAATCTTATTTGAAATTGACATATTCGGAAATGGGTTTTACTAAAGAAGAAATTGATTTAATTAATAAATGATTAGAAATGTTTTATATATTAGTTCTAAAAAATGCTTAATATTATTAACGACAACATAATTTTGACCAAAATCCTTTATTTTCTTCTTCATCGACCATTTGTTGCTGTTGATATTGATCTGTTCTATTTTGTTGTTGAGTATAACCTTCATATTTTCCACCATTTTGATCAGTAACATGGTTTTTTAATAAATCATTTTGCCCATTTGATGGCATTCCAACTTGTGATTCTTGTTTAATTGGTGGTAACGGTCTATTAACCAAATGCTGTAATTTTTGTTGATGTAATTGAGCAGCTGAAATTTGTTGAGGATTTTGTAATTGGTTATATTGTTGAGGATTTGTTGGTAATAATTGTTGTTGTTGTTGTTGTTGATTTTGTTGCAATTGCTGTTGCTGTTGTTGTTGCTGTTGTTGTTGCTGTTGCTGTTGTTGTTGTTGCTGTTGTTGATGTCTTGATCTTCTTTGATCTCTATGTCTTCTTTCCCTTTCATTTGGTGGATTTGGATGACCATAACCATGTAAATTTGGTTTCTTATTAATTGATGAATCCCAACCTTTACCTCCATTAAGATGCATCCAGTCATAATCACCATCACAATTCTGACCAAGATCATCAAGGACAGAAAGAAGCAACATCCGATACTCTTCGTAAGGAGGTTCGGAGTCGAATGGTAAACTTCTAACTGAATCAAGGTACTCTGCAAATTGCTGTGGCAAACCATCACATAGTGTTACTGCTGGGGTAGTTCTCTTCTTGTCTCCAATTTTTTCATACTTTTGTTTATTAGTTGGAGCTTTAAGACCTTGCCATGGTAATTGACCTCTTAAAAAATAAAAAAAAACATGACCTAAAGCTTCTAAATCATCTCTTCTCAGTTGTTCTCTACCCAAATGAGTATTAATTGACATATACCTAGCAGTACCGGACAACAGCTTTTTTTCCCTATAAGGAATATGTTGTTTAGTCCTTGGATCGCGGTATTGCTTTGCCATACCAAAATCAATTAAATGAACATTATTTTCATCTATTAATCCCTGTCTACCAATTAAAAAATTATCTGGTTTAATATCTCTATAAATTAAATCATGACGATGAACTTCTTCAACTAATGTCAACATTTGAATAGCAATTTGTACAACAGTTTTAACACTAAATCTTCTACCACACCAATCAAATAAATCTTCTAAACTTGGACCTAATAAATCAATAACTAATATATTATGTAAACCTTCTTGACCAAAATAATAAGCATTTGGAATACCTTCACAACCTTGTAAATGTTTATAAGTTCTATATTCATCACGTAATTGAGGAGCTTCAGTTTTTCTTGGTTCAAATTTAATTGCTACTGGAACACCATTTATGATATTAGTACCTTCAAATATAACACCAAATGAACCTTCACCTATTTTTTTACCAATTTTATAATGTAAACCAACAACTGAAGAATTATTGGAATTTTGATTTATATTTACAGCTGCTGCTGCTTGAGCAGAAGCTGCTGCAATAGCAGCATTTGAAGTTTTATTCATCTTAGATTATTTTTGTAATGAATTATAAGATGACTTTTTAAATCAGATGGTGACGAAATATTGATGATTAACTATTGATATAAATTTGTTGATAAAAAAATGTACAAAAAAAAAAAAAAAAAAAAAAATATTAAAAAAAAAAAAATAAAAAAAAATAAAAAAAAAAAAGAAAAAAAAAATGCTAATAAAAAATTAATTGAACCAACCAAACAATCAGTCAATAATTGATTGATTAAATGATAGTGGATACTTGAAAAAGTATTCCTATAGGTCTTATGAAATATAGAAATATAGAATAAACGTGGTTGAAGTTTACTCTGCTAAATAAATTAATAAATAAACTAATACTATCTACTTATTTATTTAACTCTGATTTCAGTAATAAGAAAAGATTGAATTGAGTTTATCAACAGATCGATCAAAAAAGTATATACGAATCTGTTTAGTAAAAAACTATAAAAGGCAATTCAATGAGATATGAAAAAAATAAAAATATATACGTACAATGATAATATTTAATAGTGTTAGCTTCTTTCGTCTTTTTTGGTTTGTCAATTTGATCATAAATCGTTTGAATCTTGTTAGCTTCATTCATTTGAAATTTACTCTATATATTTCATTACTGATATATAAATATTCATTTAATGAAACTTACCAACATTAGTTAGTTTTGATTTTAAATTTGTTATGATTCACGTGAAATACGTGCAATAATAACAAATTATTGATTTCGATTAAGACGGCTTTTTCCACCATTGGGAAATAATATCGTCAAAAGAAACGACTGCTAAGAAACGACTGCTAAGAAACGACTGCTAAGAAACGACTGCTAAGAAACGACTGCTAAAAAGCGACTGCTAAGAAACGACTGCTAAAAAGCGACTGCTAAGAAACGCGTGCGAAAAGCCGACTGCTAAAAAACGACTGCTAAAAAGCGACTGCTAAAAAGCGACTGCTAAAACTCCATAATGAAATTGTTTTATTTTTTTACGAATACAGTTCCAGAGTCTTAAAGTTGACATGATTTAAATATTATTGTTCTGTACCATCATCATGTTGTTCGGAATTCAGGAATATTTGTTACTTCAATATCCGGAATTAACAAATCATCAGCATTTTGTATTTTGTATTTTGTCTTGTGTGCGTTCCTTTTCACACTTCAAAGTTAGGGTTGTTCTCTTTGTATGTGACTAATTTGAAAAGTTTAAGAGTCGAATATTTGTTTACTGTTTTTTTTTTTTTGGTTTACGATCTAGGATGGATTTGAGAACGGATAATTCGTGATTGAAAGGTCGATATAGTACATTTTCGTATTTCATACTTCATATTTCATATTTTCATATCAAGAATTTTATATGCAGGAACGATTGGAATTTTTTTTGGCTGCGAAATATATTTCAATAATTTTTTGCCTACAATAATATCAACAACACTGTCTACAATAAAAAAATGGATTTATAAAGTCATATATATTTGACGACTAAACATATACAGTATAAAAGTATACAGAATAAAAGTATACAGTATAAAAGTATACAGTATAAAAGTAGATATCAAAAGCCAGCTCTGATACACGTGGTAGCTAGCTAGCTAGCACAGCACAGCACAGCACAGCACGACTAATCTAATTTAATGGCAATCCTAAAGCTTCTCTTTGAGATTTTGAATTTGGATCAAAAAATGGAACTTCTGCTAAACTTGTAACTCTTGTACCATGTCTATTTGAAAGCAGCTCATTAGTGTGAATGACCAGGTGATTACTGACACTATTATACCAAATAGCCAGGACACCAGAATAGTGCTTCTGTTTGTTATCATTTTTGATTGAACCAGCTTCTTTTGATTGCCATTGAAAAGTATATTGAATATCTCTATTAGTTTCAATAATATTGAACAAATAATTCAAAATTAAATCATTTTCAGCAGGTTCTAAACCAACAATTCTAACAGTCATTGATCTATTAACAAATAAATATTTCCAACCAGTGGCAGGATTAGTTCTAACTAATGGATGTTCTCTTTCAACATGTTTAGGTCCTTTTAATGGATTAGCACGATCTAAATATTGATGAGCACTTTTATAGATTGCAGTTTTACCATCTAAGAATTTTTGAAAAGCTGGTGATAATTTATCATAAGCCCCATAGGTTGCTAATAACGATGTTAGTAAAAGACCACAAAGGCAGAATTAGTGTACTTATGTACTTATTTTACTTACAGGCCCATGTAGTTTCGCCTCCAATGTTTGGAATAGAATCTAAATGTAAATGAGTAATACCAGCAGTTTGAAATTCATGAACTAAATCTGAGTGCCATTGTGAATTACCTTTCTTTGAATTTTTAAATGATAATCCAATACCCCACCTTTCCGATTGATAATCTTGCCAGATAATTGAAATACCATCTTGCAAACGAGCAGCTTGTGGATGAACTTCAACTTGACCCCAGTAATGACCTAATTCTAATTGTTTTTGAGGTGATAAATCTTGATCTTTAAAAAAAACAACTATTCTTTCAGCAATTAATAAAGCTAATTCATCTTTTTGTTGATCCGTTAAATCACTTAACTGTAAACCAACAATTTCTGTACCAATATATGGTGATAAATGAATAACATCTTTAGCAGCACCAAATAAAGCTTTCTTTTCTGGATCTGCATTTTTTGCTCTGTTGACAAAAGGGTATTCCTTATTTCTGATCTCAAAAGCTTCATCAACAAATTTTGGAATTTTATCATTTGGTGGAATAACTGGATAACCTTTTGAAATATCAACATTGTATTTTTCATATCTTTCTTTAGTTGTTGGAGGTAATTTATCTTTCCAATCAGGATCACCACCGGTAATCACTTCATGTTTAGCTCTAGAATGACCAATTGGTTTCAATTTAGCTAATTTTTCAATTGTTGATTGAAATTCAGCTTCAATTTGATTTGGCGTTGGATCAACAGCAGTTGGTGACATTGTTTAATAACAGTAAAAAATAGTAAAAAATAAGCTTTTTCTATATTTATAAACTTAAGGGGACAATATTGTATTAATTTATATAGTTATGAAGAAATGCCACAAAATGAATGTGGCTGCAAAATATTTATTTAGTAGATATTTTTCCTTCCTATCAGATCCAGTCGACTGTGGCATATTCTTAATAGACAATATTACTAATCAAATCTTAACCAAATCTTGATCAAATCTCAATCAATACATCATAAATCACATTAAATAAAATTATACAATTATAAACAAAATGGAGGGTGGGGGTGTCGGTGGGGGATACACCATTAGTAATCTTAACTCTTATTTTTCATTAACATATTCAAATCTTGGATTTAATGCAATTAAATCTTCAATTTCTTCATCCATCATTTGATTAACTTTTTTATAAGTTGGGTCATTTTTAATCATTCTACACCATTTAGCTAGATTTGGATATAATTTACGTAAGTCTCTTTTTTCACCAACACATTCTTTAACCCCATCTAAATTATCAAATATATTTTCATACACTGGAAAACTTAAAATTATATCAGCTCCTGTTAATTTATTACCTACAAAAAAACCTGTACCATTTCGTTTTAATACATCTTCTAAATATTGCATGTTTAATCTCCATTCGTGTAAATAATAACCATTATTTAAACCTTTTGTAACTAATTTTGCAACACCTTTTAAACCAAATGGTGCAACGTGTTTTGCAACAGAATTAATCAATAATGTCATTTGTATATGTTGTAAACTACCTTCTGCATAATGTAACCAATAATCCACTTCTAATTGTTCCATTGGATCTACTGGATTTATTATATAATTTGAATCATAAAAACGAAGTAAATATTGCATGATGAAACCACTTTCAGCTAATTTTAAGGGTGGTCTACCATCACCAAATATAACATCTAAAATTGGTGATTTACCAGTTGGATGACCTTCAAATAATTGAATTGGTCCTCTCCATGTATTTGGATTTCTTAAATAGATTTTAACTTCATAATCTAATTGTAAAGCTTCAAGTAACCATAAAATACGTTGAGCCCGACTATCATCTAAGTAATATAAAATGAAACGATCTTCTGGATGTCCTGGTGCTGATGCCATTGTCATAATATTAATATAGAATTGATAAGTTTTTTAAATATTAAATTTAGTAAAATATTTATTTATGTTGAATTATGCTTAAATACTTTCGATAAACACCTTGAAAATTTGATGACAAGTGTCTGTTGCTAAATAGAAAGAATCTTAAGTGAATACTTTTATCTTGAATAAATTTGGTTTGTTTATATATGATAATTTAAATATGTTGCAAAATTTTTTTTTTTTTTTTTTTCGTAAATCTTAATCTGAGACTTTTCCTAATTAGGAAAGAACCCATCAACATAATTTATCTTCATGTAGTGGAGGAATGAAGTAATAGCTTTGACTAATCGGGAAGTTCTAGATTTAAATAGATAAGATGATCATTATGTCAAGCTTAACGGAGTAAGATATTGAATTTAGAATTGTAAATACGCTTTAAAAATTTTAGTTGATTTACTTCGGGTCGAATTTTAAAATAAACCAATTAATGTTAGAACCAGCTGATTCTAAACCAAAATTTCAAGCGTTGATTTCACTTCAGACTATTTGAGCAAGTGGATCGGTGCGCTGACTAAAATCTGACCTGATTAAGTTCCTTTTTTGGTGCCACCAATTACTTTGAAAAGTTGCACGAACATTTGAACCAACTTTCGCGCTGGATGAAAGCTCCTACGGTCGTATTCTCGCTCTACATCAGTCGAAGGTACATTTTAATACAACCATATATTTTGACTTATATGCAGTATTATAGTAGTTAATCTCAAAATTTGAATTATAATTAACTAGTTCCAAATTGAAGTGGTATTTCTCAAACAAAACTCATTATATTTATAATTTAATTTAAAATTGAATGATACTAAGTTGTCTTGAAGAAACATAATTTTGATCATTTTATCCAAGTTTTAGAAAACGCAAAAAAACTTTGAATTGAAAATTAAAAAAAGATTTAAACATCATTTAGCAACTTCTAAAACGGATGGTAGGGTTTAATTGATACTAAATAATGCAATGATAGTGGTTTCAGGTCGCTATATTCATTTTGAATTCATGTGCACTTTTAGCGTGATTCTTCGTTCCATATAACAACGATGTTGGCTTAATATTATTTTTTTTCTGGCGAAGGATGGGAACCAATATCAGACGAACATGGCAAGGAAATTTTAAAGAAATTCTTTGTAATATACTAAGTATTAGAACTGGGTATGCAAACCAAATTAGACTTGTATCTTTTTAATATAAGTTTTGTCAGGTTCATTCATTTCTTAAGAATGAACCTAATTGTTGTAATTTGATTACCGTATATTCGGTTAAATGCTCCTGTATATAAGATATTTGCACGAATTGTAATTTCGTAATAATTTATCCAGTATCAATCAGTTTTAATAGGTCAAAGGTCCAATGTCTACACAAGCAACAAAGAGACTCAACAAAGAGTATAAGACGATTCAAAATAATCCCATTCCTCACATCAACGTAAGGGCCAACTACGAGAATATTTTAGAGTGTCATTATATTATAAGTCCACCATCACACCCTTATGCTGATGGCCAGTTTCATGGAATATTAAGATTCCCCCCCGAATACCCATTTAAACCGCCCAGTATTATAATGATAACTCCAAATGGTAGATTTGAAGTTAACACACGTTTATGTTTATCAATGAGTGATTATCATGTTGATACGTGGAATCCAGCATGGTCAGTTTCCACTATTTTAATTGGTTTAATGAGTTTTATGTTAGGTAATGAGAGTACAACAGGTAGTATAAGTACAACAGATTCAATTAAAGTTAAGTTAGCTAGAAATAGTAAAAAATGGAATAATGAATCAAATTTAAAGTTTAAGAAAATATTTCCAGAATTATATAAACTGAATCAAATTGAAATTGAAGAAGAAGAAAAAAAGAAGTTACAATTGGAAAATGAACTTAACAAAGAAGAACCAATTGATTTATCAAAATTAGATCCAGAAGATAGAATAAGATATTTAGAATTAGAATCAAATCATGGAAATTTGAATTTTAGACCAATATTATTGGGCACTTCAGGTATTTTATTGGCTACTATAGTTTTTTTATTAATGAAGTTAAAGAATTAATTTTTAGATCTTCAAACTTCAATGTAATCAAAGAATTGATTACAAAATAACAGACGTGAAATTTCATTTACGTATAATAATTGAAAATATTCAAGAGATATCAAGTCCCAAACGATGGAGTTGATAAAAGAAAAAAAACTGGTCAACCAGGTTTAATATGAATTAGCAATAAATACAACATTTACTTTATTAGCATGTTTCTCAAGTGTAAAATTTTTTGATCTCAAACGATTAGGTTTTAATCTAAACTAGAAATAATATTATCATTAAGCTCATCGCACATCAACAAATGTATTTAAACCTGGAATCGAATCTCTTGCAAATTATTATCAGCAACTCTTACTTAAAAATGATTATTGGAGTCAACGAAAATATTAATGCGGAATATATTTCCCTTTTCAGTCGCATGGGTTTTTCTTACTTTATTAGGAAGTGGTTCCGCATTTAAGTGTTTCAGAGTTTTACAGGAATAATGAAATAAGATTTTGAAACTTAATTTCAATCTATCTTGCGGCTAAGTTTCAAACATGTCCAGTATAGGGTAGTCCAGGAGTTACTCAAAAGAATGTATAATATGGTTAGTTTTGGAAAGTCGTCTGAGATATAGAGTGATTGTTAGATTTTCTTTTTTGCAAATTTTCAAAAAGTATCATATAAATTATGTGGCTTGAAATCTGATTTAGTAGACTTGACATACAGTAAGAAATGTCAATAATATTCTTAGTATTGTGTTTATTGATTATAAAATATTTGATCTTGATGTTATTTCTAAGAATAGTGTTCAATTTTTGTTTATAAACAAGATAATTTGTAACCAATTTTCTCCCTTTGAACTGAAGATAGAACAATAAATAAATATTGAAAAGTGATATATTATTATGATGCAATCATTGTTTAATTATTAGATACACACTTAATTAGTCTTTATTATTAATAGAAAAATAGACCGTCTACATATTTCTCTATGCATTAACTAATCCGATTGAAAATCAAAGCATTCAGATGTATATAAATATATACTATACTCACTTAATTTGAACTTATAGTTCTAATCTTATTCACTTGAGGTAATGTTACCCAACTGATAATTATATTAATAAATCTTAGCCCAAATAAAATCTGGTCTTCTTTTTGTTTTTTACAAATCGACACGACGCCGATTTTATGAAAAAAGTTTAACTAAGTAATTTTTTTGCATGAATTATAACAAAATAATCTTGATAAATTATATTTAATAGTTTAAAGAAGGGGTTGAGACAGGTGATATCCATTAATAACTTGTGTCTTTATACAAATAACAGCTTTAACAGTATTGTTGCAAAATTTACAAAACATTTTTTCAAAATTTGAATCTGAATTTCTTGCTTTTCATTCGTTTTTAGGACGATATTCAATTCATTCAATTCAATATAGACAGATTTAACATTTCATTATGAGCAATCATCCTTACCGTTCACTTCCATATCCTTTAAAGGAAATGAATCAGGATGATAACAATTTAAACGAAATTTCGCAAGGCATAGAAGGTTTACAATTACCACCAAATCATAATAAGGATTATAATAACGTACAACCATCTCAAGGTAACATAAAAAATCAAACTATACATCACTTACCATCTCATTTAGTTCCAAATAACAATTTATCTCCGAAATTTCAATCTTCCCCAAATAAACCTTCATTTTCTACCATTCCATATCCTACTGAAGAAAAACTGTTACCACCATATTTTGATTCCAAAGAAAGTGTTGTTATGTCTCCTCCTTCAAATCCACTTTCAGCTACATCATCAGTTACAAATTTAAATTTAAATTTAGATACATTAGACAATAATAATTTTAAACACCAAAGAAATTTGTCTTCTAGCTCGTCCATTTTTAATGATTCATCACTGGTGGTTGATTTTAATCAAAATCTAATACAACTGTATTTAGGTTCTAATTCATCAAATTTGATTCCTAGGATTAAGACATTAGAATTATATAGAAAAAATGCTAGGAAATCCAATGATCCAAAAGTTTTATTTCAATACGCACAATATTTATTACAAACTGCATTAGTCATTGGAGAATCTAGTGCTTCAACATCGCCACAACTTTCTCCGAAAAATAGTAAAAATAAATCACCTGACAATGAAAGTGATGGTTTGAAAAAAGCTTTATTAAAAGAAGCTTTGCATTATTTAAAGAAATTATCAGATAAAGGTTATGTTGAAGCTCAATATTTATTAGGTGATGCATATTCTTCTGGTGCTTTAGATAAAATTGATAATAAAGATGCATTTGTATTATTTCAATCTGCTGCAAAACATGGTCATGTTGAGTCCGCTTATAGAACCTCCTTTTGTTATGAAGAAGGATTAGGTACCGGTAGAGATGCAAGAAAAGCAGTTGAATATTTAAAAATTGCTGCTGCTAAAAATCATCCTGCTGCAATGTACAAATTAGGAGTTTATTCATTTTATTCAAGAATGGGTTTACCAAATGATATGAATACAAAAAAGATGGGTATAAAATGGTTAACAAGAGCTACTAATGTTGCAACTGAATTAACTGCTGCTGCACCTTTTGAATTGGGTAAATTATATTTTAATGGATTTGCTGATATAGTCATACAAGATAAAAAATATGGTTTAGAATTATTTGCTCAAGCTGCAGCTTTAGGTCATATTGAATCTTCATATATATTAGGTAAAGCTTATGAAGAAGGTTCATTAGTTCCACAAGATGCTAATTTATCAGTACATTATTATACTCAAGCTGCTTTAAGAGGAGATCCAAATGCTATGCTTGGTTTAGTAGGTTGGTATTTAGTTGGCTCAGATCCTTTTCTTACAAAAGATGAAAATGAAGCTTTTGAATGGGCAAAACGTGCTGCTTTATGTAATTTACCAAAAGCCCAATTTGCATTGGCTAATTTTTATGAAAAAGGTATAGGTTGTACAAAAGATTTAAAAGAAGCTCAAAATTGGTATATTAAAGCTGCCGAAAACGGTGATGAAAAATCCATGTCAAGAATTAATGATAAAGAATTAATCAAAAAAATTCAAAAAGACTGGAAAAAGAAACCCTTAGATTCTAATTCTGCAACAGAAAAAGATTGTGTAATAATGTAATAGAATATACGTCTCTTTTTTTGCAAAGTTTTACTATTGTGAAACAATCTCATCGTGAAAATGCTATTTAATTGGTCGCCATTGGCTAGGCCCTAAAAAAATCTTGTGTTTTTATGTTTACTAACTATAATCATAAAATATCTTGAAATTTAGATTCTTCCTTCGCTGCATGGCATAGTTAACTTTGTGATTTAGTTTTGTTTATATTCTAAAACTCGAGGGGAAGATTCAAAGGAGATCCTTGTCTTTCTTGCAACAATAACATAGATTGGGCCACGTCTAAAAAAAGATTTGCAATGAGATTTTGTATGGACCTAGACTGAAACTGGCCAAGATCTTACTTTTTAGTTTTTTTAGATCTGTAGCCGGAATGAAAGTACTAAAATATAATTTTAGATCTACGCCGTAAATTCGCGATTATAACAAATAAACTACGGATGATCAAATACAACAAGAATCAAAAGATTTCACCGTAATTTATTAATCATCTAGATTGATATAGTGTAATTATTATTTCGATTTTTTTTTAGTCTTATTACGTCTTAAGTCACAAAATAACAAAATTAGATACGATAATACTGCATATAGATTTAGATCTGTTTCAGGGTCTAAGATTTAAATCTCATGGGAAAAAAAAAAAAAAAAAAAAAAAATTGAGAAAATTGAGAAAATTGATTAACCAATTAATGGCTTTGATAACGACAAAGGGCACAATTTAGGGGTGATGTATTTCAAGAGTATGAAATGCTTAATATTAAAAAAAAATTATTTTTTACTAAACCCTTATTTTTAAATATGTAATATCAAATCAAACTTAAGATTTAATACAGCTGCAGTTGGGTTGAATTCATGATTAGAAGCTTATTGTACAAATTTCAATACAGGATAGAGATATTAGCAATGGGTATGCATAACGATTTCAATATATATTTTACAAAAATTTAATCAATAATGAAAATCATATTGTTATGCTTTTTTATAGCAATAACTATTGGTAAACAAATCAGTGGTGTTTTTAATTCATTTCAATTCTTTAATTGGACAAATGCAAATTATTTTGAGATCTATCGATAAAATTTTTTATTCAGCTAGAAGAATTCCTTCATTGAATAATTTTCATGTTTATGATAAAAATGGAGATTGTACAGCTGGTTATAAAAGTGGTACATTAGGTTTAGATGTTAGTAAGTTTCCTGGGATCACAATTGATTCAGTACTTATTATGCTGCTATGACAAATAAATTAAATGATTTTCATTTTCCAACAAATGCTCTCAATTGCATCTTCAACTTCAGTTCAAAGCTCATTTCCTTCGTCGGGTATGTCAATGGTTGATCCTGAGAGCACAATTTCTGGTAAAATAACGATATCAACAACAACCGATTTTTGGAGTGATCTTATTCAACAACCATAACAATCACTACCAATATTGGAACTGACTATGTTATTATTGAAGAACCATTCCCTACTAGTTCTACTTTTCCATCAGGTTCCGAATTACCCTCATCAAATTTTGAAATATCTTCAACAAGTGGTCAAAGTAGCCCGAGCTTTGAATTATCTTTATCAAGTGATCAAAGCTCAAGCTTGATTTCTGTGACTCAAGTCAAATCCATTTTCATCAATTTATATTTCTCCAGAATCTTCTCAACAAATAGAATCAACAAATAGTAATTCTGAAAGTTCATCAATTGAAGTTCATTTTCCACATTACAAATATCATCATATGTTTCATCATCTTCTTCATCAACTTTTTCAACTCGTTTACCTTATTCAAATTCTTTAATCAGTCAAAGTTCTTCCGTCCAAGCATCTCCCTCTTCATCACAAAGTTCAAATATTCCAGATTCTACAAGTATTGATTCAAGTATTTCATCCAATTCAACAACTCAGCCAAATCATCAACAAATAATTTGTAATCAAAAACTTTTCTGAAACTTCATCTACTATCCCTCCTCCAATTGTTGAAAGCTCATCTACTTTGCCTTCATCAACTCAAGCTGTTACATCAACAATTCAAATACCAGTTTATCCTCAAAAGCAAATTGTTCAACAATTAATAAATCACTAGATGATAGTGAAAGCACATATGTGAATGATATTAGTCATAAAGAAGACACAACTAATGATTCATTTCCAACATCTACTGTTTTTGATCATGAGACTAAAGTTATCACCATTACTGCTGTTCAAACAATGTTTGTTCTGGAACTACTATTCCAGCAACATCATCAATTCAGCAAATGAAGGAAATACAAAAATTGTTTCTGGTGATTTAAATGAATCAAAAAGTTCGAATGAAACTTCAGATGCAACACCTACAAGGGATACTTCATCTGATGGAGAAAATAATACAAGTAATGGAGAAAATAATTCTTCAAATATTGGAGGTAGTAATAATTCAAGTAATGAAGGTAATAATAATACAAATAATGGTGGATTCCCAGTTTCAACCAGATCAAACACTAATGCCAACCTTTATACTTCTTCAAGTGGATCAAATACCCCATCAATACTTCAAATACAGATATTGAGTCAAGTAAAAACAGTTCAAAGACAAATGATGGATTAAATAACAATAGTTCAAACACAAATGGATCAGGTACCAACAATTCAAACACAAATCGATCAGATACCAATAATAATTTACAACTGATAATTCAAGCAATACAGCTTCTATGAATCCACAAACCATCAATGTTAACACCACCCCACCTATCCATTTCAATTCCTTCTTCACAAATTTTTAAATCAGATTCAAACAACGATTCAACCAATACCATCAATTCAAACTCTAACATGTTCTCCTTAAATCAATCACAAAATACCAATATCCATTCTGTAACAACATTGACATCACAAAATTCATTACCACCACAAACTTCTAATCCAACAGCTGGTATTTCATCTTATGAAGGTTCAGCTTTAAGATTATCTTATTCCATACTTTCCGTAATCATGGTTTTATTTTCGGTTTTATATTAGAGATTTTTTTAGATTTATATTAATTTATATTGTATTGTCAATTACGGCCCCTCTTTCGCTCTAAATAATGCCAGAGATAATTATCAGTCGCATTAATTTTGGCGCTATTCGTAATGCGTGACTGGCCTCATTTTAATTAAAAAAAGCGTGGCATTTGCTGGATTGCAAAAAATTAATCAACAATATTTATTCAACAATGAAATTATTGGGTTTAATTACATTTTTTACATTTATTTTACAAGCTTTAGCTTTGGCTGAAAATCCTCCAATTACTGATAAAGTTTATTTTGATGTTAAAGAAGGTAATAAGGATATTGGTAGAATCGTAATTGGTTTATTTGGAACTATTGTTCCTAAAACTGTTGAAAATTTTAAAACTTTAGCTATTGAAACCGAAGGACAAGCTAAATATACCGATTCAGTTTTTCATAGAATTATTCCACAATTTATGATTCAAGGTGGTGATTTTGAAACTGGTCAAGGTTATGGTGGATGGTCAATTTATGGTGGGAAATTTGAAGATGAAAATTTTGAGTTAAAACATGATAGACCTTATAGATTAAGTATGGCAAATGCAGGTAAAAATACCAATGGATCACAATTCTTCATTACTACAGTTGTTACTAAATGGTTAGATGGTAAGCATGTTGTCTTTGGCGAAGTTATTGAAGGTAAAGATGTTGTTGATTATATTGAAAAAGTTAAAAGAGGACGTGGAGATCGTCCATTAAAAGAAATTAAAATATTTAAAGCTGGTGAAATTAAAGATGGTGAAGTTAAAGATGGTGAAGTTAAAGATGGTGAAATTAAAGATGATGAAGTTAAAGATGGTGAAGTTAAAGATGATATTGCAAAGGACGAATTGTAAGAGCTAAATTTTTATTATATACTATTAATGCTTGATTCCCAACATTTCTAAAGTACTATTTTTACCATATAATGGAATTTCATCAAGATAAACTTGTTTATCTCTACTTTCATTTAATAAAGTATCAAAAGCATTTGATTTTATATCATCTTTATTGTTTGGCATTGGTGTCATTGGTGTCATTGTATTACTATTTGACATTGGAGTTGATTTATAAGTATGACCACCATCAGATACCTGATATTTCGACATATTATTAACCAGATTAATTGAATTTTTTAATGACAATATACTAGATAATAATCTAGAAGATAAAACATCATAAATTTTGGGAGCTTGATAAACATTTGCACCAATAACATAATAATCTTGTAAAATTAAAACATTGGTTGAATCTTTACGATTTTGTTTTCGTATTATCCAAAAATCTGGTTCTCTTATATAAGCTAGTATAAATTCTATACCTGTCATTTCAGCTAATCTTGACTGAAAATATTGTTGAAAAGTCATATTCATGGGTATAGAAATTTGTTGAAATTGAAATTGCATGGTTAATACTTGATTATTCGAAGTACGATCATAAAATGGAGATAATGAGAAATATTCCAATACATTTGAAGTATTTAAACCTCTTGCTTGTATAAATTCTGGTGATTTCCATTGAATTTCGTCTAATGAATTTTCCATTTTTCTATAGTTGTATATTTAATTTTTCTACTTCTTTTTTCAACCATCTAGCTTCACCATACATTATATCATCATCTCTTTCAATTCTATTACCATCATCAATCGGTTTAAAACTTTCACGAAGTTCTTTTCTATTGAAAAAATCTATATATATATCTTTATTCTCTAATTTTGAGTATATTGAATCATTAAAACCATCAGTTTTATATCTTGGTATTATATGAGTATGTAAATGAGGTATTGATTGACCAGCTTCAGGACCGTCTTGTATAGCAATATTTAAACTATCCGCTTTATATATTTGCTTTATAGATTTATGTACAATTTGTAAGGTTTTCATATAATCTATTGATTCTTCTAATGTTAAATCTGCTAATTTTAAAACTGAAGTTCTTAACGGTACTACTAAAACATGACCAGGTACCAACGGTTTCAAATTTACTAAAGCAAAGCTATGTTTTGACTTGTAAAATACTTGTTTTGTTACTAAAAACTTGTAGAAATATACTTCACATGTCATCTAAACGAGATCTGGTGATTCGATACGAGAAAAAAATAATCTAAATGAAGAATATTAGGATGATTTTAAGAGAATAGTAGATAAGATTAATGATGATTGTTTGACATAAATTATGATAGACTTGATCTTGAATGTGCTGAGTTCTTATAAAAACCGATTATCAATAACACTTGAATAACACTTGACAAATTGATATTAAAAAATCAACATTAAAAGTTGCAAAATGTTTCAAGATTTCTTTTTCATTTTTCTTTTCCAAATTTGGAACTGTCGACACAATTCAGTAAAACAAATCGTGTACTTTGGTTTAAGTCAACACAATCAGTACAAATCGTGTACTTTGGTTTAAGTCGACACAATTCAGTAAAACAAATCGTGTACTTTGGTTTAAGTCCTATACAACTAATTAGGATAAAATTTTCGGCGGCTTTCTTTTTTGAAAACTGTGGCATTTTATCTGTCATACATCCAATCAAACAAATGCAAGTAGAAGTTGATGTTGTATAGCGAATTTTTGATTTCATCCCCTACCCCTATTTTATATGAAACTAGATTGATTACAAAACAAAATGTTAACTAAACGATATAATCTAAGACTGTTTTACTACTCAATTAGCTTAATAATGGTGTTGTGTTTGTCATATTCTATTAAATTCTATAGTAGTTAATAATTAATAATTTTTTCTGTTTCTAGAACTAAAGTTGTAGTGCTAAAAATTTGTAGTGTGGTTTGTTCATATGAAATTTGTAAAACTATAAATAGCAGTTGAAAATTCCTACAGTGATTTTTTTTTATTTTTTATTCCTTTCTTTGAAATTGATTAAAATTAATTAAAATTAATTAAAATTAATTAAAATTATTCATAGATATTTATAGATATAATCATGGGTTACGTTCCTTCAATTGGCTCTCCAGCTCCATCATTTAAGAAAACTGCTGTTATTGACGGTGTTTTTGAAGAAGTTTCATTAGAACAATATAAAGGAAAATGGGTTTTATTAGGTTTTATTCCATTAGCTTTTACTTTTGTTTGTCCAACTGAAATTATTGCTTATTCAGAAGCTGTTAAAAAATTCACTGAAAAAGATTGTCAAGTTTTATTTGCTTCAACCGATTCAGAATATTCATTATTAGCTTGGACTAATGTTGAAAGAAAAGATGGTGGTTTAGGTAAAGTTAATATTCCATTATTGGCTGATACTAATCACTCATTATCAAAAGATTATGGTGTTTTAATTGAAGAAGAAGGTGTTGCTTTAAGAGGTATTTTTTTAATTGATCCAAAAGGTAACTTGAGACAAATTACAATTAATGATTTACCAGTTGGTAGATCAGTTGATGAATCATTTAGATTATTAGAAGCTTTCCAATTCACTGACAAACATGGTGAAGTTTGTCCAGCAAATTGGCAACCAGGTTCTGATACTATTAAACCACAAGTTAAAGATTCAAAAGAATACTTTACCAAAGCTAATAAATAAATAAATAAATGAATTATTATTATGTAGTTAATATATAAAAAAAAACAATTTGAAACTTGATTTTTGCATCTCGTAAATTGAAAGATACAATAAAGACGCGTTTGTAAAAGGTAATTTTATTAATTAAAGTGTAGCACTGTATTTTAATGTACCCCCAAAATATTGAATAATAAAATTCAATTATATAATTAAGAAATGAATATTTTTTAAGTCAAAAATCCTTAAAAAATTTGACTTACGGATAATAGTTAATCCGTAGACTTTATTGGTATGCGTTATAATAATCTACTTAAATATCTTTATGTCATTTAGTATGCATGGAAGTTTCTATAATTTTCAGCGGCTTCATTATTAAGCTGAAAATGGCAATTTGTTTTTTTTTTTTTTTTTTTTTTTTTTTTTTTTTTTTGACGAGCGTTTTTTTTAGCCACAAATCTGAAACAATAAACTTGATTCAAATGAAACTATTAAAATAAAATGGTATCATTAGTTTTATTCTATTCTATAACTAATCTTGTAATTTTAAGTACAGCAATTTATTAATTTAGTGAGGTTGTCAATCACTCATTAGGTTGATTCAAGTTAATTAAAGTTTGGAAATGGCTGCAATGGCTGCAATGGCTGCAAATATTTTTAATTGGCGTGTAAATTAATTATCATTAAAAGATGAAGAATATATAACTTGAAGTAAAACATTTCAAATGAATAGTGATATACTTAGTGGATTATATTACTATACAAGTCGTATAACTCCGGAAAATGTTTGGGTAAAGAGTAAAGTAGATTATAAAATTATGTATGCCCAAAATAATTTGTTTTGAGAACATTAATTAATATCTTCAACAATTTCAACATTGTTCAAATAATATTTAATCTTTGAAACATGATGTATACAAATCAGATCATAATTGAGGCATTTCCATCTTCTTTCACTAAGCTCATTTCTTTGAAGAGATTTCATTCTATACGAATGATCAAGCTTTCAGCTTTTCAAAGACACCAATAATAATATACGAAGTTTTTAGAAAACACAATAAAAAGTATTCTAATTTTATACAAATCATAAAATAAGCATTAAGTTCAAATTAATACCCCCAACTCATCTAAAAGAAATTAAAATCTACAACTAGAACCAAAAGTATAAAAAGGCTTCAAAATTTCAACTTTTGATCATCAACCAAAATTAAATTCTCAATTGTCGCTGTTATCGCTGCTTATAGTGCTTTACTTTCTTCAACATATGTTTTGATATGATTGAAAGAGATAATCTGGTTACCGAAGCTCCGGCTAATATGAGTTTGGATGAAATTTTCGACCGCGTTCGACCGCGTTCGAACTCGTGTTGATAATAAAAGATTTTGTTACCGAATAGTTAAAGATAGACTTAAGCATTTTGCCATTTCAAGACAAGAGAAGAGATCCTTGAAGAAGAGTTTGCTTCATTATCAGAATATCAAATAGTATACATTTATATACGTTTTCTTTTGGCTCTATCCCAATCAGATGTAGGTTTTCTTTTTCTAGATGTTGCTTTTGAATTATCTTTTGAATTATCTTTTGAATTATCTTTTGAATTAAACATTGACCAATCTTCACCAGCAAATTGATTAGCTAAATCTCTTTGCTTTTGTTTAAATGATTTTTTTGTTTGATTTGAAGGTAATCTAATGAAATTATCTTCTTCGTATCTTTGTATTTCATCTTCTTTTCTTTTATCATGAGCAGTTTTAACCCCTCCTTTACCATGATCAACTATAGTTGAACCAATTGAAGCTTCCATAACTGGCATATCACTTTGTTCTTGTAGATATTCCTCCATACTTTGTAGTTTTTTAGTTGGTTTTTCATCTGTATTTGTTGTAGGTGGTGCAATTGCTGAAATTTTCGGAGGTTTATATTTATTATCGGTTGATTTAATAGTTGTTAAAGCTGAAGCATCTGGTTTATAAGCTAATTCATCTTCGGAATCAGAATCTGGTTCTGATTCAGATTTAACTTGTTTAAGATTTTCATCTTTTGTTTCTTCATCCATTTTATTGTAACTTCGTACCATTTTATCTAATTGATATAAAATTTTCTTTTCCAAAGGTTTAATACCTTTTTCTAAAGTAACTCTTGACCTAATAGATTGTTTTATAACATCTATATTATCATTTTTATCAGTTAAACTTTCAAGTTTTGATAATGTAATTAAAATTAAATCATTTATATAACTTAATAAAGTATCATTTTTCAAATTTAATAATGAAACACCTTCTAACGAATGACCTTTTTGTATTAATTTATTGACTAAATCAGGTTTATCTTCTTGCAAATAACTAATCAAATTATCTACTGAAGTCTTTGTAGCTTTTGTTGAAGTAATTATATCTTTGAATAGTAAATCCATAATTACTATTACTATTTTTTTTTTTTTTTTTTATTTTTTTTTATCTCATCGTTATCAAAGAGATGCCTCAAAATGAATATATTGAACAACATATAAAACAACATGGTAGAAGATTAGATTATGAGGAAAGAAGGAGAAAAAAGCAAGCAAGAGAAGGTCATAGAATAGCTAAAGATGCTCAAAACTTGAAAGGTTGGAGAGCTAAACAATTTGCAAAGAAAAGGTATAGTGAAAAAGTTGAAATGAAGAAGAAGATTAAAGCTCATCAAGAATCAAAGGTTAAAACTCCAACTGTAGAAAATCATGATGAAGCATTACCTACATATTTATTAGATAGACAAAATAATAATACAGCCAAGGCAATACTGTCTTCTATAAAACAGAAAAGATTGGAAAAATCACAAAAATTTCAAGTTCCATTACCAAAAGTTAAAGGTATAAGTGAAGAAGAAATGTTTAAAGTTATAAAAACAGGTAAATCTAAAACTAAATCATGGAAAAGAATGATAACAAAGCATACATTTGTTGGTGAAGGTTTTACTAGAAGGCCAGTTAAAATGGAAAGAATTATACGTCCAGCAGCTTTAAGACAAAAAAAGGCTAATGTAACTCATCCAGAATTAGGTGTAACTGTATTTTTACCAATTTTAGGAGTTAAAAAGAATCCACAAAGTCCAATGTATACTCAATTGGGTGTTTTAACAAAAGGTACTATTATTGAAGTTAATGTTTCAGAATTAGGGTTGGTTACTGCTGGTGGTAAAGTTGTTTGGGGTAAATATGCACAAATTACAAATGAACCTGATAGAGATGGTTGTGTAAATGCGGTATTATTAGTTTAATTAAATTCATTATCAAATAAATCTAAACATAATACATTTTGTTTACCAATTGATCTTAAACCACAATTTAATATTAATTTAGCATGCTCTCTAATTATTTCCCATTGTGAATCCATTAATTTTGAATAAATTAAAAAGCATAAACCTGATATATTTTGTTTATTTGTTATATCATCCAACAGTAATTTAAATTCATCTCTTGTTCTTGTTAGATAATTATAACCATCTTCCTTACATCGAGTTAAATTATTTTGATCATCTTGATAAACATTACTTTCTAATCCTAATGTAAAACAATAACTCCATAAAACAAGTGTTGCCACTGACATCGAAGTTAAAGTATCAAAATCTTCTCTTGAATCTAAAAAAATATGCCAAAGAAATTTATAACAATAAATAATACTTCTTAAATTTTCTGGTTTATTTTTCCATATATTATTCATCTTTTGTTGAACAGTATAATGATCTTTCATTGTTGCTGAAACACTTTGATTAGCTGGAGATCCACCAAATATTGCAATATCATAATGATTTATTTCTGATAATCCTATAATTTGTGTTAAATAATGTATTGATATTGTATCTTCTGAAACTTGAAAATTATCAAAAGCTTGTATTATAATTTCTTTCCAAACATTATTATTAGCATGAGTAATGGAAAGAAATATTGAATTATTTTGTAAATCAATTTGTTGCATTTGATACATTAAACTTATTAATCCTGCTAATAAAACTTTTCTAATGAATATTGATTGATTTAATTCACTTGATTTAAGTAGATTCTTAACACTTGATAAAAAATTAGTTTTAATTTTCTTACCTTGTATTCTTTTTTGTTTCTTGACTAATTTTTTAAATGATTGATCATTAGTTTCCCATAGTAGATCATCACAAGGTAAATTTAACAATTGTAGTTGGTGAAATAATATTTGGGGATTATGTCGAAATTTTATATAATCAGTTATATCTTGATAAAAAGTCATAAAGGTAATTCTTTTCATAGATTCTGATTCAACCCATTTTATAAATAAATCAGAATCGGTAGTATCCATTTCTTCTTCACTTTCCTCGGGACTTGACGTTGAACCTTTTTTAATAGGGTTACCTCCTAAAATAGGTGACCTCCTTAGTAACTGAACTAATGTACCATGATGAAGGTGAGCACGTTCGTGCATTGATCTGGTTAAAAAGTTCTTTTCTACCCATTCAATCATATTTAAACTTTGTAAAACCCATAATTTAACTGGTGATTTAAAATCTTCATGTTCAAATAAAACAAATCTTAATGGTTTGATTAACAATAATGATATTTTAAATTCTGGAGATTTCTTTTTCAATTTTGCCAAATTTTCATTATTGACGGGGAAACCATATTGAGCACCAACTATAATCATGGCTAATAAAAGTAATAATTCAGTTGATTTTGTATTGAAACTTGGTTTATGTATTATTGGGAATTGTGGATGAAAATATTTCCAATATGAACATAGATATAATGAAAACCTATCTTCTAAATTCTCTTCATTAATTTCGTTTGGTGATATTTTAATTAAATTTAGCATTTTATTTACCAATATATTATCAATGAAAAATTGTTGATTTGTTTCTATATTTAATTTTCCATGATCTTGAATATCGGAAGAATTATCTGAATCTAAAGTATTTGTAGGTGAACTTGAAACATTTAAATTTAAATAAGACGGGAGTAGATCATTTTTAAATAAATCATCTAAGGGATTGTCATTATTATAAAAAACTTGATTATAGTTGAAATCTGGTATAGTAGCATTTTGTACTGGAGATGGATCGATTGAATGATCTGAATGATATTGATTTGAATCGAATAACCAATTAATTATATCATTTTGCGGCATTGATGAATTTTTATTAATAGGATATGATAAATTTGGTTGTTGTGGGATAGGTGGTGGCATTAAAATTACAGGAATTGATTCTTTTGGTTTTTGGTTATTCATTAATTCATAATGTCTTTTAATATGTCTTTCTTTTAAATCTTTTCTAACAAATGTTTTACCACATTGGATTTTTTTACCATTATAATCAATTAAAATGTCACATATATAAACTTCTTTTGGTTCATGGTTTAAATTATGTCTTGCTAAATGATCTGATCTACTGAAAACTTTACCACAATGTTGACATGGAAAAGTACCAAGTGACCTTTTCTTTTTTTTAGGGGGTTGGGTCTGTATTTGATTCATAGTTAATATTTTGTATATATTAATTTTTTTTTCTATTTAATTTTCAATGTCTTAAAGTTCAATGTCTAAAATTTCAATGTCTAAAATTTCAATGTCTAATTTCAATGTCCAATTTCAAAGGCTAAAATTTCAATGTCCAATTTCGATGTCTAATTTCGATGTCTAATTTCGATGTCTAATTTCGATGTCTACAATTTCGATGTCTAATTTCAATGTCTAATTTTAATTTTTAATTTTCAATTTCTTCGTCTATAAATTTTTTATATAAAATATGATCAACTGGTAAAAATCTATTAATATTAATTATATCAATATCATCATTAAATCTTAATGATTTAGGTATATGATCATCTATTGAATCTATTTCAATTGTATCATATTTAGTTGTATAATTTGGTCCATTAGTTTCTTCTTCAATTATTTGATCATCTTCATCATCTTCATCATCTTCGTAATTCTTTAAATCAATTGTAAAATATTTTATAAATCGTTTATAATTTATTAAAAAAGCATTTTGAAGTAAAATATTACTAGTTGTTATGTTTCTACTAAAATAATCAAAAAAATATTCTTCTTCATAATATTTATAATTTTGTAAATCATATTTCCATATTTTATAATATTTTAAATATAAATTTGGATTTAATAGATCCTTAACTTGGAACTGTAAATGATTATTTAAATAACCTATTAATTCTTCTAATTTAATTTCTTCATATTTTTCAATAAATAATGCTTTAATTTCTTCAGTTATTTTATTTTTAAATCGATGATTTATAATTTTATTTAAAAATTTTTCAATATCTTCATTTTGTAAAATTATATTTATAACATAATTACTTATAGTTGTAAAAATCTTTTCATTTTTCATTGGGAAATATTCTTGAATTATATTTTCAATTTTATTTTTACATATTATTAATGACATTGATTGTGATGATGATGAAGATGATGAAGATCCTCGACGTAATGAAGATCTATGTGGTTCAACAGGTACTATAATTGGAGAAGGTGGTAATGAAACATAATATTCTTCATCTTCTTCTTCATCTTTTAAATCTAATAAATTTAATTGTATTGTTAAATTTACACCATGTTTTATTAAATTAGTTGTATCTTTTAAATGGTCATCAATACATTGATTAAAAGGAAATTTTGAATAAAGTTTCATCTTAATATGAATAATATCATTTGATAAGAATACTAATTGTTTATATATGATTAACAACGTGCTTAAATTTTTTGCACCCATTTGGTAGCACTTGTGATTTTTCTATATTTCTTTTTTTTAGTCTTTTTTTATTTTTAGTGTCGCGTTATTTGTGTCGCGATACAGGTTGGAAAAAATAAAAAAATAAATAGATAAATAAATGGAACTTGAAATTTTTATTTGACAACATACTTGAATGCTAACAACAACACGTAATTTACGTTTAATATTAGCTGTAGTAGCTATATTTGGTATAGTTGTATTTTTTGCAACATCACAAAATTCAATGACATCTATACAAAAGGTTAATCAACCTTCACAACCTATTGAACCTCCAAAAAAGGAAAATACTTTGCAAGGTACACCTCATCAAGGTACTAAACCACCTTATGAAATTGATAAACCAAAAAAAGTTTATGCTGAAAAATTACAAGATTCTCCTATGAATGCTTGTAATGAAATAAATTATGTTGTAATGATTGATGCTGGTTCAACAGGCTCAAGAGTTCATGTATATAAGTTTGATTCATGTAATCAACCTCCACAATTATTGGAAGAAACTTTTGAAATGAAAAAACCTGGTTTGTCTTCATTTGATACAGATACCGTCGGTGCTGCTAAATCATTAGATTCATTATTAGAAAAAGCTTTAGAAGTTGTACCAAAAGATAAACAAAGTTGTACGCCCGTTGCTGTAAAAGCTACTGCTGGTTTAAGATTACTCGGAGAAACTAAATCAAAAGCTATATTAGAAGAAGTTAGAAATCATTTAGATAAAAATTATCCATTTCCAGTTGAAGATATATCAATTATGGATGGTAAAGATGAAGGAGTTTTTGCTTGGGTTACAGCAAATTATCTTTTAGGTAATATTGGAAATAAAGAAAAATTACCAACTGCTGCAGTATTTGATTTAGGTGGTGGTTCTACTCAAATTGTTTTTGAACCGGAATATAAAGATGAACCAATTGTAGATGGTGAAACTAAATACGAATTTAAATTTGGTGATCATTTATTTACATTATATCAATATAGTCATTTAGGTTATGGTTTAATGCAAGGTAGAAATAAAATTAATAGTATAATTGTTAAAAATAAAATTGATCAATTTACAAAAAAATATTCATCAAAGCAAGAACTTCCAGAAAATGCAGAAGTTGAAATTATAAATCCATGTATTCCACCAGGAATAGTTGCTAAAAATGTTCAAGTTGAAGTAGACGGTGAATGGTATATTGTAAATATGAAAGGATCTTCAACACCTGTTGGATTTCAATGTAGAAAAATCGCAGAAGAAATTTTGAATAAAGATCAAGCATGTGAAGCTAAACCATGTTCATTTAATGGTATTCATCAACCTTCATTAAAAAAAGCATTTAATAAAAATTCAGATATGTATATATTTTCATATTTTTATGATCGAACAAATCCAATTGGTATGCCATCATCATTTACAATTGAAGAATTAAAAGATTTAACAAGAGTTATATGTGAGGGAGAAACATTATGGAAGGATGTATTATTTGATGACCATATAAAATCATTAAATGAAGAACCACAATGGTGTTTAGATTTATCATTTATAACTGCGATGTTACATACTGGATACGATATACCATTAAATAGAGAATTAAAAACAGCAAAGACAATAGATAATAATGAATTAGGATGGTGTTTAGGAGCATCCTTACCATTATTAGATAAAAAGACATGGAAATGTAAAGAATAGTTAGAGTCTTCTTAATATAGATTTATTTGTTAACATTAACAGTTTAATTCGCCTTACGCATAAATTTATATTTTATATTATTTTTTTTTTTTTTTTTTTTTTTTTTTTTTTATTTCTTGTGACTTGAAAATATAAATTGTGTCACCCTGTGATTCAATACTATATAACCATAAACTATTCCAGATGTCGGATTATAAAAGTCAATTAACATCACAGATAAACAATCTAGATCAAAGGGATAACAACAATAATAATATCCACAACAATAATGATAGCCACAATAATTATAACAACAATAATGATAGCAACAACCATTTAACTTCTCATATAAGTAATTTAGATTTAAATGATTTGAATATTTCACTACTGAGTAAATCTTCTTCATTAACTGACATGAATACTTTATTACAACCACAGCCTCATTCATCTTTTAGAAGAAAACATAGTATACAGAAATTTAATAGATCTAATTTAACTTCGACTAGTGCTACTCCTGTTAGTTCATCTCCGAAAGATTTATTTACAAGAGAGCCTCCAAAAATTCATTCAAAATTATATGGCGATGACTTGGAAATAAATCAAAGAGCTGCTAAAGATGTATTATCAAGGTTAAGTAGTGATGATTTAAGATCCGTTAGATCTCATTTAGAATTAGCCGAAACTGCCAATGGTGTAAGAATGTTGGCTAAAAATTTATCAAGAGCTACTATTCAATTAGATGTTAAAGCTATTATGATTATAACAAAAGCAAGAGATAATTCTTTGATTTATCTTACAAGAGAAGTTGTTGAATGGGTTTTTTCAAAATATGATATAACAGTTTATGTTGATTCAAAATTAGAACATTCAAAAAGATTTAATAAAGAACAAATTATAACTAGTCATCCAATTGCTGAAAAACAATTGAAATTTTGGAATAAAAAAATAACAATGAAATCTCCTGAATTATTTGATTTAGTTGTGACATTAGGAGGAGATGGAACTGTATTATATGTATCTAATTTATTTCAGAAGATTGTACCACCAGTTTTATCATTTGCTTTAGGCTCACTAGGGTTTTTAACAAATTTTAAATTTGACGAATATAAAGAAAGAATGAATCATTGTATTGATTCTGGAGTCAAAGCAAATTTAAGAATGAGATTTACATGTAGAGTTCATACTGATGAAGGAAAATTATTATGTGAACAACAAGTTTTAAATGAATTAGTTGTTGATCGTGGGCCATCACCATTTGTTACGCTGTTGGAATTATATGGAGACGGTTCATTATTAACTATAGCGCAAGCTGATGGTTTAATAATAGCAACTCCAACGGGTTCTACTGCATATTCATTATCAGCTGGTGGTTCATTAGTTCATCCTGGTGTTTCAGCAATCAGCGTAACTCCAATTTGTCCTCATACATTATCATTTAGACCAATATTATTACCAGATGGAATGTTTTTGAAAATTAAAGTACCAAATAGTTCAAGATCAACAGCATGGTGTTCATTTGATGGTAAAGTACGAACAGAATTGAAAAAAGGTTACTATGTATCAGTTCAAGCATCTCCGTTTCCATTTCCAACTGTAATATCGAGTAGAACTGAATATATAGATTCAGTTAGTAGGAATTTACATTGGAATATTAGAGAACAACAAAAACCATTTAGTTCATATTTAAAACCAGAAATGAGAAAAATGGTTCTAGAGAATCCTGATATTGATGATGATCATTTTGACATAAATTATACTGATGAAGAAGAAGCAAGTGAGACAACAAGTGAAGATATACCATATTTACCATCAAATGGAGGAACACAGACACCACAATCACAAGAAGAAAGATGTTGTTTTGCCCATCCACATGCTAGAATAAGTTATTAAAAAGAATATTATGATATAAAGATGTTATAGAAATGATATGTTTAATTAAAATGAATATTATGATATAAAGATGTTATAGAAATGATAGATATAATGGTATGATATATGATATGATTATATTACTATATAAAAATAAATAGAATCAAATACACGACCAACAGAAAAAATAAAAAATTAAAAAAAAAAAAAAAAAGAAATCAAATAAAAAAAAAAAAAAATATAAAAAATAAATAAATTATTCTCTGCTTAAAAATTTTTCAAAGGCAATATAAACTATTTATATAGAAAGGTTTTTACATTTATATTATGGACATCAACCAACACATGAGTAATTTATCGGTACAAGAAGGAGGTAAAAGACAATATGTACCTCCACATTTAAGAAATAGACAACAACAACAATCAAACACAAATTCACAACCAGATATTCCATTTGGCGGATCACGTACTCAACAAAGAGGTGGTGGAAATTTTAGAGGAGGAAGAGGAGGAGGAGGAGCTTTTCCTAGAAATAATCAACAACAAGGAAGATATCAAAGACCATCACCAGGTGTAGGTAAGTGGGAAAATGGTAAACATGAACCATCACCAAGAAATGAAAGATTAGAATTAAATTTATTTGGTACAGCAGACGACACTTCATTTCAATCATCAGGTATTAATTTTGATAACTATGATGATATTCCGGTGGAAGCGAGTGGGGAAGGGGTACCAGATCCAATCACAGCATTTACTTCACCTCCTTTAGATTCTTTATTAGTTGAAAATATTAAATTATCAAGATTTACAAAACCAACACCAGTTCAAAAATATTCAGTTCCAATTGTTGCAAAAGGTAGAGATTTAATGGCTTGTGCTCAAACTGGTTCGGGTAAAACCGGTGGATTTTTGTTTCCAGTATTATCAGAATCTTATATGAATGGTCCAGCACCAATTCCAGAATCATCAATAGGTACATTTTCACAACATAAAGTTTTCCCAACAATATTAGTCATGGCCCCAACAAGAGAATTAGTTTCTCAAATTTATGATGAAAGTAAAAAATTTGCTTATAGATCATGGATTAGACCTTGTGTCGTTTATGGTGGTGCTGATATTGGTAATCAAATTAGACAATTAGATAGAGGTTGTGATTTATTAGTAGCAACTCCAGGTAGATTAAAAGATTTATTAGAAAGAGGAAAAGTTTCATTAGCAAATATAAAATATTTAGTATTGGATGAAGCTGATAGAATGTTAGATATGGGTTTTGAACCACAAATTAGACATATAGTACAAGAATGTGATATGCCAAATGTTGAAAGTAGACAAACATTGATGTTTTCAGCTACATTTCCAAGAGACATTCAAATGTTGGCTCGTGATTTTTTAAAAGATTATATCTTTCTTTCAGTTGGTAGAGTTGGTTCTACATCTGAAAATATCACACAAAAAGTTTTATACGTTGAAGAAGATGAAAAAAAATCAGTTATATTAGATTTATTATCTGCAGGTGATCAAGGTTTAACAATTGTGTTTACAGAAACTAAAAGAATGGCTGATAATTTAGCTGATTATTTATATGATCAAGGATTTCCAGCAACTGCTATTCATGGTGATAGATCACAATATGAAAGAGAAAAAGCCTTGGCTGCATTTAAAAATGGTGCTGCACCTATATTGGTTGCAACAGCTGTTGCTGCTAGAGGTTTAGATATTCCAAATGTTGCACACGTTATTAATTATGATTTACCAAGTGATATAGATGATTATGTTCATAGAATTGGTAGAACAGGTCGTGCTGGTAATGTTGGTATTGCAACTGCATTTTTTAATAGAGATAATAAAAATGTTGTAAAAGGTTTAATTGAATTATTAACTGAAGCAAATCAAGAAGTTCCAGATTTTTTAACAAAAATTGGAAGAGAAGCTGCATTTGGTAAAATGAATAGAGGTACTAGTTCAAGTCGTGGTAGATCTGGTCCAACAAGAGATTTTAGAAAAACACAACATAACAGTAGTAATAATAATTGGGGTTCATCATCAAATTCATCATGGGGTAATACAAATTCTGGTTCAAATTGGGGTTCACCACAAAATTATAATAATAATTCACGTTCTAATTTTAATGATTCTTACGGTAATCAAACCACAACAAATTCATGGTGGTAAAGATTTTAGGTTTGATTTTTCTTGCTGTTTTTATTTCCTTTAGTTCTTTTTTAGAGATGTTAAGAAGTTTGCTTTTACTTTTATATTTGCCAACAATTTGCATTTGGGTAAACTTGTTAATGTATTATTATATATTTATTTGGGAAATAATAGAAATTTATATAGGGTAAGAAAAATAGACACTTTTAATGAAATTTATTATATTTTTTTTTTTTTTTTTTTTTTTTTTGATCTTATTTTTCACGCCGCTATAGAATTATTATGAAACGTCAAATTGGGTTGGCGTTGATATGTCTTATAATTATATATTTACTACTACCTGGTCAAGAGAATGAATTGATTAAAGAATTGAAAAATTCAAATTGGAAAGAATTGGGTTTAAATTTTCAACCAAGTAAAAAGATTAAGTTGAAAGATTCAATTATACAACAACAGTTAGCGAAAGAATTTCCATTTGATAATTCAAAACCTTTCCCAAAATTAATATGGCAAACTTGGAAAGTAGATATAGATGATGAAAATTTTCCGAAGCGATATAAAGGATTTATAAATACATGGAATGAAAAGAATTTAGATTATAAGCATTTTATAGTGCCCGACGCACAATGTGATTTATTAATTAAAGAGTTGTATAAAAATATTCCTGATGTTGCAAAAGCTTATGAAATTATGCCAAAATCTATTTTGAAAGCTGATTATTTTAGATATCTTATTTTATTTGCAAGAGGAGGTGTTTATACTGATATTGATACAAAAGATCTAAAACCGATAGATTCTTGGATTTCAAATAGTGTAGAAATACTAGATAAACCAAATAATGCTGGATTAGTAATAGGAATTGAAGCAGATCCTGATCGTCCTGATTGGGCTCAATGGTATGCACGTAGAATACAATTTTGTCAATGGACAATTCAAAGTAAAAAAGGACATCCGATGTTGGGAAAATTAATCGAAAAAATTGCATTAATTACTTTGATTAGAGAAAACAAGGATCAACTTAAAAAAGTATTGGGTAAAGATGAAGGAGGAGATATTATGAATTGGACTGGTCCAGGCATTTTCACTGATCTGGTTTTTGAATATATGAATGATAATCTACAAAATTCATTGAAAAAATATAAAATTCAAATTGATTGGAAAATATTTACTGGTATGCAACAACCTATATTAATAGATGATATATTAGTATTACCAATAACGTCATTTAGTCCTGATGTAAACCAAATGGGTGCAAAAGATTCGAGTGATCCAATTGCATATGTTAAACATATGTTTTCAGGTAGTTGGAAAGATGATGCAATGCCTGAAATGGAATAAATAAATCACCATTGAATAATTTTATCCCTTTTTTCACGAACTTGTTTATATTCATTTACATTTTTCACTTTATTATAATATATAGAACAATCACGATTTACGCAATCATCGACACAATCATAACCTGTTTTCAAGGTATTATGGATACATGTACGACATAGATTTTGTAATTTTAAATAATCTTTTTGACAATTTTTAAATGTTAATTCAACATCATTTTCAAGTGATTGCTGATCTGCTGAACATTTTGAACATACAAAACTTTCATTATCTAATCGATTACCACATATTAAACATGAATCACTGTATAAGCTTTGAATTCTTTGATATTTAGGCATTTCTTTATACCAACCTCGTACATCAGCTCCAAATAGATTGAAAAAACGTTCCAATGGAGGAATTAATACTCTTGTTATATAATATTCAGAATCTAATGTCAATGGATTTTCAGTTGTATACGTTTTAATTAAATCTTCTGGAGATAAAACTCTATCCTTTATTCTTTGTTTTGTTGAATCCCTATACACGATATATGGAATTCTTTCTCTATATTGTGGTTCTGATCTAGGATCATCTTTTGCTTTTTCACTTGCTAATAATGCACCTGGTGGAAGATATCTTTCATTTTTGTAATTTCCATACCTTACCTCCTTTGCAAAACAAAAATCTTGAACTGAAATTTTATTAAATAAAATTTTATAAAATTGTTTAATAGTATATTCTTTAACTGTTGATAAATTCTGTGTTTCAAATAATATACGAAGACATTTCTCAGTAATTTTCTGTTGAGCAGGTATACCATCTCTTCTAACGGTTTCAATTCCCTTTGCATCAAATTTTGCAACTTCTTGATTTTCATACTCATATGAATATCCAACATATCTTTTCTTTGCTAAAAGAATACAAGGATGATAAACTTTTTCAAATTTTAAATGAATCGGATCTGGGAAAAAATCTGTAACTTTTTTAGCAATCTCTTTACCATATTTAAATGCATCTTGTTTGGATTTACCTGGGAAGTAAACAAATAATGAATCTGTGTCACCGTAAACCACTTTTGCACCATAATTTTCAGATTCAATCATTTCCATTGATTTGGTTAATATTTCTCTTCCAGTGGAGACAATAGCATCGGCAATGTCTGAACATGGCATTCTTCCTGAATATGTTGCTGACGTATAACCATATGTAACATTTGCAATTAACTTCAAAGCGTTTTGTCGGGCATTATATAATTTAGTCAATTCAGCATCATCTTTGAATAATTTCATTACATTTTTTAGTTTAATTCTGATATTTAAAATTTCTTCCAACATTTTGGCTAAAATCGATTTTCTTATATGACTTTTAACAAACATAAATCCATTGGGGGATATATTAATAGCGTCATCTTTCTTTAGTAGGTCAACTAGTCCTGGATTTAACTTTAAAGATTTTAAATAACCAATATCATTTTTATTCTTTTTATAATTGTGCAATTTGCATAACAATGTCGAATAACAATAATTATAAGCAATCATAATTGACGGGTATAAAGATTGAAAATCTAATACAACTAATGGAGATTTATAAAAATTTGCTTTTGGTTCTAAAATTAATGGAATTGATTCGAATGGTCTCATTTCATGTACATCTGTTTTAGATGGTGAATTTAATAATAAACTTTCTGTCTTTGCAATTCTTGCTAATATCGACTCAACTTTATATTGTGAACCTCTATAAAAATTTGAATTGAAATCAATTCCTATTAATCTTGAATGTTCAACATTTCTTGTAATCAATTCTTGAACAGCAATAATTTTGAGTATCAATTCAATTCTTTTCATGTAATACGACATAACAATAAATAACTCATGATACTGATTAGCTTTTAACCATTGCGTTAATTGATGATTCAGGTACTTAGGTAGTGTTCTATGTAATAAATGATACGTTACATTCTCTAATGAATAACTGGTTAAACTTAGTTCTGATCTTAATACCCTCCAAACATTAATCATGTGTCTACCGCATATTTCTATATTTGATGTATGAGTATAGCCCCATCTATCACCAAATTTACCATTACTTTTAAATGTACCCCTACTCAAATCACTCATCATATTAATACCAAACACATTTATAAACCTTTCAATTATATAACCCCATGACATTGAGATTACTTCATAACCTGATAAAATATCAGGATCAAAAATTTCAACCAATTGAACCAATTTTGCAACCATTGCGATCTCATCAGAAAATATTTCAGTATGACAAGATAAACTTTCTGATAATTGTTGAATCATTTTAGGTTCATATTCTCCAAACATTAATACTCCCGATTTTTTACAATTAAACATTTCATTGGTATCATCAAACGAATAAAAAATTAATGAGATGGGATCTCTTAATGGATCCGCAACTAATTCAGCATTCGGAGGATTAGCATGAATTTCCAAATGTAATGAAGTTAAAAAATTAAACTCATCCGGCTTCCTAGATACTTTTTCTGAGTTATAACTGTATTTAAATGCTTGTGTTTTACCTGGTTCAATTTGTGATCTATATTTTAATGCTCTTTTAATTGCTTTAGATTCTCGATACTTGATGAAATTAATAGTTTCCATTTTTGATGGCGGTTCAATACTGTACTCCCATGTTGAATATATTCCTGTTAGTTCTTTATCTGGTCCTAGATGTAAAGAATCACTAAATAATTTAGGTATTATAGATTCATTTTTTAATGGTATGACAAATTTTTGATTAGCAAATATAAATGGTTTTGATAAATCTTTTGGATCACTATAAAACGGATCTGGATAATCTATCTTAAGAGTTCCAGTGGATTGAAATGCATCATTTAAATTCAGTAACTTGAGTTGCTCTGGTATTGATATGTCGTAAGTGTTTTTCCCTACATGCATGTTTTTATAAATGGGTTGTTCAGCTGTAGGAGTGAACGAAAATGAATCAAATAATTGAGACTGGTTTTGAATCATATCTTCATCAAATTGGGTAGATATAATAGCTTCTTTTTCATCTGATTTAGTTTCATTTGGTAATGAGATGATTTCATTTGCAACTAATTCTTGTGAACCGAAATTATTATGTTTGAAGTCTAATTCTTGTGAATCTAAATCATCATCATTATTTTGTTCATCCATTACTTCTGGTTTATTCACATCTATTAGCCTTTCCTCTTCTGATTCATCTTCTGACTCAATAAACTGATTTTCAACTGATACATTTTCAATGAATAATTCTTCAAAATCGGTCCACTGTAAAAGCATTGGTTTTTTATCATGAAATTTTAAATTCTTCTCATAATCTACTAAGCCATATGCTGTTTCAAATTTATTAAAATTGGGATCTTTATTAAAATTATGATCTCCGTACTTGTCCAAATTGTAATTAGTTTTCCCATTTATTTGTATCACATAATTTAATAATTCGTTCAATTCAAAAGAATTGCTCCACTTGCTAGTTCCAGTACCAAAGTACTGAATTTTAGAAGAGGTTACCAAGACATCATTGTTGATTTTCAAATCTGAATTTCTTATTTTGATTTGAAATTTCAAATCAAAATACGTCTGTTTTAAAGACGATAAATAGATGAGTTGGTTTCCCTCCTTGTCATATTTATAACCATGCTTTGGTATTTTGGAGAACTTTATATCTTCAATATACTTATCAAACTCCCGTCGTTCAGAAAAATCTTCATGAATTTCTCTTGGCTCCACCCAATTTCTGTTAATGATACTACTTGTGGTAATATCCACTTCAACAATTGATTTCCCAATTCTCACAAATGAATTGTCTAGCACATTTTCTTGATTCAAAAATTTTGTTAAATAATTGGATAGAATATTTAATTTATGAGGTTCATGAAAATTTCGATGTAATTCAGTAAATATAGGCGATCTAAAATATAATCCTCTGGTACCAGTACCATTAACCAATTCATGATCAATATTTATCCAACCACAACCAAATAAATTAAAATCTGTTAAAAATTGTAAAAGGTACGGAATATGAGCTTCGTAAATGTATGTGATGGGCTTTTTCTCAACTGGATTTTCAATGTCATCTAATGAAACTTTTCTTTCATGAAACATATTGGTTAATCTGGATTTATATAATGGTGATAATAATGATATTTTATAAAATAATCTATAACCTAATTGAAATCCATAAATTGAAACTGCTTTACAAATTGAAACATTTGCAATATATTTTCTTCTTGAATCATCATCGTCACCGACTTCTTGATCTTCATGCCCGTTTCTAGCTCTTCTACGTTTGAATGACTCTTTTAATGATGTTTCCAAATAATTTATTACCTTGTCAATGAACTTTTTATCTTTCAATTTTTCATAATTTGTTTCATTACAATCAACATAAAAGTATGGATAAAAATTATGCACATGTATAACTACATTAAATACAGAAGTTTCATTGCTTTCAATTCTTGGCTTTTTCCTCTTCGGTGATTGTTCATTATTCTTCTCATCATTATTGATTGATAATGAACCATAAATTCTAATGATGGGTACCTGACTAACAACTGTGTATAATTGGTCTAATTTAGTAGGCCATGTTTGATACGTATCATAATCATTTATTTGAACTCTAAAACTTGAAGATGCTGAATTTGGTGACCAATTTATTGTACTTTCATTGTAAGAGCTATCATTATTCATGTATTAATATTTAAATAAACGTTAGTGTCGTGTCGAATAAAGATTTCGTAAATTTAAATTTCGAGACATAGAGCAATTACGGAATTTCAATATTTCCTCTTACGCGTGGTGAATTTTGAATAAAACGACCATACGAAAAAAATTCTACTACTAAAATCATGGTTCAACCATTTTGAAAGTGTTCAACTTTGTAGTTTCCTCTTTCCGATAATTCCTAGATTCTATTATGCTAAGGCACTTAAATCTGAAGTAATTTTTCAAAAATGAATCCAAGTTTATGCGTTTTTTTTCAAAACAATTATGACGTTTTTTTAAAACATGATACAACATAAAATAAGAGTCTAATATACTAAATAAGATGTTGTAGAATGTGCCAAACGAGGTTTAGATGTTAATTATATTACAATTGAGCCAATTTTCTATTTTTCAAACGCTTAATACCGTGATCGAACTTTTGTTTTACGAAAGGATAGTAACATCAGTTTGCTTTAAATCAGTTAAATTTTTCAATGTCGAAACTATGCCTTGCATATTGAGGAAGATATTTAGGAATTAAACTTTATGAGATTGCATATAAATCGAGTTTGTTTCAGAATTGATCTTAAAATTGCGTGTTTTTCTGAAGCGATGGCCTGGTGCGACAAAATAAATTTCCGCACTAGCATTTGGATGACCTGGTACTCAGTATATTAGTCTGATTTTTGTTTTGACCAGTTTTTTTTCTATTATAAAAAACACTTTAAATCTAAAAAAGAACAACAACAAAAACACTTTTTGACAACCAAAGTTATATCAAATTGTAGATCTAGATCTCTAGTTTTACATGATATATAGTATGTTCAAAAAAAAATAATTGCCAAAAAGATTGCAGCACGAGAGTTTCGCGTATGGTCTCCCACTACACTACTCGGTCTCGCTCTTAGCAGCTTAACTACTGTTGATCGGACGGGAAACGGTGTTCTCTGCTAGATATGGCCGCAACCGAAAATTTGTTTTTTTTATCTGTATATGTAGGAATGTTTGCAGTCATGGGGATTCGAGAGGGTGTAGCTGTGGTTTGGTAGTATGTTTGGTCGAGCTAAAAACTTCGGTATTATATTCTTTACAATTTTCATCGTAAGCTTATCAACTTTATTTTAATAGTTGTTGCACTATCAGAAAGGGCTTTAATTAAGGCTTTTTTTATTACTTTGAGTGTTACAAGTAGATGGGAATTTCTAAGTTTCAGATATTGATGGTATTTTAACGAATGCAAGATTAGGGGCAATGAACCATATATTTTACATAAGTCGTATTCGGATATTTTGAAATTTTTTTGGTCATTTTGGTCTTTTTTCACCATACAAAAATTTTTCAGAAAATGTAAATCTATTTATCTTTTTATTTACGCCCATAACATTCAAATAAACAAGGGAATCTATATATTATCTCTACATCAAAGATGACGAACCTGATTCTAGACGCTCACAGTTGAATTTGAGAATTTTCAAAATTTTCTCTTACGTATGAGGAAATTCAAATAAATTGACCCTTCAAAAAAATTAACACCACAATTAATGTTCAAAATGGAACATGATAAAACTATCCGTTTTTGTAGTTCTGCATTCTAATAATCATTAAATATTTTTGTGTTAAGGTATTCAAAATTAGAAAAGTTATTTTTCATAACTGAATTGAAATTTTTGAAAAATATTCAAAACGATTTTGACTTCTCGAAAACAAGGATAAAGATATTTTAAAAGTTAAATGTACCGATTCAAATAGTTTAGAAGTTGCTATGCGTGTCTAAGTAGTATTTGTATCGTGATTAAGCGTTTATTTGCGTTTTTTAAATGAAGAATAAAATAACCAGAATTGTGTTTTTTGAAAAAATTATGGTCCTATGTTACTTTAACATAGGTACAGTTTAAATGAAAATACTTCGAGGAGTTTAGCTTAGAAATTATGCAAGTTGTAAGCAAATTGAGTCTTGAGATTAACTACTACAAGACTGCATATAAGCCTAATTTGTTTCAGACTTCTTTCAAAAGTATGTAGTTTTCAGTGCGATTATTTAATAATCTCCCGCCGTAATTTCTATGCGGCGTTATACTAAATTCGCTGCCGGTCTGTGAAAATTTCTAAATATCAAGGTTCCACGATTAGGACGTCACTTATTGATCCTAGAGTGTGAGCTTTGCTTGGCTTCCATTGTAGGTATAAGATTTTATTTTTTTGCTTTTACGTAAATGACGAATAAAGAAAATTGAGTTGAACATTTTTAAAAATAATTAAACTGTTACAATTACCCATATAAATCTATAAAATACACATAAATACTAAAGTACAACTTTTTCAGCCAAAGATTTTTTATAATCTAAGATTGAACCTTCCCATCTTGTAGCTGTTTTATTTTCAATAACAAAAATGTCTTTTGCAACTTTATCTAATAATCTAAAATCATGTGAAACAACTACAACACCACCATTAAATGCATTGATAGCATCAGCTAAAGAGTCAATTGTTGATAAATCTAAACCATTTGTAGGTTCATCTAATAAAATTAAATTTGGAGCTTCTAAAGCTAATAATGCAAAAACAACTCTTGATCTTTGACCTTCTGATAATGTAGCCATTTGTGATGTTTGACCTTCACCTGTTAAACCATAACGACCCAATTGACCTCTCCAATATTGATAATCTTGTGAAATATTTGAAAATTTATCTCTAACAAAATCCAAAGGAGTTTTTGTCAAATCTAATTGATCAGCTGAATGTTGTGAATAAACGCCCAATTTGATATGAGTATGTTTAATAACTCTACCTTTTTGAGGTTGTAATTTACCTTGAAATAATTTTAATAAGGTTGATTTACCAACCCCATTTGGACCAACTAAAGCAACTCTTGAATCCATATCAATACCAATATCTAAATTTTCATATAAATTATCTTCTTCTTTACCACTATAAGAAAATGACATAGCATCAAAAGCCAAAACTGGTGGAGGTAATTTTTCAACTTCTGGAAATCTAAATGTAAAAACTTTATCAGGGATAACAGGTGGAATTAGACCATCAGCTTCCATTTTATCCAATATTTTTTGTCTTGATTTAGCTTGTTTAACTAAATTTGCATAAGTACCAGCTGACGCAATAAATTTTTTAATATGGGCAATTTCTTCTTGTTGTTTAGCATATTGTTTCATTTGATTAGTTTCCAATTCTGATCTAGTTTTAACATAAGAATCGTAATTACCACCATACATAGTTAAAACTTTTAATCTCATATCAATCATATTGGTACAAACACCATTTAAGAAATCTTGAGAATGTGAGACTAAAATTAAAATTCTATCAAATCTTTTAAGATATTCTTCTAACCAAACACAAGCAGCTAAATCTAAATGTGCAGTTGGATCATCCAATAATAATAATGTAGGTTTAACAAATAACGCTTTTGCTAAAGCAACTCTCATTCTCCAACCACCAGACATATCTTTAGTTTTCTTTTTAATAGTAACTGAATTAAAACCTAAACCAGTTAAAATAATCGCAGCTCTAGATTCAAAAGTAGCTGGATCCATTTCATCAATTTTTTCATAAATACCTTCTAAAGCAGGACATTCTGGACCTTCTTTAATGATTAAATCTTCAACTAAATCTTCTAATCTTTTCATTTCATGTTCAGCTTCTCTAACAACATATTCTAAAGCAGAAAACTCAGTTGCTTCAGCAGGTTCATTTAATAAATAAACATCAATATGTTCTGGGATAGGAAATTCTCTAGCGGCAATAGATTTTAATAAAGTTGATTTACCGCAACCATTTTCACCTAATAAACCATATCTTCTACCATAATTTAATTCTAATGTGGAATCTTGAATTAAAACTTTACCATGAAATAATAATGAAACAGAAGACAATTTAATATCTCTTGAAGTTTTAAGTGACTCTAAAACTCCAGTAGTAACTCTGTCTGATAAACCATGTTCATCAGTTTGTAATTTTAATTTAGCAATTTGTTGATCGGCATCTTCAACTTCATCATCTGCAGCATCTTTTTCAGCTTGTTTTTTGGTTTTTTTAACAGTTTTACCTGAAGCAGCTTTTTTAGCTTCTTTTTCTAATCTTTTTTGTTCTCTTTTAGCTTTTGATGCTGATATAGACATTGATTATAAAAGATTGTATTGTATAGTATTAAAATTTTTCAAGCAATGACTTTTTCACTTTTTCGCCTGGCGAGACATAAAAAAAAAAACTAAGACTAAACTAAAAAAGATCGTTCTGATAATCACACTATCATTATCACAATTGGTTATTATGGACAGACGACCTTCTTATAATACAATTGCACAATCAAGAGAAGAATTTTATAATTTAGATTATCCAAATACTATTGATAAATTAAAATTTGATGTAAGCTCGAGATTTTATTCAAGATCAAAACAAAGAACTTTAAATTTGACAAAATTATTACCTTACAATGTTGAAAGTGAACAAGATAAAGCAAAGTTTTTAAGTCATATTGTTTCTCATTTATATATTGCTATTAAAACATTGGATATTCAAGGTGTGCTACTGGTAAGTGCTAAAGATCTTGCAAATATAAAAGAAATTTCAGATGTTGATATGACTATGGAAACTGATTTATTTGAAGGTAGTTATGATTCTGATGAATCTATGGAATCAGAAGTATTTGATGAAGAAGGTGAAAATGATACTGAAACTACAAGTCAACATAAAAAATCTCCTAAATCAGCAGCTGTTGTAAATGTTAGAACTTGGACTCATGAATTATTAGTGTGGATGAAAATGAAGTATGACATGCCTATAAGTTTAAGAATTAGTTTAGTCCGAGTTTATTATGCACTTTGTTTAACTCGTGGTCAATCTATTAACATGAAACTTTATGTAAAAGTATTTGAAATACTTACAAAAAATTATCGTGATTTGTATAAATATGGTTTAAGATTAGAGCATGAAGATTTACTTCAAGAGTTTTTAAATTTATTTCCATCGGTTAATCCAAGTATAATAAATTATGAAAAAAAAGATCAAAAACAACTCAGTCGTTTAGCAACAAGAGCTTCGTATTTTTTTGATAAATCATGTTTGCCATACTTATATAAACAAATTGGTTGCCATTTTTCATCAACTTCTTTATTAGTCATGACATGTTTTTCAATGTTACCCAATTTTTTCAATGAATCAATTGATGAAAATGATATACGTTATTATATTGGGTCTTTTTTTTATATGTGGATGAAAATTAATAAAATTCAAGGCTTTGATGCCCAAGTAACTTCAAGATTAGGTGCTATGTCAATGGCTGCATTAGCTGAAAATGTGAGATTAGGAGAATATGGTATTTATACAAAAGAACAAATGGAATTTTTATTCAATACATTACTTAATAGTTTGAGTATAATGAATAGAAAATATTCATCACATAAATTAAAATATTTTCATGGATATGCTTCTGCTATTGTTTATTCTATTAGTTCATCGAGTAATGAAATTATTCAACATTTAAAAACTTTAGTAAATGCAATTGAAAGTTATGTACATCCTTCCAATACAGGAGATTGGACAAGACCAATATCGAAATTGGTAATTGCATTTGTTTACCAATTTCATAAACGTTATAATTCTGAAAATCAACCAAAGGAAACTTTATTTGAATTATCTACCGAAACGAAATTGACTAAATCAATAGTTAAAGAATTTGTCAATATTTTTCTTCCAGTTGTAAAAATTGGTATACAATCCAAACTGGAAAGTGCAACTGATGATTACATTGCAGCATTACAATTATTAGGGTTGTTGGATCCAGAATATGTTTTAGAAAATACTTTATTGGATATTTATGAATCACTAGAAGGAGTTATTGCAACACATAGAGTTTCGATAGCATTGAGGGCTTTAGGTGCGTTATCTAGAGTATTAGTTTCCACACCTATATATCGAGTACATGTTACAAGATTACTTTCATTAGCTATACCGGGTATTGATTCAAATGATTTGGGAAAAACTGTTGTTACCTTTGAATTTTTTTCAGCAATTGCCAATTATACTCCAATTTATGATTTAACTGAAGGTGAAGGAAATCCATCATTAGCTTTAGAATTTACTCAAGAGCATTTAGAACATTTAAGAAGAAAAATTTATAATGATGTTGAATTTCCTATTGATGAACAATTGGAGATTGATGCATTAAAATCATCAACCTCCGCTTATCGTGAATTAATAAGTAGTTTACTACAAAAGTTGTTCACTTTATTTGAAAATTTACCTGATCCTGAAAAAAGTTCAAGTTTTGAGAGTGATTTATCTAGAGTTTTACCAAAATATTTATTTATAATTTTCGAGTCAATTTCAGATGATTTATTCAAAGGTTTTAAAAATGAATTTTTTGATTTTATTTTTAATAATACTTATCATTTAGCCTCAACTGCAGTAGCTGATATTTGTGGTGGAATTGTTAAAAGAGCTCCCAAGTGTTTCAAAAAGCATGCACGTTTATTGATGGAGAAAATTAGGGAGGAAATCGATGAAAATGGAGCTGGTAAAAGTCAAGAAGTTGTTTCAAAAGATCATGCATTAGAGTGGTATCTAACAATTTTAGGCGAATGTGTTGGAAATGCAGGCTCTCAAATAACAAGTATGGAAGACTTGAGGTCATTTTCATTTTATTTAATGGATAATGTTAGAGGAGTTTTATCATATCAATCAAATTATTTTATAAATCAAGTTCTACAAACTGTTACCAAAATAAGGTTATTAGAATCTAGATTAATTTCACCTGAATATCAAAAGAACTTTGGAATTACAGAAAAATGCTGGGGAGGATTTTGGAATCAAGATTTTAGATTTTCAAAAGAAAACACTACATTCCAATGGTTTATACCTGATGAAAAAGATGTTACATTTGCAATTGATTTTTTCAATAGTCATGTTAGTAAAGCATTGGACGGAATCAAAGGAATTATCGACACTCATGACTCCAATATAAAAGCTACTACTAAATCTTTAGAGGATTTAAAGGCATACCTTGCCAGTCTCTCTTATTGTTTATCAGGGGTCTCATTTTTATTAGATCCTTGTTTCGAAGAGTATATTCCTAAAAGTACAGAATCAATACAGCAAAGATTGCAACTACTTAAACAAATTAGAGAAAATAAAGGTTCTACACAAAAAGATATAGTTTATGATATGGAACAAATTATAAATGATTTAGAAGAATCATTTAGTCCAGATACATCAAAAATTGAAGAAACTCCGTCAAGACCTTCCTCAGTTGAGTTAGATAATTCACCAGTTGAATCAGGTAGAAATACTCCACAAATCGAAGGTTTTGCTGTCAACACTAATCCGGTTTTAACATTTAGAGAAAGAAGTTTATATACATCCAATTACTTTTTCAAGGAAAAAACAGATTTATATTTTAAAGTTCATAAAATTAGAAGTCTTATTGGTAAATGTTTGCAAGTTGTTTATAATTTTCTTATAGACAACTTTGGTGATAATATAAAAGTTTTTGAATCATATTTACAAGTAATTCAAGTTTGGTTTGCAAATGTTGGAAGGGAACGATCTTTAGGTCCTAGTAATGCAACTATTAGCTATGCATATTTATGCTACACTCAAACAATTAATAGAATGAGAAAACCATTTACAAGAATTGCAATAGGAGCTAGATTAGAATCATATCAACTGTTTAGATTAGCTTTTCATGCAACTCCAAGAACAGAAACAAGTTTAGATAAAGCTTTATTAGAGAAATTAACCAAATTATCTGTATCTACATATTCGAATCTTGCAGCTATGGCGCAATCGAATTTAATTGAAGCTATAAAAAGAGTCACAGGTGCATATAATATAATTGTTAAAACTGGTTTCAAAGAATTAGAAGAAGCTTTGAAGAATGGTAAGCCTAAAAAAATTGAAAGCTGTTTAAAATTATTTCATGTAAAGAAAATCAAACTGAAATTACAACTTGATGTCAATTATATTCAAAGATATGTCGATTTATTACATCAATGTTTCAAAGTGGATGATTCAGATGTACAAAAAATCGCAAACTCTTTGTATTCAGGAGTCAAACATTTCTTTTTACCCAGTTCTGTTTGCATCATTAAAAGTATCGAGATGATTAGACCACCAGATCCATATATTGATTTAGAAATACAAGCTTTACAATTAGCCAAAGACAAAAAGAGAAGACAATTTTTTGAAACTTGGGAAAAATTACAAGATAAAATTATCAATTATAAATGTTCACATTGGAAAACTACTTTGATAAATTTAGAATTATTGGAGCATTTACAATCTCATTTCAGTATTCAAACTAGAAAAGAATCTTTGAATTTATTACTAGAAGAAGCTATTAATGATCATCCCGTTATATCTAGACTTGCATTACAAGGTATTACAAGGGGTATAAGCAAGTTAATTTACTTATCAAGTTATGACTATGATTTGAAAAATGCATTTGATTTGTATTACAAAACACAAGTTAGAACTATTGATACTTCAGATTCTTATTTTGAAACTTTTAAAAAAGAAATGAATAAACCAACGTATTTTGTTGATACAAAACCAGATGTAGGGTGGTTGTTTTGGAACTCAACATTAACGGTAAGTGATACGAAAAAAGTTGAATTAAAACCTAAAGATTTCAATGTTGCTCAATTAAATATTGATAAAGAATGGTTTTCCAAAGTTGTAAAATCTTGGATAACAGATGCAGAAACTCATTCTTCATTTCAAATTGGTGATGTATTTTTGTCAGCTACCGTTACATTCTTAATAAGTTATGGATGGATACCGCTTAAATTTACGGAATTATTTGAAATTATTGAACAAGTTTATGTTTTTGATGAAAAATCATCTCATTTAGTTGTTAGTGAGTTAATATCTGGTATATTGATTGCCTCAAAATATTTAACACCTGAAATGGAAGAACAACGTGACAATTTTATTGCACCGTTTTTGACTAGAATTTTCGACGATGTCAGTCCTGACACCAGCGGTGTTTGGACCGTGTTCTTGTTGTGGAATCCGTCTCATACGGATTCTCGAAGATATAAAAATATCTCGGATATCATTTTAACATTCAAGTCATCAGATTCCCCATTTAAAGAATCAAGTAGACTTTCATATATTAGAAGTATGATTTCATCAATCTCATGGAGACTTGGAGATCCTGAAAAATATTTAGATTTATGTTTACAAAATTTAAATCATAGATATGCAACTGTTAGAAATGAAGTTGGTAATTTAATGGCTGTTTTGTCGTTGATTTACTATGTTCAATCAATTGACAGTAGTGAAAAATTTTTAACGCAAAAACATCCATTATATAGAGATAGTATATTTATTGCAAACGTTGGCAAAATTTTTGATCAAGTTGAAATTTGGAGGAAAGAAGTAATTCATTTATCACCACAAGAAATTTTAAATACAAATTATATTTATGCAGCAACAACTGTTTTACAATGGTTAAGACAACAATTGAATACAAATTTTTGCATAATGTTCGAACAATTTTTAGATTATGTTGTTCCATTTTTATTAAATTTAATTGATTTGAAAGAAGTTTGTCAATTAGGTAATATTGATCCAATTACAGTTTTAAAAAAATTATCACAAATCCCATTTACAAATTTAGAAAAAGTTATAAATATATTATCCATTTCAAATTTAAATTTAATTCAAACATTAGTATTTGGTGAGTTTATGGAAACAGTTTATTTCAAAAACTTATTTAAATTAACATTGGAACAAAGAGAAAAAGTGTTTGAATTATGTAATTCTAGATTATCTCATAAACTGGTCGAAGTCAGAGAAGCTGCAGCAGAGTCATTATCTGGATTAATTCATATTTCACCAAATATTGAAACTTTTGTAAACAATTTATCAAAAGAATTTACAAAGGAGCTTGATAAAACTCGAAGAAATAAATCAAAAGGATTTACAAATGATGATATAATTAAATTACATGGAGCTACATTAGGTCTCGGAGCTTTAGTTCATGCATTTGCATTTCAATCGCCGCCACCACCATGGGTACCGGAAATTTTAACAACAATTGCAAATAAATGTACTGGATTACCAGGAGTTATTGGTAAGACTGCAAAAGAATCCTTAGGTAAATTTAAAAAGAATCGTCAAGATAGTTGGCATATTGATAGTAAAATTTTTAGTGAAGAACAAATTCAAGATTTAGAAGGAGTTTTATGGAAAAGTTATTTTATCTAAGACTACTTACTTCAAATAAAAAATCTGAAAAACTAATTGTTGCTGTACCACTTAAATCTTTATCATATTTTTTAAAGATATCAGTCAATTTTCTCAAATATACGAGCAATTCAATAAATGAATCAAATTTTAATCTTCCAACACCACCTTCATCCTTTAAAGAATATTTTTGAAATAAATGTAATACTAAATCTATATCTAGTTTATAACCAATTTGTTCTAATATTTTTTGAAATTCTCCAAACGATATATCTCCCAGTTTGTTTACATCAGCTTGAATAAATAATTTTTTATAAGCAGATAAATATTTCCATAATGATACAAATTGTTCAAAATTTAATGATTTCGAATCAGTACAAAATAAATTAATCATTAGTTTTATAGTTGAATCTTGAAATCTAGTATGATCAAAATTTAATAATGCAAATGATAATTCTTTTGGAGATATTTTACCAGTTCTATTAACATCTACTTTATCAAAAACATTTCTTAACTCAATTTCCAATTTTTGTTTTGAAGTTAATTCTTTTTTGGATTCGGGTGGTGGTTTTTTAACTGGTTGATATTGACTTGGTGGTGAATAAAATTGAGGATGTACTTGAGGTTGTATAGGTTGTGTATGAACTTGAGGTTGTGAATGTGAATGAGAAATTGGTGGTTGAGAATGGTGAATTTGAGCTTGATGAATTTGCTGTTGTGGAGTTTGTTGATAATTGTAATATTCTGGAGCATATTGATAACTCGGTTGTCTACTGTTTTGCTGAGGAGGTGGTTGATAATATACTTTCTGTTGATGTGATTGTTGATATTGAGGTTGTTTTCTATACTGTTGTTGCTGTTGTTGCTGAGGTGTTTGCATTGGTGGTAAATCATTCATTGTAAATGGCTTTATCAAATTGATAAAATAAATAAAAAAAAAAAAAAATTAATGACAGAAAAAAATATATTTACTAGGAATCAATTAATGTATTGTTACACTTTTTATAATTAGTCTTTATATTTATTCATATGTACAATTATACATTTAATCTCTTGCTCTACCTCTGTAACCACCTCTTCTTGGACCACCTCTTGATGGTCTTGGTCTTTCAGCTGGAGCATTTTTTAATCTGGTTAATGGTAAAATACCTTCTGGAATGTTTAATTCTGTTCTTAAGAAATCAACACCTTCATCAGTTAAGGTGTAGTAATAATATTGCCATGAAAATTGAGTTTTAACAAAACCTTTTGATGTTAATGATTGTAAAGCCTTGATGACGTATAAATTTCTAGTATCAATTTCATCATGTTTTGGTTGATTGAAATCTTTTTTAGCAACTACAACACCTTCTATATTCACTAGTTAGTATTAAAACTTTGGAAAAGGATATTTGGATATTTGAAAGTATTCAATATTGAAGTATCCTGAATTATTCACTCTAAATTTCATTCAAATATTCATTCTTGTTCTTTCAAAGCTCAAAAGTCCCAGTTCAAATGATCTATTACATACCTTGGAAGAGGTATTGATGGATTTTTCTTCTATCTTCATTTGGAATTAACATGTTGTTTATCTATATTATATTTCAAAAAATTATCAAATTGAAAAAATCAATCTTTTTTTTTCTAACTTTATTGGTAGTATCAAAATTGACTATGTGATAGCGCTAATTAATTTTTTTTCGCCCATAGTTAAGACTTAATGCGCACAAAATTTTAGTGTAAAAAGTACCAAGTCAGGTGATATGTAGGGCTACAACCACGATGAAGAATTTTTCATTGATATATATGAATAAATTTGATATGTTGAATGTTCAAGTCCCATAACAAAAATATTAAGTCGAGGGGAGTAGAACTTAAGACTAAGCATTTCAAAATCAGTAGTTTGATCAATTGTGACTTGAAAAAAGCACTTTACATATGAAAATTCCATCACAAGATATCAAATGAACTCTAACTTCACTCTAGTACCGATCCACAGAGACTAATATATTGCATCTCAAAAGATGGCTCTTAAGTGAGTAGATAAACTAATTAATCTTAATTTATAGTATGTAAAAATGGTTGCAAAATTTTTTGCAGCCAAAATCGCGCGGCGCAAAAGAAATCTAAAACATCTCTATATATTAATTATTAATTATTAATTATTAATTTAAGCAATTACAACATCCTTCTTTTGTTTTCTTCTGAATATGTCAAACATTGATTTCTCATCGTTGATAGCCTCATTATTTTCTAGACTTTGTTCTCTTGTCAATTCAGGATCTCTTAAAAAGAATGCAAAAAAAATCATAGGAGCAACAAAACAAAGACAAACAATCATTAAGATTCTTTGCGTATCAGCGTAAGCATGTACAGCTGCCATTCTTTGCGGAGTTCCCCATGGATATTCAGCAACAAACGTGTAAGGCGACGAAAAGATTTCATTTGCCAATGTTGAATTTCCTGTGTAATATTCTAATTTTGCTGGTAATCTATTTGTCCAAATAGCACCTGCAACTGAGCTTCCAACTGAATAACCAACTCTATAAGCAACGTATAAGGATGATAAAGCTACTGCCATACGTTCATGACTGACGACCAGCATAATACTGACACCAAGTTCATAACTAAACAAACCATTACCAATACCATTAACAACCATAGCACCAATGATACCTGCTTTTGCTTCCAACGATGATCTATAATGATATAACATTCCAAATGCAACCAACCAAAGAACACAACCCAAAAGCACGAAGGGCTTCAATCTTCTAAAATACACTACAAATAAACCAAAAAGTAACCCAGTTATAACAGCAACAAAAGATGGAAGATTGGCTATTCTGGTAGCTGATTGTAAGCTTTGGCCAACACCAACAACTAAAACAACATTCAATAAACTGTATTCAACTGCAAATACAAAATCAAAAAGAAAAGAAATAACAATTGCTGACCATGCACCACGGTCTTTCATTATATCAAATGGAAATATAGGATCCCTAGCTCCATAAATTTCCCAAACAACGAATCCTGGTATTAATGCACCCCCAAAACATAATGGAATTATAATATGAGCTTTAGCCCATTGTGAACCACTGGTTCCATTGGCTAATGTTAATGGAGCTAATAAACAACCTAAGCAAACAACCAAAAGTATCAAACCAATTAAATCTAATCTCCAAAACAAATATTTCGTAAAGCCCCAAATACCCAATTCTTGAAACTTGGTCTTTCTTTGTTTAAATAATTTCCACTCTTCAGTTTTACCAGCTAACCATCTCATATGAATCAAACAAAGAAAAAGTGGAATAGACGCTAATGGTATGATAAAAGCCCACATCGATATTCCCCATTTCCAATTAAGTCCTACTTCATTAATAACAGTACCAGAAATCCAAGTATTGACTATGAAACCAAATGAAGGAGCCAAAGTGAAGAACATCCTCCATCTTAATGATGAAAAATCTGACATAATAAGTAAAACAACCATCAATAAACTACTAAATCCAATACTGTATAAAACATTTCCTGCAACATAAGCATGAATATTAGGGGACTGACCTTCAATAATGGTACCTACAACATAAAACAAAATTGATACAACTAATAACTCCATACGACCTATTATATCTGATAAACGGGAAACCACTGGATTGGTAGCAGCTGCTGAAATTCCTGTTATACAGTTTAGAGTTGTAATCAACAGGTGTTTCAGCCAACTAGATGAAGCAAAGGAGGAATACATGTAACGAGTTTGAGAATCCAATCCCCAAGCCCAGCCGATTGTGATTCCTGATAATCCTAGGATCACTTTATACCAAAAACTGTGTTTCCATTGATTTGCCAAAATTTCTGCCTTTTCTACACCAATGGATTTTTCAGCAGTAATAGCTTTCTCAAAAACATCGGATGAGTCGTCAGTAGATTTGTGATCGAAATATTGATCTTGACTATGCTTTTCTCCTTCAGTTGATTTACCAGTAGCTGAAAATTGGTCATAAACTTGATTAGCATTTTGATTCAAATTACCAACTTGACCTAAACTCTCATCATCAGCAGGAGCATGTTTTGAATTATCAGAATTCATTGAAACTTGACCACTTACTTTTAATTTAATGAAATTAAAAAATTCAGGGAGCTAGTTGATTAAATAGATAAGAAATGTTGAAAATCTTTTCTCATCTCCATATAAAAATGTCTCCCTTAAAAAGAAATTCATAAAAATCTACATTAGTTACATTTACGGCGATCCAAAAGTTAGTAATATGCATTATGTTCCAGATGACATTGATAATTTAACGGAAGAATTAAATTATCCATATTATAAAATTTCTTGTTCCAGGATTTGTGCCAAGATTTATTTTAGATCTCGCATGAAACAAACAGCTAGGCGACATTTTTTATCAGATGAAAATTTTTTCCATACATATTGGGGTAATTAAATTATATGCTCAATTTTTAAGCATACCACGACATTCGTATAGTTACACAGATCAAGTCCACTGATGTTAGCGTTTAAGTTCCCTTGTTGCAGCTAAGAAATATAATTCGAAAAGTAATTGGTTAAATTATGGAGAACGGAAATGTAAAATAGCAACAGATTTGCAAAAAGAAAGAAACTATACAACTTATGATTGGTGAATAACAGTCTCGGGGTCAGTTCATACATTGCAGTTGATTTTGAGGAATAGCGGCATCCATGTTATTAAATTCTCAAGTCAATTTAAACTTTTATCTTCTAATTTTTATCAAAAAATTATTGAAATTTCAAAATTTTCACAATTTCCCTTGGTGTCCTTATTTGGCCCACTTGAGTTTTCTCGAGTCGTTTCGCATTTACCCGTCAACACAAAGAATGGTACCATTCATACGACACACGGGTGGGAAATTCGGTGATACTCTCCATTCAATTTACATGCTCTTGAGAGCTTTACCTTAACGTGAAAACGGTTGGACGATGTTACAAGAAATTTAACAAACTTTCAGAGTAAAATTTGAAATTTTGTATGGGAATGGCATCGCGAATGGTTGGCTCTTGGTACGAATCAAGAAGCTGTTTAGTGCAATATTGCGAACTAGAAATAGCACCCGATACCGATCATCGACTTGAGTAAACGTTTTTTTTTTTTTTTTTTTTTTTCATCAACAAAAATATATGATTTTTGCCAGTATACGAAGAATTTTCCAATCATTTCGTACTGAAGAAGAAGAAAGATTGTATTCAAGAGCAGCTTTTTTCAACTTATTAGGTTTTTTAGGTAGTTGTGTTTTATTTTCATTTGTTGCTCAACGATTATCTAGACATCCACGTGAATTGGCTCATATTGCAAGAGCAGATGCATTAATTAAAGCTATTAAATTATAAATATATTAATTCTTTATTAATAACTCCTTAAACATTTCATAAGCAGTCCATGAAATTGCAGTACTAGGTACATTAAATATTATTCTTGGTTTTAAACCTCTAAGAAAAGCTTTTGTTTTACCTTGTTTATATAATGCTTGAGCAGCTGATTTAAAACCAGTTATATTTCTTAATGATGGATCTTTTGTTATACCTTTTGTTTGCAATGCAGTTTTTATACAATCTAAAGGAGTTGTTAATGCAGCAGCTATACCACCAGCTATACCACCACTTACACAATGTAAATACGGATTATAACTATTAGACGGATTCAACATTAATGAACAATATTCATAAAAACCAAAATTTAAAGCAGCAAAAGGTATATTTGTAAATAGTGTAGTTGGATATGATATATAAAATGCTGATAAACCTTCTTTTTTATATATGTTTGTTGCAAATTTAATCAATGAACTTGTAGTATTCTTTTCTGCAGCATTTGCTTGCATTCTTTGTTTAATTGTATCAAATGGAGTCATTAAAGCATCCGAAGCAGTTGTTGCAGCTATCCCTGCACAACTAGCTATAATTGGATGATTCTCATCGGTAACAATTTTATTTGAATTTGGTGAATTTGTTAATTTATTTACTAAAAATGTTTTTGAAGATTCAAAAACTGAAAAATATATAGCATGAGCTGGTCCAGCACCCAAAACAACTGATGAAACGCCTTTCCATAATGCATAGAAACCTTCAGTAGATGAAATTTTCGATATTGATTTTAATAATCCCCTTGATATTTCTTTTGATGATAAATTCATTTGAATTCTTGTTTTAATTGAATCTATTGGAAACATTACGGTATGTTCCATTATACCTGCTAAAGCACCAGCACATAGATGAGCAGATAATGACGCATCTTCTGGCAATGCTTCATAGTCTATTTCTAATGAATCTTTAGGTAAAAACTGTATCTGATGCTGCTCCATTTTTTAAATGTTCATGGATATATTAATATTTCACTAGCCAATTTTTTTTTTTTTTGTTCGTTGCCTTGATCGGTAAAGATTTGAAAAATTTACACGGCTAGGTACAAAATGGAACATTATTTCATACACCAGTTAAAGGTTTTATGATAATTTATCAACTGAATAAGCTAAATGAAAAGATGTTAAAAATTGATCAAATTGGGCAATTATATCTTGTTAAGTTTCATTTTGGACTGGGAGGGGTCATTATAAAATCAAAAGAATTTGTTAAACTTACATTAGTCATTAGAATAACTATAATTTAAGATATCATTATTGCCTAATAGTGTCCTAAGCTCCCATTTACTACTTTAAAATATGAAAATATGATTAGTTACCTATTTTAAGAATTAGTTTGAATAATTTAAATTTCAATGTATCCTTTTGATAAGTCATTTGAAGAAATATAAATTACAAGGCTATGATGCTCGATTGGCAGCATATTATTTATCTCTTTTAATTACTACACACTACCAGATTATTTTGATTGGTTTTACTAAACTTTTAAGGGGTCATAATATACAATAGTTGAGACCGAGGTTCAAAATTCAGTGTCAAGCTTTGTCAGTTTATTTGAATTTTATTTCCACAAACTCATTATATGCGTGAAACATTTGATGGTCGCTTTTGATCATTCAACAACATTGAAACCACATTTTGCTTAATACTTGTTTCATATCGATATACTAAACTCATAATTTCAGTATAGTCATCATGTTCTGAACAGCATCAGCATGGTACCTTTAGCAGTAATACGAAAAAAACTTTTAAACTCCAGCTTCTTTGCCACTCTTCTAGCTTTCTGATAATATTGTCCATTTTCGTACATTCTTTTCCACTTGTTTACACCATTCTCGAAACTTATATTTTAGACTTTGGTCACCTTTGACTAGGGCTTCTGTATAATCAAATTAGAGTTAAAGACTTAGCTGGTATTAAAATAGCTCAAAAAAAGTTCTTCAAAGTCTAGAATTTCTTATTTTTACTGTCCGCCGCGTACAATTCAATGCGTCTAAGTACTTATAAAATTTGGACTCAGCTAAGTTTTCTAATTCGAACGGTACCAAATTTGACCTTTTTTTGTCTAACTCATCTTTTTGGTGCTAATTATAATGTGGGCTTTTTTTATGTTTTTTTATGTTTTTTTATGTTTTTTTATGATTCTTGGTATAGATTTTTTTTGCTGCAAAATTAAATGCCGCACGGCTGCAAAATACAAATCGCGCTCACATGCGCTATTTTTGCAACATTAATTTTGCTTACTCCTAAGAATTAGAATCCTTCTATTGTTATGTTAAAAGGTTGAAGCAAATACCAACACTATGACTACTTTTGAAAGCTCAGTAGAGAAGATTGGTATGTTTGTTATCTCCTTGTTTGCAATTATTAAAATTTTAGCGAAAAAAATCCAAAAAATACGAAAATTTCAAAAGATTATTTATCGACTTGTGATTGTCAAACAACAGTCTATAATAATCTACAATCTTAATAGTATGTTTTAAAAGTTTATATATATATATTGCGTATATACAACTTCTACAAACAAAATTTTAAGCCATATGTAAATGCAACTAAGCCGAAGATATATTCTTAGCTTTACTAGCCTTCATAGTATCACTGTATCAGCATTAAACCCTTAATCTTCAAAAATAGACTCATCAGAACTGTACATTGCCTTGTTCTGGAATCAAACTTTTAACTTTTCCTGTTTTCAAACAAGATATAACATTATCTATTGTCCACTCTTGCATCTCTTTGACAGCTTCATAAGTATGAGTTCCCATATGTGGTAAACTAACAACCTGAGGTAATTCTAATAGTTCTGGAGAAATTTTTGGTTCATTTTCAAAAACATCAGCACCAAATGATTTAATTTTACCAGATTTGATTAATTCAGGAAGTATTTTTTCATCAATAACTGCACCTCTTGATGTATTAACAATGATTATACCATCTTTCATTTTTAAAATTTCTTCTTTATTGATTGAATGTCTTGTCTTTTCATTTAATGGTACACTAATACAAATAACATCAGATTGATATAATTCTTCTTTTGAAACATATTTAGCTCCATTTTCTAATTCTGGTTTTAATTGAGATCTATTATGGTAAACGATATTGAACCCAAATGGTTTCAATCTATCTCTAATAGCTCTACCAATACCACCCATACCTAAAATTCCAACTGTTTTACCTTCTGGTGAATTACCGAATTCAACTCCAGCTGCTTTACCATCTCTTTCCCAATTTTTAATGTTAGAATGGCCATGTTGATAATTTCTTAAACAAGATAATACTAAATAAACTGCTGTACAAGCAGTAGGAGCTTCAACTGGTTCAGTAACATTTGAAACTTGAATTTTTCGATCAGTTAAACCTTTTATATCCTTTATTTGATCAAAACCTGCTCCATTATGACTAATTGATTTTAATGCTTGTGGTAAATGCTTGACTATTTCCTGATCAAATAAACCAGTTTGAGTAACACTTTCATATGTTCTAGCAATGTGGGTAATGTCATTGTACTTATCATGAAGATCCTTTATAAATTCTTCTCTATCTTTGGATTCACATTCAATTACTTGTGCTAATTTTGAAAGTTCTTCACATTTTTCATTGGCGGATCCAAAGTCGCCTAGTTTTAATACTTTAGCCATTTTTTGCGACGTAGAAAAAAAACAATTTTATACGGGAACCACAGGGAATTCGCCTCTATTTAAATTAAATTGAAATGTGGGGGATATATTTTGGGGGAGAATGGAGGAACACTTTTATTTATTAAAATATTCTAAAACCAATTTATGATCCCTTTCAAACCAATTATGGTTGATTTTTATCTTATCCAATGCTTGATTTAAACTTCTATCAAACCCATGAATATCTCTAGTTTTGAAAAAATCATTAATTTTATTGAATTTATCAATACTTGAAAAATTCTTCAACGTTAATTTAATAAATCTATCAAAAACAACCATATTTGTTGACATGACTTTATGGAAACTATCATAATTATCAAGGAAAAAGTCTAAAAATGCATTCTTTGTAACTGGATTCTTTGATAAATTTAATCCCAAGAAATGTGAATCCATGATTGGGATAATTTCTGGATCTAACAACATTTTAAATAACTCATTACCAAATTCAACATTTGAAACACAACCTAAGGCATTCAATGCAATTTCTCTTGAATCTATAGTAGATGGAGATGTAACTTCTTTTAATATTTTTTCAAATTGTTCATTATTGAAATTTTTTGAAGATGCAATTGTTGAATAAACAAATGCTCTTAATGACGGTTGGATTTCGGAGTTAAATAATTCCAATGCATATTCATAAACTGGTTCAACTGATAAAGTACCTGCTTTTGTTAAAATTTCTGATCTTAATTTAGTTTTAAGGAAATTTGAAGTATCAACTCCTTGTTTTAACTCTTCAATTAATTCAACTGATTTTGATTCATAAACAGATCTAATAAAGTCTCTAATTTGTGGTATTCCTTCTCCAAATGCAATTGATAAATCCTCTAATCTTGAACCCAATTCAGCCCAAACAACATAGTCGTCATTCAATTTGTGTACAATATCTTGAACTAATTTTAAAAATGTATCAGTTGAATTATCTCCAGCACATGCAATTGATGCTGAGTCAGCTATTAAACCAATCAAATCAGATGCTGATAATCTTTCAAAATTTGATAATATATTTTCAAGTAAATCGTCTGAATAATTAACACGATAAAAACCAGATGTATCTTTGTTTAATTTAATATAACCTTCGAAATCGTCAATCACTAATGTTTCACTATCAAATGAATCAACAATTGGTTTATCGGAATCAGCATTTAATGGAATCCACCATTTGGTTTCATTTTCTTCCGGAGTAGCATCACCACCATTTAAGAATCTTGATTGACTAAGTACTAAGGATTTTTTATTCGTGGTATCATCGACAATCGTTCTAACATTAACAATTGGAAATCCAACTTTCTTAATCCATGAATACATCAATTGATCAACTGGTTTACCAGAAACATCACCAATAGCATTCCATAAATCATGAGTTGTAGCATTTGAGTATTGATGTTCTTTTAAATATTTTGCAACGCCTCTCAAAAATGTTTCTTCACCTATATATTTTGAAAGCATTGAAATTACAGAAGCACCTTTCAAGTAACTAATGGCATCAAAAATCAGATCAATATCTAACGCATCAACAACTGGAACTTCGATCGGGTGCGAGTTTCTTAATCCATCTAAATTTAAGGCTTGACCAAAAAATTCAAAAACAAATGAGGTGAAGTTTTCCCACTCAGGTTTTAAATATTCCAAAGCATAGACACCAATCCAAGTAGCAAACCCTTCATTTAGCCACAATTCGCTCCACCATTGCATAGTCACATAATCGCCAAAAAATTGGTGGCCTATCTCATGAGAAATTACATATGCGACCTTTTTCATAAATGATGGATCAGATTTTGATTCTGAGTACAATAATGCAGATGCTCTGAACGTTATTGCGCCAAAACCCTCCATAGCGTTGTTGGGGAATCTTGAAATTTCTATCAAATCGAGTTTAGGTAAGGGGTACTTGACTTCAAAAATTTTTGAAAAAAGATCAACAACTTTTGGTGCAATCTCACTAGCAAACTCTGCATCCTTAATATGATCTTTTGTAGCATAAACTCTAATCGGTAATGGTTTACCATTGATATAGTTATTTTCTGTGAATGATTCAATGTATTCAAATTCACCGCAAACCCACACTAACAAATATGTTGACATAATTGGAGTTTTTTCAAAGTATTTGGTGTCTCCTTTGACTGATTCAACAGGCATATTACCCAAGACTGTCCCTTCACGTGTAACATCGAGTTTGAAAGTTGCCTTTAGTGCTGGTTCATCTAAACAAGGGAAAGCTCTTCTTGCATCAGTAGCTTCAAATTGAGTTGCCAACATGTATTTGGTAGCGCCATCTTCTAAATAACTTGATTTAAAAAAACCCGCCATATTACTTTGAAGTATAGCATCATATTCAATTGAAGCAAATAATTTACCTTGGGCCACGGTAGCAAATTTGACTATAAAATACTCTTTAGCTCTATTTTCTTCAATTGAATCAACTTTAATATCATTAGAAACTTCTTCTTTTCCATCCTGACCATCTTTAATTTCAACTTTTGAAATTTTCAAATCTCTATAATTTAACCATAATTCACCGGTAGGTTTAACAACATCTAATTCAATGGTAACCTTACCTTTGAAAGTATCATCATTTAAATTTATATCAAAAATTGATAAATCATAATGAATTGGTTTCAAATTGGTCGGCAATGCTTCGTAATAAGGTTCAGTCATGGAGTAAAAATTTTCGTACGCCGGCTTTCGAAGGAATTACAGCGCGAAAACGTCAAAAATTTGACATATTTAATTAAACTATGACAAGAATTCCGCCAGAAACCACATTTTATTTACAGACAGGACACAAGTCTGTATTAGCAGTTCTCATCATATATATAGTTCTTGTAATTTCTTCAAAGCGTTTCACTTTATACCAATACTTATGCATTATAGAAATATATAAATAATTTTATTCGTGTAAATTTGCAATTCCATGTTAAACCCTGGGCGATAAAAAATTAATCCATAATCTAAAAATAGTTTCTTGTTTCCTTAATCATGAACTTATTAATACTATTTATTATTGGTTTAGCAGCCGCTTTTAAAGATGCTCCAACTATATTAAGTGCAAAACAAGGTGTGATATGCTCTCCAATTCACCAATCTAAAGAAAAAGCTTTTATTGAATTGAAAGATGATAATAATAAAATTCCAACATTGATTTTTAAATATATTGACTTGGTCAATTTTACAAATATTCCAATTATTGAAGAATTTCATCAATTATATCCAAATGAAAAACCAACATTGTATAAAAATATGATTAAAGATGGTAAATTTAATGTCGACGCAGCTGAAGGTTATAAAGTTGATGATGGCAAATTTTACAATGGTGATTCAACTGTTAAATTTACAGTACCTGATTCAGGTATTTATTGTATTTATATTGCTCCCGATAAAGATAAAGAATTTTCAATTCCAGTTGTTTTCAAAAATTCATATGGAAATTTACCATATAGTTATTATATGATCTATTCGCAATTAAAATGGTTTATTTTAATTAGTATTGCTTTATTTGCATACTTGTTAAACTATATATTAAAATTTAAAGTTGGTGATGATTTTAAGAATTTAGATTCAATTTCAGTTATTTCGAAAGGAATTATATTTTTAATCCTTGCACCAGCAATTTTAGTATCCATTGTACAATGGATTAATTTCTTTTTGAAAAATTGGTTTGTTGAATCTTGTTCTCAGAGTTTCTTTATGGATTTGCTAAGTTTTTTAACTGAATTGGTTAATCATTGTTTTAATGCTTATACTTCATTTATTGTTTTACTATTTTCAATGGGATATGGTGTAATTTATTACCATAATGGCAACTCTCACCATTATAGAATGTTTCCACAAAAATCATTAAATAGAGTAGCATCATTATTATTTTTGAATATCTTGGTGATGTTTTTATATTCAATTGCAATCAGTTTACAAAATAATAAACCATATGTGGTTGGTATTTACAATTCTCCACAACAAACTACAAATCAACCAGGTCCATTAGCTTTGATCTTAGCTGGTTTAAATTCATTATTTGCGATTATCTGGTTTGTTTTAACAATTGTATTTTACTTCAAAACTAAAAAAACAATTGCAAAATTCCCACCTGCTCCAAACGAAGAAAATACTGAAAAAGTGGGCAAAGCATTTAAAAGATCTATACTTGCATTATTTGTATTACCATTTGTGGTATTCCTCGTTGGTGGTATAATCTTGGGAGTTTTAATGACTAATCAGTTAAAAGATATTCCTGAGTACCCATCAAATACTGAGCGTGAATTGCTTTATCAAAGTGTTCTTGAATTTATGTTATTGGAGAAATTTATGAATAAATTAATCTTACCTTCAATTTGGTCAGCTTGGTTATATTTTATTTTACTAGTTGGATCAATATTCTTTATCTGGATTAAAGATAATAATGGATTGATAATCGACCGTAATGCAAATGATCCAATTGAGTATGCAGAAGTTGATAATAACTTTGAGATTAGTGATGAAGAGTAAACACGTATATTAAACTATATATCTTATTTAGTACCTTTTTTTATGAAATTTCTTGTGATATGTTGGTTTAAATTTCCCTTTATTATTTCTAAAACCATCTTTCAACTGATTATTAACTAAACCTAATTCTCTAGCCAATGAAGTACCTAATTCAACACCAAATTTTTCAACTCTAATTAAATCTTTTTTAGCTTGGTTTACAGCTTCTTCATCATTAAATTTTTCAGCTCTTTGAATTTTTTTATTTAATAATTCAATAGCCAAAGTTTTTCTTTCTTCTGGTGTTAATTTCTTTGGCTCCTCCTTTGGCTCTTCTTTAGTTTCTTCTTTTGGTTGTGGTTGAATTACAGTTAATGTTGATTCTTGTTCTGGTTTAGATTGTTCGTTTTCTGGTTCCTCAGTTTTTGGATCCTCTTTTATTTCTTCTTGTACTGGTTGTTCTTGCTCATTTAATCTTGCTACTAAATCAGCTTTTTTTCCTTCTGTAGATAATCCTTTTGATTTTAATATATCTTTTAATTGAGCTACTGTCTGTGTTGAATAATCCATTTTATTTGTATGTTGATGTGTTTTGGTTGTTCACGAAAAAAATAAATTAAATTAATCAACAAAATTGATGAAGAATGAAAATTATATTCAACTGCTTATGGAAGAGATTTTCTCTGAATTTATAAGGAAATGGTCGCTGATTTGATATATGAGTCGAAATTGACGCGTAAGAGTGGTAATGTGAAAACTTTTGCAACCAACTTTAAGTAAAATTAGCCCCGGGAAGAATTTAAAATTAACAAATACGTATTATTCACTCTAAATAGCTGGAATCAACTCTTTCCAATGTTCAATAAGCAATATAAACTCTGTCCAATGTTCAATAAGCAATATAAACTCTGACACTTAGAATAGTGCTACTCATTTCGGCTCATGGATTTGACATCTTCATTTTGCAGTCAAATCCAACATTGCAACTTGAAACATTATATTAGTTGTCTTTAATATTCCTTAGAGCACTTTCTCTCATTTCACCCTATCACAGTCCTTGAACTCAGTTGAGACAAAAAGAGCCAAAAATTAAGCTATGAGATCAACTGAACAATTCTCAAACTTCTGAAAATGCACTTTCAACCTACGATCCTATTTGGCTTGAAAATACCCGTGAGACTCCCAATTAAACAATCTTACTCTTAGCTAGTTTCTGTAGCTCTAACCAAACTGTAGATGCTTTATTGTAGAACTCGAGCTTGATTTGCAATCCCCCCAATTGCCAAAGCAAATATTTGATTTATGAACCAATTTCAAAACATGCAAACTTGTACCTTATCAACCTAACCCATTAAGCAATCATAGCACAATCTTAAAGTTCAATATTAACAATATTATTAAAACTGCAAAATTAATCGCAATTAATAAAAGTATCGAAATCCTCATGACTGGAAATTCATCTTTCATCAACTTATACTGCACTTGATAAAACCTAAAACAGCCAAAACTAATACATATCAATCCCAAGAATGTAATTAAAACAACTATAGGTTTGCATAACCTAATTACATCATTTATACTAGTTGTCATTTTTTGTTCAATTCTTAAATATTGTAGAAAACCAACACCAAAAGTTAAAAAAACAGTTGAAGTACGTATCCAAGCCAATAACGTTCTTTCGTTAGCCATATGATCTCTAGCTACCGATCCTTCATTTTTTAAATTGATTTGAAATTTAAGAAAAGACATGGAAAGTATGAAAAATTCTCGATGCACGTTTTAACAAAATACAAAAGGTTACATAATATTACTACATATCTATATCATCATCTTCATTATTTGTAAACATTAAAGTTTCTCCATTATCTATCTTTTGCCAGATTCCAATATGATCATATTCCATTATACAATCATCAAATTGTTGTAATGTAAAACCTTTTGATAAAACTCTTTCTTTCAACATATCTAAATTTAAATTTGGGATGAAATTTGTTGAATTACCATCACCTCTTGCAATACCTCTAATAATATGATAAATTTGTGTAGTTGCTGAATCATCTTCTATTTGTTTATCTTGATCAAAATAAAGACTATTTTTAGAAACATTAATCAATCTTAAAGCTTCATCCACATCTTCAAATCTAACAACTTGATCAAACCTTAATCTTGCCATTGCTTGAGATAAACGTAATATTGATAATAATGTTCTTGGGGTTATATGTGAAAATTTCTTGATACTTCCTTCATTTCTAGCTGATTCTTTTCTCATATTAATATATGATGATACAACATAATCACCAATTTCTTTGGGTACAATTGGTCTGTATTCTCTTGCTTTTGAAATATATTCTCTAATTGTATTGGAACCAATTGCTTCAAAATCCATTTCTGGTTGAGCATTATTCATATGAACATAAGCAACATGACTTGCTAATTTTTCATCAATTTCTCTATTTGGAGTATCTAAAATTAAAAACATAATATCAAATCTTGAAAGTAATGCTGCTGGTAAATTAATATTTTCATGTGGTGATAATTTTGGATTATATCTTCCATATAAAGGATTTGCAGCTGCTAATATTGAAGTTCTAGCATTTAATGTAGTTGTTATACCTGCTTTTGAAATTGAAATAGTTTGTTGTTCCATAACTTCATGAATTGCAGTTCTATCACCTTCTTCCATTTTATCAAATTCATCAATACAACAAATACCATTATCAGCTAATACTAAAGCACCACCTTCTAATATCATTTCATCAGTAACTGGATCTCTCATAACTGCAGCAGTTAAACCAACTCCAGAAGAACCTCTACCAGTAGTATATACAGATCTTGGTGCAATCTTATTTATAGCTTTTAATAATTGAGATTTAGCCACCCCTGGATCACCCATAAGACAAACATTAATATCACCTCTAATTTTTAAACCATCTCCAATTTCTTTAGTAACACCACCACATAATAATAATAAAAGGATTTTTTTAATATCTAAATGTCCAAAAATTTCTGGAGCTATTGATTTTGCCAATTTATTATATACATCACCAGATTCAACTAATTCTTTAATTTTAACTTGTGCTTCATTATTTAATCTCATTAAATCATATTGTTTTTTACATTGATTTACATATTGTGCTTCTAAATATATTTCAGTTAATAACCCAGCTTTTAAAGCTTTAAATCCAGTATAAGGAGAAGGCATAAAAATCCCACTTACATCAACTAAATCTCCAGGATTCATTGATCTAACTAAATGATTACCATTTACATGAATAGTCAAATTTCTTGGAATATGACCAATTGGTACTTGATTTGATAATTCTTGTAATTTAACTTCTTGAAAACTTGAAAATTTTGAAGCACGAGTTGACATGAATAATTTATTTTTATTTTGATTGTTTAAACATTGGGGTGAAGTACAGTCAGTCAAAGGTGTGAAAAATTTTGAATTTACTTCTTGAAAAATTTCAAACCCACAAGCATCACAAGTATATCCAATAACTAAAACAGAAGGTTTAACATCTGAACATCTTGTAACTATACCTTTTACAGTTATTAAACTACCAACATATTTACCTTTAACTTCTCTAACTGAAAAACTTTTACCATTCGATATAGGTTTGAAATATAAATCATATCTTCTTGTAAGTTTGTTTGGAAATAAATTTGGTTCAATTGGATTTGAATTATCTTCTGTATTAGTCATGTCATTTCTTAATTGATCGTATTGCTCATTAGATTCTTGTTGTAATCTTAAATTTTTCAATTTACGTTGTTGTAAAATAACATCTAAAACATCAGATCTTGATTTAATTTCTTTTGATGGAGGTGGAATAATTTCATCAATCACATCAGCAAAAATATCAATATAATGTTTAGTATTTTTAGTTATATTAGATACCACATGTTTAGCCTCATCATATAAATTTTGTTCTGGTGGATTATAATTACGTATAAAGTTAGCTAAATCATCTAATTCAATTAATATGTGGAAAGTTTCTCTATTTGAAATTGATTGAAGGATATTCATATATTTACCGGTATGAATTTGTTCATCTATATCAATTTCAATATCTTCAGAAATATCTTTAAATTCAGTAATGAAAGTTTTTGCTATTGTTTTAATATCAGTATAATTGACCTTAAGTTGAATTGAAGGTAATGCAGATGTAATAGTTGTTGACATATTAACGAATGGATTAAATTAAAAAGATGAAAGTTGGTTGAAAGAACTAGATTTTATTTTACGAAATCTCGTTGTATCTCGCATTGAAAAAAAATGAATACAAAAAAAAAAAAAATTAAAAATAGCCTGCGGCTCAGATCCGAAACAGAAAGATTAAACCCAAATAGGCAATAATTAAAGTTCTAACGGTACAACTTTATTCCAACGCGTTTTCGTGGTTTAACAAAGTATAAAACATTGTAATTGCAATGCTACAACTCTTGTAATTGTAATGTTGCAATAAATTGATTAATTATCAATTGTCGTGTAATTATTTTTTAAGACGCGTAAATTTTGAATTTATCCAAATTAGGAAATCTAATTGAATTATGATAAATGGCAAATCTTGTAACTGAAATTTTGCATCAAAATACTCTATAATGTTAACCAATTTACGAAATGTTCTAAATTCATATGTTTCATAACGCGTCTGGTAAGGCGTAATTTAAAAAGGAGCTTTAGGGGGTAGAAATTAAATCTATAAACTCAACGCGGTAATCATGTTACACGTTGTTTCAATATTTAGAAATTAAAAAATGATAAAGACTATAATCTCATATTAAAACCTATACACTCAAGAACAAATCTAATTAATTATATGAAATAAATAAAAAAATAACCCTAACCTAAAATCAAAAATACCATACTAATAATACCGACAAATCAAATACGATAAATAAAACCTTTTAGTAAATTACAAAAGAAACAATTTCAAATTGTCTTATACCGACATTAAATTAACTAAAGCAAAAGCTGCAGATTTTTCTTCATCTTCATCCATATCATCTTCTTCTTTTGGATGTGGAATATTAACACCTTCAGTATTACTTCTTTGAATGACTCTTCTATTTTGTAATTGTTGTGGACCCATACTTTCCCAATCTTCTTCATCAGTTTCTTCGTTATTATTCTGATTATTAACACTATTTCTTAAACTATTGATCAATGTACTCCTAACATGACTTTCATTAAATGAAGACTTTCTTCTATTTTTATTATGTGGTTCTTCATTTGTATATGAACCAATGGGAGAAGTAGTTGAACTTGGAGGTGTTGTTTTTATATAATTATTAAAACCAATTGGAGGTGGTGGTGATTGTATTGAACCATTTGATGAGTTCTTATTTGATGAAATTATATAATTATCTAAATTATAATTTTCCATTGAATTTAATCTTGATCTTATAGTATTAGTATTATTATTATAATTATTATGATGAGATCTTTTATGAATTGATGAAGTTGATGATTTTCTATGATTTGATAATTTTCGTTCATTAGAAGGTAATGGAACTCTTTTTGCAAATTGTTGAGGTGGCGGAGATTTAAATTTTGAAATATTTTCATCAAATGTAAACATTTCTTCATCAGAAGAAGAAATATGAGCATGATTTGGAATATTTAATCCATCATCAGAATCAGATTCACTTTCAATTTCTTCATCATCGTCATCATCATCATCATCATCGTCTGAGAAAATAGCTTCTTCATCATGTGGTAATTTTAAATCGTGTAAATTTGATTTATGATTTGTAATTGAATCTCTTCTATCTATCGGGTTTTTATCTTTTTTCTTTTTACTCCAACCTAATTTTATATTCAGTTGATTTCTTAAATCATTTATATTAATTTTTTTCTCTTCTTCTGACATAACTTCTGGATTTATAGTTTCCAAACCTTGAGTTATTATATAATCCGAATCAATTTTTCGAACCGCCCATTGTCCCCAACCAATTTTTTCAAATATTACATTATTAACTGAATCTTGCATTTCCATAGCAGCCATAATTAATCTTCTTTGTTTTGATAAACTTAATAAATTAAAACCTGAAACTTCTTGTGATAAATAATTTGTAATATATCTAATTGGTAAAGGACCTTTTTTAATTAATAAGTTAGCAATTCTAGTACTTGTAATTTGACTTGCAATTTGTAAACCTTCAGGAGAAGAAGTTGATAAGATACTTTTCTTAACGCCCCCAGGGCCATGTTGATTATTGATTTCTGGAGTATTTTTAGTTGAAGGTTGTAAAGGTGGGGATATTTGTTGGTGTAAAATAGGTTGTTGCGTGTTATTTGATAAATGATTTTGTTTTTGTTTTTGTTTTTGTTGTGGTTGTTGTTGTTGTGGTTGTTGTTGTTGTTGTTGTTGTTGTTGTTTTTGTTGTGGTTGTTGTTGTTGTTGTTTTTGTTGTTGTTGTGGTGGTTGTTGTTGTTGTTGTTGTTGTTGTTGTTGCGATATAGTATATGTATATGAGTCACTATTGGTGTTGTTAGGTGGTTGTGAAATTGGTGGATGATTAATAAGATTATTAATACTAGATTTATTCATCTAGTTAAATGATAATTATTAAAATACTCAAATATTACGTGGTAATTTATAATTTATTATTGTTTTTGTTATTTGGTTGTAAATATAATATAAATTGAAAAATTGAAAAATATGAAAAATATAAATTTGTTATTATAATTTATTTATATAAACTATGTCGTGTATAATTGATAACACAAAAAGTATAAATTATGGTGGGGATTGAAATGGGAAATATTATTGTTAATATTAATAATTATCACAGGTACACTACTTTCACTTTTATTATATAACCACACTTTGATTCAATTTAAATGAGTAATATATTAAGTAATGAATGATTAATAATATCTTACTTAATTTGATTACTACTTAATTTGATTAATATTTAATATGATTAATAAGATCTTACTTAATTTGATTAATACTTAATATGATTAATGATTCTAACTATAATAATAATAATAATAATAATTATAGTAATAATAATAATAATAGTAATAATATATTTATAGCTGGTAATTTAAACAACACGTAATTTACTTTTAATTGAAAGTTCAAAACCTTTTTATAAAACTTTATTGAAAACTAAAATAATACTAAGATATTTAGTTTATAACGTTCTAATTGGTTTATTAATATTTTTATTTGATCCTTATTCAATTGCTGCAAATTTATATTAAAGTAGGATGATATTATGATGATACTATGATGATATTATGATGATATTATGGTTTAATTTAATTGATATTATTGTTTGTTTCTTGTGAACTTGGTAGTGCTTTTACAATACAATATACAATACAATATACAATATACAATATACAATATACAATATACAATATACAATATACAATATTTCACAAGAATTTTGAAATATTTTCGAGGAAATTTAAGTAAAATTTAATCAATTGAAGATAATTATTAATTAATTAATCAATTAATGGAATCTATAATACTATATATAATAAGCGAATTATATATTACATTTATCAAGATTTTTATATTTTTCAAATTATCTATTTAATAGTTTGTATCATGAAATCATTGTTTTAGATCGATTAAATAGTAAACATCATGAGTATATGACTTTATAAAGTTTCAGTTTTATATCGTTGTTAATTTGACCAATTTGATTTATTATTATTGTGTTGGGTTTGCAGCAATTTCCAATTTTCTAATTTCCAATTTTACTGATTTCCAATTTTTTAATTTTCTTCTTTCATAATAAAACTTTAAAACTTTAAATTTTAAATATTGAATTTTAAATTTTAAATTTTTTGCATGACGCTTAATGATCATGGTATCACCAGGAGGGGGGGGGCCATACCTCAAGGCGATAGATAAATTATAATCGCCCCAACTTGTGGCCAAATATTATTATATTCCGCGGCCTAATTTTATCTATATTATACATGACGACACGCACGCATGAACTGTATATATATATATATAACAAACAGATCTAAGTGGAAAAAAAAAAAAAAAAAAAATTAATTGAAATTTAATGATCAAATTTACAATTAAAGGGGCTTTTTTATGACAACCAATTATTTAATAAATACCAAGAAAGATGAAAGATGAAACTTTGACTCGACAACTTAGTGACTCAACTATTAAAACATTAAATGACTCTTTGAATTTTTATAATCAATTACCTTTGAAATTTATAATTATTTTTAATTGGGACTTAAAACATTGTATTGGATCGGTCAGTTTTGATGATGATGATGATGATGATGTTGATGATGATGTTGATAATAATAATAATAATAATAAGTATAATCAACCTTTAACTTTTGAATTTTGCAATAATATAAAATCAAGAATTAATGTTGAAGAGTCGCTGAATAGAATTGTATTTTATAAGAATGAGGATAACGATGGTTTCAGTGAATTAATTGGTCATTTTAATTACGATTTTGTTATAATTTATGGTCTATAGTTAGTTGTTCATTTGATAAATACAAAAAATCAAAGTGGTATTTTCCATTTGTGCTCAGGCAAAAAAAAAGATTGAGCTTTTGAGAATTAATAGGCCTTTTGAGAATTAATAGGCCTTTTGAGGCCGCCCTCCCCCCCCCCCCCCCAACCCCCAAAAATAAAAATAATAGCTAAAGTTTAAAGATTCAGCCAGACCTTTGCAGTTAGTTTACTCGAGTTTGACAATAAATAGAATAATGACTTTTAATTAATTTTATTAATACATATAAATTCTATATAATAAATCATAGCTCCATATCATGAACACCAAAAGGTTGATGTTGATCATCATCATCATCATTAACATTCATCTCTTCATCTTCATCTTCATCTTCATCACTTGATTCTATAGCATGCTCATTTAAAGCTCCAAGATTAGTACTTGAACCTCCACCAACAATCCCTCCACTAACACTAGACTTCTTTCTTGGCATACCAGTAACAGCATCAATTGGTTGATATTGTTGTATTTCATTTTCCTTATTATCTTCTTCATCTGAACTATCTAAATCTAAATCAATATTATCATCTCCAGTAATTTGACTATAACAATTTATAACATCAGTCATTATTCCATCATAACTAATTTCTCCACTTGGAGGAGATGTAAAAATTAATGGACTAGTTTCATTATTTGATTTCAAAATAATATTATTTTCAATTGTTGGTTTAAATACATTTAATAAATTATTTGCAATATATGTTTCTTGATTATATTGTAATTTATATATAATTTCAAGATTTGGTTCATCTATTTTAACTTTATTAAACATTTTCTCAAATGCAAATTGTAAAATTTTTTGATTAATTTTAACATCTTTATTTGTTGTTGTTGAAAAATACCAAATTGAAGTACCTTTTGAACAAATTTCTGATTGATGATTTTGAATAAGACATTGAATAGTAGTGGTATTATTAATTTCTAAACTAAATGGAGGAAATACCAAAACTGCTGAACTTTCATTATTTTGTATAAATTTATTAGATGACGAATTAACAATAACTGTTAATCTTGATATATAATTTTTTTTAAGATTATGTGTAATTTGATTATATGTAGATTGTAAAAAATGTGGTATTTGACTCGATGAAATAATAACTTTTTCATTAATCTTTATATGTGAACCATCATCAAAATGTCCAATTTTTAATTCTGGATCAAAATCAGCCAATTTTGTATTTAATTTATAAATTCCACCGGCAACTGCTGAAGATCTACAAAATCCTTGTGATAATTCTCCTGGTCCACCATATTTAGAAACCATACAAGGAAATTTTCCATATATATCAAATGATGAAAGAAAACGTTTAATTCTAATTAATGCTTCTTTTGTATTCAAATCTTGTTTAGTACTTAATCCAATTGCATAAACCAATTCATTAATTTGAGGATCTTCTAATTTAAATTCATTTTTCAAAAATTCTTGAATTGGTTTATTTATCCAATTTTTAATTTTTTCTTTATAAGTTTCGTTTGATTCAATTAATACAAATTTTAAAAATTTCATTAGATTTCTCTTTGTCATTAAACTCAAACTTTTATCTATAAAAATATCTTGTTTTGTAGTCGAATTTATCTTTTGTAGAAAATCATCATTTTCAAATACATGAAAATTTGATAAACTTTGAAATTCCAAATATCTATAAACGCGAGATTTAATTAAAAAAGTTAATAAATCAGATTGACAAAACATAATTTTTGGAGTTAAATCAATACCGAAATCTTTAGAATTAAAACCTTGATTATTTCCACCAGGGAATACTTCAAATTTTGCTTCTTGAAAATGAGGTATTTTACCTTGATTAACTTCATTACTCCATTTTTTACTTTGTTCTATAGTTAAAGTACAACTCAGATCTCCATAATAATTATTTTTATCTATATGTAAAACTTGAGATCCTTGCCATGCTAAGATTGATGCTAATATACTTTCTTGTAATCCAGTACCTAAAATTAAAACATCACAATTATCAATTTCCAAATATTGATTTTGAGGTTTTTCTAATCCAGCCAATTGTGGTATAACATTAGGAGTATATGTAGTACTTGGTCTTCGTTCTGCCATACTTTTTCTTCTTTCGGTTCTATTCATGATATAAAAAATTTTAATTAAACTGTGGAACGGTCAAAAAAATTTGATAATTTTCCTAGATGGAATAATGGAGAAACTAAAATGAAATATTGAACTTAAAAAGGAAACTATGATGATGAATTGAAGATTATATATAAATAAATAAATAAATAACTTGATAATAATAATAATAATAATACTAATAAAGAATTAATGGTTTATATGAATTAAAAACTTTTGAATGTAAAAATGTTGATCAAATAAAATTTTTTTTTTTTTTTTTTTTTTTTTTTTTTTTTTTATTTTTTTTTATTTTTTTATTTTTTATTTTTTTTTTTTTTTTTTTTTTTTAAAAATTGTTTAGTGGTAAAACAAAATAAAATACTAAGTACTAATAATAATCATCAACATAAGTTAAATATCATTATATATTATGTATTAAGGGTTATATAAATTGAAGATTGATTGAGTGGGTGAGTGCTACTAACACTTATAATCATACAATTAAATGACTCTTAATCTGAATAACTTGGATATTATCTTTATATACTCTATACTCTGAATAACTTGGATATTATCTTTATATACTCTATACTCTGTCTTATCACTTTCCTATTCTTCTTTTTGTTTCTTTTATGATTTATTACATTGTTATATTCGAATTTGACAGTTTTTCATTTTTTTTGTTTTTTTTTTTTTTTCAAATTTATTTTTTCACAGATCCCTTTTTGCAGCTATTTACTATTTTTCAATTAACATCCGCCAATAATACAATCTGAACGCAGGGCAACAAAATAGAAACACAAGTTTATCCGGAATTCATTGAGTTTGTTCATCAATTAAACTGGCAGTTTATTGTTAAATAAATTGACAATTATTGTAAAATAAAAAATTGAACCCTATTTTGAAAAGTTCACAGCTTATACGGTATTGATGGAGATTTTCTTTGAAGAAAATTTCAATTGCAAATTTTTTCTTCTTGATTCTATCAAAATTTTTCTTTGATTGCTTGTGTTTAAAATTAATTACTCAATTGATAATCTATGAAGTAATTATGAAACGTGGATAAGTTAGAGATTTTGACCACGCGTAATATGAAGCGTGTAAGTGAGTCAATGAAAAATTTTTCATTTTTGATTTTTTTTTTAACCGCCTAAAACGATTGTTGCAAATTTTCTAATTTCGCATTCTAACGTGTAAGATGTATAATTGTAGTCAATTGAATATGGTGATACAACTAACTGTTCATTTGATTCTCTCTAATAAAATCAATTACTACCAGGAACTAGTAACTAACTATTGAACCAAATTTTGTCAGTAAACTCGCAATGCAAAATATCGCGTCATCTGTGAAATCGTCTGTCTACATTAATACGGAGATAACAAAGATATATCGCTTTAACCGTTGTAAAACTAGCCCATGTTATGATTATTTCAAAAGTAGAAACTATATTTTTGAAAAAAATTTCGAAACGGATATTGGGGTTTGTAAACGTTAGATAAAATGTCTGTAGAGCCATATGAATCAGGTTAGATATCTTAGAATTATTTGCAAAGTGAGGTCTAAGTATCAAGTATCTGCCGATTTAACAGATTTTTCAATACTTACATGGAAGAATATCAGAGTTGGTTCTTTAGGAAGAGTTTTAATATCAGAGTTGGTTCTTTAGGAAGAGTTTTAATATCAAAATATTCTGAACTGGATTAAGATGGCAATGAACTTATTTTGGGCGCGATTGCCTGGTAATTGAGATTGAGAGAGTTATTCACCAAGTAAAATCAACTATGATGGGACTGCATATAAGTTGTTTCAGAATTTTTTTTTTTATTTTTATTTTTACTTTTTAATTTTTAATTTTTATTTTTATTTTTATTTTTATTTTTATTTTTATTTTTATTTTTATTTTTATGTTTATTTTTATGTTTATTTTTTTTTTAGACCTAATAAAAAGTATGTAATTTTCGCCCGAATTTAATGCCTTAGTGTTATTTTCCTCGCGCTAGTTATAGGGCGACTCGTACTAAATTTAATGGCCAATATGTCATGAACAACGTATTCTCTGGAAGTAAGTACCAGTCATATGAAATCAGGAGGTGTAAAACGTATACTTTCAATAGCTCAAATTCTACATTTTAAAAATGTTTTTCTTGGGTTGTCATTTTGACATTTTTTCATCATACAAAATTTTTGTCAAAACAGTGAGATCAATGTATGTATTGATTTACAAGCATAACTTCCAAATAAACAACGATTTATGTATATCAGACCTCAAATAAAAGTGACTGATCCATTTCTGGATGATTAGAACTAAAATTCAAAATTTTCGAAATTTTCTTATGTATGAGGAAAATTGAATAAATTGACCTTGACCAAAATCCGACTCCACAACCGAATTCAAGATGAGAGTACAATAAAATTATCAAGATTTGTAGATCCTGTAGGCTAATTAGTGTTGATTTTTTTTGTGTTAAAAAACTCTAAATTGGAATAGTAATATTTCAGAAGTGAATCGAAATATTTGCAAAAATTTTAAACTGAATAGGAATATGGCTCCTTGAATTCATCATACAGATGATTTATGATTTATAGGATTTAATAAACTATATCAGCTAAATTAAAAGTTGATTAAGAATGTTTAAGCTCTGATTATCTCTCAAAATAGAGTTTTTTGCCATATTTTAAATGTAAGATTAAGTCATCAAAATTATATGTATCCAATTCCTTTTATCATCATTTTACTCGTAATGACTGGTGCTTATATGGTGTGACAAAAAAAATTTCTCGCGCTAGCTCTTGGGCGACCCTTCTTACGCATGTTGGCTTATATTGCAAGTACAATGCATGGTCTAGAGATAAATACCAATATAATGAAATCAGAACCTTGAATTATATGCTCCTCATTTCTTTTACTCTAAACATTAATATTCTACATGTCTCCAACTTTAAATTTCAGTTATTTTTATTTCTGAATTGTAGCGTTTCTAGCAATATGGTCACTCGAGTTTCAAATATATCTTCTAAAGAGATTGATGTAATGGCTTGGTCTCTGTTCAAGACAACCTTGGAACCGAAGAGAAACAAGAGATGGTAACTGGCCATTCATTAAAATGACAACTGAATACTATTAGTTACAATATACCTAAAGTAAAACTGTCTTACATCATTTGGTTTCTATGTCTAATCACTTTGATTGTACCTCAGATTTATCATTGTAGTTTTGTTCAATCGAGCTAATTTTATCTATAGTTTCGTACCTTATTATCATAATATTTTTTTTTTTTTTTTTTCTTCATACTTTTGTTTCAGAATTTTTTATAATATTGATATGACTGGTTTAACCAATTCAATTGCTAATTTATCAATTGAAAGTCAACAAGAACAGTCACAATCCCTCAAACCTGAATCTAAAGCATCATTATTATTAGCATGGCAAGTCAAAAATAAACATTGTTTGGTTATTGGTGGTGGAGACGTTGCATTATCAAGAATTTTACATTTAATCAGAGCTAATGCCAAAATTACGATTATAACAGGTTCATCATACATACATCCAGAGATTTCACAATTAAATGAACAAGGTAAAATTTACAAACTATATCAACGAGATTATAAAAATTCAGATCTAACAATGTATGAAAATATAAATAGAAATTTGGATTTAGATTCAATAAATGAATCAAATTATAAATCAATTACTCAATCTGTATTTAATGAAGTTTTTGACATTGTTTGTTGCTGTATTGATGACTATAAATTAAGCGAATTGATTTATTATCAATGTAAATATTTAAGATTACCTGTAAATATAGCTGATAAACCAACATTATGTGATTTTTATTTTGGTTCAATGATTAATCAAGATAATTTACAAATTATGATAAGTACAAATGGAAAATCTCCAAGATTAAGTAGAATGATCAAAGATGAAATTGCAAAAGAATTTGAAAATATAGATTTAAATAAAGCAATTGATAATTTAGGTTTGATAAGAAGTAGATTACGTGAAATGAAATTAATAAATGATGATTTGGTAACCATAGATACTAGAATGACATGGATTAAAACTTTAACTGATTTTTTCACTTTAAAACAATGGAGTGAATTAGATTTAATCCCACCAAGTTCAAAACCTCCTTATGATAATAGATTTAAATACATTGATAATATTATAAATTATTTTCCCGATTATCCACCAAAAGATTATCAAGAGTTTAAAGAGAAAATACTCGAAGAAGATGAATAAATTATATATCTTCATGAATAAATTATATATCTTCATGAATAAATAATTTCTTACCACCTCCGCCAATGTAATCACCAACTATGTGACCATTTCCTCGTAATTGGTATTGGTAACTCATTAATCCATCTAATCCAACTGGTCCTCTTGCATGAATTTTATTTGTTGATATACCAACTTCAGTACCAAATCCATATCTAAAACCATCTGCAAATCTTGTACTTGCATTCCAATAAATACCTGCTGAATCAATTGATTTGAGAAATAATTCAGCTTTTTCTTTATTTTCAGTAATTATACAGTCTGTATGTTTCGATGAGTGTTCATTAATATGTAAAATTGCATCATTTAATGAATCTACCAATTTCACTGATAAGTCTAATGATAAATATTCTTTATCAAAAGAATCTCCTTCGACTTCTTTGTATGATTCCGAAAATTTTAATTCTGGGGTTACGTGTAAGCTAATCTTTGCATTCTCTAATGACTGAAGTAAATCTTGGATTGTTTGTTTTGAAATGTTTTTATTTATTAATAATTGTTCAACTGCATTACAACCAGCTGGATAGTTTGTCTTTGAATCAATTATAATTTTCTTTGCTTTTTCAATATCAAATTCATCGTCAACATAAATTGAACATATACCATCAGCATGACCAAGGACTGGAATTTTTGTATTTTCTTTTATAAATCGAACTAATTCATTTGAGCCTCTTGGAATTACAAGATCAATATACTTATCTTGGTTCAACAATTCATTCACATCTTGTCTTGTTTCTATCAATTTTATTGAATTAGAAGGAACATTCGTTTCCTTGTCCAATATTTGATTAATTATTTGTGATAAAATTTTAAAAGTTTCAATTGATTCCTTACCACCTTTTAAAATTGCACAATTTCCAGATTTAATAGCCAAAGCAGTGATATTAGCAATAACTTCAGGTCTACTTTCAAATATAATTAACAAAACACCGATTGGAGATGAAATTCTAACTAATTCTAATTCTTCGTCTAATTTTCTTCTCATTGAAATTTTACCAATAGGATCTGATAAATTTTTAACGTCTAATATACCTTGCAACATAGAATCAAACTTGCCAGGGTTAGACAAATTTAATCTTTTTATCAATGATGAAGACAATTTTGAATCAATTGCATTCTTTAAATCGATTTCGTTTTGTTTTAAAATTTCTTCTTTGTTAGATTTCAAACCATCATATATCTTTTGCAATGCAGTATTTCTTTGTCCTTCCAGTAAAGTTTTTAATTTTCTAAATGCTGAACTAGCTTCATTTGCAATAATTTCCCCAGACATGATTATTGAAAAATGAAAAATTAATTTTTTTTTTTTTTTTCATGAGTAATATAATTTACGAGTCAATACTGCATATAAGAAGTAAATTCTGAAACGCTATATAAATGTTAATAGTTGAGCTAAAACTGATTACAGCGATTGCAAATCTAAGGCTTTCTATGAGAACATTCTGTTGAAAAAACTACTAACAAATTGATAGCCCATCTTATTAATTGTACTGTTTTTCTGGAACTTCTTTCTTTTGGCTCACAATTTAGACATATTGATATAATAAAGATTCCAACAGCATTTGTACTCTGTATCATGGTTTTAGATCCTTTCTTGAAACTTTCAGAGTCTCATAATTCAGGTTTTTATTTGTTTTTCTTATTGAAAGCTATTTTGATAACTGGTATTACAAATTCACCACCCAAATCAAATATAATGCATATTCTAAATTTACGAAATGAGCTAGGGGTTAGAGAATCCTTGCAAAGGGCAATAACTGAATTGGATGAGAGTTAATTGCTGGTAAAGATTTAAACATGATGACGAGATTTGAATAAGCTACAGCAGTTCAAAAGTTCGAGGTATTTCGAACACATTATCTTGATTGTGGGATCGTTCTCAAGAATTAAATAGCAGAGTAATTTGATCATCGCCTTATGAACAATCATTGTATAGCTTATATTGTTAAATTTTGTTTAAATGTTTTGTTTTCAGTTCTACGAATTTGCAACCACTAAAAATACAACGAAATTAAATATCTACGAGCTTTATCTTTACTTTCTTATTGCTCATTCAAAATATCTAGCTCCGGATTGAGCCTCGAGTAATTATATATAATCGAAATAATACAGTTATTCGTATCAATACAATTTTAGTAAGTTTAAAACGAGCCGTTGGTTGATTTCTAAAATTTGATACTGATGATAATTCAAAGTCATCCTCTACACATAAATAGTTTTTTATAGTTTTTTATAGTGTTCTACTAGTCGTTCCTATTTGTTATAGAGGTTAGAAAAAGATGAATACTTAGGTATATGTTGTTTGTATTTTGATCTCAACTAAAATTGATTTTCAGTTTAAATATTTTTTTTTTTTTTTTTTAAATTTATTATTTGGTTTCACTTTTTCACCAATGTCAAATAATAATAATAATAAACAACCAAAAGATCAAATTGAAAATCCATTTGATAATTCAAATCTAATTGATTTAGATCTAGATTCAAATCCTTATGATTATGACCCCAATTATATATATCCTCATACAACTAGACCGAAACCTGAAAATCCATTTCAAGATCAATTCATAATTTCTGATGATGAAGAAGAAGAAGAAATACCCGTGACGAGAGGTGAAATTCCAATAATTGAAGAGAATTTTGAATATATTGATAATGAAAAACCACGAGATTTTGATATAAGAAATATATGGCAAAAAATAAAGAATAAAGTAAAGAAAACTAAATCTTACCCTGATGGCCCTAGGATAATACATATTATGAATCATCAATTAAATTCACAATTTGGTTATTTTGGGAATCATATATCGACTACCAAATATAATTTTGTTACATTTTTGCCAAAATTTTTGTTTGAACAATTTAGTAAATATGCAAATTTATTCTTTTTATTCACATCAATCATACAACAAGTCCCACACGTGTCCCCCACAAATAAATATACTACAATAGGGACATTAATTGTTGTTTTATTAGTTTCAGCTTTGAAAGAAATCTCTGAAGATATAAAAAGAGCAAATGCTGATAAAGATTTAAATAATACTAAAGTGCTAGTGCTTGAAAATGGTCAATTTATACTAAAAAAATGGATAAAAGTTCAAGTTGGTGATATTGTAAAAATAAATAATGAAGAACCTATTCCAGCTGATTTAATTTTATTAAGTTCTTCTGAACCTGAAGGTTTGTGTTATATCGAAACTGCAAATTTAGATGGGGAAACAAATTTAAAAATTAAACAATCGAAATCTGAAACGGCAAAATTATTGAATCCACAAAGTTTATCAAGCTTACAAAATTCAGAAATTATATCCGAACAACCAAATAGTTCATTATATACTTATGAAGGTAATTTAAAACAAAATGGATTTGAAATACCATTAAATCCAGATCAATTATTATTGAGAGGTGCAACTTTAAGAAACACTCAATGGGTCAATGGTGTTGTTATATTTACTGGACATGAAACTAAATTAATGAGAAATGCGACCGCAACTCCTATAAAACGAACAGATGTGGAAAGAATTATAAATTTACAAATTATTGCATTATTTTGTGTATTGATCGTATTGGCTTTAATTTCATCAATTGGTAATGTTATAAAGTCAAAAGTTGATGCTGGTCAATTGGAGTATTTGCATCTTGAAGGTACATCAATGGTAACTTTGTTTTTCCAAGATTTATTAACTTATTGGATTTTGTTTTCAAATTTAGTTCCAATTTCTTTATTTGTTACTGTTGAATTAATAAAATATTATCAAGCTTTTATGATTGGGTCTGATTTAGATATGTATTATGAAGAAACTGATACACCAACTGGTGTCAGGACTTCATCGTTAGTTGAAGAATTGGGACAAATTAATTATATATTCTCAGATAAAACAGGTACATTGACTAGAAATATTATGGAATTCAAATCTGTTTCAATTGGAGGTAGATGTTATATCGAAGAAATACCTGAAGATGGGTATCCACAAATTATTGATGGTATTGAAGTTGGTTTTCACACATTTAATGAATTACATGATGATTTAAAAAACACTTCAACTCAACAATCAGCAATTATAAATGAATTTTTAACTTTATTGAGTACATGTCATACCGTTATTCCAGAAATTACAGGTGATAATAAAATTAAATATCAAGCAGCATCTCCAGATGAAGGTGCTTTAGTTCAAGGTGCTTGTGATCTAGGCTATAAATTCATTATTCGTAGACCAAAAGGTGTTACAATTGAAAATACATTAACTAAAACACAATCAGAATATGAGTTATTAAATATTTGTGAGTTTAATTCAACAAGAAAAAGAATGAGTGCAATTTTTAAATGTCCTGATGGTGTGATTAGATTATTTTGTAAAGGTGCAGATACTGTTATACTCGAAAGATTATCAAAAGATGAACCTCAACCATTTGTCGATTCAACCTTGAAACATTTAGAAGATTTTGCTGCTGAGGGTTTAAGAACTTTATGTATTGCATCAAGAATAATTTCACAGAATGAATATGATGAATGGTCTAAAAAATTTCAAGAAGTATCAACTTCGTTAGTTGATAGACTGGAAAAATTAGATGCAGTTGCTGAATTGATTGAAACTAATTTGTTTTTACTTGGTGCAACTGCAATTGAAGATAAATTACAAGACGGAGTACCTGAAACTATTCATACTTTACAAGACGCAGGTATAAAAATTTGGGTTTTAACTGGTGACAGACAAGAAACTGCCGTAAATATTGGTATGTCATGTAAATTATTGAGTGAAGATATGAATTTGTTGATTATAAATGAAGAAAATAAAACAAATACTAGATTGAATTTACAAGAAAAATTAACAGCTATACAAGAACACCAGTTTGATGTTGAAGATGGTTCATTAGAAAGTTCATTAGCTTTAATCATCGATGGGCATTCACTAGGATATGCATTAGAAGCAGATTTAGAAGATTTATTTATTGAATTAGGTTCAAGATGTAAAGCTGTTATATGCTGTAGAGTTTCACCTTTACAAAAAGCACTAGTTGTTAAAATGGTTAAACGTAAAAAGAAACAAAGTTTATTATTAGCAATCGGTGATGGTGCAAATGATGTTTCTATGATTCAAGCTGCTCATGTTGGTGTTGGTATTTCAGGAATGGAAGGTATGCAAGCTGCTAGAAGTGCTGATATTTCAATTGGACAATTCAAATATTTGAAAAAATTATTACTTGTTCATGGCTCTTGGTCATATCAAAGAATTTCAACTGCCATCTTATATTCATTTTATAAAAATATCACCCTTTACATGACTCAATTTTGGTTTGTTTTTACCAATGGGTTTTCAGGACAATCAATTGCTGAATCTTGGACATTGACATTTTATAATGTTTTATTTACAGTTCTACCACCATTTGTTTTGGGTGTTTTTGATCAATTTGTTTCTGCTAGATTATTAGATAAATATCCTCAATTATATCAATTAGGTCAACAAAGAAAATTTTTCAATGTACCAATTTTTTGGAGTTGGATTATAAATGGATTTTATCATTCAGCTGTTATTTTTCTTTGTTCATTCTTTATCTACAGATATATGAATAATTTAGCTAGTGGATTAACAACTGATAATTGGGCATGGGGAGTTGCTGTTTATTCAGCATGTACTTTAACAGCTTTGGGTAAAGCAGCACTTGTTGTTACTTTATGGACTAAATTTACATTGATTGCAATTTTAGGTTCATTTGTATTATGGTTATGTTGGTACCCTGCGTATGCAACAATTGCCCCAATGATAAATGTTTCAGTTGAATATAGAGGTGTTTTAAGAGCAACTTATCCATCAATAACATTTTGGGGTATGATATTTGGAATTTCAGTATTATGTCTTTTACGAGATTTAGCTTGGAAATTTTATAAAAGATTATATATTCCAGAAAGTTATCATTATGTTCAAGAAATTCAAAAATATAATATTCAAGATTATAGACCAAGAATGGAACAATTTCAAAAAGCCATTAGAAAAGTTAGACAAGTACAAAGAATTAAGAAACAAAGAGGTTTTGCATTTTCACAAAGTGAAGGACAAGATCAAGATAAAATTGTTAGACTTTATGATACTACTAAAAGAAGATAATTACACTAATATATGCAAATATGGTAGCGTCGAAAATTTTTTAAAACTCTATCATCTTCAATGTCTCAAGAACAAAGTAAACTATCATCCAAAGAGCTAAAGGAATTGAAAAAGAAAGAAAAAGCAGCTAGAAGACAGGCTCAAAAAGAAGCAAGTGGTATAACACCAGAACAACAACAAAAAAATTTGGAACAAAAACTTCAAGAAACGAAGAAAACTAGTCAAACTCCTACAAATCTTAAAAAACAATTAAATCAAACATTAATTAAAAACGAAAAGAAGGTTCCTCATTTATTTGGACATTTAGAAACTAGAGAACAAAGAAATGCTTCGTCTCCAACAATATCAAACTTGGTACATCCATCAATCTTAACTTTAACTTTAAAATATTCAAATTATAAAATAGTTGGATCAAATTCAAGGTTGAAAAACATGTTACTTGCATTTAAACAAGTTATTGAAGATTATAAAACACCGGAAAGTACTACATTATCAAGACATTTAACTAATCATTTATCACATCAAATTGAATATTTAAAGACTGGTAGACCATTGAGTGTTTCAATGGGTAATGCAATTCGATGGTTAAAACAAGAAATTTCACATATTTCAATTGATATAAATGAATTAAAAGCAAAGGAAATACTATGCTCAAAAATTGATGATTTCGTAAAGGAAAAAATTGAATTAAGTGATAGATTAATTGTTGAAAATGCTTCAAAACACATAAGTAACGGTTCAACAATTTTAACATATGGTCACTCACAGGTTTTAGAAGAATTATTTAAATACTGTGTATTGGAACAAGATAAAACTTTTAACTTGATTATTGTTGATTCAAGACCATTATTTGAAGGTAAAAAATTGTTTAGAAATTTAGTCGATTCAGATGTTACAAATTCAATTAGAATACAATATGCATTATTAAATTCATTAAATTCTACATTATTAGAAGATGTTGATGTTGTATTCTTGGGTGCCCATGCAATGTTATCAAATGGTAGATTATATTCTAGAGTGGGTACTGCTTTAATTGCAATGATGTCACATACAAGAAATATACCAGTTTTAACATGTTGTGAATCAATTAAATTTTCCGATAAAGTTCAATTAGATTCTGTAACAACTAATGAATTAGCAGACTCTGAAGATTTAATTAATAATTTCAATATACCACCACAAAAGAAATCATTCGCATTGGAACAATTTATAAAACAAGAAAAGGGTGAAGAGTCGATTAATGATTCACCATTGGCAAATTGGAAAGATTTACCAAATTTAAACATATTAAATATATTATATGATTTAACACCACCTGAATATATTAAAAAAGTAGTTACTGAATTAGGATCATTACCACCATCATCAGTTCCTGTTATATTAAGGGAATATAAGAACACGTAAGTAAATAGAGTTAATAAGAAGATTATAATTCCTATTTCTGACACTGCGCTACCGAATTCTATTTTGACACTGCGCTACCTGAATTTTGATTCTACAGATCTAAAATCTTATCCATATTTCGCCACCAATGACTGATGAATTATCATTAGTTAATAAAGTGGAATTAAGAATTGCATTAGCTGAAAGTGATGAGCAACTAGAAAAGGTTTTGAATACCTATATACCAGCATTGTTACTCAAACTTTCCAGTACTAATTCACAAGTTAGACAAGCTATTTTAAAAATAATCCAACATGTAATACCTAGAATTAATGCTGCAAGATCCATTAAACTACCAATTATCCCTTTAATCAAACAAGTTCAAGTACCAAATGTTGAAGATTCATTAACAATGAGGTTATACTCAACTTTATTCATTTCGAGAGGTGTTGATAGATTAAATCAAGTAGAAAAAGATGAATTGATACCACTCATAATAAAAGATATAAGTCAATATCCAGAAAAGATCGCAGCTAGAATATTTAACATATTATGCAAGTTGTTAGCTAATTGGAAACCTCCAATGAAAGGATCAGAAGAAGCTGACAATTTTAAAAAATCATTAAATTTAAATGAAAATGATGAAAAATATTCATCCTTAGTAATTGGCAAGTTTTTACTATTACAACCTGAATCTTCAAATAAAGTTACTGCAGGATTAACTCAGCAAGAAAATCAGTTTTTTACAACTGAAGCTGGTGTCGTATTCAAATCAAAAGATGAAATTTTCAAAATAAAAGCTAAATTGCTTGAATTTATAAAATGCTCATTTAGTGATGAACAAATGGTATTTCCGTTACTTATAGCATCATCCGACTCTTCATCTTCATTAAATGAATCGGCTGAGATTTTATTTAAAAAACTAAATGTGAATTATGATGATGTTAAGATTTGGAACAATTCATTTACAAATTGTATTTGTGAATTATTTCTTGGTACAAAATCAATTCCAGTTGCTTCATCATTGCAACTGAAAATATTACAAGTTTTAATTAAATGTGATGTTAATTCACAGGATATAACGAAAATTTCCACCATTGCCTTAGGTTCTGACGACTCCAGATTACGTCGATTAGGAATTGAATTTGTACTAAAACTCAGTGGGAATGCAAAACTAGTTGAGTTTAACGAAAATATTGCTCAACAATTGAGAAATGGTATTTTATCTGAAGGTTGGCCTAGTATGGAATTATCAAACACAACTAATTATCATAACAAGATCAAAGATAGACAACTAAGATACGAAACAATTGGAAGTATCTTAAAGACTTACCCATCAATTTTTTATAAAGATTGGTCATTTATAGAGTTTTTATTCGAATCTTTAGATGGTGATACTCCAGAATTGCGAGTTTCGATTCAAGACGCATTATCTGGTTTAACGTCTTATTTAAATCAATTGTCTAATGAGCAAAAGCTAAAATTAAAACAAATTTGCAAGAAATCTTTATCAAGTAGTAAAAATGGTAGTACAAAGTATATTGCAGTTAAATTTATTAATGCTACTTTCCCATTTAATGACCCATATGCAAGATATTTATCAGTATTAGGGACAAGTAAAGCGAGTTCACCTGAAACAATCGAGGAATCATTGAATGGTTTACATCCATATTGGTTCAATTTGTATCATATTAATAATACAAAAGAATTCAAATCTACTTCATATTTGTTAGGTCAAGAATCAACAGTTGAATTTCCTAAATTTAAAGAATATATTGATGTGATTACAAGTGAAGAAGAATTCTTGCCTAAAGCAGTGGAATTTGGTGAACAAATTTTAGTAATGGAATCTATAAAGGAGAAAAATACAGTTATTGTACCAGATCAAAATTGGTCAACAAGATTAGAAAAGGCAGTTGAAGTAAATGAAGAAGTTAGAAAATCAGTGATTGAAAAAATATCTAGTGGTGAAATTAATGAAAGTTTAGTTAAATTATTGTCATTGTGTATTGATCATCCATCACCAATTACATTAACAATATTAGCAAAATTAATCTCATTCTCATCATCTAACGTCGTTGAACTGTTAATGTTCAAAATGGAAGATCTTCTTGATTTATTAAGCAAAGCAAATGATGATATTTCATTAATTCAAGTTTGTAAAGTAATTGGTATAATTGCAAGTCATCCAAATTATGTCAATGAAGATTTATTGATTGAATTTTCAAATTCCAAATCTAAAAATGCAGTAATTGCAGCATGTTATATAATTTCAAGATTAACATTGAGAGACAGCTTAGTCTATTCAAATGAAATATTAGAAAGAATAGAAGACTCCTTGTTAAACCTACTCCAGGCATCAAATACATACTCAATAGCGTTAGATGGTATTTCACAATTGGCAATGTTTGGATCATTGAAAAATCTGTTTAAATTTAAAGAAATAATCAGATCAAGAGTTAAGAAAATTGATGAAAAATCTGTATTAGCATTGGCATATCTTACATTATTAGATAAAAAAGAAGGTTTTGAATTGACAAAAGATGAACAAATTATATATGATACTTATGTGTCTAAACAAATTGAATATATTTTCACATCAAGTGAAGCATTAGTAATTGCTACTTCGGGTTGGGATTCAACCTTATTACAAAAGCAATTAGATATACCAGGTGAATCAATTAAACATATTAATCAAGTTGATAGAGTTTCAATCATACTTAAATATATTTTTGAAGCTTGTCAAAACACAAAGCCTTCCCTTAGAAAAGCAGGATGTATCTGGCTATTATCCTTGGTTCAACATTGTAAACATTTCCCAATAATTAAAGAAAAAGCAACTGAAATTCATATCACATTTATGAGGTTTTTAGGAGATAAAGATGAATTAGTTGTTGAAAGTGCATCTCGAGGATTAGGTTTAATTTATGAAATTGGTGATGTTGAATTAAAAGATACGCTAGTCAAGTCACTATTAAAATCATTTACATCATCGAATACCAGTACATTTACAGCTGGTACAGTTGAACATGACACTCAATTATTTGAGCCAGATTTATTGAAAACTAATGATGGTTCAGTTTCAACATATAAAGATGTTTTAAATCTTGCTCAAGATTGTGGTGATCCATCTTTAGTTTATAAATTCATGAATCTTGCCAAGTCTTCTTCATTATGGTCATCAAGGAAAGGTATTGCATTCGGGTTAGAAAATATATTATCACAATCTTCATTAGATAACTTATTAACAAAAGATACTAAATTGTCAAGTAGGTTAATTCCTAAATTGTTTAGATATAGATATGATCCAAATTTAACTGTACAAACTTCAATGAATGATATTTGGAATTCAATAATTAAAGATACTGCAAAAGCAGTGAATGCAAATTTTACAATTATTTTGAATGAAATTTTAAACTCTATGGGGAATAAAGAATGGAGAACTCGTCAAGCTAGTGCTGGTGCATTAAATGATTTATTACAAATGGTTGATTTAGAGAAATATGAACCTAGATTGAATGAAATTTGGACAATGAGCTTTAGAATCATAGATGATATAAAAGAAAGTGTTCGTAAAGAAGGTACTAAATTAACAAAAAATTTATCTATTAATTTAATTAGAGAATTAGAAAAAGGTTCAAATGATTCAAATCAATTATTAGAATTTTTAATTCCATTTTTATTAGGTACTAAAGGTTTATTATCAGATTCAACAGAAGTTAAAGAATTTGCATTAGAAACATTAACGAAGATTTGTAAATTGAAAAATCAAGCTATAAAAGCATATATTCCTGAATTAATTGAAAATTTTATAAATTTATTTTCAACTTTAGAACCAGAAATTATAAATTATTTATATTTAAACTCAAATAAATATAATTTGAATAATAATGATATAGATGCCAAAAGGTTGAAAAGTGTTGGTAATTCACCGTTAATGGATTCAATTGAAAAATTATTAAATCAATTAGAAGATTCAAATATTGAAAATTTTATACAAAGGTTAGAAAAATCAATTAAAAGTTCAATAGGATTACCTTCAAAAGTTTCTGGATCGAAAATTATAGTTGATTTAATTACAAATCATTATGAATTGATAAAACCATTTGGTGATAAATTGTTGGAAATTTCTACTTCACAAATAAATGATAGAAATGAAACAGTGGCTACAAGTTATGCTGCCTCAAGTGGATATGTTTGTAAAATTGCCTCCATAGATTCAGTTGTCAAGTATTCAAACAAATTAAATAAGATGTTTTTCGGCAATGATGAAAAAGCTCGAGTAATAAGTTCTGTTGCATCTGAATATGTTTCAAGATATTCTGGTGAGAAGTATGAATCAGTTGCTAGTGCATTCTTACCCTTGGCTTTTATTGGTAAAAATGATGAATATAAATCTGTTGCTTCCAACTTTGAAAAGGAATGGATAGAAAATACAAGTGGAGGTATAAGTTCAATTAAATTATATTTCAATGAAATTATAGATATTATAAATGCTCATTTCAATACTATTACGCAATTTTCAATAAGGAAAACTTTGGCAAAGTCTTTAAACGAGATATGTCAAAGAATAGATGATGTAACATATTTGAACAGTGAAGTTATGAATAACATTTTAAACCTTTTAATTGTTTCAAATAAAGGTAAATCATGGGATGGTAAAGAATTAATATTTGAAGCTTTGATTGAATTTAGTATATTGGCAAAATCATACATTGTTGAACATGAATCATTATATTTAGATGTTATCAAGACCATAAAAGTTGAAATAAAAAGAAAGAATAAAAATTATCAAAAGCAAGTGATTTTAAATTGTGGTAAATGGTTACATTATTATCAAAATGAAGAGATTTTGGATTTCTATATTGAAATTTTATCAAATTTAATTAACGACGTTACTGATGATGACGATGATGAAGAAATGGAAGAAATGAATGTCAAACAAAACATAGAATTTGAAGAACAGAAATTGACTTTATTGAATAATTTACAAGTTGTGGTTAAAAAACCAATAAATCATAAATTACTACAATTCATAATGGAGTCATTGATCAATATATTCAAATTGAAGAATCTTGAAAATACATGGAGATCAAAATTGAAAGCAACTGAGATATTCAACAGTGTACTAAACAACTTGGATGAAACAGATGATGCATTATTATTAGATACTTGGTCATTTTTAAAAGACAAATGTTTACTTGTTGATTCAATTGAAAATGTTAAAATTCAGTTTATAAGGTTATCAAAGAATTTAAATCAATATTTGATCAAAATTAACAAACCAACTGATATTATAAACGATACATTATCAGAATTTAAAGAAATAGAGAAATCAAATATTATATTAACAGAGATAAATAAATAGATACCTAATATTATATGTATATTATTAGATTAAAAAAAAAAATTACCTATTATCGAACTCTAGACTTATTGACCACCTCTTAATCTTAAGACTAAGTGCAAGGTTGATTCTTTTTGGATATTGTAATCTGATAAAGTTCTACCGTCTTCCAATTGTTTACCAGCAAATATCAATCTTTGTTGATCCGGTGGGATACCTTCTTTATCTTGAATTTTGGATTTAACATTATCAATTGTATCTGATGATTCAACTTCTAAAGTTATAGTTTTACCAGTTAAAGTTTTGACAAAAATTTGCATACCACCTCTTAATCTTAAGACTAAGTGCAAGGTTGATTCTTTTTGGATATTGTAATCTGATAAAGTTCTACCGTCTTCTAATTGTTTACCAGCAAAAATCAATCTTTGTTGATCTGGTGGGATACCTTCTTTATCTTGAATTTTGGATTTAACATTATCAATTGTATCTGATGATTCAACTTCTAAAGTTATAGTTTTACCAGTTAAAGTTTTGACAAAAATTTGCATACCACCTCTTAATCTCAAGACTAAGTGCAAGGTTGATTCTTTTTGGATATTGTAATCTGATAAAGTTCTACCGTCTTCTAATTGTTTACCAGCAAAAATCAATCTTTGTTGATCTGGTGGGATACCTTCTTTATCTTGAATTTTGGATTTAACATTATCAATTGTATCTGATGATTCAACTTCTAAAGTTATAGTTTTACCAGTTAAAGTTTTGACAAAAATTTGCATACCACCTCTTAATCTTAAGACTAAGTGCAAGGTTGATTCTTTTTGGATATTGTAATCTGATAAAGTTCTACCGTCTTCTAATTGTTTACCAGCAAAAATCAATCTTTGTTGATCTGGTGGGATACCTTCTTTATCTTGAATTTTAGATTTAACATTATCAATTGTATCTGATGATTCAACTTCTAATGTAATAGTTTTACCTGTTAATGTTTTGACAAAAATTTGCATCGTTAATGTAACTTAAAAAGTGTTGATAAAGAGAAGAAAAATTCGACAAACGATAGCAAGTTGCCACCCTTATATAGTTTTGTAAAAGTGGTGATAGTACACTACCTACTATACTAACAACACTTTATATAATATAGGAGTCTAAAAAAAAAAAAAAAAAAAAGAAATTTTTATCTAAGATTAAACTTTTATAAGGAAGAAATTCCCGCAATATAGATCAGGTTTGTTCGTAAACTGAAATATTATAAACAAATCAAATAGGTTAAAGGTTGAAATGGTGATGATGCTGGTTAAAAACATTTAGTATAGAATTGAGCATTCCAATATTTGTTGTATAGTTTTGTTCTTTTGCTAACTTATAATAAAGTGGGCTAATAATTAACTAATTTCGATAAGAAAGAATAATCGAGACAAATATGACTAAAAAAGAAAATGTAACAGCCTCACATAAAAATTGACAGTCATATTTCTCGTTATTTGCGACAATATTTAAGCGATATTGCATATTTTTACTTTTATGAGAAGATTGATTGTTTATCGTTTAAAGAATATAAAATGATTTCTCTTATTTCGTTACTACTTAGATACATATAAGCTATTTACAATTTTAATTATACTATTCTTATTATTGTTACAAATCGTTACGTCTTCATTAAAATATTATATTACAGTATAGTGGTTCTCATGAAAATGTCATTAAAATATTATATTACAATATAGTGGTTCTCATGAAAATGTCATTAATATTTTATTTTAACCGTGAGAAAAATTTAGTGCCGGCTTTAGTGCGCCCATTCGATGCTAGTACGTGATTATTCATTTTTTTAAGCTTCTCATAAATAGATTTTAGTTAATGTAGTTAAGTATGCTATGTTTTCTTTCAATTGAATAATGGTGATAATGTATGTTGTTTATATAAAGTGGGTGGTGAATTTGATAGATTGTTATTAGGTGATCTGTCTGAGGTATTTGCAAATGCACTACTTGAATGATCATTTGGTAATAGACTATTTGAATTCAATCTTCTTGCTTTATTCTGTGTCGTTGAATCAACACTATTTGTTCTTTGGTAAATATAATTTTGATCCATCATTTCGGTATCATTAACATTTAACAAATCAATATTATCTAAACTTGTTCTCTTCATGCCAGGTACTAATAAATCTGTCTTTAATTTATGCAAATTCAGTCTATAATTTCTTAAATATGATTCATTGTCCAACAAATTTAAAATCTTTAATAATTTGAATTTTAAACTCTCATGATATTTATTTGGATATATTATCTTAGTCAATGGTTTAATTAAATCCAAATACTCCGATTGAATCCAATCTAAAAATTGTTGACTGCCATTTTGTAATAAATATAATGTAACTGTTAATGTCTTTAATAAAATTAAACAATGTTTATTTAAATTTGAATCATTATTATAATTGTGATTTTTATAACTCATGGTGTTTGAACGCTTCGGTAATTCTAAATTTGAACTACTTGAATTGTTATTATCTTGTTTCGTTGACTTATAAGTAAAACTTCTTTTGATACTGGCACTTTTAGTGAGCTCATTCCCCCATTTATTACCAAAAATATCATTTATATACTTTAACCTTCGAGTCAATATTGAAATTATAATTGAAAGATGTTTTTTATTATATGTTAAATTTGAAATTTCAATTAGCTCATGATTATAAGGACCTAAAGGTTCTGTATTTGTTGCATTTTTAATTATAGATTCAGTATTGGATGTGATATTTTTAATTGATTGTAAAAAGGTCATACCGAGAACATGGAAATAATAAAAATCTGGTAAATATAATAGTTTTATTATTTATATAATTATTGAGAATGAATTTGGAGTACTATTATAACTCTTTTTGAAGTATGGAGAATGTTGTTATTTGATGTTATTTGATTATTCTCTTAAGGGGTAATTTTGCAAGTAAAAATATAATACTTTTATTATTTATATAATTATTGAGAATGGATTTGGATTACTATTATAATTCTATTTGAAGTATGGGGAATGTTGTTATTGATTATTCTACTATTATAACTCTTTTTGAACTATGGAGAATGTTATTATTAATTATTCTCTTAAGGGGTAATTGGGGTAATTTTGCAAGTAAAAATAAAAAATAAGGAACCGAAAAAAAGTTTATTTTAAATCTGTTAAAATACCTGGCAATATATATATATATAAATATTGATTCATAAAATACACCTCTCTTCTGATAATGCAATTTAGAATAAAAGAAACTTTTTCCCCATATAAAGTTAAATTTGAAACCAAAGATTGGTTAACAGTTAAATAAATAAAAAAAAAAGGCTCATCTTTAGTAGTACAATCGGCTGGAATTTACGGTTATAAAGAAGGAGATTAAAAAAAAATATCTGAATTTTGACAGGTCAAAGAAAAAATAAAAAAAAAGTTTAATTCACAATCGTTTAAATTTTTAAAAGAAGAATGACCTTTAACCAATGATTATTATGTATCTATACATGGAAGTTTTTTTTGATTGTTATTTGAATATGATTCTAGGTAAATTGCTATACATCTCAATTCTATGAACCCGCTTCTTTAATTTCTTTTTACATATAAGAACATTTTACTGATAAATACTCGAGTAAAAAGTTTGAAATATATATCCGAATGCCGAACGACGAATGACGAATGACAAATGACGAATGACAAATGACAAATGCCATATAACAAAATATGGATATTGTTTGAAAAGATTTCCGAAAAGAATTTGTTTATGCAAGAAAGATTTACAGAATTAAGAATAAACAATTTTTCATGTTTTTCAATTATTAACACCGAAATTATTAACACCGAAGGATTTTCATTTGTAAATCCATCCATAAAATTTAAAATTTTGTTAGTGCAAACGACCAATAAAATCAAAAATTTTATACTAAATCATTACTAAAATGTTTTTAACTTGAATTAACTCATCATGCAATGAATTTAACATAAGATGACCCAAATAAGTAATACTCACTTTTTGAAAATCTACAAAATGAATATACTATTGTGAATAGGTATAGACATTTTAATTTCTATGTCCATTCCAATCTCTGTTGGAATTCGATCCTTGTAATTTCTAACAAATCTAATTTTTCTATAGAAACAAATGATTACAGAAAAAAAGAAACGACGACAACATCTCGTGACTTGCAACCAAAATTGTGCATAAATAAATAATAGTAATAAATGTAAGAGACACCGACGGATTCTTATACGATAGAAAATTTTCAACATTAGTTGTAATATTAAGTTAGAAGGTATAATTTAAATAGAATTTAAAAAAGTTTAATACGCTGTACATTAGTATTACTATTAGTAGTGCTATTACTATTAGTAGGGCTATTAGTAGTGCTATTACTCTTTCTATTACTCCTATGTAAATTTGTGTTACTTTAGTTTAACATTGTAGTATAAATTTCATGTAATAATAAATATTATTGAAAAATAAAAAGAAAAAAAAAAAATTTAAATGTAGTACGATAATAAAAAAAAAAATATTCTTTAATCACAACTGTATATCTTTGATTTCATTCCCGTTTATACCATTCATATTTTACATTGATTCATTGATTCATTCACTCACTCATTCATTCATTCATTTATTCATTCTTCATCATTATCTTATCTTTCATCCTTTTTGTTTCATTTTATTTTAATTTGAAACCCACTTCAAATACCATCCAACCTTTTTCCATTTATTTTTTGACCCATCCCAACATTTTTTTGGAAAATTTTAATTCATTTAGACTTTCATTTAAACTCGAGTTTATAATATGAATGATACTTTGAATCCACTACAATCTAATAGTTCAATACCCATAAATAGTCAGAATAATAACGTACAGGAGAAACAAGCGCTTGATCATGATTTAAAATTGTCAATTAATAGCACAAATGATGATTTAATTACTGTTGCACCTCATTCGCCACCATCTTCAAATATAGTTAAAAAAGATCAAAAACCTTCATTTACTTATGATTTAGAAATTTTTAATCTATGTAAAGAATATTTAAGTACAAAAAATCACCATGGATTATCTTTAATATCACGACAAAAAGGTATTCCACCATTTTTAAGATTTAAAGTATGGCCGATACTATTGAAATATCATCCATTTGTATTAAATCCATTTATACAACCAGATAATGATATAATTAATGATACAGGAAAAGAATTAAGAGATTCGGGTTCAAATTATAGCTCAAGTTCAGAATCAACTACAAATACAACTACAAGTGATATAGAAGATCAAATACGATATAAGATCAAAAAAGATTTACATAAATATATTCAAAGGTTGAAATTGTATTCTCAATCAAGTCAAAAATCATCTCATCATTCATTAAATGATATTGAAAATGAAATTTTATCTATTTTGGAAACTTCAATTTTAAAGTTTACAATTAAATGGGGGAAAATAATTAAATATGATCAGAGTTTGACATGGATAGCTTTAAATTTGGCGGAATGGTTTCCACCAATTCCAAAAACTCCATGGGTTTTAAGGGGAAGAGATTCTTTAAAGAGGCAATATGAAAATGATGAATCTGAATCAAATTCAAACTCTTTTATTGTTGATTTATTGGATGACTATTCTAATTACATCGACAATATCAAAGATTTAAAACAATATCTTGAAGATTTAATTTATAAGGATGAAAAAATTTCAAGTATGTCATTCCACGACATGTTTGAACGTTTAGTTTTAGTCCTTTTACATTGTGGAGAACCACATAAATCAAAAAATAAAGATAAAAGTCTTGATTTAAAGTTCAATTCGGAAAATACTAAATCGAATTTATTTTCAAAATTACCTGTTACTGGTGGTTCAATAGAAGATAGGGTTTCCTTTTTCATTTACTGTTTAAGAAAACTTTTACCTGAACTTTCAAATCATTTTAATGAAGAACAAATTTTGACTAAATTTGGTTGTTTAGATGATGAATGGTTGATTTGGTGGTTGAAATTCTGTGGTACAAAAGTATGGTCAAAATATGATCGAGGTAGAATTTGGGATTACTTGTTAGGTTGGAGATTGAAAAATCCTAAAAGGTCATTTAGTTATTATTATGAAAAATTGAATTATTTAAACAGAAACACGTTGGATAAATTAGGTCCTGATATTTTTTGGTCTGTGTCAGAAGAAAAGGATAAGAATTCTAACGATAACTCGGAAATTAAAAAGAATTCATCTTTCAAGGATTTAATTAATGATTTGAATAATGCCGAATTGGATAAGGAAAATCAATTTGATCAAGAGGCTTTGCTCACTATTCCATTTTGTAAAGTTGATCCTCATGTTTCATTAATTTTTATAAGTTTATCATTATTAAAATCTAAAGAGAACATACTAGTAGAATTGGATCAACATGAAATTAGACAATTTTTATCAAGACTTCCTTCAAAATCATATAAATATAAACAAAAACACAATCAAAAGCAAAATCAGACTCCTAATTCAACTTCCGCATCACCCATGTCTTTATCTCCAATTAGTGATGGAGAGATGAAAATTTGCAAACCGATTAATAATATAATAATTTCAAATGATGATCAGAAGGATAACAAGCATAAGATTAATTTTATTGATAATATAATATTAGAATCAGGTGAATTATGGAGGAAATGGTTGTATTCAGAATGGATGGATGATAATTGAAACAAATATTTGAGTTGTATGCAAAGGTTTACAAGAGAATGGATAAAGGTGAAATTGTCATGAATGATTGGGAATGGGTGTGCTAAAATAATTCAACTAGGCATTAAAAATACATGAGAGCATTTTACTAAGTAGTACTAGCTTTTTTTGAAGCCCCTGTTGTTTATCTATGTATTCTTATTTGAATTCATTCTACCAATTGATTTCAAAATAAGTTATCATTTCAGACTGAACTGGTTTCAGCTTCACTTCGATATTTTTATTATCCTTTTCGTGTTTTTTTGATTTTTGATTTTATTTTTTTTTTGTTTTTAATCACTTATAGACAGAGTAATAGATATGAAACCTTTCAACCAGAATTAGGGTGACTGGATACCACAAAATTAACGCCTATTTAGTATGTAATTTAATTTTGCAGCCATCTTTTTTTTTAGTTTTGTGCGATTTTATATTATCTATCTCATCTCACTTATAATGTCGGATTCAGAAGAAGTAATCAAAAGAAATGAGGATCAAGAAGAATTAGAAATAGATTTAGATGCAAATATACCGCTTTCTAAAAGGCAACAAAGATTATTGAAGAAAGGGAAATTAAATCTTGAAAAATTACAAAAGAAATCAATTGCAAAAACAGAAGATTCAAATAAAAGATCACCGTACGGTGTTTGGATTGGAAATTTATCTTTCGATACAACAAAAGAGGATCTCATAAGATTCATTATCAACAAAACTGATGTCAAAGAGGAGCAACTACTTAGAATAAATATACCTAAGAAGGACAACAAAATTAAAGGATTTGCTTACATCGATGTTGAAAATAATGAACAAGTTGAAAAATTAGTAGGTTTATCGGAAGAAAATCTTAATGGAAGAAATTTGTTGATTAAGAATAGTACTTCTTTCGAGGGTAGGCCTGAAAAGGTCGAAGGTGAAGGTAAAAATCCACCTTCTCGTATTTTATTCGTTGGTAATTTAGGTTTTGATACTTCTGAAGACAATTTAAGAGAGCATTTTAAACATTGTGGAGATATAACTAGAATCCGTATGGCTACTTTTCAAGATTCTGGTAAATGTAAAGGGTTTGCATTTGTTGATTTTAAAGATGAAGAAGGGGCCAAAAACGCAATAAGTTCTAAATTATGTAAAATTTTATTAAATAGAAAACTCAGAATGGAGTTTGGTGAAGATAGATCCAAAAAGAGACCAAAGAAGTTTGAACAAGAGCAAACCAATACTGAAATAAATGAAGTGAAAATTCCACAACAAAGAGAAAGAGTAAAAGAAGATACGATATCCAACGATTATAATAGAAAGAGACCACATAAACCACAATATGACAATTCGGCAAAACGTCAAAAATCTTCAGTTGCATTAGTTAATGCTCAAAGAGCAAGTGCTGCCATAGTCCCATCATCAGGTAAAAAGATCACATTTGATTGAAATAGAGTGCTAATCAAAACAAATATTAATTATTAATAATATACATAAATTAAACTAATTTCTTAAGCTAACTTTTCAAGTAATTGAACTTTTCTTTCTAAATTTTTGTGCTTATTGTATTCATCTTCACCAATTTCAAAATAGTTTGGATTATTTTTATGTTTTTCGTAATCTTCATCTGAAATGACTTCATAAACACTTTGAACATCCCAACTAGCGTTATCTGGTCTGGTTATGGCTCCATTTTTACTGGGAGGTTGTTGAAAATCGTTTGCATTGATTCCTCCAACTTGTTTATTTTCACCTTTTGGTACAATTGCTGCTTTTTCAGCATCTTGAGCAGTTAAACCACCAACTTGATCATTATCACCTTTTGGAGCAATAGCAGCTGAAGTCTCTTTTTCTGTTGAAACAGGTGCTTGCTGTTTAGATGAACCTTGTGGTTTGACACCCGAATCAAGTAAACTTGAATAGTTTTGACCTAAATTTTTGGAACTTGTTTGTTCTGGTTGTGATTCTGAAACTTGCTGAGGTATTTGTTGTTGATCTTTTGATTGTCCACCTCCAATTTTGTTAAAAACTGATGAACCAGCATTACCAGCTTGTTTCCCAGCACCACCTATAGCACCAGCGGTTATACCTGCACCAACTGCACCAACTGCACCACCAGCTAAAACTCCAGCAGCAGCAGCACCTACATGATGGTGTTTCTTTTCCTTAGGTTCTTTTTTTTTTTCTTCCTCTTTTGAAACTGGTTGTTCTTGAGTCTCATTAATGTTTTCTAAATTTTTTTTATGAGTAACTGGTGTAAATGCATATTGAGTTTGTTCGTGTTCTTTAGCTTCTTTTTCAGCTTGTTTTTTACGTTCAGCTTCAGCTGCTGCTTCTCTTTCCTTTGCTTCCTTCTCAGCTTTCTCTTTGGCTAATTGTTCTTGCTTTTCTCTTTCAAGTCTTTCTTTTTCTTCTCTTTCTCTTCTTCTTTCCAATTCTTCTTGTTGTCTTTTTGTCTGGTATTCTTGTTGTTGAATCAATCTATTTCTTTCATGTTCTTTTGCAACTTCTTCAGCCATTTGTTGTTTTTCTTGATTCCATTGCTTATACTTAGATTTGGCGTCATTTAATCTATTCAAACGATCTTGCTTGTCAGTATCTAAATCTTTTAATCTAGCATCATAAGTTCCAATACTAGCAACTAATAAATTAACTTCACCTGCTAAATTTTCTTGTTTTGATCTTTTTTCAGTCAAATCTTTTTGATAACCTGCAATTTTAGAATCCAATTCTTTTGATTTGGTACCATTTAATTCAATTGCTTCATTATGAATTTTCAATTCTTCCTTTAATTTATCCAATTTTTCTACTTCTTCAGCCAATTCTTGTTCCAATTTTTCAATTTCATTTGCTAATTCAGAATTTTTATCGTCTAATGAAGTCTTTTTTTCTTTTAATTCTTCAATTTCGGTAGTTGTCTTTTCTTGATTACTTATGGCATCTTTTAATTCTTGTTCTTTAGTGGCTTTAAGCTCTGTAGAATTTTTATCTATAGTGGTTAAAGATTCTTGATGTACCTCAACTGCTTTTTCTTCTCTGTTCGCATAGTCTGTTTTGGATGTTTCAATTTCTTTCTTAGTTTTATCAGAAAAGTCTTTACTTTGTTTTATTGCACCTTTTCTCTTACTTTCGATTGAAGCAAGTTTGTTTTCAATTTCTTTATTGAATTGTTGCTTTTTTTGTTCAACTTTTTGAGCATATTTATCAAATTCACCTTTTAATTTTGTTTCATGTTTTTTAACCTTTTGATCAATTTCTTGTTGTCTTTTAATATCATCTTCTTGTCTGGTTTTTGATACTTCTTCGTTTATGGAGGTTATAACGGGGGCAACTCTTTTTGCAGCCAAATCCATTAATTGTTGTTGAGTCATTCTTAAACCACCTCCTAAATTAATAACTTTATTTGGATCATTAATTTCAGTTGCAATAGAACCAATGGCAGTTGTGTTTAATTCTTTATAATGTTTCAACAATGCTGGTTTATTTTTTAATCTTTCAAGAGTTTCTCTGTTTGAAATATCAACTGGTTCATATTTAGCTTCTGGTTGAGTTACAATTTCAATTGGATTCTCTTTAATTTGTTGTTTGATTGCATCATCACCTTCTAATTTATCAACTGCATGAATTTCTGCACCAACGTGTTCGGTTTCACCATCAGTGATCAAAGGCTCTTTGCGTTCACCTTCTAATTTTTGTTCTATTTTATCAGCAGCGGATTCATCAGTAATCAATGGCTCTTTAGCTGAAGTTTCCAACTCAGCTTCTTCCTTTTTAGCAGCAGATTCATCATTAATCAATGATTCTTTAGCAGAAGTTTCTAATCTTTCTTCAACTTTTGCAGCTTCATTTTCGTCAGTTATCCTAGGTTCTTTTGCAGATGTTTCCAAATTATCTTCAATGTTTTCAGCTGCTGATTCATCAGTTATTCTGGGTTCTTTAGCTTCTTTAGCTTCTTTAGCTTCTGAATCTAATTTACTTTCCAATTTTTCACTTGGTTTTTCGTCTTCAATTAATGGTTCATTAGTTTTATCTTTTAATTTATCTTTTTCTTTTTTTTCTTCTTCTTCTTTAGCTTTAGTTGTTGCAGTTTTGGTCGTGGATGTTTTTTTAGCCGCGGCAGATTTTGTTTTTTGTTGCTTCTTTTTTTGAGCTTCCAAAGTTGGATGATAAGCAAATTTAGCAGGAACTTTAATATGTTCAATTTTATTACCTTCTTTGAATTGTTGATATAAATTTGGTTTTTGTTTTTTTTTTGAACTTGGAGATTTTTGACCTTGACCTTTACCTTGACCTTGACCTTGACCTTGACCTTCACCAGCTTCATCATCTTCTAATTGTTGTTGTCTAAAAGGTGAAACCCATTTTGAACTCGACGTTAATTGTTTTAATCTTGAAAGAGGTGGTTCTTGTTTATATTTTCTTTCATAAGTTATATCTGACATTATATTATTAAGATTTTAAATGAATAATAATTAATTGAAAGAAAAAGGGAAGATGAACAGATAAATCAATAATAATAATAATTAATGATGATATGATAATAATATATTATTGAATTAATTATTATAGCAATTAAGTGGAATTTTCTAAAATTTATATGAATAAAGTTAAAAACTTAAAAACTAATATTAAAAGGGGTGCGTGTACCTTTGGTAGTATTTTTATATATAAATTAACATTTAGGTGAAATTTATTTATATTTTAACCATATTTAGATTCCGTTGATTTTAGTATGGCTCAGTTAATATAAGACGGTGTCTTTTAAAGATGTCTACTGGATACTGACAGATCTCTATTTATCATAAGCTCCAAGTACTACTGGTGTTCAAATGGAAACATGACATATTTTTACTAATGTTGCTAATTAATGATTTCAAGATTATAATTTTTGTGTCATTTCGTCCAAATTTGTTCTATCGTAAAATTATAATTATTATAAGAAAAGTTTTATTATTATTGCAAGGTAGAAAAGTTTAAAGTCAATTAATTGTTTAACCCTTAAAGTCATATATTACGCTAGTCGATCTGCTTAATAACATATATTGATTTACTTTAATGTTTGTTCATGCAGCCTTTTGGTATTAATGGAACAACAATTTTCAAAATACGTATTATGCAGGGCGTGTTGACCTGTTTTGGTTTCAGAGTTGCCTAATTAGGATGAATTTTATTAGTTTTGAGAGAAAATCTGATTATGTAATATTGAATCTGAAATTGCGCTTTTTATATATTAGGAGCGTAATATTTCATTTATTATGATGATTTGATAAGATAATAATTAGATCTTTATTTGTACTACTTAAATTTGGCTGCAAAACTAATATCAAATATTTTACTTTCCCAAGCTAACAATATGATAAATATGATAGGTATATTTGAAAATAGCACAACCCTAACGTTTTATCGACCAATATACATTTCATTGGTTGTCCTTAAAATCTGTGCAATTATACCATTCGTAGTTCTATCTCAAATGACAATTTGATATAAGTTATTTTTGTACCTTCATTTAAACTCACTTTCCATGCCTTCTTATAATTTTATCTCTCAAAATTCATGGATTTATACATTTTTTCCAAATCGCTCGCTTACCCCTTCGTTATAAATATTTCACCAGTACGAAAGAAAAAAAAAAAAATATCGAACCAAATATTCTAATCAAACCATTTTCAACAAGGTAACCACCAATTGTAAATCCACATTCATTTAGTTCATTTAATTGATATAAAAATTTACAATTTTTTTTAGTTACATTTAATTTCACATTTTCATTTTTAATTCAAGTTCATGATTTTTCAAATATCATTATTTTTACTATGGCAACTTTAATCTCCACGGCTAGTTCGTGTCATGTTTTACAATTACCTTCTAATGAAAAAGACGATAAATTAAATTTGAATGTTAGGACAGGTTCAGCAGCAACTTTATATAATTCTTTTATTTTTACATTTGGTGGGTTAACTATTGGTTTAGAATTGAATGAATTTTCAATTCTGGAAATCTTCAATAAATTTGGAAATTTAAACTCTACAAGACCTTTGAATCAATTTTTATCAGGTGAATTGTTTTATTTAAACATAATTGAAAAATCCTGGATTAGATTCGTACATGAATCAACTGAATTGCGACCACAACCAAGATTGTTACATCAAATTTGTGCAATAAACAACTGTATTTATTTATTTGGTGGTTTAATCGAGGAAAATAATGATTTAGTGCCTATTAATGATCTATGGGAGTTTAATCTAAGTACTAATAAATGGACTTTGTTACATGACGGGTCAAATTTTGAAAATGATGATTCTATACCTTGTCCTAGATATAGTCATAAAATGACCTTAATTTCAAGTTTATCATTTGTTAATAAAAAGGATCATTTTGGTATATTTATAGCTGGTGGTAAAGATCATGGATCAAATTTAATTTATGATAATTTAGTATTTGATTTAGTTGATAAAAGGTATGTTGGTAGTGAACCAATAAAGTTAAAAGTTCAAAAAGAAATGACGGAGGAATATAATGTCAAAACTGATGAGGAGGGATGCATAAACATTGATCAATGCTCTTCTATGGTTGTTAATTTCATAGATGAATTGGAAATTACCAAAAAAAAGAAGAACGAATCTACTACAACTTCTATAAATAATACAAAAGAAGAATCTTTAATAGTTTATGGACCTTCTCAAAGTAAAGAAATTAACAATAACACTTTATTGAATTTTAAAATTGGTAAAGCCATAAAAAAGGGTAAAATTTTACATGTACATCGTAAAAATAAAGAAATTTTAACTATACCATATAATTTGAGATTTCCAACTGGTGGTATATTTGGACAAAATATAGTTATAACTGGATTTCTTCCCAATGAATATGATATAAGTTTATTTATATACAATAAACCAACTGGGAAATGGTCAAAATTAAACATATTTTGTAATCATAATTATGGAAGTCATAGATTTTGGGGTGGATTTGTATGGCAACTGCATCATAAAGTTATTTTAATTGGAAATTATCAAACTTCAAAAACAACAAGTTCTATTAGATTTTTCACTTCGATGGTGACAATAAGTTTACCAATTACTAATTTATTAGCAAGTTCAGAATTATCAGGAGGTCATTATCATGCAGCTGACGGTTCAAGAATATATTTTAAAGATGAAAGATCAAGTCTGAGCTCATCAAGTGAAGAAGAATTAGAGAAACAAGCACTTTCTGAAGATGGTTTGGTTTACGATATTCGAAAACAATCGATAACTTCAGTTTCTACAGATAAATCTCCAACTGCAATTAGTTTTACTGATTATGTTCATTATGCAGCTCCTAAAACTAGTTATACTACAATTCGAAGTGTATTTCCACCAACTGCGGTAACTTTAGGTAGGAATGCATTTGATAGATATGGAGATATGATATCTGATTTTGAGATAATTTCATGTAATGGTGATAGAATACCGGTTGGTTTAATTGTATTAATGGAGAGATGGGGAGGATATTTTATTTACTTATTATCAAAGGGATACATATCAGCAATTGAAAAATTTGAAAATAAAGAAAGAGAAAAACTTAAGAAAGAAAAAGAAAAGAAAGAGTTAGAGAAGGAAAAGGTTAGAGAGGAAGATGTTCCAAATTTAGTGAAACCTACTTTTAGATTACCATTTCAAAATGAACAACCGCAAAATTTATCACCATCATCAAATTTACCAGAAGATAAAGACAAGAATATGTCCATATCTTCTGCAATTGATCCTCATCAACAAATCGATATGTTACTACAGAATCTACCACCTCAATCACCAATTCCCCAAGATCCAATACCACCTACACCATCTACTAGCACAACATCATTCAAATCAAGTTCTCGAAAAAATTCACAAGATTTAATGAATTCACCACGAAGTTCGTTAATAAATACATTAACTCAATTAAGAAATATACCCACAACTCAACAATCTCCCTTCGCTTCACCTAGAGCATCAATTTCTGGATCATTGACGCCAACAGTTTCTCAGTTCAGAAAGTATTCAAGCTCAAATGAAGGTGAAAGACCAAGTTTATCTACGATAAATTCAAGTAATGAAGGAATTAACGAACGTCCAAGTCTTTCGACTATAAATTCAACAGAAGAATCATTGGATATTGAATCAACTTTGCCTATAATAAATTCAGATTTTCAAATGGAATCTTCACTAATTCCGAGAAAGTTGTATTTTCCATTTTCAACAGTCACCGTTAAAGCATTTTGTGAATATTTATATACTGGACAAATAGGAAATAAGTGGTTATTAACTCCTACTTTGTTAGATAATATGATAATTGCAAGAATGTATAAAATTCCACTACTTTATGATTTAATAAGTGAAGTTTTATTTGGTATAATTGGAAGAAAAGAAGCTTTTGTGTTGGGGAAATCTAATGGATTAAAGAAGAGGTATTTTGATTTATTAAAGAAGACTAACTCACCTAAAGATCCAAATTTTAAGTTTCCTATGGATGAATATGAGAGTTTCATGGATTCAATCGATGATGGGAAATTAGATTATCAATTGCTAATTAAGAGCTCACATATGAATAAAAAGAAAGAAGAAATTAAAGAGGATTTTGATTCAGATGATGAGGTTGAGATGACGTATATGGATCAAGAAGAAATCAAGAATTCAAATTCAACAATTGAAAGTTTAATCTCTCCAAACTCACCACCTCCATCGAACCAAATCCTAAGGTGTATAAATGAGGCAGCTATATTTACATCAGATATGAAATTGATAACTAGAAGTGAAAATTTGAAAGATATAAGTTTTGAAGAAATTGAAAACAAAATTGAGGAATTAGAATTGAAATATGAAAAAATTCAAAAAGGTGAAACTAATCTTGAAAGTGAAGTTGTATCTGAATCAGAACAAGAAGAGAATACTAAATCAATGTTTGGGACTTTCAATGAATTAAATCATTTCTCACCACCTCCAGCTCCTTCCTTTCACAGAGAATCTGAAAGTGCAATTAGTCCAGCTCCATCAGTTTTACATCCACATCACCTAACTCTTCATCCTTCTCATTCAGCTAGTTCATTAACAACATCAGCAACTACAAGTAAAGAGAAAATACCAACCAGAAAGAAGATCCATTCATTAATTTCAAAAACAATTTCAAACAAAACAGAAGAGCTTGCAAGCTCATCAAGTTCAATTAAATCAATCGGCAAAAAACATAGCTTTTTCCATAGAAATAAGAAGTAAATAAGGTTTGTACTCTTTATTAAACATAAACTTTTCTAATTTAATCTATAAAATCTATTTAATCATCAAAATTATTGAAACCTGGGTTACATGTTCTTGTAACACCATCTTTTTCAATTAATCTATTTAAAGTTTCAAAATCTTCTTCTGATAGTTTAAAAGTTTTTAAATTTGAGATGATTCTTGATTCAGTGACTGATTTTGGTAATACAACAGTATGTCTTTGAACAGCCCATGAAACTAAAACTTGAGCAGGTTCAACTTCATTCTTTTTAGCAATTTCAACAATTGTTTCATTTTTAAATAATGGAGAATCAGCTGAACCTAATGGAGAATAAGCTTCTAATAAGATATCTTTTTCTTTTAAGTAATTATATAATTCAGGTTGAGTTAACAATGGATGTGCTTCAACTTGATTAACTGCTGGTACAACATCAACACCGTCTGCTGATAATAATTTTTCCAATTTTTTAACTGTAAAATTTGAAACTCCAATTGCTTTAACTTTATCACCTTTTTTATAGATTTCTTGTAATTTTTTCCAAGTATCAACAAAATCATGGTCAGGATATGGTTCCTTAGTTTCAGGATTGGTTGATACTGGCCAATGAATCAAATATAAGTCAACATAATCTAATTTCAATTTACCTAAACTTTCATCAAGGGCAGCAGAAACATCCTTATGACGAGAATTCCACAACTTTGTAGTAATGAAAAGCTCTTCTCTTGGTATACCACTTTTTGAAATTGCTTCACCAACAAATTCTTCATTCGCATAAATTGCAGCAGTATCAATATGTTTATAACCATTTTTTAATGCAGCTAAAACAGCATCTACAGCTTCTTTTTCAGAATCAGCTCTCCACGTACCTAAACCAACAGCTGGAATTTTATTACCGTTATTTAATGTGAATACATCTTTATTAATTTGTAAATTTGCAGCTCCCATTTTTGAAAAATATCGTTTAAAAATGAAAAATCTTGGAAAATTGAATTATATTTATAATGGTTACTAAATCTGATTTGTGGAGGTTTTTCTAAAAAGTTCTGATGCCACACATGTTCGATTTTAATTCGTTGTTCGTGGAGATTGGAACAATAAAGCAAGTAAATTGATTATTAATTAACAAGTTAATTCGTTCCGGATTAAAATTTAGAACGACAAGCATGCCGGAGAACTTAATGCATATTGGCCCTAACATCGACTTTGTTTGTGACTCCGATTTTTGTCAAACATTGTGCAGGCCTTGCATATAAAGATAAACCAATAATACTCAACCAACGAAGGGTATAATAAATATTTATGGATATATATACTATAGTTCATTAACCAGTAAAGCAGTATTAATTACTAACAACGTTGCAAGATGTTCAGCAGATTATTAAGAGTAAACATCGTTTGAGATCTAATTTTATATTCTTTACTGTCGTTTTGTTTGAACCGTCGATAGAACGAACTATGCTTAATTGATCTCTTTATATAGTTTATAATCAGGAAATTAGTGGTGTTAATCTACAATTGATGTTTGCAATAATCAATTGATCAAAATAGTGATAATAATTTTGATGCGAGATTAATTTTTTTAATTTTCAACCATTCGTTATCATGACTGAAAATAATCAATATCAACAACAACAATCTTCTTCCACATTCCCAAATTTCTTTGTACCAAAAATAGATTTATCATCTTCATTTAAACCATTTATACAAAATGATAACAAAAATGGTCATCAAAAAATTAGAGAGAGAGAATATAAAGGTGGTAATACATTAGATGAAAGTGTTTTATCAACTTTAAAACGTGATGGAATACAAATTGCTCGTCGTTTATATATAATTGTATGGCCGATGCAATTAGCTAAACTTGCAAAAACTCAACAAACTAAGTTTTTAAATTTTGCTAATCAAAATGGTATAAATATTCCTATACCAGACGGTAATGAAGATGAAAATCAATTTAGTGGTGACTTGGACTTACAAGAAAATTTACATTGGGATTTATGGGGGCCATTATTATTCTCATTAATTTATAGTACTGTATTAGCTACTTCATCAAGTCAAGCAAATACTGTTTTCACTGGAAGTTTTAGCTTTATTTGGATTTTTTATATTATAATAGGTTTAAATGTTCAATTATTAGGTGGTACCATTTCATTCCTCAGTGCAATTAGTGCAATTGGTTATTCAATGTTTCCAATAGTATTGGGAGAATTATTTTGCTCTTTATTAATTAAATGGAGATTAATTAGATTATTTTTAGTGATTATTTTAGATATTTGGAGTATTTATGTTGGTGTTATGTCGGTCAAATGTTCTGGAGTTTATCCTGGAAGAGTTTTATTGGCAATGTATCCAGTTGGATTATTTTATACGTTATTATCATGGTTAAGCATCATAACATAAATTCATATACTATTTTGGCTGCGAAATATTAAAACTGAATTTTTTTAATCACAAATATCAAATTCATGAGTGAATCAAAATCAATTGATACATTAAGACAATCATTTACTTTAGATTATTATGATCAAGAATCAAATGAAGCATTTATACAAATAACAAAATTATACAATAATGTTCAATTATCTGAAATTTTATTTTTATTACCTAAAATTTTTACATTTGATGAAATTGCTCCTGTTATGCATTTAATTATTGGCTGCACATTGATTAAACTAGGTAGATCTACCGCTGGTTTAAGAGAAGTTGGTTATGCAATATGTAAAGCACAAGATGACAAAACAAGAAAAGAATTTCTCAAAACTTTAGCATTTGCATTTATTCAATATTTGAACGACCCAGTTATGGCTAAAAATTGTCTTGGTGAATACATGGATATATCAAGAGGAAACATTACCACTGAAGCGGATTTTCAAAATATGCAAAACGAAGTTATTGAATTAGATAAAAATTTGAAAAATTCAAAACCTGAAGTTGTTGTGATTAAATCATTTGAAGAACAAGTCTTGGAATTAAGTAAAATGAAACAAGAAGAATTATTTGATGACGATTCATTTACTGGTAAATCGTTAATTGTAATAAGATACTTACATCAATGTGAATCGGAACTAAGTAGATGGGCAAATGATAAAAGGTCTAAAAACAGTCCATTAAGAATATTGATTGAAGCTATTTTTACATTTGGTCCATTGATTTCCTATAATTCTATTTTCAAATTTGAGCCTGTTTTGAATAAATATATGTCAAATTTATCTCAATTTCAAAAGAAAAGATCTTTTTCAATGTTTCCAATCAAGGAAGAAACTTTAGATCCAACATTTAGTCATATTCATGTTATCAGAGGTTTTGTTTCAATGCTTAGACATCAATATAAAGAAGCAGTTTCTTATTTTGATCAAGCTAATTTTTCAGAAGAAGTTGATTTATTAAAATGTTATTGTCAAGCAAATGATGTAGAATTTAAAAAATTAAAATCATCATTAGCAGTTGTATCCTCATCTTCATTTGGTTCAAATGATTCTTTCAAGTTATTCACAATTGCTAAACTTCATGAAAGATTAATGATGCAACATAAGTTTAAAAAGCACAGAAGCGACGAATTTTTTGCCCTGATGAAATTCTTCATTACTGGGATTCTTTGTTTACCAGTTGATGATTTATATTACTGTGAATATTATGATAAAATGTTGGATTTATTAATTAGAAGAAAATCTGAAATTGAAGTTATTACTTTTTTTTACATTTTGAGAAATTATTATGGTTTAAAATCTGAATATAATTATTTGTACATTCCAAATTTAGTTTACGATTATAACTGTGATGACAAAATTATGGAAAGGATTCAAGAAGTTTTGAAAAATTTACAAGATAAAAGAAAAATTGAATGTAAAGAAACTTTTTTGATAGAATATTGGTATGAACATCATATTGAAATTAAGGGAAAAGTTCCTAATCCAATCGAAGTAGTTTATAAGCAAATTGTTCATGATTGAATATATACTATTAATCTCTAAGATATTATTGTTACTATAAGTGCTATAAATGATAAAATTGAATAATTTAGTGAACTTGCTTGATTGTAAGAATATTCAGATGTGAACAGACTCATACTAAGGCTTGATGTATGACTAATGTTGGTTGTATTTAATGATGTAGTTATGGGTTTGCTTGTTGTTACTGTTGTAATGACGGAATTCGTGACTTCTGTATTAACTGAATCCGTCACTTCTATCTCATCTATCGTCAACTCTTGTAATAGTATAGATTGTGAATCTAAATCAAAAATTGTATAATAATTTTTCAAAAATGCAGCTCCAAGTATCCAGTACTCATAATCTAATCCTTGAATTTTACTAGCGCAATATCCAGATAATGCTCCAGTATATTCTAAACCTTTAATAAGATCAGTATGCAAAGTAAATTTCTCCCCATTTTCAGTTTCAAATGTAATAGAATTTGTTGAATTACATAAAAATGCAAAATTTCCATTTTCATCGTATAAGAATCCATCACCAAATAAAGCATCATGTAGTACTAATGAATCATTAAATGGAACAACTATCCCAGTAGTACCTGAATCAAGAATTGCTGATCTATTCATTAATGTTGTATTAATTGAAATAGTTGAGTTAAATAACCAAAAGTTATTAAAATTGGGTATAATAGGTATTGTAATTGCAGGATTGTTGAATATTTCATGGTCTGCATCACTTCCAAATAATACTAGTCCTCCATAAGTATCTTGCTGGTATTTCACATTTGATAAATATAATCCAAATTTATGCTGATTTATAATTCCATTATTGTGTAACCTACTAACGATATTTCTACTCGATTTCTCTGAAGAAATACCTAGTAACCCACTTAAATAATAATCTTTGAATATAACAGGATATGTCAGTGTAATACCTACTGAATAATTAAAATTTAAATCGTTGATGTTTGCAACAATTTCGTAATCCTCTAAATTCACCACCTCTCCACTTACTTCATCGTTTGTATATCTTAAGCTAAAATATTCACCGTCAACATCTGGATAATTGAATTTGGTCACATTTGAATATTGACAATTTAATTCAGTACATGAAGAATTATAAATCCATGCAATTGAACTACCTGTATCTAACAATAATGGAAACTGGTTTTGATAATTGTTAGGACCCCTCAAAGTTAAATTCAAATAGTATATGGAATTTAAGTCGTCAGTAGATAAAAATTGTAACGTGTTTGATTTAGTCAATTTTGATTTATTTATTACTTGTTTATTATGTATTAAAAATGATGATTCAAGTATTTTATCTTTCTCCAGTTGAAAATTAGGTATCCTAAAATCCTTTATTGGTAATAATGCAAATGTACATTGTATAAATAAGAATATAAATAGTATCATCTATTCAATTGTTGAAGTTGATGATTATTTTATTGAAAAATTTACGAAAGGTATATGCTTCTCGGTTATTTGTTTTAAATCGAGATCAAAATCTTTTTTTGTCCGGATTAGGAAAGTCAATTGATATTTTATCAAAACAACGCGAGAAAATCATAACAAGAGCTGAGAAGTCGATAGAGTGAGTATTTTGTAGCTGACTGATCTTAATTTGTTCAACTTTTTCGAGAAAGACTTAATCCATCTTGACAAAGTATATTTTCTTCGATGAAATGATCCTTTCTAATGATTTTCTGAAACACATTTACTTATGCAGTTCCAACATAGTTAATCTTGAAATTTAAATTGTAAACAACTCACTCAGCATTGAAGACTGATTTCTCAAACTAACTTCATTAAATTGGAAATTGAATTAGAGATTGAACGATGATGGAGTTCGTTGAGGAAAGGCAAGTTTGATTACCTTATTCAAATTTCAATAAATGAAGAAAAACGCTATTTTGCAATATAATTTGCACTTAGAGTTCAATTATCAACTTCTGATATAGTTGATTGAATTCAGTTAATCTTGAACAATGTAACAATTTCTCGCGTTAATCAAGAGGCGACTCGTGTCAAGCTCATTGGCATATATATCACGAGTAATACATTTTCTTGAGATAAATTCCAATTTTATTAAATCTTTTCTTGAGATAAAGACCATCTACATGAGAGCAAGAGCCTTGAGACAAATAGTTTATGTTGCAAGGTATTCGCTGAAGCTCAATTAAAAACTAGCTTAATCAATCACTTTTCACAAAAATTTCACATTTTGGTGAATTTCTAAGTAAACAAAATTTCCAACTAGGAACATGTAAAATAAATAGAGTAAATGAAATCTTAATATACTAAAGGAGAGAATAGATAGAATATTTGATTTATTTGATCTGAATTTACATAATCTGTCGGGTGTTTCTGTTTGAAGTGGCCATCTAGACCTCACTTAAAATTTGAAATAAATTATTTTCTTCGGAAATGGCACACCTGTATTTTAAGTTTGTTTGAAAATGATAAATTTCAAATATGTTTAATGCACAGGTTCAACTCACTAATGATGATTTAGTTTTTGTGAACAATCGAAGATGATTTCACATAGTGTTATCAAATGCTTTCACTTTATGCTAGCCTTCCTGCTGATTGTGAGTTTGAATTTTTATAAACACTATAAATGATCTTACTTTTTACTGTAATTGCATAAAACCTATCACACACAGTAATTTTTCAATGTTTGTTTGATGCACTACGCGGACCAATTAGATTTATTCCGAGCGCAATTTTTTTCTTCTCTCGGGTTAATGCAGCGCCTTTTTTTGACGTGTTCTATTATATTCATCATATGCATAGAATATAGATTTGTTTGCAAAAAACCAGTGTATATTAAATTCTATCTATTCCTTTTTTCTATTCTTTCTCCTTTTTTTTCTTTCCATCTTACTTATTTTATTTAGATCTTCTTCACTTGGTTCATAAATATGCCATATTACATAATGAGGTAACCCACCAACTGAATAACCCATTTTTTTAGACATTTTACCATAAGCTTCAGTTTCCGCATGATTTTCAAAAGTAAAAGCAGCAAAATGAGAACCTTGTCTAAAAGTTTTTGCTTTTGCTAATATTGAAACACCACCAATTCCATCTAAATCAACAATTTCATTTTCATTACCATTTGGATCTCGAATATAAGCTAAATGAGCTCTCCAAGTGGGGTATTCAGCATAGCCTTCAACTATAACATCATCTTCATCTAAAGTTTTTGCTAAATCTAATGCAGGTTGTGATTCAACCCATGAATTTAAATCATAAGGTTGTTCATCACCTAAAAATTTAGGTAATGGTCTCCATACATTTGGAACAATAACATCATAATCAAACAGCATTAATTTTTGTAAAACATCTCCATTTATTAATTCTAAATCTGCATCTCTCCAGTAAACCCAAGAATGATAAGGTTTTAAAGCTGATGAAGTTAACCAATTTCTTGCTCTACCCATTAATTTTCTACGAACTCCTTGAACTTTAACAGCATGACGATCACTAAAACCTTGTCCAATAACTTGACCAAAATCTTTTTTATATATAGTAACTGATCTAAATGGAGATTTATAGTTCTTATCATGTGGTTTATCCTTATATGCAGCTTCAACTGCATCCATATATGATTTTGGCATATATTGTTTATATAAATCATTTGAACCTTCTACCGTGCGTTCTTTTTCTTCTTCTTTTCTTAATAAATCATATAAGGTACCATTTTGTAATGCAACTGAATATTGAAAAACTGTTTCCAATGTAGTATCACCTTCTGAACAATCTGATACTAAAAATGCAATATCTATTAAACTATGATCATATGTTAAATTCATTAAATTATAAAAAGCCATGGGTAATACATGTTCTGCATTTCTTAAAGGCATTAAAAATAATACAATATCTCCATTACCATCTTTATTACCTTGATAATTATTTAAATCATAAAATTCTATATTATCTAATTTATATAAATTTTCAGTATTATTTATAATTTCTTCAACTCCTGACTCCGTCACTTTAAATACTTGTTCTTGTGTCTCTTCTTTTTCGCTACTGGTCTCTATGGGTATCGTAGGTTGTACATTATATGTGAATCTTGAATAAATAGTAAATGAAATTAAACAAACTAGCAAAATGTAAAATATTCTCTTGATTAATGTTCGACTTGAATGTTTCTTGGGTTTGAATTTATTAAAACTGGAACAGTAGTTAGTATTTTAAAATTAATTAATCTTGGATATTTACTTACATTGGTAAGTCTGTTTGTTTACCGTAAAGATCCGGAGTTAGTGATCTTAATGGCATTCCCACCTTTGAACTGAAACTTGAATCTGTTTATATACAATTATAATTTTCAACAAAAAAATATTTACTGCGAAAAATTGATTCTCTATAGAAAACACTATATATTTGGTTTAACTTCTTCTAAATTATCAAACCAGAAGTTCTTTAATAAATCCCAACATTTGATAGCTATTCCCAATGCCCTATCTTCAGTATTGGATTTACCTTCGATATAAACTTTTAATTTTGGTTCGGTACCTGATCCTCTACATGTAAATCTAACTTCTTCATCATCTTCTTTTTTTAATTTCAATATACCTGTAATTAGTTGTGAATTTGGATCAGTAGGTAATATAGGTTTATTATCTTTTGTATTTGATTGATAACCTAATGTTAAGTCAATCCATTCAATAACTTTAAAATCACCTAATGTCTTTGGAAAATCACCTGTGTATCTTCTAACTTTAGATTCAAATACTTGATTTACATTTGTAGTTCTATAATATCCATTATAAGATTTAAACCAACCATATTTATTATACCCTTCTTCTAATTTATCAAGTACATCATGTTCCCTAAACCATTCTTGATATAATTGTAAAAATACAATAGCTGCTGAAATACCATCTTTATCATGAACTAACTCGAACATGAAACCAATTGCTTCTTCATATGCAAAAGGGACTTTAAATCCATTTTCTAAATCAATAGCCTTATTCCCAATCCATTTAAATCCAGTTAATGTATCAATATAATTAAATCCATCAATTTCACTCATTGATTTTAATACTCTTGATGAAACAGTCGAGTTTATAAGATAGTCATCCTTTTTAGCATTTACATACATTGCGAATAAAAATCCAATTTCATTACCATTTAACTGTTTCCAACCTTTTTTTGTATTTACAGCAACACTAAATCTATCAGCATCTGGATCATTAGCTATCACAAGTCGATAATTTAATTTCTTTGCATATTCAATAGCTAAATCTAATGCACCACTTTCTTCAGGATTCGGAAATGTAACTGTTGGAAATTTAGGATCAGGTTTTGCTTGTTCTGGTACTATTTTCCAATTTGAGTTAAAACAGGGCATAATTTTTTCAAATATATCTAAACCAACACCATGCATTGGAGTATATACGAAATTAAAATTTAAATCTTTATGTCTTATTAATTTTTCATTCACTTGTTTTATATACTCATTTGTAGTTTCCTCTTTTACATGGACAACCAGCTCCAAATGCTCTTTTGTATTCCATACATTTTCCCATGGTATTAAATTTTCATCTATTGAATCACTTATTTCTTTATCTATTGGTGGTATAATTTGACATCCATTTGAATAATAAACTTTATATCCATTATCTTTAGCTGGATTATGACTTGCAGTGATCATTACACCACAACTAGCACTATAATTATCAATAGCAAAAGGAACCAAGGGAGTATGAACAAGATCCAAATAGTAAACTTTAACATGCTTGACCACGGCTACTGATGCTAAAATTTCAGCAAATCTTTTTGAATTAAATCTATGATCATGACCAATTACAATACTTGGTTTTGTAAAATCTTTAGTCAATATAAAAGCAATTAAACCTTGTGATGCTTGTAATACAGTCACATCATTCATATGAGCATATCCCGATTCCATTGAAGATCTTAAACCAGCAGTACCGAAAGCAATCCTAGGTATCATTTTTTTAGTTAAAGTATTATAATCTTTATCATTTACTAATTGTTTAATTTCATTTCTTGATTCTTCATTTGGATCAATTTTTAACCATGATTCTATAAGTTCGTTTAATTCTTTATTCATTATTGCGAAGAAAAAAAAATAGACGGTGGAAAATTGGTATAATCGTTCTATTCTACCACGAGCACACATAATTGCAAAATAATTATCATTATTTATTAATTATACAAGATTTTATAAATTTATTTGATTTAATATCAATTGATAATAGTTGAATCGGTTCACCCTGTAATAATTTAACAACAGTAGATACAAATTCCAAATTATTAACCTTTAAATCAAACTGACTTATCAATTTCCACTCTTTATCCTTTTTCATAAATCGATATAATTTACAATGTGTTTTAGTCCAAGTAATTATTAAATTTGAAGTTGGATCAATTATAAAATCATCTATCAATTCTACTATTTCGATCTTTGAAATTTCGATTGATTTTCTTAAATCTATAATCTGAATTGTTGAATTTTCATGATTATTTGATTGAATTAATAGCCAATACCCATTAGATGCAAATCGTATTCTAACTACCTTGAATGGTGAATCATAGGAACCTAATTCTGCACCGTTGGATATACTTAATATATAAACTTTTTCTTGCTTTATAGCAGCTAGTATTTCACCATCTTGATGTAATGTGCCGTGTGAGATTGTATCCTTATAATTAACTAACACCTTTTCTGTATTAATAATTGACCATGAGTTTTGTTGTAGTATGATGAATAGATTTAATGATGGATGATTTATAATTTGTTCGACATGGGATGGAAGTTTTATCTGATTATCATCAATAAATATTATATTTGCTTTCAGGTATGCTATTAGTTGATTATTATTAATTGTAAATTGATCAGCATGTGCAGTTTTACTTGATATTTCATCACCATTGATACTATAAATTATCAATTTATCTTTTTGTTTGCCTACAATTACATCAATCTCATTATTATAATAAAAGTCAATTATTTTCTTTTTATATTTCACTTCTGAATCCATTTCATACACTATATCATTTAATTCAATTTTTACCTTTTGTGACTTATGTTTTTGAAATAATTCCTGTTTTGCTTGATCTATATCATCAATTTTATCTTCTTCAACTAATGTAGTTGTTAATTTTTCAAGAGCCATTCTAGCATCATCTCGTTCTTGAATTGCTTTGGCTGCTACATTTATAGCAGCATCTTGTTTATATAATGAAATTGATAATTCTTGTTTTGCCAATTGTAATTGTTTCTTCAAAGTGAAATTTTCCAATACTATTGAATCATATTCATTTTGTAAATTTGATAATAATGAAGGTATTGAATCAGTAACTGGTGAATTTAAATTTTGATTATTTAATTGATTAATGGGTATTAAATCATCAATTGTTAATTGTTCATTATTTATTGGATCTTTATCAAACTGTTTAATATAATTTATAATATGTTTCTTTTCAAATATACATCCACTTTTAGGTGATATAACCGGTTCAATTGTTTGTTCTCCAGATATTGAACAAATCATTTTGGTACTTACTGTTTGATGATGTGAATGAAAAATAAAATTTGTTTACCAGACAGAAAAATAAAACGAAGAAATGAAAATTGGCATTAAAAATCGTATGTATATACATTATTGATTGAATTGAATAAACTATGAAATATCAAGTGTTCGTTGCATGCTTACGATGACTTGCCTTGTTTCAGAATTAAATATCATGTCTTTCTTATATCCTTACAGTATTTTCAGATGATTATTGCATCTTTACTACACTTTACCATCTTTATGTTCATAAGCTATTTCATGAGGTTCTTCTTTCTTAACTGCTCTATATCTTTTTCTGCCAGTTCCAAATAATCCACAACAATGTCCCAATAAATTGAAAAATATAATCAATATACATGCAACTACAGCACTCCATATAAATGCATAAAAATTTATTGATAAAAATGATTTAATACCAAAATCTTCAACATTATCATTAATTTGACCTTTTACAAAATAATAAACACCAGTAACTAAACCAGCACCAACTATAGCCAATATAAATATTATAAATTCAAACAAAAAATTTAAAAATGATAAACAACATTTATTTGGTGAACAACAGAAACCAAATAATTGAAAAATTAATGAAATAAAACTTAAAACAATTACAGTTAAAATTAAAGCAAAACCAGCTATAGTTAAATCATTTAATTTTTTCAAATCATCATTTAAATTACCAGGTAAATTAAAATCGTCATCTGTTAAATTATCAAGTAAAACTTTTAATTCACTTCTTAACTGATTTGATAATTGATTGATTTCCAGTGATTGATCATCAACTTGAATTCCATTTAAAGTATTATTCATTTCATTCTTAAAAATTTCAACTGGATTGAAAAAAAACCCCGGGGTTGGATCTGAACACCAAGTCCAATTTATATTTGAATTATCAAAATTATCAACAAATGTACCACTTGAATTATTATTTGTGTTTTGTTCTTCAACTTGGCCTCGACAATAACCCCAAAAACTAATTGAATAAACATCAGCAATACCGAGTAATTGAGGAGTTGTATTTTCTAATAAATCATTTATAGCAGCAGATACAGTTGTATAATAACCAGCATTACCATTACCATTACCATTACCGTTACCTACGCCAGGTATAGCACTTTGTATAGAACTTTGAACAGAACTAGGTTGGGAATCATACCAACTTTCAATAGCTGAAGGAACTGAACCAACTGTAGCTGTTGCTAATATAGAACTTGCTTGATTGACATAATAATTACCAGAATCAGTTGATTGCCAATCTCGTTTATTTATATTTGTTGAATTTATAATTTGTTTTAAATCTAAACCATTTAAATGAATATTTAGTAAATACGTATTTGTTAAATATGATTCATTTTTATAAGAACCAGTTAAACCAAATATTGATAAAATCATACATGCTAAAGTTAAAAATATTAATATTATTCTGAATATTTTAAACATTATAACGAAATAAAAAAAGACCCTTGATTATAATAAATTATTGGAAATTAAATTATATTTATACTAATCATCAAATCAATAAAAAAATGATCCGTAGGTAAATAATAATAATTACTACCACATTAATATATATAAATTCGCTTAAATATAGTAATGATGATGTAGTACAAAATCAAAAACTATAATGTGAATGCTGGCTGTACCTTTCAAAGTTTCTTATTATATCCTTAAAATTAAGCTTTTGGTTGTAAATTCGTTGCAAATAATAAATGGTTAAAAATTTAGTATGCGCATTAAATTTTCATTATCAACAAATTTTTCTCGTCTATAACCAGCCATTTTTTCTTGTATTTAGTAGTAGTAGCAGTAGTAGTAGTAGTAGTAGTAGTAGTAGCAGTAGTAGTTGTGGCAGTAGTGGCAGTAGTGGCAGTAGTAGTAGTAGTAGTAGTAGTAGTAGTAGCAGTAGTAGTTGTGGCAGTAGTGGCAGTAGTGGCAGTAGTAGTAGTAGTAGTAGTAGTAGTAGTAGTAGTAGTAGTAGTAGTAGTAGTAGTAGTAGTAGTAGTAGCAGTAGTAGTTGTGGCAGTAGTGGCAGTAGTAGTAGTAGTAGTAGTAGCAGTAGTAGTTGTGGCAGTAGTGGCAGTAGTGGCAGTAGTAGTAGTAGTAGTAGTAGCAGTAGTAGTAGTAGTAGTAGTAGTAGTAGTAGTAGTAGTAGTAGCAGTAGTAGTTGTGGCAGTAGCAGTAGTAGCAGTAGTAGTAGTAGTAGTAGTGGCAGTAGTAGTAGTAGTAGCAGTAGTAGTAGTAGTAGCAGTAGTAGTAGTAGTGGCAGCAGCAGCAGTAGTACAATATTAATAATAATACATTTGTTAACTATATATATAAACTCACTACATTATCACTCATTATCATCCTCATTCATTTAAATCGTCAAAACCGTCTAATAACTCTTTTTCAAGATCCTCTAGATCATCATCATCTTCTTCATTATCATCTTGTTCATCTTGTTGATCTTGTTGATCTTGTTCATTTGTCTTACTCTTCTTTTTCATTTCTTCTTCTTCTTCTTCTTCTTCACTTTCATTTTGATATTCCATCTTTCTCTTCTTGTTACTATATAGATTCTGTATAAATGAATTAGTCCCATTATTTATTGTTGATCCTTCCTCTTCTTCATCTTCTTCATCTGCAATTATTGGATTTCTCATATCTTCATCTTCTTCATCGGTTAATCCTGCCAAGAAATCATCAACTTCTTGATTTGCTTCTTCAAAATCATCATAATTATATTCAAAATCAGTAATTGCATCAATCGCTGTTGTTGTTGATGATGTTGAATCTTTTAATTTTTCTTTATCTTCCATTAATTTTTTATATCTTTCAATTTCTGAATCTTTTATTGTCCATAATTTTGGATTTGATGTTGATATTAAATAATCTTTTTCATCTATTTTTTCCCAATTACTTAAACATGAAAATAACCAATCTGGATTAACTATTTTTATTGAATCTGGATATAATTTTTTAGTTAATCTTGCTTTAAATGTAGGTCCAATATCATCTGAAATATCTCTACATACAACATGGGTTACATCTGATGTTACTTCATTAACTACTTTAACTCCAAATTGTTTACACCAAATTACAATATCTGCTGAATCAATATTTATACCTAATGGAATTATACCAGAAAATAATATAGTTAAACCTTGTAAACATTTTGATTTCATATTGGGTATTATTTCTGTTAAATTTGGTTGTTCTCCTGCTTTATATCTATTATAATATTCAAGATGAATATTTTCCAATGTTTTATTTAAACTTTGTAATTCATTATCATCATCAAATAATAAATTTTCTTCTTCATCTTCTTCACTTGAAACACTTCCATCACTAGATTTTTCATGCATTTGTTCTAAATCATGTTGTAATTTAGCTAAAGGTCGTTCATGTTGTTGTTGTTCAATTGATTGATTTCGAGTTAAACTTTGTTCAAGCAATAAATTTTTATTATCTTCACCACCACCTAATTCCAATATTCTTTCATAAACTGGAGATGTAGTTGACGTTATAGTTTGTTGTTTTTGCTTTTGCTTTTGTTTTTGTTTTTGTTTTTGTTGTTTCTCTTCTTGTTCTTGTTCTTGATTCATTTCTAATTTTGCAATTGATTTTCTTCTTTTAGTTGGTCCCATTAATTGACCTGATTTTTTAGGTAGGAATGAAGAATTAATATCACCAATACCAACAAAGAAATCATATGGTACAACTTTAATTAAATTACTTTCCCATTGCCAAACATCACCTCTATCATCAATTATAACAACCATTGATTGATCAACGGGGAATAATCTTTTCAAATTTTTGTGAGTTAATGAACCACTTTCATCTCTACTTAATATTCTATCACCAAAATATTTACCTTCAGGATCAATAATTTTTGCAATTGCTAATGCATAATTTCTTGTAGCCATTGTATAAATATGCATTTCATATAATTCATTCATATTTGATAAAAATTCATTTAAACCAGGACGTATTTTAACATAATACCAACATTTAGTCAGTTGTAATTTTGGACCTGTCCAACCAATAGGTACAATTGGATCTTCTTCAAGACAAAATTTTTCAACATCTTTAACAGCTTTATAATTTGGATTGGAAGGATCAGACTGCCATTCTCCAACAGTTGGATCAACAGTAGCATGAATAACAGTTTGATCTAAATCGACAACAAGTATCAATTTTGATTCATTTGTTAATCTATCAGTTGTTGAATGTTCAATTTTTGCAGCTTCATCAAAACTTATCTTTAAACCAGATTTATCATGACTCATTTCAATAGTAGCTCTTTCTTCATAATTATAACCAGAATAATCTTTTTCTTCTTCTAAAGATTTACCACATAAAGCACATAAACCACCATATTGAACAGAATGATTACAAGCTTCTTTAATTAAAAATAATTCAGTTTCTTGGGATATTATTTCGTCTTGTAAATTTATATTAATTTTTTTAATTTCGCCTTCAATTGGACTTTCAAAAGTACCTATTCTTTCCACTCTTGATTTAATTGGTGTTTCATCACTTGAATCTGGATCTTCTTGATAATCCCAATATCTATATTTAAAAATTGGAAAATGTTTTGTAATTTGATCTCCAATGTTACAATCTATAGACAGTATAATAATTGGGAATGGTATAGATTGATGTGGTTTTATAGCTGTCAATTCAGACATATTGTTATATTATGTGATTATTTGTATATTGGTCTCTTTTTACCTTTCGCTTTGTTTTGATAAAAAAAAAAAAAAAAAAATTATGTACTGAAACTAACAAACAAACAGTTAGAAGGGCTACCATATATCATGGGATATTTAACTGATAGTCACTGTCATTTCCACCCTGAACTAACAAGACATGAGTTAGACAAGTTTATAGATATATTGAATAATGGACATACATTCAAAGAGAAACTGTTACATTTAATGACTACTCAACATATTGATTTACAATATATCGATATTTTGTTAACAAATTTAATGGATGCAAAATTTATTATTGTACCTTATTTTGGTATACATCCATGGTTTAGTCATTTATTTACATTACATCATATAGATAAACAAGATCATTATAGAAATGTATTAAAACCTCAACCTAATAAGGAATTACTCGAGAAATTACCAGAGCCAATCTTATTAGATGATCATGTAGCAAAGATTAAACAAATTATTGCAAAACATGAATTAGACGTGTTCGGATTTGGTGAAATTGGTTTAGACAAATTATTTAAGATTCCAAATAATGGTTACCTTGGTAATTTAAATTATTTAAATGATTTAAATGATGGTAGTAGTAAATTATTATCAAGTAGTAAAGTTATTATATCACATCAAATTGAAGTAATGAATAAATTTTTAACATTGGCTACTGAGTTTAATAAACCAGTGAGTCTACATTGTGTAAAAGCGCATGGTCCATTATATGATAATGTTATAAAATATAAAGATTTAACTGTATTGTTACATTCTTATACGGGATCTATTGATCAAGCTAAAATATGGATAAAGAATAAATCAAATTTATATTTTTCATTAAGTAATTGGATTAATGGTGAGAAGGAAGAATTACTCAAACAATTACTAGAAATTGTTAAACCTAGTCAAATTGTCACAGAAAGTGATATATACATAGATAAACTTTTCATTCAAGGTAAAAATCAAGAATATTTTAACCATTTACAAGGTATATTTGATAAATTAAACAGTTATATAAACATAGATGTTGATCAACTACATAAAAATATGTTAAAATCTATAAAATTATAAACTATAAATTTATAATCAATAAATTATTTATAATCTTGATTTAATAATATCAACAAATTCAGGTTTTAATGAAGCACCACCAACTAAAAATCCATCAACATTTGCTTTATCTTTGAAATCTTTTGCATTTTTGCCATTAACAGAACCACCATATAAAATTCGAATTTTTTCAGCTTGATCTTCACCAATTGTTTTTCTTAAATGATCTCTAATACCTTTGTGAGTTTCTTCTGCATCATCTGGAGTAGCTGCTAAACCAGTACCAATAGCCCAAACTGGTTCATAAGCTACAACAATTTTTGACCAATCTTTTATAATTTTTGATACTGCATCTAATTGTCGTGCACAAACATCCAAAGTGATATTTTGTTTTCTTTCATCTAAAGTTTCACCAATACATAAAATAACTGATAAACCTTTATCTAAAGCATATTTAGTTTTTTCAGCAATAAATTCATCCGATTCTTTTATTATAGTTCTTCTTTCAGAATGACCAGTTAAAGTCCAATTAATATTTAAATCTAACAATTGTTCAGCACAAATTTCTCCAGTAAAAGCACCACAACTTTTATTAAAAACATTTTGAGCACCAATTGAAACTGTTTTTTGTTTATTTTCATGAACTGCTAAATCTAAATATAAAGAAGGAGGACATATAACAACCTCAACTTCTGAAGGTAAATTAGATTTATTTAAATTATCAATAATTGAACTAACTGATTGTTTAGTACCATTAGCTTTAAAATTACCACCAACAAAGAATTGACGACCCATTATAATAATAATAATATATTATATATCAATTGAAGTTAATAAAGAAACAAACAAACAAACAAAATAAGAAAGAAAGAAAGAAAGAAAGAAAGAACAAATTGAAATTTTTCGTTGTAACGGGAATTGAAGGATAAATCGTGCAATTTATAGTAATTTACAGCAAACGAGAAAACCCGCCGCCAAATTCGCAAATTGTCGTCCGGGGGTGGCAGAGAAATTAATTAATACTGCATTGTATTTGTTTTTTTTGTACTGACGTATTGCATCAACTGATTCAGTATTCATATGAAATTTATTAGTACACGCTTATACAAAATTTATTTATTATGTAATAAATTATTTATTTATTACGTAATGATTTGGTTATTTATTATGTAATGATTAATGTATTTATTATGTAATAATTTATTCATTTATTCATTTATTCATTTATTCACTTATTCATTTATTTATTTCATGATGTTGATGTTCATGATAATGTTCTGACTCTCTCTTTAATTGTTCATAATGTGCGTGAAATGATTCAACACTATTAACAACACTTTGATTATCTATTCTAAATCTCGATACTAATTTATCTTTATCAGTTTCTATACTATCATTATTATCATTATTATTATTATTATTATTATTACTTTTATTGTTTTTATCTGGATTATTATGTATCGTTTTATATAATTGGTGTATTTTCTTATTTTTTAATTTTAAATCTTCAATAGATTGTTTTTGTGCTTGTATAATCAATTGTATTTCTTCATCTTCTACTTCATATTCTTCTCCTGTTTCTTCATTAACTTCTTTTATTATTTCATTATCTATTTCTTTATCATCTTCTAAATCATCCCATGTTTTTAATTTTGTTTTTAGATGATATTTTTGAGTTTTATCATTTTTTTTCATTATTATATATTCACAATGTGGTACATTTTGTAAAGATTCAAATTCTTCATATGTCCATTTAAACCATTTCATTAGAAATACTCTCAGCCAAACTCCATGAGTTACTAACACCAAGATATTTGGAAAATTTTCATCTTTAAATTGTCTAAATAAAGTTTCATTAAATCCTGCAACTCTATCATATACATCACTCGCTGCTTCTCCATTTGCTATTCTATAAAAAAAATGTCCATATCTTGCTCTTTCTTCCCATATTTTTTCCATTTCTTCTTGTGATGATTGAAAATTTCCAAAATCTTGTTCTCTCATTCTTGGTTCTTCTTTAATTTGATATTCAACTTCTGGAACTTGTTTAATACCTTCTACAATATTATGACAAGTTTGTCTAGTTCTTAAATAAGGTGAAGTATAAAAACATATTGATCTTTTATTCTTTTGATGTTGCGATGGTAATTTCTGTTGTAATAAAAAATCCGCTAAAACTTGACCAGCTTTTAAACTTTGTTGATGTCCATTTTCTGTTAGTGGAACTAAATGATTTGGTACATATCTATTAACACTTTTATCACAATTACCTTCTGATTCACCATGTCTTATAATAAATATATATTTTGGTTTACCCATTAAAGTTAAAGTATATTACGCTTACTAAGAATTTACTTTATATTAATATTTTAGATTTATATTTATTTATTTATTTTTTTTTTTTTCCGAAGCTTATATGCAGAATTTGCAACCACTTTTTATTTTGCACCCAAATTTGAAATATAAGCGATAAACAATATTAATAGATTATAAAACGCGTATTTTCTATAATTGACTCAAACAACTACTATCATCCTTACAAAGCTATAATATATTACATAATATACATCCTTACTTTTTATGCTTGTAACTTTCTTTCAATTATTAAACTCTTTTTCAATTCTTCATCACATTGCTTTATAATATCATCAGCAAATATATCAATTGATTGACTACATAATAAATTATTTAATCTTGATGGTTCACTTGGTAATTTAAATATTTGTTTCCATTCTTCTGTATCTAATTCTTTTTCTCCTTTCTTTTGTCTCTCTAAATTTTCCAATTTTCTTTGTTGTTTCCATTGTTGTATTTTACTATTTTCCTTTTGATATTGTCTTTGATAATAATTGAAATTATTTTGATCGTAATTAAATGAATCAATTTGTGAATTTAATGAATCTAATAATTGAAATGTTGAATTTTGATTTGATAATAAATTTAAATTTTCAAAATTTTCCTGAATTGGTTTATTAATACTTGATAAATATAAGTCAACTAATTTTTGATTACTTATAACTAAATTTAATTCACTAAAAATATTTATATATGAAATTTTATTATTTTCTAAATCTTTTGATTTCCATTTACCATCTTGATAAGTTTTCATAAAACCTTGAGATAATCTAATTGCCTTTAAATTAACTTCTTGATTTAAACTTGACATATCATGAATTAATATAAAAATATTTGAATTAATTAATTGTTGTTGAGCTAAAGCTTCAATCAATTGTTGAGTAATAAAATTACCTGATATAGTTGATTGAAACCAACCTTGAAATTCTATACCATAACCTAATTTTTTATAATTTTCTAATAAATCTTTTTGATATTGACTACCACTTCTTGATTTAAATGAACCACCTTCATATTGATCCGGATAAGGAAAAGGAAAAACATTTGTAATATCTATTAATGATTCATCTTCAAAACCAACCAAAGCACCAGAATATAATTGAGGATAATGTTCTGAAGTATGTCTTAATAATGATAATAATACAGATGATGATATATTTATAGTATCAATGGTCATTGGTATATTACTATTATAGTTATTATTATTATGTTGGTAATGAAAATTTTCTCATCAAAAAAATTTTTTTTTTTTTTTTTTGTTCTCTAATTTTTCACATTGTACGATTAAACAACTAGAGAATAGCGACTGGCAATGTCTGATGTTAATCAAGTTACTGATCAAGTTGCTAAAACTTTCTTAGATGAAGTTACTGGTGAACAAGTTTCTAAAACTGAATTAAAAAGAAGACAAAAACAAAGACAAATTGAAGCTAAAAAAGCTGAAAAAGCTGCAAAACAACCTCAACAAGCTCCATCAAAGAAGAAAGATGAATTTGCTGATTTAAATCCAAATCAATTCTTTGAAATTAGATCAAGACAAATTGAAGAATTAAGAGAGAAAAATAATAAAGATTCAAATGAACTTAATCCTTATCCTCATAAATTTGATAGAAATATTAAAGTTCCTGAATTTGTTTCAAAATATTCAAATTTACAAAGAGGTGAAACTTTAAAAGATATTGAAATTAGAATTACTGGTAGAATTATGACTAAAAGAGAAGCTGGTTCGAAATTAAAATTTTATGTTTTAAAAGGTGACGGTGTTGAAATTCAAATTATGTCACAAGCTCAAGATGCTCCTTCAATTGAAGAATTTGAAAAAGAACATGAAATCTTAAAAAGAGGTGATATAATTGGTGTTGTTGGTTATCCTGGTAGAACTGCTCCTGCAAAAGGTGGTGAAGGTGAATTATCAGTTTTTTCTAAAACAATTCAATTATTAACTCCATGTTTACATATGTTACCAACTGAACATTATGGTTTTAAAGATCAAGAAGCCAGATATAGAAAAAGATATCTTGATTTAATTATGAACGATAGATCAAGAGAAACTTTTAAAGTTAGATCTTCAATTATAAGATATATTAGAAAATTTTTAGATGATCGTGAATTTATTGAAGTTGAAACACCAATTTTGAATATTATTGCTGGTGGTGCTACTGCTAAACCATTTAAAACTCATCATAATGATTTGAATATGGAAATGTTTATGAGAATTGCTCCAGAATTATTTTTAAAAGAATTAGTTGTTGGAGGTATGGATAGAGTTTATGAAATTGGTAGACAATTTAGAAATGAAGGTATAGATATGACTCATAATCCTGAATTTACTACTTGTGAATTTTATCAAGCTTATGCTGATGTTTATGATTTAATGGATATGACTGAAATGATGTTTTCTGAAATGGTTAAAGAAATTACTGGTGATTATAAAATTGATTATCAACCAGATGGTCCAGAAGGTAAAACTTTAACTTTAGATTTTTCAAGACCTTGGAAAAGAATCAATATGATTGAAGAATTGGAAAAAATTTATAATGTTAAGTTTCCAGCTGGTGATCAATTACATACTGAAGAAACTAGTCAATTTTTAAAAAAATTATTAAAAGATAATAAATTAGAATGTTCACCACCTTTAACAAATGCTAGAATGTTGGATAAATTAGTTGGAGAATTGGAAGATTCATCAATTAATCCAACATTTATTTTTGGTCATCCACAAATGATGTCACCATTGGCTAAAAAAGATAGAAAAATTCCTGGATTATGTGAAAGATTTGAAGTTTTCGTTGCAACTAAAGAAATTTGTAATGCTTATACTGAATTGAATGATCCATTTGATCAAAGACAAAGATTTGAAGAACAAGCTAGACAAAAAGCTCAAGGTGATGATGAAGCACAATTGGTTGATGAAACATTCTGTAATGCTTTAGAATATGGTTTACCACCAACTGCTGGTTGGGGTTGTGGTATCGATAGATTAGCAATGTTTTTAACTAATTCAAATACAATTAGAGAAGTTTTATTATTCCCAACTTTAAAACCAGAACCAAAAGAAGAATAGATTTAGAATATATATCATAAACGTCTATTAAATTCTCCATTTCGTCTCATTTCTAATGCTTTTTTATATGGTGGTGCTGTTGGTTTTTGTATTGGATCTAACGTTAATTTATCTAGGTTGTTGTAAGTTGCATCTGAGTCTATATCATTAATATCACCACATGATATGAATTTTACCATTTTTCTAGTTTCTTCCGGTATATCAAATTCTTTATCAGTTATTATTTCACTAAAGAAATCTTCAGTACTTTTATTTAAATCTAATTTTGGTTTCCATCCAGGTAAAGGTTTATAACCTAGACATACAACAAATGCTTCTAATGATGTACTTCTTGAAGATTTTGGTTTTGCACAGATAACTTGTTCAAATAAATTTGATAATTGTGAATATAATAAGTCAATATCTTTACCTCTAAAAATTTTAGCAATAAATTTCCCACCTGGTTTTAATAAACATATACTTAATTGTAATGCCGATAGTATTAATTGTGATTGTATATATTCATCTAAATCATGTAAACCAGTTATATCAGGAGCCCCATCGGAACAAATAAAATCAGCCAATTCACCATTAAAATGGTGTAAAATTGTAGTTAAAGTCTTTGGATGAGTTATATCAGCTTGTAATGTTACTACATTATCTATTGGAGTCATTGGTTGTAAATCAACAGCTATAATTTTTGAATCTTCTGGTAATTTTTGTGATAAAACTTGAGACCAAGAACCAGGAGCAGCACATAAATCAACAACATTTTTTATACCATCAAATAAATTAAATTCATCATTTAATTGTAATAATTTAAAAGCAGATCTAGCTCTCCAACCTTCTTCTTTAGCTCTTCTATAATATAAATCTCTTTTATCCTTTGAAGTTTTACCCATTCCAATCAATTAACCAACTCTGAAACACAACCAAACAGAAAAAAAAAAAAAAAAAAAATTTTCAGAATTATCACCAATATTATGATTAAAAGACGATTTCATAATATATCAAGAGTCTGTAAATTTCAAACTCCAAAAGAATATATAAAACAACAGAATATACAAGCAAAAGAAGATTTACAATTAAAACAAGATTTACTAAATACAAATTTTAAATATGATCCAAAAATATTATCATCGAATTTACCAAATAAACAACCAATTAATCTAGAATTATTAAATTATAAACCTTTAAGATTACCTAAAACTCATGGAGATATAGTCGCAGATTTAGAATTGAAAAGTTATGATGAATTAGATTTAAAAAGAATTGGTGATTTTGCATTAAGAGTTGGTTATTATCTTGGTATTCCATTATCACCATTAACAAAATTAAAAACTGAAAAAAGATTATATACTGTTATAAAATCACCATTTGCTCAAGCTAAATCAAAACAAAATTTTCATAGAATTACTTTTAATTATAAAATTATTGCCTATGATTCAAATCCTGATATAATTGATTTATGGTTAAGTTTTATAAATAAATATAATTTTAATAATGTTAAATTACAAACTAAAATAGCATCATATGAAAGTTTAGATTATTTAAAAGAAATACAACAATCAAATCCAGAATATCCACAAGCTTATCAAGGTTTAGAAGATCCAGTGGCATTAAAAGTTAAAGAATTGTTAAATCTGGAAGAATTCAAAAAACACATGTAAATAGACCAATTCTATCCATATACATCCCAATCGTCTTCTTCTTCCTCATCATCCTCTTCTTTAGCTTTATCAATTTCTTGTTGAATTTTATCTTTTCTTTGTCTTTTTAAATCTAATAAATCAATTCTATCTAATGGACAAGTTGAATTTAATTGTAACCATGGACCAATACAATCTAAATCATAAATATGATTAACTCCACGACCACAAGGTAATCTAACAACTAAAGGATATGGATCATCTATAAATTTATTTGTACATATTGGACAAACTTCATTTTTTAATTCTGAAATTGGTACTCTTTCCAAAGTATCTAAAAATTCTGAATCTACTCCCTTTTTCGGTTTATCATCTAAAGATTCTAACATCTGTATTATAGTAGGATTATTTTCTAATTGACCCAAGGCAGTTGATAATATTTGTTCATTTGTTTGATGAATTGTTCTTGTATTTGATAAAAAATTATCAATTATATTTGATAAAGTTTCATGTTGTCTTCTATGTTCATTGGTTGTTATATTATGCTCGTCTAATGATTGTTAGTAGACTATGAGTAGTATTGGTATTAGTTCATACCTTCATAGGTCGACATGGTTCAAGTTTAATGGCGATAAATTTTTTTTCTAGACGTGTATTTCATATACATATTTAATCTATTTCATCATCATCTCATCAACAACTTCTTCTTCTTCTTCTTCTTCTTCTTCTTCGTACTTCTCTTCATCTTCTTCTCTTATATCATATCTTGTAAAATAATCTCTTTGGTTACTCAAATATAATGGTGTCATTGGTGGATCTTCTTGTGGTGTTTGAACTGGATGTAGTATTGGTGAATCAGATCCATTTAGATTATTATTATTATTATTACTTTTTCTTATAAATTGATGATGATTTTTGCTAGTATTAGGAGTTTGATTAAGCCAAACTCTAGACGGTGAATTATTTAACGATGTTGGATCTACATTTGGTGATTCTGGTTCAAGGTTTGATTGTGATATTGATTGTGGTGGAGGTGATGTTAATCTATAATATGGTTGTAATCTTTGAATATTTGAATGACTTATACTATTCTTTCGTATAATAAATGGTTGTGATGATAAATTCGGTGATTTATTATTTGCTTCTGGAGTTAATGATAATAAAGATATGGTTGATGTACTAGGTATTATTCTACCATTTATTTCTTTACCGACTGAAGATGCTAATAACTCTGGCTCTGGATGATCTCCTGGTATAATTTCATTTAAATTATAATATTGTTGTTGTAATTGTTGTTTTTGTTGCTGTTCATGTAATTTTTCTGATAATAAACTCCTTCTAGGTGGCCGTATATCAATACTATTATTATTATTCTCATCTAAATTCATATCATATAATCTATCTGAAGATTTAATCAGTCTTAAACTCATTATTGAATAAGTATAAGAACCGTTATCTATGGTTTGGTTATCAGTAAAAAAAAAAAAAAAAAAAAAAAGATTCTTTAAGAGGTAAAAATTTTCAAAACTTAGTCGTGTGAGTGGATATCAAATATACGCTACCAATTGAATATTTTATATCTTAATATTTTAATATTTACCAATATCATTTGGATCTATTTTAAATATTTTATCAGGATTCATTATTCTATTTGGATCTATTGATAATTTCAATTTTCTCATTAAACTTATTGTATCATCTCCTAATTCCGATAATAAATAACTTCTTTTTGCATTTCCAACTCCATGTTCTCCTGTACATGTTCCTTCATTTTTTAAAGCTAATTCAATAAATTTATTAACCATTGCTTCAACTTCTTTCCTTTGTTCTATTTTATAAAAAATATCAGCATGAAAATTACCATCTCCAGCATGTGCTAATGTTATAGAAAAAAATCCAGAATCTTTAATCATTTGATGCACTTTATATAAAACTTTTGATAATTTACTTAATGGTACAGCAATATCTGTTACCCATATTCTACAATCTGGATCAATTTCATTTCTTCCATATTCAATCATTGAATAAAATGCATTTTTTCTTGCTGAAAATAACTCTTCTCCTTCTTCTTTATTTTCGGCAAATATAAAATCTGATGAATTATTATTTGAAGTAATATCTTTCACAATCTTTACACTTTCATTAACTACTACATCATTTATTCCACCTATTTTGAAAAATAATGTAGGACATTCTAACCATTTTCTTGTTGTATAATTTGAATAATTTAAACAATGCATTATATTTGTATCTAATAATTCTATTGCAGTTGGTTGAATACCACTACGAAATATTTGACTAACTGCTTTCGTTGAATCTGATATACTTGGGAATTGTACAACAACAACAGTTTCAGATTTTGGTTTTGGATGTACTTTTAATGTGGCTTCAGTTACTATACCTAATGTACCTTCACTACCAGCAAATAAATTTGTTAAATTGTAACCTGCTGATGATTTTCTTGGTCTTTTCTTTGTTTTGATAATAGTTCCATCTGGTAATACAGCAGTTATGGATATAACATTGAATGCAGTTGATGCATACCTACTAGCTAGTATACCACTTGCATTTGTAGCTATCATACCTCCAATTCTACCCAGTGGTCCACAATCAGTACCAAATAACAATCCACACGGTTCCAAAATTTGATTCAAATCTTGCCAATTAACACCAGCTTGAACTTTTACATCTAAATCATCATCATTAATTTCTAAAATTTTATTCATTTTGGATGTATCTACAACTATACCTTTTCTAGTTGAATGGAAATGTCCTTCTAAGCTAGAACCACCAGAAAACGGCACAACAGGTACTTTAAACTCATTACATATTTTTAAAATTGTTGAAACTTCCTTAGTTGATTTTGGATAAATAATGTAAATTGGTTTTTCATGAATTAAGGGTTTATGTGTAGTAAATTCATTACCAGTATGATGATCAATTTCAGGTTGGTCATTTTTAACTTCGACATTATCAATCTCCTGTTTAATTAAGTCAATAACACTCGGTATATCTTTTGCATCAATGTATTTGGGTGCGTCCAATTTTTCTAATTTAGTAATTGAAGATTTTGGGAATAAATTTTCTGGTGGGTTTTTTAAAATTGTTGATTTTCCATATTTATAAGCTATAAATGAAGTGGATAGCACTGTGGTCCCAATGATCCCCCATTTAATCAGATTTGGAATTCGTTTCAACATTTCATTAAATGAAAAATTATTTGGTTGATAAGCGCGCAAAAAAAATTTCTTTTGAAAAATTTAGCTGCAAAATACAATTTGAATACTGTGCTTGAAATTGTGATACTTATCAAGTCATGGTTTATATGATCACATATACAACCAAGCGTGTATTATGTTTGCTAATTGAAGAATCTCTTGGTGCTAATCTTGTACGGAAATTTTCAGAAATCTCTTTGAAACTAAATAATTTGTTCTTTTGTTTTGAGGGTTAATTTTTGTAGGGATTAAGTTTCGAACAATTAACAAGTTGATACAAGTCAAAGTAATGATTGTTATTGAATGTTTTAGACGTTTTGAGTTATTTTGAATGGCAAGTGTGGCAAATTTAAAATTACACGAGCAATAAAATGCATTTATAGTAGTTTTTAATATTTTCCACTCAAACAAAAGCCTGCGTGGCGAAATGGTTATCGCTTTTGACTTCTAATCAAAGGATTCCGGGTTCGAATCCCGGCGTGGGTTGTGATTTTTTTTGGTGCCGTAAGTGTTTTGATTAGATCGAAGCTGACGACCAATTTTATTTATACTAGAAATATTTTGAATGCAATTTCCTATACCAAATTTCAATGAATCACTTGGGACCATGTCGTAATTTTCATAATTTGCTTCTAAACTCGTGTTATAGGTAGATCTAGAGCTGTCATTAAAGTTTGTACTTTATTTTTAATCACTATATGAACATTTAATACCCTTCGATATTCATGTACAAGCTTTGAGGTTTGAAACATTACCCACCTTAGATGCATTTGAATATATTGATATTCGTATTCTCACATAAGATTCAACTGTATTCACTTATTCATTTTTTCAAAATTTGACAAATCATATGGATGTTTAATTGTGGTATAATTACGACTTAGACATCATTTCAAAGCGTCCAAACAACCTTATTTGGCTTGCTGTCCCCTACAATCATATTTATTTTGTCGTTAATACGCCATAATGCACCGACTTTCATATAGATTGACATTAGTTCAAAAATGATTGATCGTGACAAAATAGGTCGATACACTTAGTACGAATTCGCCTTAAGATAGCGCAGTAATTTTTTTTTGCCGCACCAAGATCACACAGAAGAGGTAAGCACTTTATTAGCTTAATAAGCTAAATTCTGAAACAAATTTGTTTTATATGCAGTCGTGCTGTATTTAATCATAAGACTCCATTTGCAAATAACTCTATCAGTATTCAAGTTGTAGTTGCCAAACTTTTTTTAATTAAACTTCAGTCGAGTTAGAGTAGAGTTTCTCTGACATTAACTAATAAAACATTTTTCTGATCATCTTATTAGACACCCAAAAACTGGGAAAAAACGCTATTTTGAGGGATGATCAACTCTTAGACCTCATTCAACAACTTCAAATATAGCTGATTTGGATTATTGAATCTCACAGACTATATGTATAATTGTCTCGAGGTGTTCTATTTGATTTGAAAGTTGAATACCTCAACACAATAAATCCTTAGCAATACCCATACTTTGAAAAACAAAACGTATATCGAGAGAATTTCCGAAAAAATTTTTAAACCGCCATAGGTTTTTGACAAAATTCGAACTAGCACCACTGACTCAATTTCGACTAAAAACACATTATTCTTGAACTCGTTGGAACAGAAACATCAGAACAATTTGATTATGGCGGTTAGTAATCGCTTTCTTTTGGTTCCTTAGTGAAATGCGAATAACTCGGGAACATTTGCACGAGGCGAATAGTTTTACATATCAATATACTCAATTTGTTCGATAAACTCGTTTACATTTTTTATATTATTGAAACATGACTTTATATGGGATTTAATTGTTTTTTCAAAAAATTAGAAGGTTTTTATTACGAAGCTATAAGTTAAAGCCGCTTTATTTGAGGTTCACGATGGAGCCTGCGTGGCGAAATGGTTATCGCTTTTGACTTCTAATCAAAGGATTCCGGGTTCGAATCCCGGCGTGGGTTTTTTGCAACTGATACCTTATTCAAATCGTATTTAGTTGAAATTTGTAGCTTATGGAACAACAAATTTGGCTCCAATCGCGTTCTAATTTTTTAAAGTGTAAAAAAACACTTTTTGATAACCAAAGTTATATCAAATTGTAGATCTAGATCTCTAGTTTTAAATGAAATATACTATGTTCAAAAAAACAATTGCCAAAAAGATTGCAACACGAGAGTTTCGCGTATGGTCTCCCACTACACTACTCGGTCTCGCTCTTAGCAGCTTAACTACTGTTGATCGGACGGGAAACGGTGTTCTCTGCTAGATATGGCCGCAACCGAAAATTTGTTTTTTTTATTTCTATATGTAGGAATGTTTGCAATCATGGGATTCGAAAGAGTGTAGCTGTGGTTTGAAGTGGTTGTAGTATTTTGGTCGAGCTGAAAATTTGGGTACTATATTCTTTACGATTTTCAGCGCAAGTTTATCAACTATATTTTAATAGTTGTTAACAAAATTCAAAATTGCGCGTATCAATAATCTATTACGTTCTAATAAAAATTTTGTTATCTAAATGGAGGTTGTTGCAATATACATCAGCAGTCTAGAAGAAATTGTACAGGGTCGAGAAGTTTAAATGCTACATTTCGTTATTCACATTCTATCATTATACATTAAAGACATAAAATAAATATTACGGAAGTATTTCCTAAATGTTTTCCTTTTCTTTTAAATAATTACCTTCATATTGTATTTTATGCATTGGATGAACTTTTGAATATTCAGAATCAGAATCAACATAAATTTTTCTAATGGATGAGTTTTTAAAATAGTATTTTGACATATAAATACTTAATAATCCATAACCTACACCAGCAATTAATACAGCTTTTGGAACAGTCATTTGAAAAGATCTAGCAGCAGCGGACATTTTGTAATATAATTAATTAGTATTGAATAGTTTGTAATTTGATACTGATAGTTAAACCATATTTTGTTTACTATTTATATCTTTTTAATTTTGGTTGCAAAATTATTTTTTTGCAACACAAAAAATAACCTGATTTTTTTTACGCAGTAAATTCTTAATGGAGTGATTTTAAAGTGGGAATAATTAGGAGGTTTACTCCGCTTTTGATATAGTACCACTAATAAAATTTGAATAATGGCCTGATACTCATGAGTATGAGAGGGTTGACTTATGTGAAACGTTATTGCTTACGTTAATAATGACTTAATGAATTAGTTTGAATTAAAGTAATTGTCGCAACGTGTCAATGACTCTCTCGTCTCTAAAGCTTATTAGTGTCAATGACTCTCTAGTCTCTAAAGCTTATTGGTGTCAATAACTAGTCGAAAAATAAAGAGTTGTTAGTTCTTAACAATGATAGTCAAGTGCACAACCATTGATATAATTTTCAGCTTATTCTCAGCTTCAGGATTTTTAAATGTTTTTAAGCAAAAATCAGCAAAATCGTAAAAATATCAACGTACATAAAACACAATACGTAAATAAATAAATATAAGCAAATTACGATGCTTTAACTATTTAAGACTTGTAGTTACTAATCTACAAGATTACAGCACTTGAGATGAAAGGAAGAAATCCATTGATCGTGAGCAAAATAAACCCATCCCAGGACTTGCGCCTAGTTTTTTTTATAACCAAGCAGCTTTAGCTCACCTGGGAGAGCGTCAGACTGAAGATCTGGAGGTACTGTGTTCGAGCCACAGAAGCTGCAATTTGTTTTTTTTTGCAACCAAATTAAGACTAACATTTATTTTATTCTTTCAAACCTAAGGTGCAGTTCTTCGATGATATAAGATTTCAATCTAATTTTATTTTTGTATCACAAAGTAGAGTGTACTTGGTCAACTGTTGATGTAATAGGCCACCTCTAATTTGGTGAATCTTTAAATTTTCATCGTGAACTTACTATTACTCAGTTGAGTAAAATACTGATATAAGAGATTAGTATTTTCAATAAAAATCTGGGTATCATATATTTTAAAAAGTCTTCATTTAAAAATTCATATACAAATTATCATCATCATTATAATCTTCAATTTTTAAAACCTTAACATAATCAATATCGTCGGCCATGAAATCCTTTTCTTTTTCTCTTTTTGTATTTTCAATAGACAACACCATTATATTCTCTATTACTTTGAAATTTGACACTAAATTCAATTCATCACATTTCGATCCTAACAATTCTTTATTTATTTTCACTATTTCATTCTTTTCAATTTCAATTGATTTCCTATTAACAATCTTATCATAATTTGACTCATTCATTAATTTTATAAACTCATTAAGATTTTGTAAATTTGTCGTCCTTGGTAATTTTACATTTTCTTGACTATGTTCAATTGAACTACTACTAGAATAATCATCATCATCGATATAAATAATTGAGCTTTGATCAAATATAGAATCTTTTTGATTTGAAAGTATGGTATTGGGACTTATATTATCTAATAATGTTGAATTTCTCAACATTCGTGTTGTTGCAGGTTGTTTATTAAGATTAGGTGCTGAACTTCGTGTTTTAATTACATGGGTATGATTGTAATTCTCTTTATCTGCTTCATTTGTAGAATGTAATATCTTTGGACTAGATATTTTCAAGTTTAAGGATGAAATAGATTGGGATAACGGACGTGATTTTCGTTTTTCGGTAGTCGTTGTTGTATTGCTTGTGTTTTTCCTGAAAGAATTGAAAAATTTGTTGGTTGTGGATATTTTCTTACTCTCATTTATATTAGATATGGACTGACTACGTAGCATTTATTAATGATATATGAGATTGATAAGTTGATTGTTAATGTAAAATATAATTTTATTTTATATTATTTTTTTTTTTATTTTTTTTAAATTCCATTGTTTACAAAATGACTATAAATGATTTTTAACGCGAAGAAATTTTGCTGCAAATCTTGAGTAGATCTATTTCATCCCTTTGACATGAATTTGACATTCTATTGCATTAATGAATACGCGTAAAAACGGTTATTTTATTTACAATTTATAAATTCTATAAACACGTCTATTCACAAGTTATAAGTTTGTAAAATGTTATTAAACCAATAAAACGGAAGACTAATCAAAAATTCAAAATAGATTGTCTATCCCTTCAAACGTCACAGTAAACAAGTTGAAATATTGCAGCTGTGTTCATACCTAGTATTGTTCTTGTGCAATTTCACTTAAACTTTTTTCTAATAACTTGAATGATCAATCTGAACAATTTGATAATTATAATTCGTCAATTAGCTATGCTATTCGTCATTACTAAAGTTAATCTATTCCCTCCAGAATAAGTATTTATTATTATCATCAATCTTAACACTTTCGTCATAGATTACACCTAATTTCTTCCTCAAAACTTCCTCGTTCAGCCCATTTCCAATTCTATCTTCTTCATTAACTTTGATCAACTTACTATGAAATGGTTCCGCTTCATTATATCTCTTCAACTTCAATGTGCTCTTCTCATACCAATTTTCTTTTCTTAATGGATTATAATTTTTATCCAAACCAGTAAAACTTTTACTTAAATAACTCAAAATCAGTTGCCTTAATACAGCTTGTAAACCAGGTATGAGATATATTTCAATCAACTCATTACTTAATTTCTTTCCTGTTGGTTTTATGTTGATATATCCAATATTTTCAAGAACAAGATCAACAGGTCCAAAAAATGGAGGAACAATATATTTATCCATAGACTTCAACGGCACATTAGTTAGGAAATTATCTTTCATTGAAACAGGGGTATCTTTAATCAACTGTTGGACTTTTTCTAAATCTTTTTGAATTGATAAATTGAGATTTGTGACATTTCTAATTTGAAAAATTGAATCAGATGGAATGACAACATAGCCTAAGCCTTGTAAGTTTAATATTTGTTTGTTTTTTATTGTAAAGTATTCTGATTTGAATGTTCCATGTTTATACATTTGTTTTCCTTTAATTACTTGATTTATTGACTTTCCAGACATGCTCTTATAAAAGTTGAGTAAATTCGAAGTAGTAGTAAATCCAGGAACATCAAAAAATGTCTTGTTTCCAATTTGAACAGGTATAATGTCTCTAGTATATCCAGGTAAATAACTTGTACCAGGCCCATCACCATTTTTGAATCGATTCATGAATTTTTTCCGTTTTTGAAATGACATACTTGAATTTGATTTTAATTCTTTATTGAGTAGTAATGAGTTAATTAATGTTGACTTACCACAATTTGTTGAGCCTATAATATAAGATTGATCAGGAATACCATTATATAAATCAAAAGTTTTCCAATTTTTCTTACCAGATGTTATAAATATGTTTTCTTTAGGCACATCATATTTCTTGTTTAGATAATCTTCTATGAATTGTTTTGTATAATTTTCATAGGCCGTTTCTTTTTGTATTAAATTATCAGATTTCGTCATGATGAAAAAGATTTCATGTGGTTTTCTAAACTTGAAAATTTCAGGATTTATACCCATCGGAAAATCTAAAGAATTGAATAAGTAAACAATAGGAGCATTTCTAGGTATTAAAGTTGTCATGATTGTTGAAAGGTTATGGATAGGATATTGATCTATTTCAAGTTTGAAGTTTGAGTAATTTTGAATTTGTCTACACCTAATACACAGAAGAACAGTTTTTGAGTCATTTGAATCTTCTGTATTATTCATTTGAATCACTTCTTCATCCTCTAGTTTTGATTTGTATTTCTTGTAGATCAAATCTGATTGTTTGACCACGGGTGTTTTTTTTTCATATCTAATATAATAACCTGGTTTCTCGGGTGAATCATTCTGTAGTATTATCCCACATGATTTACATTTTGGATCTTTATTGTATAAATAAGATAAGGCAATTGAATAACTTCGTATAAGTCGAGGAAATCTTGAATATCGTATTAACATTGATCTGGGTTGTAAAGATGAGTTGTGATATGCACTACCAATTTTTATTATGGATCAGGTTCAGTTAAGGCACGTCAGCGAAACGCACAATAATGCCTAATTTGAAAAGTTATCCGGAGGAATGATGGTTACAATACTGAAACTCAGCATAAATCAATGAGTCTACAGAGATTACGTGAGAGAAGAAAAGTTAACATTCTTTCAACTTCTTACTATTGAAAACCAATTTTTTGATATAATTAACTGTTATTTAACCATTAATTCCGAAACTTCAATAAGCTTTTAAATTTTAAGGTGATTGGTGTTTCAAATTATGTTTTGTTACATAAAACTTTAAAGTTATGAAATTTCTAAAAATAAAATTTTTCCATTAAAAAATAAAAAAAAAAAAAGAAAAAAAAATATTAACTTAAAATTTACGAATGCAAGAAAAAACTTAAAATTTTAAATATAATATTATGATCAATTATAAAGTAATTTTGATCGAGGGAACGATATCTCGTTCGTCTTCGGATGGTAACATAAACTGGACTTAGGCTCTCTTGGTCACTTTACATGTCGGTATTCCAGCTCGAGATCTGAGATCTTGAATTTTGCCGAAAAAGAGAACATTTTCAGATCCGAGTGCTTTCCCACCTTATACAGTAATAAAATAAATCAGAGGATGAGTTCAAGTATTAACCTTTTCTCAAATTGACTTATATAAGCCCCCTAATTTTTAAACTTTGAGAATACCAAAGGAAATTTATCTAATTTAAATAGGTGGCAATGTTGATCAATGACATTGATTAAATCAAAATGAAAATCAGTAAAAATAAAATTTAGTCAAATTTAAACTATTGTAGGTTCACCAGCAACAAAGAGAAGTACAAAGTTTAAATATTATTATGTTATAATGCTAATGCACTCCTTAATATATAATGCATAAAATCTAAAACTTAAATTTAGTTACGAAATAGAAATAATCATTCCAATCAGGAAGTCTATTTTTTATCACAGCGACGTTTTCTTAAAATAACTTGACCCTAAAGATAGATAACGACGGTATTAGAATTTTGTATTGATGATAATGAAGATTTGAATTTGGATGAAGCATGGGACATAATTGATCAACGACTATCAATATAATATTGAGCAACTTGAACATCAACGACAATAATCTTCTGATCTTTTCAATTGTTTCAATGGTTTCAATTGTTTCGATTGTACGTCAAACAGATAAAATTTGATAATAAAATGAGATTAGCTATTAAAAATTTTACCGATATTATAATTAGTCTTAATACATTGCATATAGAGACTGACGGTTGTTGAAAAATATCACAATAATGAATTTCATAATAACTACCAAATGCCAAACTTCCAGAAATTTCAGGTTGACGAGCTAAGGAGTACTAACGAATTACTAATCTTTAAACATTGCTCTCAGTTTCATGAATTAAGTTTAAGTTTATTAGTTCTAAGTTAATATTATTACATATTAAGCCAATGTTACATACATAAATGAACTACTAATAATAGTAAAAATATAATCAATGGATTTTTATTAGGTAACACACCCCCTTAGATCTTAAAAATTGCACCCCGGGTGCGTTTTTTTTTTTTTTTCCTTCAAGATTTTTTTATTGTTTAAAAGGTAAAAAATAATCAATAAAATAGGTTTCTTGATGTTCTGGTTATGATACAAAACAAATTTACTAAATCGACTATTAGTAAATAATAAATAAAATCTTAACCGAGAGAAGAATTTAAAACCAACTAAAAAATAAAAAATAATTCAAACAATAAAATTTCTCTAAATGAATGATCATTAAAATAGTTTAAATAAGTTTAAATTGTAACCCAACCAAATAACTTTGTATATTTAGAACATCTACAATCATGTATATGTTACGGCATGGTTTGAATTTCTTGACGATTGTTGATACTGCAAAATCAAGAGTAGAAATAATCGGACCGGAAATATCATAATGGATATAGAAGACTGAGTAGAATGAATTAGATTTTCACATTCTAATTACAATTTAGGTTTTAATTTAAAAATTAAGATCAGAAACATCCAACAAATTCACTTATATATAAGTTTTGATGCGATACATTGCAGCATTTCTTTTTCCATTATATTTTTTTTTTAAATTTAACCTTTTTTACATATGCACAATGTGGTAAATAAATTAGATAGATCAATTTTAGTTTTAACAATCCAAATGTTTCATTCCAATTCAACTTTACAATTATTACAATTATTATTGTGATGAGAAAATTTTTAGTAATTATTTTTGAATTTACATCTAACTGATAACCAGATAATGTTTTACTTAGAGGATTGGATTGGCTAACGTCTGATGCGCTCATGAATTCCAATGAACTTGTTTCTTCTCTGTCATCTTCATATAATTCGTATATTTATTTTATTCGTCGTCGTAAGTGAATTAATGTACTAAAAAAAAAAAATAATTAATTATTAAAGGAATAATAATCTACATGAATGTGATATAAATGATGATTCATTCATTCTTATACAGATCCACATATCTTCAAGTTAGTTTGTGTACTACTATCGTCAATGGTTGTAATTTGCTTTTTAATACATTTTAGTTGTTAATTATCACCTTTTGTTTGATTAGCATAAAATGAATGTAACTTGGATTATTTATGCAATGTATTAAGTGTAATATTTAGTTGTATAATGTATTATACGTGAAATGTTAAAACTTTAAAGTTTAAAAATTAGCTTTCAAAAGGAATTGGCTTTGATTTTAAACTATAAAGTTTAAATGAATCATAAGTTATAATTGTTATAATTTTAGATTTTACATATATATAATAAATTATACATAATTATTATATTAAACAGATATTATTAAACAAACGACACTTTATTAGGTGACATATATATATATATATTATATTATAAATAAAATTTATTATCATTTAATATTCATTCTTTTTCAAATAATTTTTATTTTCTTCTTTTCAAAGAAATTTTTTTTATTTAATTTATATTCATTTTGTTAATTTAATATAACCCAGGGCAGATTAAGATTTAAGTATTATTATCCAGATAGATTTACCATATATTATCATCAACGACGGAAATAACTAAAAAGTATAAAAATTTGTAATCAGCTACATTAACAGGTAATTTTAACTAATTTTATTACAATTTTTCATATTTTTTGAATAGTTCATATTCTCCAGATCTTAAATTCCATATCATCCATTATCATCCGTTACTTATGCCTAAGAGATCTAATAATTCAACTCAATCATCACCATCCAATAAGAAAACCCACATTTTAAATCAATACGAATCAAATTTAATTGAAACTTGGGTTCAATGTGGTGAATGTGCAACTACTATTGGTTCAATAGTAACTGCTATTAAATCATTTGAAAATGCAGTAAATAGAGATCCATCAAATATAACAGCACTTATTGGATTATCATCAAGCTTAAGATTAAATGATATAAATTTAAATGAAACAATTGGATCTCAATCATCAATTGAAAGATTGAATAAATCTTTAATTGAATTTCCTCAACAATTATCAAAATCACATTTAATTTTTAAAGAATTGAGTGAATGCTATTTATTAATAGGTTTAAATGGTCAAGCTCATCAACTGATTCAAATGGCAATTCAATTACAACCACAAGATCCAAGTTTATGGTTATTAAGTGCACAAACATTAATTAGAATTGGAGCAAAAAACCATGCTGCCAATAGTTTAACTCATTGTTTATCATTATTACCAGAATCTAAGAAAAATTTTAATACACAAGATATTGAAACTGCAAGAGCTGCTCATGCAGAATTAGCAGCTATAGCAGCAGCCGATGGAAATATAAATATACTGATAAAGGAGCTTTCAGCTACATTAAGTTTGAAAGCTCCACCTTTAGCTCGTGTTGAAGAGCATATTGCACTATGGTGTGCATTATCAACTGCAAAAGAAAGAGCAAATGATATAGAAGGTGCTATACAAGCTTGTGAAGATGCTGAATTAGCAGTTGGTAAATCAGATCGAATTATAATGACTCATGCATATTTATTATTATTAATGGATCCTTTGAAAAACTCAAATTATGCAATCAAATTACTCGAAAAGATTATAGATTTGTTTGATGAAAATATAAATAATAATAATAATCAAGATTTTTTACCATGGTATTTATTAGGAAGAGCTTATTCATTCATCGATCAACCTAGATTAGCTTATAATTCATATCAAGTTGCTTTAAGATGTGCACCAAATTCTCCAATTACGTGGTTAGCAGTTGGAAAATTATATCTTGAGTTGAAACAATTACCTGATGCTTTAGCTGCTTATTCACAAGCTTTAAGATTACAAATGGATGATGGATCTCCAGGTGTAGCTACTGCTTGGGATGGTTTATCTTGTGTTTATGAAAGATGTGAAGATCATTTATTAGATGCTTCAGATGCTTGTCAAAGAGCAAGTTCATGTTTCAAAGTCATTGGTGATATTAAAAATTCAAATTTTTTTGAAAATAGATCAAATGTCTTGATTAAAGCTTCAAAAAACGAAAGTTTGAAACCGCCATTAAAAAATCCACCAGATGTTCCTAGTTTTTTATTAAGAGATTTAGTTGCATTGGCTCCAAGTGAAAGAATAAATTATACTCAATCACAACAAAAGCAACAACAACAAGTTCAACAACTTCAACAACAACAAATACCACCTCAACAAATTCAGCAGCAACATTCTCAACCTATTCCATCTGAACAACAAACTCCATTACAACAAAATACGTCAAGAAATAGTCCACAAATTTCAATGATTAATAATTCACATCATCAAACTCCTCAGCAACCACCTCAACAAGCACAATTTCAACCACAACCACCACCACAAATTCAAGCACTTCAACCACCACAACAATATAATTATCCACCATTTGCAAAAAGTAATCCTCCTCCACCACCACCTCAATTACCAACACCTCAATTTCAACAACAAGCTCAAAGTCAACCTCAATGGTCACCACAACAAAGTCAACAACAACCGCCGTTACCTCCTCCTCCACCACCTCATCAACAACCACAACAATTTTATTATCATCCAGTTCCAATTCCAGCACCCCCTCCACTTCAACAACATCAAAATTCACCACCTCAACCATCTAATGGTTCTAGTCTCAATTCTTCATCAAATTCAATGGCAGTTCCAACAGGTCCTCCTCAGTATTCATATGGTCAATATATTCCAACTCCTGGAGGAGTTCAAAATAATTACTCATCACCAACTTGGAGAAGGTAAGAATTTACGAAATATTGATACGTATAACGAAAAGTTTTTATAGAATGTTTATGAAACAGATATATAATAATTAATGGATTGAAGATTATGATACCACATGTAAATAATTCTCTGGAATTTAAGCTTTTAAACAATCTGGAAAGCAGTAAGAGTAGTACGGAGTATGATATTCCTCGTAAGCAGCCTATATATTACTCTATGTAGTTCATAAAATCATTCCAATTACCTTTAATAAAATTTAAATTATATTTTTCATCAAGTTCACAAATTTTACCATCTTGAATGATAAATGAATATTTGCTATGCAACAATGGAAGCAAATCAGTCAAACTATCACCAATATACATGAAATTCTCACCATATTTTTTGACAAAATCTAATTTGTCCTCACTCGTTCTAATTTCATTACCTATCCAAGTTCCCGTGGTCAAACCATTTTTAAATTCTAACTCATTAGTAATAATCTTTATATCAAATATGCCATTCAATTCAAGTGCCTTTTTGATAATTAAACTTGACCAATTAACACTTAAAATTATAAACTCAATACCTATTTGTCTACACTTGTTTACAAAATCAACAAAACCCGATCTTAACTCAATCAAATGAGCCTGAGCTTCAAAATATTCTTTTGTTAGACCTTTAAATATCATATAACGTTCCAATTCTTTAATTGAACTCATTTCAATTGGTCTCATACCCTTTTGAAATCTAATTTCGTCATTTAAACTATTGCGTAAACCAAATTTTTCCTTATATTCATTATAATTCTTCATGTAAACATTTGTAAAATATTCAAATTTTGGAGTCAAGTTTGGATTCAATTTATAAGGAACTTGACTAACATATTTTATAGTATCTTTCACTGTTATAGTTTCATCCCAATCACTAATTATACAATTTGGTTTAATTTTGAAACTCCGCATTAACGATTCGAAGCAGAAAAAAAAAAAACCGAAAGGAAAAAAAAAAAAAAAATAGAAGTTTTCTAACAACTACTAACAAAACTATATTTGCAATAAAATGTCTGATAAGAAAGAATTTGGTCAATTAGGTGATATTACTAAAGATACTGAAGGTACTAAAAAGAGTAATAATGCTGCTTCAAACTTAGAGGAAAAAGTTAAGGCAGGTTTCGGTAAATTTGAAAAAATGTCAAATGAAGAAAGAGAAGAATATTTGAAAAAGGGTCTTGGTAAATTAGAAGGTAATAGTAAGAAAGAATGATCATTGAATGACACCACTTTTATACTATCATCTCTATCATTTGAGTTGTTTCGTGTCATTCTATATAAATATTACTTTATTTAGTATACAGTTTCCAAATATATATAAATTGTGCGTGTGGTACAAAATTATACTACTATATAAATAGATTTAACATTGCCGGTATTTTACTATTCACAATAATTTTATATAAATATGTCAGAGGATAAGATTAATAGTAGTAACGATGTTAATAGTAACGACGCTAATAGTAACGACGCTAATGCTAACGACGCTAATGCTAACGATGCTAATGCTAATAATAATTCAGATCCAAAATTAAATCAACAAGATTTAGATAAAATTAAAGATGTTGCAAGTAAAATTTTAAATCCAAATAATGAACATCCGCAAATTAATGAATATATTCAATCTACATTCTCATATATTGGTAATGCAATGTATAAAATGCAAACTACCAATGATAGAGATGCAACTGCAAAAGAAATTGCTAATGATTTAACTAATAAATTTGAAACGTGGGTTAAAAATAGAGAAGAACAACAACAACAACAACAACAAAAGAAACAAGAAGAAGCGGATAATTCTGAATCCAACGAAAAGAAAGAATAATGTATACAATTTCTTATATCTATTACAAGTTTTTAATACCTTATAATAAACTCAAACCATGTATTTTATTTATATAGCAAAGATTAATGAAAAACATCTAAATTTGAAACTCTCAAATGTCTTTATAATAATTATTACTTTGCAATGCGAAGAAACTTTACAATATACTCGTAGTTATTAAAAATTCGTATATTCAGCTTTATTTAATAGTTGGTGATAATTTGGTGATAATTTGGAATTTTTTTTTTTTTCTTTCCACCATCGCATTAAATTTATACAATGAGTTCCATACCAGCTTGGAAAAAATTAGGTTTATCAGTTAATACAAATACTCAAGAAGAAGAAGAACAGGATTCATTTCAAAGAATAGAGAATGGAGATTTAACAAATAAACAAATTAAAAAACTATCAAACAAGAAAAGAAAATTACAAGATGATATAAATAAAAAAGATAAAGATAAAGAAAAGAAACCACCGAAAAGACAAAAATTACCTAAAAATGAGAGGAAACCACCTCCAATACCCGATCAATTAACATACTTAAAACAATTTGAAACTGATAAATCAAATTGGAAGTTTAATAAACTGAAACAAAATTGGATTCTAAAAAATATTAAAATTATACCTAAAGATTATGAAAGTGCATTAGTTTTATATATGGAAAGTATACAAGGCGGACTGAGGGATCGGATAGTAACCGATTTAAAAGAGGTGATAAAGAAATGGAATGAAAAGTATGAAGAGGCTGAAAAAAAGATTGAACAAGAATTGGAAAAGAAAGAAGACGATCAACAACAAGAAGAAAACATAGAGGAAAAAAAAGAAGAAGATAAAAAGGAAGATAATAAGGATAATAAGGATAATATAGATTTAGATTATGCTTCAAGATGTCAATTAATACTTGAATCAATGATTGGTGAAGATGATATAATTGAAGTTAAAGGTAAGTAAATCAATACACACTTGGTAGCATATATAAACGAGCATGGCAATTTTTTTTATTTTTTTTTTTTTTTTATTTTAATCTGAAACAAATTTAAATTTAAAATTAGTTTTTATTACCGTACGGTGGTTTGTCTTTTATATTATTATTAGTTGTTAATCATTGATTATGAACTTTACTACATTTAAAGATAGAGCAATGGATGTTGATCCAGATATTAGATTTATGGCATTGGAAGATTTAAAAAAATATCTTACTTCTGACTCAAGTTTGTCAAATATTTCCAATTCAAAAACTTCACTCGATTCATTATTGAATCAAGTATTTCCAATCGTTTTAAATATGTTAGACGATCAAAATCCAGAAGTTCAAAGTCAAGCAATCAAATCATTTGAACCAATGGTTAAATATTTAAAAAATGATTCATTAATAAAATTAATCAAAAAATTATTCACCTTAGTTTTACAAGCCACAAAAGAATCAAGTTTTACAATATCTATTCCTAATATGGCTTTAAGATCATTATTTGTTCAATCTAATTCAAAAGATAACTCAAATTTTGTAAGTGATAAATTGACAAATTCAAATTATAAATTTGATAAAAAAACTTCAAGATTAATTTTAGATTATTTGTTACCACAATTTTATGAAAACAGAGTAAGTATAGATATAATTGAGTTATTGATTGATATTTTAAATGAAATTGGTTACGTGTTGAAAGAGAAAGAATTATATGACTTATCAATTTATTTAATTAACATTTCATTTGAAAAATCAGGTATCATTGGTAAAAAATCAATAATTGCATTAGAAAAGGTTACAAATTTAATAAATAATGAGAAATTACTTGATGATATTTTAAGAGAAGTGAAAATGGTAAATAATAAATCAAATTTGGAGAATAAGGATACCGTTTTATTTCAAGATTTTTCAGTTACTTTAAAAAGAGGATTACCATTGAATAATATAAATGACATACATGAACAAATTTCGCAAACTTTGTCAATTGAAGTTAATCCAGATGAAGATTTAGATTTTGATTATTTGCTTAAACTTAATTCGTTGAAAGATGAAGCATTTACGACTTTGATTGATTTGGTTTCAAACTGTTTACCAGAAAATTTGAAAACTTGGGCTATCAAAATTAGTGAAGCTTATTTAAATTACAATCCATTTGCTGAAGATGATGATTTCGAAGATGAAGATGATGATATAGAATTTAGTGACGATGATGAGCAAGAAAATAACGATGATGATAATGATGACGGTTCATGGAAATTAAGAGCAAAATCAGCAATTTTATTAAAATCAATTCTTTTAAAGTTCCCAGATACTTTAGAATCAATATCAAAATTATTACCAAAATTCCCTTTCTCAGATTCTAATGATCAAGTTATTCAAGAATCAATTAAAACTGCAATCTTAATCATACAATCTACTTCACCAAGAGATTCAAATGAAATTAAAAAAATTTATCCATTAATTAAACAAAGATTATCAATTGTGAAAGAAGATCAATTGACTATATTCCTTAAATTAATTGAAACATTAAATCGATTTGACAATTTATCATTAATTGAATCAGTTTTTGAATCATTTGAAGCAAGAAGTTTTTTTACTACAAGTCAATTGGAATATTTACAATTTTATCATAGCATTTTAAAATATCACGCTTCATTACCGATTAATTTACTTTTTAAAATATCAAATGATCTTGAAACGAACTTGGATGATAAATCTTTTAACATCATAATTGAAACTATTAAGTGTATAAACACATTATTTCATCAAGATTTAAAACAATTGACAAATTTGAATGAAATTGTTGATAAATTGATTTTAATTGTTGAAAATAGTAAAAAATATCCGAGTGATTTAGTTAGAATGGCTATTATTTCATTAGGTCATGCTTATAAATTAACAAACAATACTGAAAAGATTTTAGAATCTTTTAAAATATCAATTGCTTATGAAGGTACCAACAAAACCACTGTTGATGTATTAATCAGTTTACCTGAACATCCTAAACTTCCAGAAGCATACAAGTTTTTATTATTAGAGAAATTGGAATCATTAATATTATCATCAAATGAAACAACATCAAAATGTGCATTACTTTTAACAAACAAAATTATACAATCGTTACCATGTGGTGAATTTCAAATAATTACAAATTTATTTCAATTATTAACAGCAACAAATAAAACAAATTACAAATATATCTTTGATATTTTAAATCATTTAGCAGGAAATTTTGATCAAGCATTATTTTTCAAAATTGCTATCAAGTTATTAAATGATTCAAAGATTGATGAAAATGATGAATCATTTTTCAGATTATTAATCACCTTATGTAAATTAAATCCCAACTTATACAATGATTTAAAACCATTATTAAATTTAAATTTATCAATTAATGCTAAAGTTTTAGCCATTTGTTGTATTGAAAATAAATTGGAATCAGAAATTGAAAAATCAAGAGATGAGTTTCAAAAATATTACAAAACAAATATTAATGATAAAAATTTTGCTTATCAAATTTTGTTCCTTGGTTATATTGGAAGTGAAGTTGAAATTCAAGAGTTAGATATTAGTTTATTAATTGGATTACTTAAAAATGAGAATTTTATTGAAGAATTAAACCTAAAAGCTTGCTCTAACGTTTTAGGTTTAATTTCAAAAAAACATATTGAATCATCGAATATTATTCTTGACGAATACAAATCTAGTCAAAATACAGTCATTAGAACTGCATTAATTAATGCTTTAATTATCAGCTCTGATGCATTTAATAAAATACAAAAGAAACATGTGTGGGAAATAGTTTTTAACCAAAAACTAGATTTTGACTCGTCCATAATCTATGAATTAAGAAAATCTGGTGAGTTATTAGGTAAGATTATAACCGCGTTTGGTGATTTAAAAAATACAAGTGATCTCAAAAATGTATATTTGACATTAATTATTACAAAATTTTTACTTAATAATTTAGAATCATCACAAGTTAATGATAATTTATTAGTCAAATTAATTCTATTATCAATTGATTGGTTGAGTATTGTAAATATTGATATTAGACAAATCATAGTTGGTAATTTATTAACTGCATTACATCAAAAATCGATTATTGTATTACCAAATTTAACAAGTTTAATTTTACCTAAAATTTTCAAAAATTTGAAAGCTGAAGATAAATTTAAAAAAATTATTACTATGGGTCCTTATAAATATGTCTTGGATCAAGGTTTAGAAGTTAGAAAATTATGTTATGAATTCATATATTCAATTGTTTCATTAGATGATCAGACTTTAGGTAAGTTTTCAGTTAATTTGACTGTAGTTGTTGAACAAATTATCTTGAATGGTTTGAAAGATAATGAAACTGATATCACTGTTTTATCATGTATAAATTTGATTAACTTCATTGAATTGCACAAAAATCAATCAGTATTCTTTTTCAATGATGAAGATATATTACTCGAATTAATTAATTGTTTAAAATTGCAATTGAATAAGAAATTATCAGTCAAGGCTTCTACTCAAGAAACTGATGCTCATCAAGAGAGAATTAAATCAATTATTAAATTAACTAAAAAATTGAATCCTTTGATCGATGAAAAAAGAGATTGGGTTGAATATTTCAATTGGATTAAAGAAGAATTTACTATATATTATAATTCTATTGATATTTAAATAAATAATGATGAATGGATTGTAAAGTTGATCTACTAGGATTACATTTATGAATTGTAGATATTTTAGCGAGATGCTGTCTTATCAAGTCTTTTGAGATAACTGTTTGGGATTCCTGCTGCCAATTCGAATTGAAGTGAAGACATAGTAGAATCAAAGCGACTCCAACACTTAAATCAGTGCCCGAATTACATAGAATCATACATGGGAAAGTAATATTTGGGATAATTTCAGGTAATAATTGCCTTAGTTTATTTGAACCTTTTTTATTACACGATATTCGATAATGTAAAACCGATTTATCTTCTGGTATATCTACGACACTAAACTCTTCGCTAAATACAATCATACAACAATTTTGATAAGGCACGTCACTTTGAATTTTACCAATCGAAATTGCAGTATCCTTCAATGATGTGGTGTTTAGTGACTTCGAACTTGTAGTTATGTGTGATTGTATCTTCTGAATCAATTCTTCTTCATTCATCTCTATATATCTGCCATCTATTATACTCGGCACTAGACTCCAAAATATATCATAATCCAATTTTAAATTTGTTGGTATCCATAATTCATGATCATCAGCAGCACCTTGGATATAATCAAAAGATGATTTATTTGTAGTAGATGCTGAAACCAAGCATAGCTTATATATATCATTGTCGGTGAATTCTAGATCTGAGTCTGGATAATAAAACATAGGTATTATTGGTTTATCTAAGGAGTTGTCCTTGAATAAGTCCAAATCTTTCATTTCTTTCATAAAGCATGGTATTAGTTTCTTTATCGAATTGACTTCAGATGGTGGAATAAAAGAGGGTAATGTTAACCAATCGCCTTCTTTATATAGTATTGAGTTTATAACTGCACACCATATAGGTATAGTTTTCGACAAAGCATCAGGCATTGGTTTACCTCTTCTTGTAGAATCGACGATTATCAACCCTGAATTATCTTTGATCAATGAGATCAAATTCAAATTCAATCTTCTTTTCGAAAAAGACCATACATTTGTATGACCATCTGTCGACTTGAAATAACACGTATCTAATCGTTTATCCGGAGGAATGTACCATAAACCACATCGTTCATTTGGAACAATTGGAAATTGTAAAATCTCTTGAATTGACTTTATATAATAATAATCATGTAATATAGAGTTTAACCTATTTTTTAATGAATAATACGACTTTCTTAATGCCTTATTTATCTCTTTCAAGTCATTATTCTTATTAAAAATTGGTTGCATCTCATTATCGCGTAATATTTTTTTTTGCAGCCAATTTGAAACCGACCAATCAAATTCAATGCGTGAAATAATAGGACCGAGTTCAAAAAATAGAAACTGAAAAACTTGATCCTGACCCCAGGAAAAATAATTTGAAACAAGGTTCATAGATCATTGACAATGTTAAGATTTACCGCAAGAAACTCAACTAACTTGAGACAATTCTCAACTAAATCAATTTTATTACAAGGTACTAGAATTGAAACTGATGCCTTTGGTGAAATTGAAGTTCCAAATGAAAAATATTATGGTGCTCAAACTGCTAGATCTAAATCAAATTTTAAAATTGGTGGTACAGCTGCTAGAATGCCAATTCCCGTTGTTAGAGCTTTCGGTATTTTAAAAAAATCTGCTGCTATTGTCAATGAACAATTTGGTACTTTAGATCCTAAATTATCAAAAGCTATTCAACAAGCTGCTACCGAAGTTAGTGAAGGTAAATTAGATGATCATTTCCCATTAGTTGTTTTTCAAACTGGTTCAGGTACTCAATCAAATATGAATGCAAATGAAGTTATTTCAAATAGAGCTATTGAAATTTTAGGTGGTAAATTAGGTTCTAAAAAACCAGTTCATCCAAATGATCATTGTAATATGTCACAATCATCAAATGATACTTTCCCAACCGTTATGCACATTGCAGCAGTTACTGAAATAAAAAATTCATTAATTCCAGAATTAACAAAATTAAGAGATGCAATTCAAGCAAAATCTGATGAATTTAAAGATATTATTAAAATTGGTAGAACTCATTTACAAGATGCTACTCCATTAACTTTAGGTCAAGAATTTTCAGGTTATGCTCAACAAATTAGTAATGGTATTGAAAGAATTGAAAAATCTCTACCAAATTTATTATATTTAGCTCAAGGTGGTACTGCTGTTGGTACTGGTTTAAATACTAGAAAAGGTTGGGATGTTAAAATTGCTGAAGAAGTTTCAAAATTAACTGGTTTTCCATTCAAAACTGCTCCAAATAAATTTGAAGCTTTAGCTGCTCATGATGCTATTGTTGAAGCCTCAGGTGCTTTGAATACAATTGCAGCTTCATTGTTCAAAATTGCCAATGACATAAGATACTTGGGTTCAGGCCCAAGATGTGGTTATGGTGAATTAGAATTACCATCTAATGAACCAGGTTCATCAATTATGCCAGGTAAAGTTAACCCAACTCAATGTGAAGCTTTAACTATGGTTGCATCTCAAGTTTTTGGTAATAATGCTGCTATTACTTTTGCAGGTGCTTCAGGTCAATTTGAATTAAATGTTTTTAAACCAGTCATGATCGCTAACTTATTATCATCAATTAGATTAGTTGCTGATGGTGCAAATTCATTTAGAATACATTGTGTTGAAGGTATTAAAGCTAATACTGATAAAATTAATAAATTATTGTATGAATCATTAATGTTGGTTACTGCTTTGAATCCAAAAATTGGATATGATATGGCTTCAAAAGTTGCTAAAAACGCACATGCTAAAGGTTTAACATTAAAAGAATCTTGTTTAGAATTAGGAGCTTTAAATGAACAAGAATTTGATGAATGGGTTAGACCTGAAAAGATGATTGGACCAAAAGATTAAAAGTAAATAGTTCACAATTTATATTTATTAGATGTATTTTTGTTAGTATATAATTTTTCAACCCAAATACTTCGCGCTAACCCTAGGGCGACCCGCATTACATATATTAAATGCGATAATTAGGAATAATAGGTTTAATTTCTCGCGCTAGATTTAAGCTGACTCGTACCACGCATATTGGCTTATATCTCATGATCAACGCAATCTTTCGAGATATGGATTAGTTTTATGAATCTTAAAGCAATTGTATGTATAGAATACATACTCCAATGTTCAGAAATCAAACATTCATCTTCTGAGTTGTCATTTCGGCCATTTTTCATCATAGAAAGATTTTGGAAAGAATGTAAATTTTTGAATCCTATTCATTTATGTGCACAACTTTCAATTAGACAAGAGATTATATATATCATACTTTGAACTAAGACATGGAATTTGATTACAGGTGATTTAATCTATAATTAAAAGAGATCCAAATTTTCTTTAAGTATGAAAAAATTATTATACAATAGACTTTAAAAACTGAATTGACCAAATCAGCTATGTTAGAAATTTCTAGAAGAGACCTAAGTAGTAATATCTTGCAATCACACAATTTTTGCCAATTTTTGAACGAGCAATAAAATAATCGAAATCGGGCTCTTTTGATCAATCTGTTTCAAACTATCTGGAGTTCTCAATGAATTATTTTTAAAAATGATACCATAAATATTGAGAGGGTAATTTACAATTTAAGTTAAATTACCCGAGGACTGCATATAAGTCAGTATATTTCATTCTCGCACGAATTTGATGCCAAATAAATATTCTTCTTGCGCTAGCTTCAGGGCGACTCGTACTATGTATATTTCGTCTAAAATCGCTACCATTTCTGATTATCAATCATTTTTTTATCGAGAAAGAAAATTTCATAAATCATTAAATTACCACATCAAATTCCATTATTTTATGAGTTTTGAAAGTATTCTACGCAATATTGATGAAAGAGCTAGAATCGAATCAAATAATGTTCCTACAGATACATTAAAAACCAATGAATCAAAACCATCTGAAAAATCAAAACCATATATTGGTTATGCAAAAAATAAGCCTGTCGATCCAAAAGTTGCTGAATTAAAACGTAAACGTCAAGAGGAAAAGTTAAAGAAATTAAATGATGAAAGAGCTAAAAAGGGTTTAAAACCAGTTACATCACTTGATCAAGCTAATAATAAGTCAAAAGCAACTAGTAAATCAAATTTATCGAAGGCAAGAAAGGAAATTAAATCCACTATTCCAATCGGTCAATTTAATCCAAAGCAACAACAACAACAACAACAGCAACAACCAAAAAAGAAGATGAGTTTTAATGAGTTAATGAAAAAAGCATCAACTATAGATAATTCAAAATTAAAAGTCAGCATACCTCATAAATCGCATACACCAGAAGCAAAACATAAGTTAACTGATAAAAAACCTAAATCTGCATCGCCTGTTAAATCAACTGATAAAAAGGCTAAATCTTTATCACCAACAGCTAAAAAAGATCACCCTAAACCAGCTATTGCACAACCATTACCAATTAGACAACCAGGTGCAAAAGTTCAAGAATTATTGAAAAAGAAGAAGAAATTACCACACAAAGGTGCTACATCCTACGATGACGAAGATGAATATGATTCTTTTGTTGAAGAAGATGAAGAAGTATTTCAGGAAGATGGTTATAATAAAGAAGAAATTTGGGCTATATTTAATAAAGGTAAAAAGAGAACCCAATTTCATGATGATTATGATTCTGACGATATGGAAGCTACTGGTGGTGATATATTTGATGAAGAGTTAAAATCTAGAAGAATTGCTCAATTAGAAGATCAAAAAGAAATGGAAAATGAAAAAAGATTAGCTGAATTGAAAAGACAAAGAAAAAAGCAAAGAGTTTAGATATAGATTAATATATAATGAATTAACGAAGAAATCGTAAAAGTTTGTATTAATGCTAATTATGCTATAAATATGCTATTGGTGTCTTAGTTCATGCAAAGTTGGCCAATTCCAATCATTTTTCAGATTGATTTGTTGATGATGTTTTATATGTCTTTCTGCAATTTCTCTTGGAAATCCTTTCAACAATGTCATTAATAATTTCTTACTTGGTTTGTAATTCAAATCTACCCACCATTTAATCAATTTCGATAATTCTGATAAGTATTCATATTTGATTAAAAGTTGGACATATTGTTGCCATAAAATATCCAGTGGTATAATCCCATAAGATGATAGATCCTGCTTTACATTCTGTTTAAACTCATAAATTGCAATTTGTGATGCATAATATTTATTTATTAAAACCCGCCCGTGAGCACTTGCAACTTTAAGCAAAACTGACAAAATAAATGCATTTGGTGATAGATTTTTATTGATTATCTCTTTTTCATATAAATCAAAGACCTTAAATGGATTTCTCGATTCTACATTCATTAGTAGACCTAAATTGTTGATTGATTTTATTGGTACTGCCTCATAAAGTTGAATGACGTACTGTGAGTATGTAATATTTTCTTTATTAATATGATTCTCCCATATGAAATTAGTTTGTGGTACTGAATCTTCTTTTGCTAGTAACTGCAAAAATTTGTTCATAAATAACTTCTCATACTTCACATCAACAAGGTCAAACATTTCCTTTAACGTACTAAAATCATTGATTGGTTGTATTAATTCAGCCACCAAATCACTTGTTAGCACAGTTTTACTGTTTATAATTTTTGCAAGTAAGATTTTCGATTTATTCTGATCTAAAATGTCAAATAATGCCAATCTTCTAATAAAGAATAGCCACAATTTCGAGCTTTGATCACATTCTTTAACTGCTACATTAAATAGATTTATCAATTGATCTGGATTTTGACATAAATTAAGTTTAACAATGTAATAGCAAACAAGCTCTTTCATTGATTTGGTATGATTAGTAAACTTCTCTTCAACCGAGTTAGACAACTTTTCACCATTTTTGTGAGATGATTTTGTAACCAGTAATATAATGCCCATATATGCTCTGTAACTAATATGATTAGGTGACTTCAAGTAGTTGATTAATAATTCTTGTGTTTTCGTAATTTGCAGACTGTCTAAATTTTGATATTTACATGAATAAAATGCAACATTCCATATCAAATTATTAATATAATCATAATTCAACTTTATTTTAACGCCTGTTTTCTCAGATTGAAAGAAATCCAACGATTTAGTACATAAATGCGTTAAACAATTTGGCTCAAACATGAAACTGAAATAAATTAAGTTATCCAAACATGACTTTAAAACTGAAGTTTGATTATTTTTCTGAGTTGTGAGATACTTCAAGTTATATAACCAAATTTCCTTTTGTAATAAATATTCTTCTTTAAAATTGGGATTTCGTAATAATACGTCAAATAAAACAAAAGCAGGTATATTTTCATCAAGATATTGTGAACTATCAATTATAGATTTTGCGGTTATCGAATGAATCCATTTAATTAAGTCTGAAACAGTATAGCCGTGGCCAGTTTTTTTAACAATTGATTTGAAACATGCGAGGCCTATTTGTAAACTTTCATCATTAGGTACATCAAAGGATTCTGATAAAGTGTGATCTTCTTTTACTTCTTGATCCAATATTTGTTTGAAAAACTCGACATGAGACTTTGAAATTGATTTCTGTTGTCGTAGATTATCAATGATAGTAATTATATGAAATGTAATAGGTTCTAATAATTTTGTTAATTTTTCTTTTGAATGTTTTATTTTACAACGTGTATTAATTATAGTATTATAATTTGTATTAAATCTCGAATATAATGCTAAATATTCAATTCTAGGCTGAATTTTAATTTTTGATTGATTAAATTGAGTCAATTGATGATAAATATTATTTGGAATTCTTTCTTTTGACCTATGAGCTAAGAATGAGTTATACCGTAGACCGAAATTACATATTATTCTTAGTCGTTTTATATTATTATACATATTATGGAAGTGGGTTGGTTATTTCATTGTTTGAATAGTTTGTAATTTTTCAATCTCTTTCTATAATTTTTTTTTTCTGTTGATGTTTTTTATCAGAACTGCTTAATGCGAAAAACACATTATCTATTTTATTGACAAGCATTAAATGAATAATGATATACAAAATATACATTATAGACAATTATTAAGACAAGCAGATAAACATGATAATAATCAAAATATAAGAAAGAAAAGAAAATTAAAAAAAAATGTGGAATTACCTCCAGAAAATGATATAATTAATTTAGATTCAAGTTCAGATAATGACGTGAAATTAGAAAATGTTGAAACACAAGATATTGATTCAGACTCAGATGAGTTTGAAGACGTCAGTTTGGATTATCATGATGATAAAAGTGATGGTGACTCAGATGCTTTTGAAGATGTGGATTTAGATGTAAATTTTCAATTTGATCAAAAAAATAAATCACCGCCACCCCTTAAAAATGATTCAATTACAATCCAATTCAAAAAACAAGAACCACAAACGAAGAAAGTGAATTTAATTAGCTCAGAAGAAAGAAGTCGACGCGTTTTGATGCACAAAATGTACTTAATATTCATGTTGATACACGGTACTATTCGAAATAAATGGTGTAACGATAAAGATTTGGGTAAAACTTTAGTAAAATCTTGTGTTACACAACAAATTACTGGATTATTAAAAGGTGATGACAAAACTGATGTAATAAATTCAAGACGATTACTTGATGGTTTGAAGAAATTAATGACAATTTATTCTGCTAAATTTAAAGTGAATAGTGTAGGACTAATCAAAAAGTCATGGTCAGAATTGAACGCAATTCAAAAAGATGATGCTATAGTCAATAGAAAAACATTTAAAAAATTAATTACTAATTTTAGAGGGAGTAGAGATATTGGAGCTCAAGGATTTGTTTTATTATTAAGAGGTTTAGGATTAAATGCAAGACTAATCTTATCAATGCAACCACCTGATTATACAATTCTAGCAGCTAAAACAGAAAAGAAACAAGGTGAGAATGTAGTCAAAGCTAAGAAATTTAATGAGTCTAATTTTCCTATATTTTGGGTTGAAGTTTGGGATAAGTTTTTAAAAAGATGGATAAGTGTTGATCCAATTGTGATGCAAATCATTGAAATATGCCCTAAAAGAAGAAGGTGTTCATTTGAACCACCAACTCTGGATGAGAGAAATCAATTATTATATGTCATTGGTTATGACAAATATGGTAGAGTCAGAGATGTTACAAGAAGGTATAGTCTTAATTATAATGCAAAGACAATAAGGAAAAGAATAGAGTTTAAATCAAATGAAGAAAAAGAATGGTATGAAAGAATTGTCAAAACTTGTAATTATAAGAAAACAAATAGTATAAGTGATATTTTTGAATTGAAAGAGTTTAATGAACGAGATTTAAATGAAGGTATGCCAAATAATATTCAAAGTTTTAAAAATCATCCATTATATGTATTGGAAACTCAAATTAATGCAAATGAAATTATTCATCCTCATGATGATAGTGCAAAATGCGGTACTTTCAAGTCTAGGAATAAAATAATCAATGTCTATAAGAGAAGTAATGTGTATAAAGTTAGATCGGCAAAAGCTTGGTATCTTAAAGGTAGAACACTTAAAATGGGTCAACAACCAATGAAAACTATGGTGAAAGGAGAAGAAGAAGTTAGGTTATATGCTGAATTTCAAACTCAAATGTATATTCCTCCACCAATTAAGGATGGCATTGTACCTAAAAATCAATATGGTAATATAGATTTATATTTTAAAACAATGTTACCCGAAAATGGTGTTTTTATCGAAGCAACACCAGAAATATCTATGAAATTATTAACTCAAGCTGCAAATATATTAAATATAGATTATGCAAAGGCAATAGTTGCATTTGATTTTGGTAGAAAAAGGTCTGTTAACGTTCGTGAAGGTGGTATTGTTATTTTCAATGAATATAAAGAAGCTATTGAATTAGTTATGGAACAATTATTAAATGAAATAGAAGAAGCTAAAAGAATTTTAATGGAAAACAGTGCATTAAACAATTGGAAATATTTTTTATTAAAACTTAGATTAGAAAACAGATTAAATAAATTTCATGGTACCATCGAAGATAAAATACAACCCGATGAAAGCGATCATGAAGAAATTAAACGAGATTCAGGTGATGAACAAGGCGGGTTTATAGTATCAGATAATGAAGACCAAGGAAACAATAATGTAGATGAAGATGAAGATGGTGGATTTTTAATAAATGATACCGAGTCAATTGAAGTACCCGACAGAAAGGCTAAAGAAAATAAAAAATATTATGACAGTGAAGAAGATAACAATGATGATTACGATGGTTCATCGGAAGAAGTTACATATAGTCAAGATGAAGACATGGAATTTGAGTATGAATCTGAGTAATTTTATATATATTTTTAGCCGTATAGAACTTCTTATACCTTCCTATTGGAGTAATTTCAAACGCACCACGCACCAAAAATAAAAAATATGGCACACTATTTTTCGCGCAATCGTCTAGAAACCGATCTAGAAATATTTATGCAGTAAATGCATACTTAAGAAGCGCAAGCGCAATTGCTTGATAAATTTTATAGTATTGTAGATAAAAATATTTCACCTTATATAAATTAAGGCTAATATCCCACAAAGTTTTTAGTTTAGATGTGTTAAGAATTAATCAGAGATGGAAAACAAAGTAGCAGAAAATGTCTTGGCCACTATTGGTACTGTTTTATGGTGCATTCAATTGATACCCCAGATTATAAGAAATTTTAGAGTTAAAGATTGTGAAGGTTTACCGCCATTAATGATGTTTTTGTGGGCATGCAGTGGAGTACCATGGTCTTCATATTTTACAGCTATTGATTCATCTATACCATTAATCATTCAACCTCAAATTTTCACATTTTTCAGTTTAGTTACTTGGGCGCAAACTTTATATTATCCACCAAGACATGTTTCAAGAAAGAGATTTGTATTACTTATTGGTCTGTTTGTCATAATAGCTATTGGTGTAGAAGCTGGTTTAATTTTGGGTCTTAGACCATTACATAGAAGAGGAATTACATGGCCATTATTAATTATTGGTATATTAGCATCCATTTTTTTGGTTGTTGGTTTAATTCCACCATATTTTGAATTAGCTAAAAGACAAGGTAGGGTTATTGGTATTAATTTTATATTTTTAAGTATGGATACTGGTGGTGCAATTTTCTCAATGGCCAGTATCATAGTTGGTAATATGGATATTATGAGTTTGATTTTATATATTCTTGTTATAGTACTTGAAGTTGGTATAGTTGCAAGTCATTTTGTATGGTGGTTAAGAATTGGGAGGAAATTGCCAAAAGAAGTTAAAGAAGAAGAAGCACCAGCTGATAGTGGAGCCTCCATGTCGTCTGGCGTAGTTATTGAAAAAAATTCATTTGAAGTGAACAAAGATGCGAAAGAAATATCACCGGTATGACATACGGATGAATTATAACATTACTATGACATATTTAATTAACAATTCTTGTATATTTTATTTATAGAACATAGATTTTAATATTATGATTTTTATGGTTTTAACTTTGTTGCAAATTCGCAGTAAAAAAAATCTATAGTACGAATGTTATGGTATGAATAGAATAAATAGTTCACCGTGGGACTAATACTAACAAACTCAGTCTTCGTTCAAACCATTAAACTTTCTCGAAGATTCAATATCTAAGAAGGATTTAGAAGAAGAACATACAAGAGAGATACAAGTTGAACAAGCATACAACTTATTTCAACTGGCATTAAAATTTCATAAAAGTGATCAACTACAACAATCTTATAAAATTTATGAAAACTTATTCAAATTAAATATTATATCTAATCATTATTATGAAGAAGTTGACTATATTCGTGGTTTACAAAATGGTGAAGTGAATACTATTGATGAATTAAGTTTATTATCACCAAATGTCAAATCATTAAGGTATTTAATTTTTAGAAATAGAGGAATGTTATACTTGGAAATGTTGAAAAAAGAAGAATTTCTGGAAAGTCAATTCAAAGAGTTATTTTATACATGTATTGATGATTTATGTATTGCATTTTTATATAATGAATCAGATGAAGAATTACTCGAAATAATATTTGAAATTTATTTATATTTAGGGGTCAAAAAATTATCGAGATATACATTAGAATATCAACTAAGCTCGAGAGAAGAAAGTGACGATTTAGCTGGACTAATTCCAATTGATAAAGGTGTTCAAAAAAAATATGATAATTTACTTCTGGGAAAAGTAAAACCAAGTGTGAAATTTGAATTTTTAAAACCAGTTAAAGATGACTTTGATGTCCAGCTGAATAAACAATATCAAAAAATTAAAACAATAATAAAATGTAAAAACTCATGGGTCAGTTTGATAGACTGCGTAAATGCAAAATTAAAAGAGAATCAAGATGAGAATAAAATTGAAGATGTACATAGACCAAGATTAAAACAAATTGATCCTTACATTTTAACTGAAGAACCATTAGAGATAGTCGAAATAGAAGTGGAGAATGTGGAGCCTGAAGTAGAACCTGAATCTATAGTGATTGAAGAACCACAACAAACTGAAGAAAAGGAAGAGAATCAAGAAGAAGTAAAGGAGGAGAAGAAAGAAGAAGAACCAATAGAAACCAAAATTCAGAGATCATCTAAAAGATTAGCAAAAGTTGAAGTGGCATCAGATTTACCCGAAATTGCACTACAAGATGCTCACTTTTATGGGTTAAATTTATTTTTGCAAGAGTTCAAACAGTTACTTCAAGTAAATGTGATGGATATAAGATCTATATATTTGCATAATACAGAAGCTCCTCAATACGTGCAAGATTTTATCGAAATGATCAACGACTGGAAATATGAATCGGGATTATTATCATTTCAATCCAAGACTAATCAAGGTGAAAATTTGAAATTACTTGATTTGCTTAGTGGATTTGATCGTGATCAAGAATTTGCAAAGAAAGATTTCCCACCATTAGGATCAATAGATGAATCAATTCTTGAAAAAACTGATTACGTTCATTTAAAAGAAAATATTATAAAATATCTTATAAATTCATGTTTGACCAGCAAATGGGAAGAGAACTTATATATCAAGCTTAAAGATTGGGTCCTTCAATTTGATAATTACATAATGCCAGACTTAGAAACTGCAATAGGAATATTTGAATTATTAACTGATGTGTCAATAACATTAGAAACTCAAATTAATGATCAGATAAGTAAAAAAATAAATAGAGGAATTGTGAATCCCTTATGTCAGGAATTATTAAAAGTTAACGATAAATTACAAAAATGGTCAACTGCAATTGAAGATATTGTATACCAAAATTTTGACGCAAAATTACTTGCGAGATTCAAATGGGCGCAATACAACAAGGAGAAAGCATCAACTACAAATTGGGGTGATAATTCATCATTGAAATATAAATTAAAAGAATTACTAAAATATGATGTTGAGATATCTTATCCTAATTATAAAAATTTTGGTGATTCAAACACTGAAAGTATTAAAAATCAACTAACAATTATATCAGTACTTTCAATATTTTGGAGAATCTTATATAGTGCTCCTAAAACAGAAAACAATGAAGCTATTGATTTACTTGAAGATATTTTAATGGACCTGCAAAATCAAGATAAGCCTATATTATCAATCAGAAAGTTTTTATCTGGATCATCACTTGAAATGAGATTAAGTTTGTGGAGTATATTATTACTGTTTTACAGGCTGAATGATTTAAAGATCAAACTAGCCAGTGGGTTTGAAAAAAGTCTTGAGTTTTTGATTGCTTATCTTGATGGTGATTATACAAATTTTGATAAACCAACTCGATTTACTATATTACTGAAGATTCTAGGGTTTTACAGTAATAACATTTCTAATATTGTTGAAATTGGAGAACCAATTGCTTCGAATTTGGTAGTAAAATTCCTAGACTTGTTTTTCATTTACGAAATTCATGAAGAAGCAAGTAGTATAAGTTCATTAAAAACATCACTCAAAGCTAAATCAATGACTTCATATAACAACTTAAAAGATACCTTCATTAAAACTTTCGTTTTAATAATAATAAATTGTAAAAACAACAAAGAGTTACAGCAAAAGATCATAGACCTAGTACATCGTCAATTGGGTTCCGTCGGAATATGTAATGCTGCTAATGGTATATTCCTAAATTCTATCCATGAAGTTTTAGATAACTCAAAGGATAAAATACAATATGCACAATATATAAAATGTAAATTTCATTACAATATTGCAATTGATGGTGTACTACCTGAAGATCATGGAACTGAACGAACAGATATCGAAGAACAAGATTGTCAAAGTCTAGCAAAATTTATATTACCAATCTGTTTTAAATCAAATCCGCTTAAAAATGTCCCCAAACATGATGTTAAACAATTGATTGATGAAATTTATGGAAAAATAGGTGGTCCAGACTTTGAGTCAGATGAAGTATTAAGTCGAAATAAAGCATCGCTTAATTATTTTTTAGATACAAGAAAATTAACTCCAAGATTTATAAAAGATTCATTTTATGGATTAAATGAGTTGAAATTTGATGAATTAAACCATCCAATAGTACAAGATGGTTTATATTTCATGCAAGGATTGTTGACATTTTTTTCATACAAATCAAGAAAAAAGAATATGCAAAGTAGAGCTGTTGAAATTGAAACGGCTATTTCATTATTAGAAAATGATTTAATTTATGGTAGTAATAGATTAGAAAGCTGGTTTTTATTAGGTCAAGCTTATGGTTTTTTAGTTGAAGATGATTTAATTTGGACTTCAGATAAATTAACAATTGCAGATCGTAAAACTTCAACAGCAAATTTACAAAGGAAATCATTGACTTGCTATTTAATGGCTATAAATTGTTCTGTTGAAGCACCAAAGGAGAATGTGAAACCAATCATTGGAAGTCTTATGTCATCATTTGCTAAAGAAATGTTTAGTGCTGTAATGCAACCAATGAATATGCATGCTTTTAAAGTTCAATCACAGCCTAGATTTATAAATAAAGCAAATGGTGCATCATTTTTAAGTGCAAGTGAAAGTGCAGTAACGAGTAAGAAAACTTTATTCAAGATTATGAAAGCAGCTTTTGAGTTAGCAATTAAATCAAAAAATAATGAATGGAGCGATTTTTATTATTTATCAAAAGTTCAAAAGAAATTAAACGAATCACCAAAACTAGTTTTAGATACGATGAGTAAGGCCTGTGAGCTAGCTTCTGATGATATAGTCGAACCATATTATACAATAATTTCATTGTGTTACAAGTATGTGAAAAATGAGAAAATGACAATAGAAGAAGCTCTCAAATATCTAAACTATCCAGGTGTAAATAAGGCCGTTTCACAAAATACTGAATTTTACAAATTGATATGTGAATGTTTGAAGAACCTTGATTCTGCGGACAAGAAAAATTGGCAACATAAACCAAAATATCGATTGTCAAAAATATATTTTGATGAGTTTGGTGATAGTGATAGCAGTATTACGATCTTGAAGAATTTTATATCATTAAATACTCCTAATAAATCTTTAGTATCAATATGGAAGCCAGACTCAGAAAGACCAGGAAAGCATTTTCTTTACACTTTTAGATACATTTATTTTTATATTGAATTGTTAAAACAAAATAATGACTTAAATAGTTTGATAATAATGTTACCAAAATTAAGAAGGTCAAATTCTGTCATGATTCAGTTAACAACAGCTTGGGAGTTTTTATGTACATCAATTTGTAAGATTATTAGAGATATATTTAAAATCGGCGATTCATTTGATTTTACAGACAAGTTTATAAATAATTTAAATTTTCCAAAGTTTACTCAAAATTCAAAAAGTTTTATGGATCTTTTTAAGCAAAATGGTGTCCCAGATGAATTAAGAGCACATATATGTTTTTTGAATTCTGTTAATGATATGAAAAAGTTGAATAATGGATTTGGACCAACTTCATTAATTGATGATACAATAGTTGGAATTTTTTTCAGAATTTATACATTTTACTTTGCACAAGATTTTACAAATGCAATGGAAAATCCAAGTGCAAATCAAAAAAAGAAGATTGCTAAGAAAGATATTTTTCCAATTACAAATGATATAATTAAAAATCATAAAAAGGAAATTGAAGATAAATTGAAAGATGAACCAGATTTGTTTAATATTCTGGCGAAAAAAGTAGCAGATGCAAAAAGGAAAGAGGAAGAGGAAATGAAGGAAAAGGAGGAAAAGGAGAAACAGGATCAAAAAGAACAAACGAATCAATCAACATATAATGCACCGATCAGAAAACAAGAATTACAAGTTGAACCAAAAGAAAGAGAGGTTTCAGTAATCAATTCGGAGGCTAGTTCACAAGAAAGAAGATTTATACTACTCAGTGATCCATCGAGATGCGAAGATGAAGAGCCTTTAAGGAAAAAACATAAGCCTGCTACACCAGAGTTAATTACAGGTATTGATTCAGATTGAATATATTTATAATAATTCTATTTTAGTGGTAATTAAATTTCTTAAAGTTAAATCATAAACTATCTTATTTAATCTTTGATAATTATATTTCAAACTGTCGTATTTCTTTCTTAAAATATCATTTTTCAAATCTAATAATTGAAAACCATTTTGTAATTTTGACACAATTTGTGAGTTTATTAAACTTATTGAGTAGTTCGAGCTAATAGACTCGTTTTCAATTGATTGGTTTATGACTGAGTTCAAAGTATATTCCACAATTACTTCAATTAATTTTAACAATGAAATTAGGTATATTTGATAATCAATTTTATCAAAATTTAATAAGGATTTTACTTGCTCTGGAGTTAAAATGATACCATTTTCCTTTTCTGAGACAAACTGAATCCTTATAACCTCATTTGTGTATGAATTTGACAAAACTTGAAAATAATTGCTAATTAATAAGTAATAAATAGATTCTTCCACTATTTTATTTTGAAGTCTTTCTTTTTGACCAAATTTTGCATTCAATTCAGAAACTGATTTAGAGAATTTTTCATAATTTGAAACTACTTCACTAATAAATACTGACACATTTTCTTCTGATTTCAATTTATTTGGTAAAATTGTTATTTTATCATTAAATTTTGATTTAAAAGGTATAATTGAGACATCAAATTGATGTTCCAAATCTTGTAAAGCAGATTTCTTTTCAAAACTGAAATTGTTAATACTTTATACAAAGTTTATACTCATTACATACTCTGTTTCTATTTGATTTTTGATTTCTTTAAAAAATTGGTCCATTTGATGTTTCAGAATTTTTTTTTTTTTATTTTATTTTTTTTTTTTTATTTTTTTTTCATTTTAATGAAGATTTTATGTTTACCAGGGTACTTACAAAATGGTAGTACATTAGCAGTTAAATCATCAGGTTTGAGAAAAATATTAACTAAAAAACTTGGATATCAATTAGATTTTATTGATCCATTACATACTATAAAATCAAGAAAAGAATTTTCATTTCCATTAGCTTCAACAGAAGAAGAATCTGATAAAGTTTGGGATTCAATAGTTGAAAAGGGAAATAATAGAAGATGGTTTGATCATGAAGCTCCTGGTATAAATCATGGTTTGGATGCATCTATTGAGTATTTGGTTAATCATATTAAAGAAAATGGGCCCTACGATTGTATTATTGGTTTTAGTCAAGGTTCAGCTATGGCAATTATGATTACAAATTCTATAAGAAGATTATTGCCTAATCATCCTGACTTTAAAATAAGTTTGTTTATTTCCTGCTTTTGTCTAACTGAACCTAAAACGTCTGATCATTCAGATGATAATAGAGAAAGAATTAATGAATTGGAAGACGTAGATCAATTTAAGAATGAAGTTAAATTATCTGAAAATGTTGTCAAATATACTATTCCACCATCTGACTTAAAAACACAAATTTTAATTGTTTATGGTAAAGAAGATAATATTGTTCCACCAGTTAGATCAAAATATGTTGGTAATTATTACAAAGATCCCATATATTTTGAACATGAATCCGGTCATTTAATACCGAATAAGAAGGATTTTCTACAACCAATTGTTAAATTATTCGAAGAATCGGCGAATAAATCAAATTTGTAAATAGCGTGTATAATTTATTTAGATTTTTTTTTTTTTTTTTTTTTTTTTTTTTTTTACGAAAATTGATTTATCAATGACGGATTATAAGAAACAGAAAACTGATAATAATAATAATAATAATAATAATGAAGGTGTAAATCAATTCTCAAGGAGAGGTGAAGAATCAAATTCATATTTACCATCATCTATATATGCAAATAAACCAGAAAAATTACCAGCTTGGTTAGAAGAGAAATTACACCAAGACAGAAAATATGATAAATATGGGACAAGGCAGCAATTACGAGATCAAAATGATAGAGCAGATGCTTATGCGAAGTATGGAGCAAAAGAAACTCAAAATTCAAGGTTAAATAGACTCAAGAGAACAAAAGAAGAATCGCGACAAGAAACACCACAAGAAGAAGAACATGATGATGATGATGATGCTGATGAAGAAGAAATATCACCTTATATACATCTTGATGTAGCCAATCCTTCGGTAAACCATTTTCATAAAAAGCAACAACAACCAAACTACCATACATTTCAATCAAAGATATACAATAAAGAGAATAAAGATATAGATTCAATTGTTAAAATGCATTATAATCAAAGAACTCAACAATCAAAGCACCAGGGTTCAAGAACAAATTCTCCAATTTATAAATTAAGAAACTTTAATAATACAATAAAGTATATTTTATTAAGTAATTGGGGTAAGCAAATAGATCAGCATGATAATTTTACTTTATTAGATTTATGTTGTGGTAAAGGTGGCGATTTAAATAAATGTGAATTTATTAAAATTAATCAATATATTGGTGTTGATATTGCTAATTTGTCAGTCAAAGAAGCATTTGAAAGATATTCAAGACAAAAGGCAAGATTTAAACAATTTAATAATCAAAGAAATTCCAATAGATATAATTTTGAAGCTTATTTTGCAACTGGTGATTGTTTTGATGAATTCATACCAAACTTATTAGAACCAAACTTTCCAGGAATAATAGATAGATTGTTTCCAGTTGATGTTGTTAGTGTACAATTTTCATTACATTATGCATTTGAAACAGAGGAGAAAGTAAGAACTCTTCTTACAAATATTTCCAGATCCTTAAAATCTGGTGGTAGATTTATTGGAACAATACCATCATCTGACTTTATAAAGGACAAAATAGTTAAAAATCAATTAATTCCAAATGATAAAGGAAAATTAGGATTTGGAAATGAATTATATTCGGTTACATTTGATAAAGAACCCTCACCAGATGGCATTTTTAGACCTCCATTTGGAAATAAGTATAATTACTGGTTGAGAGATGCTGTTGATGATGTTCCCGAGTATGTTGTGCCTTTCGAAACATTACGTGCATTATGTGAAGAATATGATTTGGTACTTAAGTATAAAAAGAATTTTCAAGAGATTTTTACCCAAGAAATACCAAAGTATTTTAAATTATTAAATAGAAATTTGATAGAAGGTTTGAAAAGAAGTGATGGTAAATATGGAGTTGAAGGTGAGGAAAAAGAAGCTGTTGCATTTTACGTAGGGTTTGTGTTTGAAAAACTGATTTAATATATCTAATGAGTGTATGGTAACTAAATGTGACGGATCTTAGTTAAAAATCTTACTGTAAATTATTCAAATCTCTTGATGTTTGTTTTATTGTGAGCAACTGGTAGCTCCTAACTACCATGGGACTGCATATTTTTAAGTCACTAATTTTCGCGAACATTTGATGCCAACATAATGTTTTGGTCGCGCTTACTGTACAGCGACAAGTACTAAATACATTGGCTTATATCTCATGAAAAACACATTCTATCCAGATATATACCATTTATATCAAATCAGAAGCTTTGAATTATACATTCTATATATTTCAAACTTTAGATTTTAAACATATTTTTTTGAGTTGTCATTTTGGCGTTTTTTCATCATACAAAATTTTTGAGAAAACTGAGAATTCGTTGTATGTTTGATTTTTTGAGCGCACAATTTTCTAATAAACGACGAATTATATATATCAGACCTTAAAAGAAAGTGACTAACTTAATTCTAGATGAGCAGAACAAAAAATGAAAAATTTCAAAATTTTCTCTTAACTATGGGAAAAATCGAATAAATTGACTTCACAGAATATCTAATTCCGCAACTAAAAAGTGTGATGAGGGTATGACGAATTTATCCAATTTTGTAGTGCCTGAAACCTTAAGGTATTTTGTGTTAAGGTACTTAAACTAGAAAAAGTAATTTTTCAACAGATCAATTCTGGGTTATGCGAGAAACTCTCAACAATACAGTGGATAATCAGGATCGACTAATTTTACATGAGGACTATTCGAAAACTATTGTATAAGTCTTTTAACCAAAAGTAAAATGGTCATAATATCTATTTCTCAAATAAGGAATACGGATTATTTCATCTTAGTCAACAACGTTGTGATAATACATTGGACTTGGTTTAAAATTTAAATAAAAAGCAAAATTACTAAATTTTCGCTAAGGTCCTTTGGTTAGCCACAAGGTTTAGATTACGATCGACCTTAGGTAAACATTTAATCATAATTTAGGGAAAATTTATAAAAACTGAACTGTTGCAAACGTTTTTTAAAAATTTTGCCGCCATTTCCCAACACCTTTAAGACGTGATATGAGAGTAATGACGAATAAACACAAAAGGAACAGTTATCTTAATTATAATCATTTGCACATATCCATGGCTTCATTTTCTAATACCCTCACAAAACTTTAAAATATTAATAAGCTTTTGTAATTAGAAATAATATTGCAACAATAATTATATTAATATAATTTTTTTTCTGTACCTACATCAACAACACTGCATAAAACTTTAAATCACTACCATGTGTATGAACAATTGTTTGGCTATTGTACATGCAATTATAATTGAACTCTTTGAATTCTAAAACAGATTAGAATTAAGATTTAGATTTACACTAAAACAAAAGGAGTTTTGAATCATTCTAGAAATAATTGAAATTAAACAAACTTGCATTAATTTAGACTTATATATAAAATATCACATGGAACCCTACTAACTGATTTCCTTACTTAATAAAGAAGAAAATGTTGAGGTCTTAGTATTGATTCACGCTATAATACATTGCCATTTATACAATCATCTGCATTGCATTAAAGTGAAATCGTGAAATTCAAGCGACTAGTGAAGCGGAATTAATATAACTCCGATTCAAATGATTGACGTTCTGTTATTCTACATTCCAATTTTTGTATAGTCAGCTATGCATTAAACAATATAGTTGGAATTCTGAAATTTGCTATAATTTCATAACCATATAAATGATTTTTTCGGAGGAGGGTTTCCAAAAAACGAAGCTTCGTTGGTAGAAGTGGAATCACCAACTTGAAATTTGGTTTAAACGAAATAATTGATACGACGGTATCCATTACTTTATTGATTTCAGATTTATTAGTTTGTATTAAACTGACTCGACACTCAATCTGACATAATAAGCTAAAGTATGAAACTACTGACTATATCATCTTATACGGTCTTGAACTATTATTTGGTTAAAGTTTTAATGCGATGTTTTAGAGATCATTTGCTGGATGACTTAACTTTCGTAAGAGTTATGTACACGGTGTTCAACTACAAGCTTTTGAGTAACAAAAAAATGTAGCAGTCGTTAAACTTTTTAAGATTCTTCATGTGGTCTACGAGTTACTAAAATTTAGAACAGTCTATATCAACTTAGCCGACTATAGTCAGGTCAAAAAAAAGGCTGGAGAGCTCCGATCAATAGAACGAAAAACAGTAAACTTATACAAGAAGCATGTATTATGAGTTAAAAATCGAAGTAACGAATCAGATCTCATTCTGATGTTTTCATGAATTGCATCATCTTTTTGAAATTTTGCATCAAAATTTTTTTTTTATACAAAAGTTGATTGAACTTAAAAATTAGCTCATATTCTGAATTACCTAAGCACATACAATTTTTTCTTTGTGTTTCAATGTAGTTTGGTCTAAACCTCACCAAACTTCTATTTAAGCTTTTTATAAACAGATTTAAAAAAGTTTAATATGTACAAGAAAAGGAAGTTTTTGATTGCTGAGTAAGTGATTAGTATGGAGTAATGATGAAATAAAACATGAAGTTTTTTAGAAACCAACATAAACTAATAATGAAAGAATCACTAGAGTTGATCTATGCATAAAAAAGAAACAAAGTGCATATATTTAGATTGTTCAATATGCAATATTTCACCATGAAAATTAAAACACGGCCATTGAGAAAATTAAATTGTAATATTCATTAAAACTTAAAAAATCAAGATTTGTACAATTCGGAAATCGATAACAAATAGGTGTATCAACTAAGACTCTTTCATTGAATTAATCGAATAAGTCAAAAAGAATAAACAGCAGAATTTTGATAAATCACAAAGAGGACACATTTCTATTTCCGTTAGATTTGGAAGCTGTACAAAATCAAAGATCGAAAATTTTAGCTTTAAATGGGTCACAATTGTAGGTTCGTTTTAGGCTTTTGCGAATTAAGCATAAAGCATAGTATTGAGTAAATTTTCACACACCAAAAGATCTCAAGATCCCTGATTCTTAAATCTAAATACAAAGTTAGGAGCGAAAAATAAGAATAATTTTATAATTGAATTTTAAAATTTTGATTTATAGTTTGTTGTAGTTTAAGTATTGATTTAGTCTACTAGATCAGTATTTTGAATAGACTAATCAAACTTAGTGGTTCAATTCTAAATATACAAACCGTGCCGTCCTAAAAATGTACAATCGTTGTAATATGTAAAAATTGGATCATATTAATCGTATTTCACATCTATTTAAATGACCAATTTATTATAAATAAGAAAAGTGTCGTATCATAACCATTACCAGTAATGTAAAAAGATTTACATTAAATTCACTAAAAAACGGAACCATTTTATATAAAAACAGGAAAGCAAAGCGGTGCGGAATTCTCGACTCCACAAATTTTCAATTCAACTATCGCTATGAAGTTTATATTCAAGTTAACAATAATTTTTGTGAGATCTAATTGTTACTCTTTGAAGCAAAAGAAGGAAATATAATAGAATCATACACAAAATTAGTGCTTCGATACTTTTACATTCACTTTTCACTATGAAAGTTTAATTTTGTATTGCAACCAGGTCTTTTGCATCTATTTTTGTAATTCAACTACTTAAAATGAGACAATATCTAAAATTAGTTTAATCCTATTTTAAATTATAGAAACCATGTGCTATAGTTGTATTTTATTTTGCGTTTTAGATTAGACTAGTTTAAAATTAGTTTATAATGCCCAAGAAAATGTTAAAGGTAGGTGGTTAAATGTACAGATTTTTATATTGATTAATGACATATTTGTTAATGACATTTGACGATAGACAATATTTTTTCATAGATATTAATGAATACAAATAAGCTCTTTAATAATTCTAATTACTCGCTTCGGTCGTTTCTTTTTGCATGTATGACAAATTTATCTGTACGATTTGCTATTTTAATTAAAGCAACATTTACGTAACAATCAACATATTTTTTTTTTTTTTTTTTTTTCTTTTTGGACTCAGATCTTGAAATTAAAAAAAAAAAAAAATAAAAAAAAATTATAAAACGCGAAATAAAAAAAATCTACTATGGACTAATATTAATCTTCAGATTATTAGTTGGTTAGTAAGCTTCTCGAGAAAAAGACACGATTATATTTATAATGAATAAAGACTACAATTAGTAAATCTTTTTTAATTTATTACTTCTTTAATGGGTATTATTTGGCTGAAATTTCAAAAATTAAATAAGCTTTTTTATATTATAAATTAATTATTAAATAATAAAAACCGTATGGCGTCTAAAACATGAAGCTGAATAGAGCTATGCGAAAAATCTTATACTTTAAAAAAAACTCATTGAATAGAAAAAATTATAGAATCGAAATTATATCAAAAGATAGATACAACTTCGATGGAAGTGACTGAACAGGAGAACAAGAAATTAGATTAGTTAAAATTCTATCTAAAAATTAGAAATATGAGCTAATAAAGTTTAATTTAGCACTCTAGCTTAGCTTCATTTGACCTTCACTCAACAAATAAAGGAATAAGCAACAAACTAAAATTTTAACTATATAATAATAAATAATTAAACTATATTAGACTGACTGACTGACTGACTGATTAAACCCAACTCAAGTTTACAACAGAGACAACAACAACAACAACAACAACAACAAAAGCAATAACAAAAATTATCAACAACATCAAAACTAATGTTTAGTTAATAATAACAAAAAGAAAGACTAAAACTTTTAGTTCCAAATTTTAGTGAAAAGACTAAATTTTTTTAAATCCAAAATTATTAATTTTAGTTTAAATAGTAATAAATGAAATAAAAAAAATACAAAAATAACAAAAACAACCAACAACAGAAACAACAAAATAAGACAACAAACCAAAAGGTGGTTTTTCAATTGCGTGCTCAATTGTGTGCTGAATAGTGTGCTGAATAGTGTGCTCATTGATTATCATTGTCTTAGATTCAAATGATAAACAAGAAAAGTATCATTAAAAATAAATCCATTTTATATTAAAAACAAGAGGTTAAACCGAAACGTGATTTTAATATTAAAATTCATGATCAAATATTGAAAGACAAAAGACAAAAGTAAAAAGTGGTAGCCCATTCATTTTGTATTCTTTTGTATTTTTTTGTATTCGTTTATACACATTTCACCTTTAACAGTTTTATATAATTTTATTTATTTATTTATTTATTTTATTTTATTTTATTTTTTTTTTTTTTTTTTTTTTATTTTATTTTATTTTATTTTATTTTTTTTTTTTTCTTCTATTTTTATATAAAATTGATTTCGATTAAAAATTATATAAATATAAATAAATATTTAAATGTATAATTTCTATTCTTACTGCTTTTCCTTTAGAATTCTTTATTTATTTGTTTATCGATATTTAACAGAGTTGTTGTATTCATTGATTAATTATTCATTCTTTTAACAATTAGTTGCGTAATAATTTTCATCACAATTATCTTAGACAATTTTATTAATTTTATTATTTTTGTTAATTTTATTTATTCGAGATCCTAGTGTTCCAAATTTTAAATACCAAATTTTAAATTCCAAGAAACTTTAAAGGATCTAACAATAGAAATTATTATATATCAAATCAAATATTTCGAAACTTAATCATTAATTTGAGATTCAATACAACATTAGGGTTTGAAGAAATTCATTTCATCTCACATAATTTAAACTTTAAGCTTTTTCTGCCCAAATATTAAATAAAATTTATCATAATTCAAGATTGAATATCGTGTTTCTTTTTAATTACACAATTCCATTAGTTTCAGATTTAATTTTATATAAAAAGTCAGATTTATTCATTTCATAATTTAAATAAGATTTTTAATTGTCGAAAATTTCGTTAAATTTTATCAGTATCAGATTTTTTAAACTTTATTGATTTTACGAAAGTTAAATATTCAACATTTTTCAAAATTAGACCAAGTAACGAAGTAATCAAGTAATCAAGTAACCAAGTAACCAAGTAACCAAGTAACCAAGTAACCAAGTACCCAAGTAAGTTCTATTAAGAACTTCATTTTGATTAATTAGTATCTTTTCAAATACTGTAAATTATGGTTTTTCAGGATGATAAGCTTCACCTGCTGACATCATCAGAGTCAAAGGACAACAATAAAAATGTACCAAATATAAATACAATACTAAGTAAGAATAATAGTAATATAATGTTACCGCCATTAGTTAAAGATCAACAGCAACAACAGCAACAAACAAATCAATCACAAAATCAAATTCTGCAACAACCGCCAACCCAAAATCTTATAGACCAACAACATCAACAAACACAGTATGATTATCCAATAAATTATAATTACCAATCTCAATTTGATCCCTATCAACAACAACAACAACAACAACAGCAGCAGCAACAACAACAGCAGCAAGCTCAAAATCTAATACCTCAAAATTATCTTCCACAGTATATACCTCAAAATTCATTTACAGTTCCAACAAGTAATAGTTTACCATACCAAACAACTAACTCAGCCACAACTACATCAATCCCATTATCATTGTCTTCTGAAGAATCAGAAACTTCACCAACTATAGCATCATCAGGACAATTATCAAGTAATAATAATAAACGAGGTAGAAGATTTAGAAGACGTTATAATCAAATACTACGAAGATATCCATGTACTTTTCCTGGATGTTCAAAAAGTTATGGTTCATTAAATCATTTAAATACTCATATAGTTACTAAAAAGCATGGACATAGAAAATCAAAAGCTGATTTTCAAAATTCATCAAATAAGCAATCAAAAGAAAATGACTATGATTCACAACAACAATTACAACTGCAACAACATAATATATTAACTCAATCATCACCACAACAACAAATTTCCCAACAACAAGTACCTACAAATTATGCTCCGGAATATATGAGTGGAAATTATTGGTATGGCTATGCTCCTCCACATTTACGAGATCCAACAACTACTGGAAATGCTTCAACTTCAGCTACTGCATCGACTAATTTCATGGTATCTCCATCAAATAATCAACAAACTACTCAACAACAAGCTCAAAATCCAATGTATTATTATCAAAGTTATCAACAAACAAATTTTCCGAATCAGAGAATTAATACAAATTTTTATCCACCACCATCGACTACCAATCAACAATATCTATATCAACAACCAACACAAAATCATCAACCTACGAATCAACAAGGTAATGTTCCAGATCAAACGAAATCTCCTGATGATCATAAATAGCTAATTAATTAATTAATAAAAGTTCTGTATTTTAATGTAATAATATATAATATATTAATGTAATTGAATTGAAATAAATTCTATGATAATTACGATTTGATCTAAATTCTTATGTTGAAGCTCTTCTTGGTAATGTACAAGATTTGAATATAGAATTGTGCCTTGTTTATAGAAATTGCAGCCATTCTTTTGTTTACATAATCATTATTTATTTTTTTTTTTTTTTATTCTTATTTTTATTTTTTTTTTTTTTTTTTTTTTTTGTTGATCTTTAAAATGAAACCAGATGAAGATAAGGGAAAGAAGGATGAAAATGAAACACATGATGAAATACAAGCCAATGACTCAAAAGTAGATGAATTAGATGAAAAGAGGTCAATCAATTCGAATGGAGAGGAAGATGTGAAAATTCTACCAGAACCAACTCAAGAAATACAAATAATTGAATCAAACGACGCTAAAGAAGAACTAATACAGGAGAATATTGACTCAACAAGTGCAAGAATAGAGATAAATGACGTTGATTTGAAAGATTCGAGTTTAGAATATAATACAGAGCAATCACGAGAGGGTACACAAAATCAGTCATCATCAAACACGAAGGGCCAATCTGAAAAACTCAATGAGAATGGAGTTGATAATGATCTTGAGTCAATTAATGTGATTGAAGATCAAGCAGAGGAGGAGGATGAGAAATCTGAGTCCAAAAAACCTGTGAAGAAACGATTAACATTACAAGAAAGACTAGCACAAGCTGCCAAAGCAAAATCAAAAAAACTGAAATCAATATCACCAACACCTCAAACTCCACCACCGTCTATAAGAGAATCATTTGCTACAACTACAAGAATAGATAATTCAAAATACATTAAAGAAATTGAAGGTTTAAAATCACAAATTTTCAAATTACAATCAACGACTACGTTTGAAAAAGAACGAAATGAATTATTATCAAAAATAAAGGATAAAGATGATACTATAGATCAATTAAGGAAAGAAGGTCATGAATTATCAATAAAAGAGCTAAAATTGAATGAGACTATAAAAAAATTGAAAGCTAATCAAGACACTTCTTTCGAAAATAAATTTAATGACTTGGATATTGAGATTGAAGAAAAGAAGAAGGCAATTTCCGAGTTGAATGATTCTAAAACAAACTTGGAAGTTTCAAATCATCAATATAAATTAGATTTAAAGTCAAAAGAAGAAACTATAATTAATTTGAAAAATGAATTGATGGAGAATAAGTCAGATTATACTAAAGAAATATTTAGATTGGAAGAAAAGATAGAGAGTTTGAGAATTAATCAAGAATCAAACACTAATGGCTCAAATTCAGTTGATTTCAATGACTTTACGAAACTAAATGAATCACATCATAATTTACAACAGCAATATTTGTCATCACAAGAAAATTGGAAATTAATTGAATCTAATTTATTATTAAAAATTGACAATCTACAAAATTCAATTGATACACTAAAAAAGTTTAAAAATAAATTGAATAATGAGAATAGCAAGTTAATCGAGTCTTATAAAAGTGAACAAAATAAAGTTGAATCATTAAAACAGGAAATAGAAACATTAAAACATGAAAAGAACACAATATCAACATATTTAAATGATAAGAATGATGAGTTTCTTGAATTACATGATAAATTTGAGAAATTCAGATCTATAAATAATCAAGAACGTTTAAACTCAAATTCGAAAATTGAAAAATTGACAAAAGAAATTGAAAAATTAAATGAATCAAACACTATATCAACACATAATCAAAATTATGTCATTGAAGAAGATCCAATTATCGAATCTCCTGTAATTAATAATGTATCAAGTTTTAATTTATCAAGACAGCATTCACTGATTTCATTTAATGAAGAAATGGACAATAACTCTTCATTTAACGGTATACCTACAAACACAACATCCATGACAAACTCCAATTTACAATTAATAAACAAGATGTCATCAAATATAAGAAGGTTGGAAATTGAATTAAATACTTTAAAAGATGAGTACAATAAAATTTCAAATGAAAAGGAAAGTTTTGAACAGGAATATTTAAAAATTATTGAAGAGAATAAGATTACTAGAACTGAGAATGAAAAGTTGAGTAATGAAATTGATGAATTGAAGATTAAAGAATCAACAATGCTAGAATTGATTGGTGAAAAATCAGAGTTAGTTGAAGAATTAAGGGCTGATGTTGCAGATTTAAAAGATTTATGTAAATTACAAGTTCAACAATTGATTGAATTTCAAGAGAGTCAACAGTAAATAGATTATTTATAATTATGTAATATTAGATCTTAATTTGTTTCACAATTTGTATGAAATCACTACCAATTGAAAAAAATCTCATCTCAAATAAAATTATCAACTGTAGAATGAGTTTTAAAATATACAACAATGAAATTGCATATTTAATAGATAATGAGATAAAGTTTTATAAATTAGATAACCAAGGTCAAATAAATCAAACTGGACAGTTTAAGTATGATGAAAATATTTTAGATTTCATCTGGACTTCATATACAACTCAAAAAAAGTCATCAAAGGGTTCAAAACAATCATCACAATATGCGATATTAGTTTATAAAGAAGATGAGTTTATACTATTATCAAGTGTAGGAGAAATCAAAAAATATAAAGGTTTCAAAATAGATAAGTTAATAAATTTTGAAAATGATTCAATATGGGCCCTCCAAGGTTCAAATTTGATTGAAATTAAAAATGGTAAAGTGCTGAGTAAGATAGAAACTGACTTTACAAATGTAAAATTGAATAAAAATCAAGTAATTGGTATAACAGAATCTACTATCGAATTTGGCAAAATTCAAAAGGATAAATTTATACTTGAGAACAAATACGATGCCACGGCTAACGAAATATTAGAGTTAGATTATTTTGCATTCATAAGTGATAATGAAGTTTACGTAATGAAAGATAATTTGGAGAAATTAGAAACTAGTGATGTTAAATCAGGACAGTTTATAAATCTTCAAGACGAATATTTAGTCATCATTGAATCTGGAGTCATAAAATTTTATCAATTTAACAAATTAATACACAGCATAAAAGGAGATGTTGATGGAATTATATCTAATAAAAATTCATTATATGTAATTTGGAAGGGCAAAAACAATTTGAAGTTTAAACAAATTGAAATAACAGCTTTAGAAATAGAAATTGAAACTAATGGAATCAAACAAGATGAAGTCTCAATACTGGTACCAGCTAATAAAGTTAACAATTTAGACTCCGAACGTATACTTAAACAATTAGACCTCACCGATAAACAAAAAACTATAGAACTCTGTTTAACACAAGACGATCAAGATACAATCAAAGAAGTTGTCAAAACATTATCATTACAGCAAGCACAAGATTTATATTTATTATTAATAGATCAATTAAAATTAAGCATTAACTTAAATTATTGGATCAAATGGATTTATTTAATTTATGGAAATTCATTAGATATAGGTTCAACAATCTTAATAAATTCATCAAATTCCTTAAATGAATCAATGAAGTTATTACCACATTTGTTATCAATCAAAGGTAAATTAGAATTGTTGAAAATTCAATCTAATTTAAGACAAAATAATCAAGAAGTTCAATTTACTTCAACTATTGAAGACGATGGAATGGTATATGTAAATGGTGAAATAAATTAAGATTGATGTGATTCAATAAAATCCATAGTTAATTTTGAAACGATTTCTGGTTGTTCTCTATGTAAAAAATGACCACAATTTTGAACTAATTTAACTTCAACATTGGAATTACCATTTAATTTTTGTTGTTCCAATTCTGTTATTCTTTTTGAAAAACATCCATCTTCTTCACCCATCAAAATTAAAGTGGGTACTTTATTAAAGTCAACATTCCATCTTGATTTAATTAATGAAAATGGATTAACTATATGTCTATAATAAGCAGTTGCACCATCAACTACTCCTGGTTCATTAAAACTTTTTCTAATTTCTTCAATTTCTTCAGATGAAAATTTATAAGAAGGTGACCAATATTTCCAAATATATGATAAATAATTAAGATCTTTAGTTAATTTGTCTTTATAAAATACTGCTAATTGCATAGTTAAGAAATATGAACTTAAATATAATTGTTCAGGTGCAAACCATAATAAATCCCATACATGTAAATTAGCTAAATATGGAATTGCCAAAGTTACCATTGATGTAATTAATTCTGGAAATAAATTAGCACTTTTAAACGAAATTAATGCACCCCAATCATGACCTAAAAAATGAATTGGTTTTGAATTTTCTGGATTTATTTGTAAGATCCATTGTTTAACATCATTTGCAATATTTGATAATATATACTCTGATTCAGAACTAACTGATGATGGTTCATAACCTCTTAATTTAGGAGCTAATAATAATAATCTTTCATTTGGAAATTTTAAATATGGCCAACATTTATTAAAAGTTGTATTTATATCAGGAAATCCATGTAATATGATTAACGCACGGTCCCAATGTTGATTAAAAACTTCATTTTCTGGTAGGTTTGAAATTGTAGTATAAGTTTTATTATCTTCAGTTTTCAACTGAATAATATGAGACATTGTTTAACTTTTTAAAATCTGTTGAAATCTGTTGAAGAATTCTATTCGGTACTTATATAATTTTATTTTTATATGGGGTTATGGAATTATGCATGTGAAAGAAACTACCATGTTAATCAGCGTGTAACAGAATTAAACAGAATAATTATACATTAAAAGATATCATTTTCATAAGGACAATTTATACTACTATGACCATCACGTTCACATAATCCACACCAATCATTTTTACCAAAACTTGGATCTGTTAAAACTGGAGGTGTATAAATTGGTAATGAGAGAGGTTGTTGCTTTGATTCTTCATTTACGGGTATACTTGGTTTCTCTTCATTTAATTTGTTCGTCAACTCTTTAATCTGTTCATCTTTTTCGTGTAATTGGGTTTTATACATTGCTTCAATTTCATCTAATGACTGTTGCAACTCTTTAAAATCTTCCAATTTAGGTCGTTTATCCAATTCTTTCTTCAATTCTTCCACTTCATCCAAATTTATATTATTAATTTTATCATTTAATTGAACTTCTTCAAATTCTTTCAATTTTGCATCTTTTTCTTTTATAGTATTATTCAATTTTTCAATTTCCATTTCAAATTCGCTAACTTTTTCTTCATAAATTGTCATTCCTTCAGTTTGTACATTGACTAATTCATCCATTGCGGCTCTCCATTCTTGTCTTTGAATATTAAAATTTTCCAATTTCTTATCCTTTTCTTTAATTATTCTCTTTAATTCATTTATTTCGATATCTTTCATATCTTCACTTTTCAGAATGTTCTCATTAAGCATATTCATTCTTGCATTTGAATAGGTAGTCAATGGTTTTCTTTCTGGTGTTTTAAACTCTTGAATTTGAACTTGATTTTGCTGAAATGATGACGGTTGTTGCTGTAATGAAGACAAGTTTTCCAATTGTGGATTAACACTTTTTAATCTTTCAAACGGTAAGAATAACCCACTTTTAGGTATTTCAACTGTAAAATATTGTATACCATCAACTGAACCTGAATTTTTACCTCTTGTTAAAGCCAATTGCCCTAATAATTCAATTCCGACAAATGTACCAATTTTATTTCTTATTGAACCATAATATCGTATTATTCCGTATCCTGAAGCACCAGGTATTGCAACTTTTAACCCTATATAATCATCCATGAATGTTATCAAATTTGTGGAAATATTAAGAGTAAATAAATAAATTAAAGAAAAAAAAAAAATTATTTTCGTGTATTTTATTTGATCTATTTTGATACCAACATCTGTCGTAATTTTAATTTTGACGACAACGGTGTCGATGATTTCGTTATAGCAAGTTGTAAGTTATTAGTATCAGTATTATCCAATGTTAAATGGTCAATTTCTTTTGTTAAATCCGAAATAATTTTCTTATGTTCATTTATTTGTTCATTAATTGGAAATATCAATTTTTCAATATTGGAAATTGTTTTATCATTTATTGAATTTCTAAATTTAATTGGCATTAATAAAGAAATTAACTTCTCTTCCAATTTTTTTATAAATTCTAATTTATCTCTTAATTTGGATTGAATCATTTCATATTTAAAATCGAGTGGTCTATTTTTTAAAATTTCTTTAAATTTGGTTTGATTTTTTGAATAAACAACCAATTGACTAAATAACTTATCCAATTTGATTCTTTCTTGTTGAGATTTAGATATTTTTGTGACTAGATTGGATAATAATTCTTCTTCTTTATGTAAATTTGAAATTGTTTTAGTGAAATCAACATCTATTAATGATGGTGGATTGATTTCTACATGAGCTATGTAATAACTTAAACGTTTTACATTTTCTTTGAATATATTTAAATCACCCTCTGTGTTTTGTATGATGTGGATAAGTTGTTCTTTAATGGAAGTTGATTTCGGTAACGGTTTGATAAATCCATCAAATATAAGAAATTCAACTGGTTTAACATCTTCTGCTTGTATATCTTCTTTTGATTCTGGTTTTACTTCATCATAAGATTTAGTTTCAGGTTTACTTTCCTTAATTGGTTCTTCTTTTGCTTTTCGTTGGCCCCCAAATAATGATAATTTCTTTTCTTCTTTCAAATTTTGAACTTGTGTATTTAATTCTTGTGTGAATGGTGAAGATTTACTGGGATCTTTACCTACTTCATATGATTTAATAGCTGATGATTTTTTCTTATCTTCATTTTCAGCTTTTTTCTTATCTATTTCAGTTGATGTTGCTTCTTCACCTTCTTTATTTATATTTACACTTTCTTTATTTATATTTACAAATGATGATGAGGTACTTGAAATTTCACTATAAACTGGAGTTGGAGTTGGAGTTTGAGATGATAGTTTCTTATCTGTATCAGTCCTGGAATCTCCAACTATTGATCCAGTTTTAGTATCACCCAAAATTGATGTCCCGGAACTAATAGCAAATGGTGATGATTTAAATTCAGATTTACCACTATTTGAATCACCAAATATAGACCTTCCATTATTATTACCACCAAATGAACCAAAATTTGATTGTTGATTTGATTTAGCAAAACTTCCAAAACCAGAAGTTAATGATGGATTTGACTTTTGTTGTTCTTTTTGCGATGCAAATCCAGTAGCTCCAAAACTAGTCTGACCAAATCCACCACCACCAGTGACAGGAGTTGCTGTTTTGTTACCAAACGCAGTTGCTCCAAAACCACCTTTAAATGCGGAAGATTGAGTAGATCCAAATGGATTCAATTCAACAGATTGTTTCAGTTCTGCTTCCAATCCCTTTTCTTCAACTGGTTTTTCAGTGGTTTGTTCTTCTTTGGGTAATTCTAATCTTAATCCATCATTTAACAAACCTGCTTTATGATAAACCCACCAAATTACTAAAGTACCAGTATGTAATAAACAATAAACCTTTGGTAATTTCCCAATTGCTTCATCAACTCCAGGACAAGGTTCTAATGCCTTTGCATCTAAATCTATACCTAAACTCAAACCAATTGGAGAACAATCATCACCAGTTTCATCATCTAATGGTAAATTAGCCCTTGAAATGTCTTCTTCAAAACTGATAACTTGTTCTTCTTTGTTTGTTGTTTCAATTATACCTAATTCTGTAGATCCAGAAGATGTCAAAATTGAAAATGTATCAGATTTAAACCAATTTGAAATATTTGCATTATAATAAGTTGATTTTCTTTCAACTTCACCAAACTGTGGAACAATATCAACCTCATCTCCGACAAATTCACCATTTGAATCATGTAATAAAAATGTACGTGTTATTTCCTCTTCTGCATTGTTGAAAACTGTAAAATATGCATTTTTTGAAGTTTGTAAAACATCTATAATATTATAACTTGATAAATCTTCATTTTCTATTTTAATCGGTAGAGTACCTAATTTTGATGAATCTTTGGTATATGCATATATTGATTTATTGAAAAATGTTGATACATTAGTTGCAATTAAACTTGAATCGAGATATAATTCGTTACTGGTAGTTAATTTCAAAATTCCTTCACTTGTTGGTTTTACACTTATAAATTGACCTTCCTCAATTGTTGAAAATGTATAATCTTTACTCTTGATTTGATCAATGGATAAACTTTGTATTTTGTCATTATTTAAAATTATGAGTTTCTTTTGATGGAAATATACCTGTGTAATTTTAAAATCGTCTCCAATTGTGGTAATATCATCTAAGTTGGTTGTAGTTATAATCTTTAATGATTTATGGTTTGATGCTGCAATTATCTTGTTTTCATTATCAATAGCTAATAAATTTAAAATATGATCACCAATTTCTTCAAAACTTATAGGATCATCAAATATAGAGATTCCATGTTCAGTGGTGTATAATTTGAAACCAAGATCTTCTGATATGATCTCTTCAATCATGATATTGAAACTCTAGTATATTTTGATGAGAATTAAACAGAAAAATAATATGTTGATTTGATCAGGTACACGTCCAATATTTTGCAGCAAAATTCAGTAAGTAAGAATAAGATCTATTCCTGTTATGCTACGAAAACTAGTACAATTTGATGGGATGCTGTAGACCATTATGAAGTTCTGAAACAGAATCTTGGAAAAATGGTACGTTTATGCTTGTTTTCTCAAAAATTTAGGAAAAACAAGCAAAATTACAAAAATCCCGGTTAAACTGAAGAGTAAAGTAATTGAGTTAAACGTGCTCAGATCTTATTGACAATTTGGCTGCAAAATCTTTAATCTAGTGAATAGTACGAGACAGGGAACCCCGGGCCTAAAGATTCTGATTGATTCTGATCATTTCACACCCCTAATTTTCATACAGATGCCACTTAAAAGCAGAATTCCTTGAATACATGGCGTGGTGTCACCTTCAATGAAATTTACACCATATCAAACGAAATTGGAAAAGAATAGCTGGAATGGAAGCAAACGAATTCAAATATATGTAAAAGTAGATTTGAGAAAGGCTAAAGCTGTACCAGTTGCGTGGTAATAATTTATCCGATATTTTGAACTTCCAAATTGATGCAGAATTGTTTCAATTTTAATTTTACTACAATCACGTAACATTTTCTTATTTTGCAGCAACGTTTTTCTTGTTATAAGCGAAAATTAATCCGAAGTCCTCCACCATTTCCTCCAAATAATTATGTAATCAGTTCGTATAATTGTTCCTTGGGGAAAAACTTGAGATCGATTTGAAGTAGAAATTAGAAGAAAAATAGTTATCCAAAGATGCTGTTCCTTGAAAAACGCTGGTTTAGAAGTTGCTCAGTATCCAAGTAACCGTTATAGTCTTTGAACAATCAATCTACCATAGCTTTAACATATTAAATCGTTCCGGAATTATTCGATGGTAAATCTTTGTGGAGAGATTAAAAATAATAATAAAAAGAAATTCTTAGTCGTGCATAACTATTTATATTCATAACCAATTTTTTCTTTTAACCAAAAAATTATCATCATCCAAATTTTTCATTAGATATATTAACTCCGATTCCCAGATATATTCAAACAATTATTATTAACGAAGTTTACGAAGTCACGATTATAGATTAATGTTTAGTTCACCTTTTACTAATTCTACTAGTCAAAAGACAAATACACCAAATCAATTTAAAGAAAATGCTAGAAATGCAATTTATAAGCAACTACCTATAAAACAAGTACAATCAAGTGGCATATCTATACATTCAGCACCACTGCAATTTCAACGACATTTAAATTTTAGAACTTCATCATCATCCACTAGTTCATCCTCAAATTCTTCAATTTTTTCATCAATAACGGGTGGTAAAAGATCAGTCAGATCTGCTCCTTCAATATATTCCGCATCAAATGCAACAATACCAGAAGATGCAGAACTTATAAGTATAACAATTGAACAATTAGTTAATGATATAGTTTTACATGAACAAACAACAAATGAAAAAATTTCAATAGGTTCAGATTTACAATATCAAAATCAAGAAAATTTAATAGATTGGAATTTAAATGTAACAAGATGTAAATTAATATTAATGAGATTACCGAATTTAAGTTCTGGAGAATTTAATTATCAACAAAATTGTTTACCTCAAATTATAGGTGATTTAGGTAAAACTTGTAATATTATATTAATACAGCCTCATATACTGGATAAAGAGTTTATTTATACATTATATCAACTGAATTTATACACTGAACATGATTTGGATGCTAACTTTAAAAAGTCAGTGGCTGAAATTTCAGTAAAACAATCAAGATTATTACAAATTAATAATCATAACAATCAATCAATACCTGAGATTGATTTACAATTAAAATATAAAGAAATTGCATTGAGAAATTACCTTGTAAATTTAGCTGCTGCTGCAACTACTGCTTATGAATATAAATTAAAAATGGATGAAATTAAACAACAATTGAAAATCGAAGGTAAAAAGTTAACAAAAGATGAAAAGAAACAGTTATGGGAAAATGTTAGACTGGATGTGTTTAAAAGAGCAGGGCTTGAATAAATATATATTAAAATCTTTTTCTAGCTTGTTTAACTTTCTTATAATGACCTTTTTTACCACTGGTTTTAACTTTTTGTATTTCTTCATATTTTCTTTTAAAATATTTCTTTGTATCATCGTTTGTTAATATATCATCTATTATTGAAGATTTCTTTTTGCTTGATGAGCCTTCTATTATTGTACCCATTTGAAATTCTTTGGGTATATGCCATTTATCTTTTTTATAATGTCTTTTTGGATCTAAAGCAGCTCTTTGTTTAATAATTTGTAAATCTCTTTTTAATTCAGGTGTCATTTCAGGAGTCTTCATTGAAAACCAATCTTTAGTTTCATCTTTAGGTTTAATTGCTTGTATTATTGGATCTTTGATCGTTATTGATTTTTTAAGATTATCTGGTAATTTAGGTAGACTCCTTATAGTTTCTTCTAATGTTTGTTTCCTTTTCGGTTTCGTCTTTTCTTGTAACTGTTTTAGTAAATCATCTAATGATTCATCTACAGATTCTGTTTCAGAAGTTTCAATTATAATTGGTTCTTTCATGATGAGATGCGAGTGTATATTTTTTTTTTTTGTCTAAATACCATCAGTAAAACCACTAACAATACTTTTATTAAAACCACCTTCTTTAATAGCTAATTCATAATAACCATATATAGTGGTAACTGCTAATAATATAGATGTACCTGATCCTAAAGTACCAGTTAAATCACATATAACCGATAATGCACCAATGGTAGCACCACCAAATGCAGCTGCAATTGGTATAATTTTCTTCAATTCTTTATACGCAGAAGTATCTCTATGACCAGCAATTACTAATCCTTGTTCTTTAAATTGTTTAGCAATATCTTTTGGTGAAGTACCTGAAATTTCAATCCATGTAGTTGAAAAAACTGCACAACTACCTAATACAAATATAATATAAATTGTAGTTTTAATTGGATCTAATAAAGCTTCAGTAAAATTAAAAGGTGGTTGAATATAATAAGCTAATCCTCCACTTGCATATAATTGTGAACTACCAGGTCTTGCACCCCAAGAACCTAAAATTCTAACAAATAAATTTTTAGGCCATCTCATAAATAACAATTGTGAAATAATAAAGATATTTGAACTTAAAGCACTTTGTAACATAATTGGAATGTTCGATGTATAAAATAATCTAATTGGATATAAACCATAAGGACCTCTTTGTCTTGTTGATTTTAAAGGTAATTCAATTCTAAAACCTTGTAAATAAACAACAACGAAAAATACTAATAACGTAGCTAATAATTGAAACATATTTGGTAAATTATGTCTATAAAATGATTCAATCAATGCTCTTTTTTTATCTTTTCTTGAACCTAATAAATGAAACATTGCAACAACAGCACCATCAAATTCTGTACCTTTTGCTGATGATGAAGTAGTTGGAGCAAAAGCTTTCCAAAATACTTGTTCACATGTATTTGTAGCAGTAAATAAAGAAACACCACTACCTAAACCATAACCTTTTTGTAATAATTCATCTAATAATATAACAATTATTGAAGCAAAAACCAATTGTAAAATTAATAATAAACAAACACCAACACCCAAATTTTTTGGCGGACCATACATACCAGTTAAAACATAAACAGTAGCTTGACCAATTGATAATAATATAGCTAATAATTTTTGAGCAATTTGAAATTGTTCTCTATCATTCTTATTTGTCATATCAACAAATATTAATTTTGTACCTTGTAATAATTGAAATAACATTCCTGAAGAAACAATTGGAGATATACCTAATTCCATTAAAGTACCTCTATTAGAAGCTAACATCATTCTTAACCAAAATAAAGGATCGGAAGAATCTGAACTTGCAATACCATATAAAGGAATTTCACTCATTACTAAAAAAATTAACAAAGTAATTATAGTCCACATGACTCTTTGCTGGAACTGGACTTTACGTTCAGGAGCTATAACTTCTGGTAAGAATGGACCAAAAGGTTTTACTAAATCCAATACTCTAAATCCCATGGTGGTATATAATTAATGTTGAAAAATTTGATCAGAAAAATGAAACACGTAAATAAAAAAATTGACTTCCTAATTGGGAAACAAGTGAGAATATAACTCAGCTTTGACAGGTTTTGAAAAATTTCAACTTGAAAATAATCTTATTCAACATTATGAGTGATTGGGCATCTAAGCTATCTAAAAAGAAATCAGTTAAACCTACTCAAAATACATCTTCTAAGTCATCAACTGCTTCACCTGATATAGAATCAAAACCATCTACCTCAACATCTACATCTCCAACAAATGAATTTAATTCACAAGAAGTATTAGAATATTTTCAAAATCAATTTAATAGTATAATACAGAAAGCTCAACAAGATAAAAATGAATTACATTATAAAATATTAAAAGTTGATAATAGTAAATTATGGAAATCAACTAAATCACCAAAAGATGTTATTAGAAAAGATGTATCAACAATTGATTTATTATTTGAAATTAATAGGTCTATATATCAACAAAATCAGAATAAGTAGTTTGAATAACGGACATTAATATCCTATGTAATATATAATTGCTGTAGTAAACACATGCCATTGAACTGTTCGAACTACTATAAAAAAAAAACCGTACCCCCGGGGTATTCAGTATTTCCTATCCTGTATATTCCGTGTATTATATAAATAGATTTGAAAAAGTATGGGGAATTTATTAATATCACTTTTTTTTCATTAACTATGGTTGATACTGTTTCAAAACAAATGAATGTCGAAACTGACATCATTACTTTAACAAGATTTATTTTGCAAGAACAACAAAAATTAGCTCCAAATGCAACTGGTGAATTATCTTTATTATTAAATTCTTTACAATTTGCTTTTAAATTTATTGCTCATAATATTAGAAGAGCTGAATTAGTTAATTTAATTGGTGTTTCAGGTACCGCTAATTCTACAGGTGACGTTCAAAAAAAATTGGATGTTATTGGTGACGAAATTTTTATAAATGCAATGAGATCAAGTAATAATGTTAAAGTTTTAGTTTCTGAAGAGCAAGAGGATTTAATTATATTTGAAGGTGGTGGTAGATATGCTGTCTGTACTGATCCAATTGATGGTTCTTCAAATATAGATGCCGGTGTTTCTGTTGGTACAATCTTTGGTATTTATAGATTAAAAGATGATTCAAAAGGATCAATAAATGATGTTTTAAGACCTGGTACTGAAATGGTTGCTGCTGGTTATACAATGTATGGTGCTTCTGCTCATTTAATGTTGACTACAGGTGATGGAGTTAATGGTTTTACATTAGATACTCAATTGGGAGAATTTATATTAACTCAACCAAATTTAAGAATTCCTGAATTTAGATCAATTTATTCTATGAATGAAGGTAATTCATTATATTGGCCTGAATATATTAAAGAATATTTAAATGATGTTAAAAGTCCTCAAAAAGATGGTAAGCCATATAGTGCAAGATATATTGGTTCAATGGTTGCCGATATTCATAGAACTTTATTATATGGTGGTATCTTTGCTTATCCAGCAGATACAAAATCAAAGAATGGTAAATTAAGAATTTTATACGAATGTTTCCCAATGGCAATGTTAATGGAACAAGCTGGTGGAAGTGCTATTAATGATAAAGGTGAAAGAATATTAAAGATTACACCAAGAGGAATACATGATAAATCTGGTATTTGGTTAGGTTCAAAAGGAGAAATTGAAAAATTTAAATCATATATCAAATAAATAGAGTATAATTTTGCATCCATTTTTTTTTTTTGTAGATCAATGTACATTGCACATAGAATAAGAGACTTACTATCTTTCCATACTAATACAAAAACTTTAAAGAGAATATCCTTTGGTATATCATTAATATCATGTCTAGTGTCAGGCTCAATATTACTATTCACTTTATATACTCCAAGTTTTCATAAAATTGGTTTATCATATCTACAAATAAATTTAATTGCAAGTTTATCAGCAGGGGGTATGTATTTCTGTTTACCAGTACTAGGTTATTTAGCTGATTGTTATGGTCCATCGTTGCTTAGTTTATTATCAATTTTATTTTTTGTTCCAAGTTATTATTTAAATGCATATTTCGTACTGAAATCATATCATAATGTTGAATTTTATTGTTTTACCTTTTGTTTAATTGGTTTAGCTACAAGTTCATTATATTTTGCAAGTTTATTAACTTGTGCAAAGAATTATCCAGATAGAAAAGGATTAGCTATAAGTTTACCTATAACTTGTTATGGATTATCAGCTTTGATTGGTTCACAATTTATCACATACATGTTTGAAAATTTAAAAGACATTTTCACATTCTTTGGAACCTTATATCTAATAGTTGGTCTACTTAATTTCATTGCTGCTTCAACTGAACAAGAGGTTTTATTAGAATTAGAGCCATTGACACCTCATCCATCAATTGAACCAATAAATCATAAACAAAGATATTTAAAATTTTTGAAGGACAAATCAGCATACATTTTATTATTTTCATTAATATTAAACATTGGACCTTTAGAAGCTTATCAAAATAATTTGTCAACTATAAATCCAAATGTAAATTTATCAAATCAAGTAAGTTTATTTGCTACTTCATCTACAATTTCAAGATTGGTATTTGGTGGGATAGTAGATATATTAAATTATGAAAAGAGAAAGTATGTTTTAATCGTGGTTGTAATTATAGGTATACTTGGTCAATGGTTCAATAATATAATATGTAATGGTGTGTCTTATGGTGGATTATTTACAATATATCCAACAATAGTTGCTTCAAAATGGGGTATTGATATGATGGGTTCAACTTGGGGTTCATTTATGGTTGCACCTGCTTTGGGATCAATTATATTTTCATTATTTTATGGTAAAATTGCAGACACTTCACATATGTTATCACAATATTTTATAATAACTTCGGGTTCAATCTTTATATCATGTATATTGATTATAGCATTTTAAATACAGCATTTGACAATCACTATATATCGAGACCTTTCTTGAATTTTTGATTTAAAACTTTCTAATTTTAATCGAAACGTAAATCAATAATTTCCAAGACTCATAGAGATGTTCTGAAAACATACTGAAGATTGGCCCCCATCTGGCTTTACATCTCCAAGCAAATTTGCAACTTGTATGTTATCTAGTGTATCAATTAATGACTCAATTAGTTGTTGACTAAACAATTGGGTTCAATTGAATGTATACCTTCACTCGTAAGTTGAGATATTAAAAATAAGCAAGCACAGTTTATCATGATCTATCATCCTATCATATACATAATCACTGCATTATGAAACACGTCTAAATGGATTATTACCTTTCTATCGCACAATCAATTTTACCTGTCCATCTTTATAATATAAAACATTATTCTTAACTAATGTTTCAGTGAAAAACCTTAAATTAGCAGGTGGTTCTAACCATTCAATATTTCTACAAAGTTGATTTGTAAATTGCATAGCATCATGTAAAATTTCTTTAAAGTCTTTTTCATTTAAATTTAAATTCAGATACTTTATAAATTTAGCAATAATTTTTTTCACATCTCTAGTTAATTCACTCTGTAATTCTCTAGTTTCACTTGATTTATCATCTGGTTTAAATTCAAATGAAAATTCTTTGATTAATTTCGATTTTTCTAGTTGATCTTGTTTTAATAATTCAATTATATCATCAAATTTCTCTTGCTTCTTTGGTTCTTCTTTTTCCAATTCTTGTTTCATTTCATTAACCATTTTTGTTAATATTACATTTGTAGCTGCCGTTGTTATACTATCTGATTTCTCAGGATTATATGGTAATTTACAATAACTTTGATATAAAGCAAAAATTTTTCTATCTAAGGGTGCTGAATTTTCCACAGGTAACAAAAATTCTATAGCATTATCAGCCTGTTGTATGAATTTTTCAACTTTTTCAATATCTTTAATTAATTTGTTTATATATATTTCATCCATTGATGAAAAATAAAAAACACGACCGAAAAAAAAATCTTTGACATAAGCCAATATATTTGATACGAGTCGCCTTAAATTTGGTGCGAAAAATTATCTCCATCGCATCAAATCTACGAACTGAGGAATATATACTTCCAAAGATTCTAGTCCTGATTCGCTTATATGCAATCTTGTAGTATATAATGTAGTAGCTTGAACTGTAAATAACTGCCTCAAAAATCCAGCTATTATACTCAAACCTTTATCATTAGAACTTCGACTAGTTTTGAGTAGACTGATGCTAAATTCTTTAGTTGAAATAATAATTTGACCACTCTACTCTTCATCTAAAAAATAGAAAAAAACGGTAAATTACAAGATAAATAATACTTAAACTTCGTTTAGTAACTTCTAAAATAGCTGATTCGGTTTATTTAAAAATCCAAGATGCATCGTGAATAATGTTTTCAAGACGCCATAATCGTTTTCAAAATTTTGCAAAAATTTCGAATCACCTTTGAAAAATGAATAACGCAATTTTGATTACCTTAACACAAAAAAAGTCAGGCTCTATTAGCTTACAATAACTGCAAAATTAATCACTATCATCATACTCCTTTTACGATTTTTATTGTGATGTTAGATCTTCGTAAGGTTGATTTATTTGATTTTCCTCATACTTAAGGGAAGATTTTGAAATTTCTCAAATTTAGTTTAGAGCAGCTAGAATTGGGTTAAGCTTTTTAACTTGAGGTATAATACATATAATACGTAGCTTAATTGAAAGTTATGGCTGTAAATAAAACATAATATTCATTTTCAGTTTTAGCAAATTTTTTGTATGGTGAAAAAGTGCCGAAATGACTACTCAAAAAAAAAATAATGTTTTCAATTCAAAGTTTGCGGTATGTGTGATATATACTTCAGGGTTCTAGATTTTAATGAATTGTTATTTATCTCAAAGAAATTTGCTGTTCTTGACCTATAAGCCAAAATCGCTGGTACGAGGCGCCTTAGATGCAGGGCGAGATTTTTTTTGCCGCACTGATGAAAATTACACACTGAAAAATAAAAAGTTTACCGAGATTATATTCGAAACAAATCTTTTAAATCGCCATAGGTTGTTGACAAAATTCGAATTAGCACCGCTCACTCAACTTCGACTAAAAACATACCGTTCTTGGACTCGTAGGAATGAGAAACGTCAGACCAATTCGAATTTGGTAGTAAGAAATTGCCTTCTATTGAAATTTCTTGACAAAGCTCGCCAAATTCAAAAAAAACACCCCTGATCGGAAATATTTAAGTCCTCAGATTAACCACGGTTTAGAATTGACGACTGGAGTATGACGTAATCTGGGCTGCGTAAAACATATCAGGCGACCTATTAGAGCTCAAAAGGTTTGTTATTTCAAAAGCAATGAAAGGTAGTAGCATTCTTGAGGAGTATCGCAAATTGCAACATATACAAAGCTTTGTAAGCCTCAGAACAAATGCGGACATGCTCGAAGCATTTATTGTGACGCAATATATGGTCTTACAACTGGTTGATGTATCAGAATTTGCAAAGTTGTTGATTGTTTTATATTATTTAATAATGAATGATTGTATCATAGCTTTTTAGATCTATTATTAAATATATATCTTTACCTTGGTGATTTCTCTAAAGCTTCTTTAATTTCATTATTATAGTACTTCTTTAAAACCAAATATTCAACAATAAAAAGCTTCCAAACTAACGTGAGCCCTTAAACTTGAAACTTTTTCTTTAAAGATATGATTAGACGTTCTTGTAAATTTTCAGATTATGCTAAAAGTGTATCCTGATCAAACATTTCCTCTAACTTCGTTGCATGTGCTTTTCTAAATTTTCTAATTAAATATTCCTTTATTGCATCTCCTCATTGATGTATTTTCTTGAATATGAGCAAAATGACAAATCTAACCAGTTTTCTAAGTTATGTGATTTCCAGGTCTTTTAATAGAACCAAATATTCCGTGAAAGACAACTCTCTAACTATCACATGTGAATTTATTTAGCATTTCTTGTTCAAATGATACCAAGGACTGTATGTTTTGAATTTGAATTTACAATTCAAGATTCAAGATTCTTGCATATAAGTCAAATTTGTTTCAGATCAATTATTTTTTGAGTATGTCTTTCTCGCCTGAGCTTTTGGCCAAAAACAATATATCCTCGCGCAACATTTTGGGGCGACTCGTACTAAACGTTTCCATATATATATCATGAACAACACGTTCTCTCTAGTTAAATACTAGTTCAGTCAAATAAGGACTCTTGAATTATATATCCTGCATCTCCTCATTGATGTAATTTCTTGTAGTGTGGTAAATCATCAGGTAAGTTATTAATTGCAAAAATCAAATCATTGCTAACTTTCTCTTCATTTTTAATCTTTTCCATACTTGTCGAATATGTTCCAATAGTCAAAACCTATGCAATAGCTTTAAAAAGTCTTTTTTGTAGTTTCAAATTAACATCATCGATATGATGCACTCCCTTGAGTAAATACATCAGTTATTGAAATTTGCTTATTTGAAACCCAATTTCGATATTATTTTACCACGCGATTTGACAGTAAATAATGAGCAGCAAATATTTGATATTATTTTACCACGCGATTTGAAGTAAATCATGAGCAGCAAATATGATCATTACCAGTAAAACCTATTATAACCATTTGAATCATATTCGTATTTATAGCACATTCAAACGTCATCATTAATAATAAATGTTAAATAATTTGTCAAAATTGCAACCAGCCAGCATCAAAGTCAAACTTTTTTCTTAAAAATAAAATAGAATAAAAAGATGGAAAAAATTTTCAGGTACACAACTTTCAATTAACCAAAGTTAATTATAATAGTCTTTACTTTGAGTAAACAACACACAATAACAGAATAGAGTTAATTTTAAACACGTTGGTTAAGAAATTTCAATTTTTTTTGTATGCAAAATTATACTAAAAAAAATGTACAAAATTTGAATTGTAAATAAATAACCATCTGTAGATGGAATTTAGACAATACAAGTTTAAATTTCGATCAACTAATGATCGTAAGAACCTCTTCATAAATTAAATTTGCTCAAATATTTTCAATCAAATGTAGGATGGAGCAGTTCGAATTTAGTTCTAGGAGTGATAACTTTATATGGTAACACCACCACCATATTAACTCTTTTAAAAGTTGGATGGCTCATTCTAAATTGACTGTAACATTACTTAAATTTAGTGGGTAGTTGTTGGTTGTATAATATTGTTCGGCTTAATTAACTTTTACGTGTTTTTTTTTTTTATTTTTTATTTTCAATTTAAAATAAAATCAACAAAAGTTTTGATAATTTTTTCCTTTTTATTTTATTCTTTTCTTCTTTGTTTCTTTCTTTCTTTCTTTCTTTGATTTCAATATATAGAAGTATTTATTAATTATGAAAGGTTTAATTTTAGTCGGTGGTTATGGTACAAGATTGCGTCCTTTAACTTTAACTGTTCCAAAACCTTTGGTTGAATTTGGTAATAGACCAATGATTTTACATCAAATTGAAGCTTTAGCTGCAGCTGGTGTTACAGATATTGTTTTAGCTGTTAATTATAGACCAGAAGTTATGGTTTCAACTTTACAAAAGTATGAAAAAGAATATGGTGTTAAAATTGAATTTTCAGTTGAAAAAGAACCATTGGGTACTGCTGGTCCATTAAAATTGGCGGAAAAAATTTTGAAAAAAGATGATTCACCATTTTTTGTTTTAAATTCAGATGTTATTTGTGAGTATCCATTTAAAGAATTGGCTGAATTTCATAAAAAACATGGTGGTGCTGGTACTATAGTTGCAACTAAAGTTGATGAACCAAGTAAATATGGTGTTATTGTTCATGATAGAGATACTCCAAATTTAATAGATAGATTTGTTGAAAAACCAGTTGAATTTGTTGGTAATAGAATTAATGCTGGTTTATATATATTAAATCCTGAAGTTATTGATTTAATTGAAATGAAACCAACTTCGATTGAAAAAGAAACTTTCCCAATTTTGGTCGAAAGAAAACAATTATATTCATTTGATTTAGAAGGTTTTTGGATGGATGTTGGTCAACCAAAAGATTTCTTATCAGGTACTTGTTTATATTTAACTTCATTAACTAAAAAACATCCTGAAAGATTATGTAAAGAAAAATATGTTCATGGTGGTAATGTATTAATTGATCCAACTGCTAAAATTCATCCTTCTGCTTTAATTGGTCCAAATGTTACAATCGGTCCAAATGTTGTTGTTGGTGAAGGTGCAAGAATTCAAAGATCTGTATTATTGGCAAATTCAGAAGTTAAAGATCATGCTTGGGTTAAATCTACAATTGTTGGTTGGAATTCAAGAATTGGTAAATGGGCAAGAACGGAAGGTGTTACTGTTTTAGGTGATGATGTTGAAGTTAAAAATGAAATTTATGTTAATGGAGCAAAAGTTTTACCTCATAAATCAATTTCAGCAAATGTTGAACAAGAAGCTATTATTATGTAGGATGGTAAGGATGGTAAGGATGTTCCTTTTTAGATATGAATTAGACAATGGTTTTATATTAAGCTATTTATTTGATTTACACAACTTTCTTTTAAAGATTGACTCAATGGTTTCTTTCCAAGATATTGAAGGAATAATTGAGTACCAATTTGAGGGTCAGTAATCTTGCCCATTTCTTTATACTCTTTTTTATTTGCATAAGAGAAATTCATCAATCCTTTATTAAATTCCATAAATAATAAATCATTCTTTGGAACAGAACCTCTAATCTTAAAAGCATCTCTTAATTCTTGCAAACCTAAATTTAAATCCAATTGTTTTGAAGATTCATGCGCAAGGATACTTTTAATCAAACCATCTTTTAAATGATTAAAATCAGTATTCCTAACTGGTGTTAACCTTACCAAAAAATTACAATTTGAAACCATATCTCTTATACCATCATCTGTTGGTTCTTTCAACTTAGGAATATCATTTTTATCAATATATATTGCAATTCCATAAACTTTGAAACTTATAAATGTAACTGATCTAACCCCATAACCTAGTAATTGATATTTTCTTGTAGGCGTTTCAATTTCATAAGGAAATGGATTAATTGAATTATCAACCTCAACTGTTTCATTTATATTACGAAATGGTAATAATGCTAATAAAGGAATTCGTCTAAACATTATATATTGGCAATTTTTTTATCAACTGATTTTTCGCACGTTAATGAAAGTCCAGCTGCTAATTGAGATTTATATATAATATCATATTTTGATTGTACTAGATCTTTAGTAAGATTGGTTTGTAGCCAGTTAGTCTTAGATAATTTACCGGCTAAGTACCCAACAAATGTATCACCAGCACCCGTAACATTTACAATTTTTAAATTTTCATTTTCTTTGGGGATTGGAAAATACTCTACAATTGCATTACCAAACCTCTTTGAATATCCAGAATCTAATTTAACATGTTCTTGTTGACATAAACTTACTAATAAAACACCATCACCACCTAGTTTCACTAAAATATTTTGGAAAAATGGTAATAAACTAAAACATTGTTGAAATACACCTTTTTCTAATAATTTAGCATCTAATTTATTATAATCTGGTTTTATACTATCTATAATTGGAAACCATTCATCAATATCAAATTTATGCTTCATTGATTCATAAATCGATGATAATTCTGCAATTGTAGGTGTTATTAATTTAACTTGATTATTTGGATACACCCCTAAATTCAATTGACCAATTCTTTTGGCTTTAAAATGTGAAGTAGGCTCTATTATATTTGTTTTTGATTTATCTAATACTTTATTCATAGTTGATGGTGATAAATTACAATCAAAAACAACAATATCTGATTCTGGTTTTATTTCAAAATCTTCTTCAATTGCTGACATGTCGGCACATGCGATTATTAAATCACCATTTGAATCATGAGTTGATATATATTGTGCAGTTTTACCGTAAACTAATGATGAATTTACATCAACTTTATGAGCATCTTCTTTAGAAATTCGGGAAATTAATTTGGAGTTGCATATATAACTTGCTGCTTTAGCTATATTATAGCCTACACCTCCAATTGATTGTTGAATTGTACCTATATTTGAATCGTGAAATTTGGTGGTGTTTAATGTTGCATATGTATCAAGTGCAACTGAACCAATAACTGTGACATCTACTTTATCAGGTCTCGGTGGTATAGGATCAAAACCAGGTTCTATAACTGGTGTAAATACTTCATCTCCCAATTTATAATATTCTTTTGCAATTTCTGCAGCTGCTTTTACATTATTTTTTACTAAATCAATATTTACATCAACAGATCTCCCCTCGGTTCTTTTTGCAATTTCACTTAATAAATATGGAGTTAATTCTTTACCTGAGACAGGAGCAGTCTGTATCAACTCATCAATTATATGATTTATATTCAAATTATTGGGTGGTGGTATACATAAAACGCTACCATTCAATGAATTTTTGATAATTCTTGCAGCTTCTTGATAGGTGTCAAATGTATATGGTGATTTTATACCTGAATTATCATTATAAAAACCAGGAATCATTTTATTCTTGTAAGTCCCCACGAAAACACCTTGAGTTTCTAAATATTCCATTGTTAAACCAATATCTAAAATTGCCTTTGGACCAGCACAAACTACACTGACTGGAGTTTTACCCAATTCATTTAAATCAGCAGATATATCCATCGTTTTATCAGCTCCTCTATGAACACCACCTAAACCACCTGTTGCAAAAATTTTTATACCTGCGAAATTCGATAAAATCATTGTTGATGCAATTGTTGTACCACCACTTAATTGCTTAGCTATAGTATAACCAATATCTCTTCTTGAAACTTTTAAATCACCCTCATTTAATCTTTGTATATCATTTTTATCAAGACCAACTTTCGGAATACCTTTAATAAAAGCACAAGTGGCTGGAGTAACACCAGAACTTCTTAAAATTGATTCTACTTCTAATGCCATTTCTATATTTCTAGGATATGGTAAACCATGAGATATTATAGTACTTTCCAATGAAACAATTGGTAAATTTTTTTGTAAAGCATATTTAACTTCATTTGATAAAACAATTCTCATTATTTTTTTTACTAATGAATGTACAACCAAATGATATTGAACCAATAGATTATCAATCAGTTAAACAATTATGTCAATTTGTAAATCCACATATATCTGGTATTAATACTTCACAATTAGTTTATCAAAAATTATCAACTATAGATTTTAAAAGATATGTGCCACGGCTAGTTAATGATATAAATTATTCAAATGCATGGATATTAAAAGATCATGAACCAGAGGTTGTTAAACGATTTATAAATAAAGAAGGAGGTCCAGAATCATTAGATTTTATTGAATTTTTAAAACCAGAAACTATATTAAAATGTTTGACATTTGTACCACCAATTACAGAAGAAGATGAATCAATTAAAATTCTACAAAAAGCTTATCCATTAGCTAGATTACATTGTAATCATACCGAAATTATAAGTACTATATTAACTTCTCTTAATCCAAAGTATCCAATTATATTAAATTTTTCACTTGATCAATTATCATTATATATTGATAAAAATTGTTTAATTAATTTATCAAAAATACTATATACACTTAATAATTTAATGATTCATGATATTTTTACAAAACCATTTGAAATTCAACAACAAATAATTAAATTAAAAATACCTATTATCTATACATATGTTTATGATTTTATTGGATGTTGGAAAATTTGTGAAAAAAATGGACATCAAATTGATTATACAAATTTAAAACAACTAGCAAGTTCTATAAATAACCTAGATCATTTTAATAAATTATCTACCTTGTAATGATTCAACAATTTTAATATTTGTATCTAAAAATCTATTCAAACAATTTTTTAAACATTGTTCCTCATCATTATTTAATAAATTTGAAGTTATTGGTCTGTCTTTATTACATTTTTTAAAACATAAATCAGTAAAATTATGAATCAGTGATTGAACTTTTGATTTACTTTGTTCTGATTCTACAAATTGCATAATCTCTTTTCTTGTAACATCATCTAAACTTTGTAAGGCAGTAGTTGAAATTGGCATGGTATAATTTTTTTTCCACTATTTATGAGCAGTATAAAAATATTCTTTAATTACATGTTCTTGTAGGATAGTAACATCAGTACATTCCAATTAGATGTAGACTTCAATTAAATCAGAGTTTGAATATTGAAAGAGTTATTACTAAATTTCTCCTACACTAATATTCGAGAAACCAATATTTTCAACTCTCTGATTGGTCAAAATAGTAAAAAAAGTGGGACCTTGTTAAAAAAATCAAAAGATGGCCATTTCTTACCACCAGATTCGAATTGATTTGAAGTTTCTCGTTTACATGAGTCCAAGAACTATATGTTTTGTTTGAAAATGAGTGAATGGTGTTGAATTCTAAATAACAAAAACCTAATGCCGTTTTAAAATTTTCTTTGTCGCCTTTTTTCTCGGTATAGTCCTATTTTTCATCCATTACTCTTGGAATATCACATATGTGCCCTCAAAATAAGTCCCTCAAAATAAGTCCTCTTATATGTGTTGGGAGCCGTCCATAATACTCCATATTTCAATTGGAAATTTTAAACAAGTGGTTGGATTTGTGGATCCGGGTATTTTCTTGATCATAGAGGGTGTTATTTTGATCTAGCGTTCAAATCCGTCAAAACCACTCCAAAATTATCCTAAAAACAACGTTTCACGGGTAAATCAAGGCCAATTTAGTTGAATCCGCTAAAAACGTTTCGGCGATACAATTGATCAATACTTTGTTTATCGTGACCGATTTTTAGCCATTTTTCAAAAAATTTCAACTTTTACATTTTTCAAAATCTGAATAAGTAGATCTCTAGATAGGTCATTCAATTACAAATCCAACCATTTATTTTATAGCCACAATCTTTTTTTAATTTCCTGTTCCCAAAAACATCCTTATACCTCTAACCTTCCCTCGTACCACGAGAAGCGGAACGAATGCTATTTAGTCTGGCGCGGCAAGTAATTCTGTATATCAATTTACAAAAACTGGAAAAATTTACAACTAAAATTAGATAGATAGCAAGTTTTATCTGAGATATAAGTCTTAGTAGGATGTACTTTTATTACAGAATATGCTGTACACTTTTATATACCTGTTTTTGTTACACGCAAGTGTGTATAATGTGAAGTCTGATTGTTGGGAGTGAGAAAAAACTTTTCGTACTAGCCTAGATGCAACAAACACTTGAGGTAAGGATGCAACAAACACTTGAGGTAAGGATGCAACAAACACTTGAGGTAAGGATGCAACAAACACTTGAGGTAAGGATGCAACAAACACTTGAGGTAAGGATGCAACAAACACTTGAGGTAAGGATGCAACAAACACTTGAGGTAAGGATGCAACAAACACTTGAGGTAAGGATGCAACAAACACTTGAGGTAAGGATGCAACAAACACTTGAGGTAAGGATGCAACAAACACTTGAGGTAAGGATGCAACAAACACTTGAGGTAAGGATGCAACAAACACTTGAGGTAAGGATGCAACAAACACTTGAGGTAAGGATGCAACAAACACTTGAGGTAAGGATGCAACAAACACTTGAGGTAAGGATGCAACAAGCATCGGTAGTACTTCGTTCAGTGTTTTTTCGATGTACTTCGTTCAG